CCGAAAATTACTTTGACAAGAGATGAAGTCGTAGTCGAAGAAACGAAAGTTATTAAAACTAAACGAAAATGGAACCCTGCAAAAAGATGCTTTGAAGAAGTTGTGATCGAATCGGCAGAAACAAAAACGGTTGAACAACCAAAACCGATAGCTAAAAAGCCAGAGATAACAAAACCAACAGACGAGGTGACTGGGGTTGAAAAGAAACCGGCTGAGACCGAGAAGGCACCGATTCCGGAGATTTCCGAGAAAACGGAGCCTGCGGAAATTGAGACACCCAAGGAAGCAGCGCCCGTAGAAAAGAAAACAAAAGTGACTAAAATAGAAAAATCTATTGAAGAGAAGAAGGTTGAAACTATTGAGAGAAAGAAGCCAGAAAAGTCTCCTGAAACGCAGGAAGAGCCCAGAAAACCGACTCCTGAAAGAAAGCTCGAAGTGTCGGTTGATGTCGAGGGAACCGAGGCTCCTGGTAAAGTCGAAAAGAAGGTTATTGTGGAAGAGACTGTTATTACAAAAAAGAAGACCAAAAAGTGGAATCCTGTTAAAAGGGCTTTTGAAGAAATTGTAGTTGAAACAGAAGAAGTTCGCACTTCAGAAGTCAAACCTGATAAACCCAAAGACGAAAAACTTAAAATTGAAGAGGTCGTTGAAAAAGTACCTGAAAAGTTGGAAGAAGAACCCGTTTTAGAAGAGCAACCAATAGAAACTCACAAGAAGACAAAAGTTGATGCCAAAGTTCAGAAAACCGTGGAGGAAACGAAAACGACAGTCAAAGTCGATACCAAAAAGGTGAAGCGAGTATGGAATCCAACGACACGCAGCTTTGATGAAATTGTCATCGAAGAAAAGAAAGAAGAATTATTGAAACCGGAAACTAAACAAAAAATAACTGTTTCAAAGAAGATTGAAGAGGTCAAACAGGTCACAGAAGTCAAACCGGAAGTGGTTATTGAAGAAGTTCCCACAGAACCACAACTTCAAGCTGAACTTCCAGAAGATTTTGATGAAACTATTTTAAGTCCAATTCCTGAAGTTGACACTCCGGCATCAACCCCGGAAGTGCAACAGCAACCGGAAGAAAAACCAAAACCAGGCACGAAACAAGACTGGAAATGGGAAACTGACAAGAAAGAAGCTGTGACAAAAATCATGGTCGAAGGTTAGTATTTTTCATGATTTGTGCATAGGAGCAATTTCAAGATATGTCTGTTTCAAGATCTATTCTCATGATCCAGTTTTTGTATTGGCTATCCAATTATACAGGGTACTCCTTTTACAATTTCAATTTTGTTATGAAGTCAGTTCTCAATATATCTTATCCAGCTTTGTTGTTTTTTAGTCAGTAATTGTGCAAGTATTTTCGCTTCATTTAATAATCTGTGAGAGCCAAGACAATATATGGTATCGATAAATCCCCTTTGCAACTTTAAATTTTTTTAAGATTTTATGGTCACCCTATACATCGTTATTTCTAATAATACGTAATCAAGAAAACTAGTTTAATTTCATCCTAATAATATGAAAACACGAAATTATATTATTGGATCAAGATTCAATATTGGCCTATACTTGCAATATAAATCTTTGAATAAATACCGCATTTTATCTTACTATATCTTCCTGTCATATTAAAATATCGTATAAAATATTCCTATCAATTTCAGATGTTAAAGAAAAAGAAGAACCTGTTCCCAAATTCGAAAAGCTATTGGAATCCGTTTTCGCAAAGAAAGGGCATCCTGCTAAATTTTTATGTACAATATCAGCACCGATCCGGTCTTCTGTTGCCTGGTTCCATAACGATGTTGAAATTAGGACTTCGAGGTAAAAACCTAATTGATTTAGGAATTGTTTGTAACATGATACACTTAAAAGTGCATTTTCCAGTCAAGTATTTCAAACCATATTCGCTTTTTCCTGCTATTTTGGGGAGTTTACTTGTACATTCCTAATTACTGTATAGAATGATTTATACTGCACACTTCACTATTTCATCGTTATCTAGTTGATATGGTAACCATCATTTTACAAGAGTTAGAACCGAAATATTTAGTAGTTGCAATATCAGCACGGGACAAATGGTTGTAAGAAAGATTCTGATATTAAATATTACGAAAGTAAAAGTATGAAATTTAAGATAAGGATTGAAATACAACCACCATTTAGCTATTTTCTAATTTGACTAAAAAAGCTATTTTCGTAATTTTCTGAGAAATTGTTCAGAACTTTATAAATCCGTTTTACTTTTAGAAAACTTCGGATAACCCAGCAAGGAAACATTCATCAACTGCATATACTGAAAGTCACTACTGAAGATGAAGGAGTGTATTCATGCAAAGTAATTTCGCCTGAGGGATCAGTGGCTTCATCGAGCGCAAATTTGCAAATTGGAGGTAGGTCCGCCGGTATTCTCGTAGTATATGTACCAGGTTAGGGTTAGGCCATAATTTCATTTCAATTTTACTTAAGCTTTCCGGTTGAACTGAGAATATCGGTCCGGCTACTAATATCTTAACAGTACTAAACAAAATATTCATGCCTCATAAATTTAGCACATTCTGAATACTTTGAATCCTATATTTGTATTCAATGTCAAATACCTCCAATTGAAAAGATACCTCATTATGCGTGTTTATATCTTGATCACATAGTTATGCATGCATGTCCAACCACAAAATGTCCGAGTTTAGCATTCGCCATGGTTGGTACCTTCTAAGTAAGCCGGCTGCCAAATCCAAGATCGACCTTGCCCATAATCTGTAAATTAAATCAATCTTATGATATATTTTAGGAGGCGAAGTTGCGCCGAAAGAGAAACCACGACGAGTTGTGGCACCAGAGTTTATTGTACCTTTGACCCCAGCACAAGCAGACGGAGGAGATTCAGTTACCCTGCGATGTGTAATGTCAAGCAGACCTACAGCTCAACTTTCGTGGTCTTTAAACGGCAAACCAATCCAATTCCCTAGAGATAATCTGTCGACAAATGTAGAGACCGATGAAAACATTATTACAGCCATTCTAACTATTTCAAAATCGACCCTGAAAGATAGTGGGCTGTACGAATGCAGCGCAAGCAACGAAGCTGGGACTGCATCGTCCAGTGCAAGTGTAGATATAACAAAGTCAAAAGAAATGTTCAAACGAGGTTTGAAGTTTGCCGTGCCAATCATCATCATCATCCCAATTGCCATAAGTAGGCTAATTTTAGGAGGGGGTGTGAGGGTACAGTACAACGACTCAGATTATTGTATTCAAATAAAAGCTAGGATTACGATTTATTTGGAATATTTGCACTTTTTGATCACTAAATTAAGCTAGGCTACTTTAAGAAGTGGAGACTGTGATGTTAGTTGAGAATATTAACTTTTATAAAGCTTAGGTTTGCCATTCGATTAAAATCTTTGCACATTTGTTGATTAAGTCGACTTCTTGTCGGACTGACTGGGTATTAATACAACTGTCAAGGTTTATATAACGTTGCAGAACTACCGTAAAGTTATATTAACGATATCTATTTGTGACAATTTCGATTATGACGGCATTATTCATCTGACATGCTGAATAGGAATGTTCATGTTCATATCAGACATATCAGGTCAAAGTGCGCTAATGATTTGATTTCTGCGCGACTAACTACTTATCCTTCTTCTATTCTATTGTGCTCGTGGACCCGTATGCATATAATGCAAGGATGCTGTAGCAAGAGTAAAGAAAACTATTCTAAGTGATTCAAGAGTCTTGTTGCACACTAAGACAAATAATATCTGTGTTAGTGTGCGACAAGACTCTTGAATCACTCAGGGTAAGGTGTTGTGGTTGAAATATATAGGTTTTCACCGCGAACCAGATTCATATTGAATGATTATGCGATCAGACCTACTAGATATTTCTAGTGGATTATTTACTATATTACAACTGTCGATTCGTTTGAAAACAGCAGTAGCATTGCGTTCGGATGCGGCCAAGTTTATTGGAACGGCTGAAATACCAGGAAATATGTTCAATCTATTTCCAGTCTGTTTATGACTGTAAAGGTATTTTTTATGCGTACAGTAAGTAGATCAGTATGCTATCAGAGTATAGTCTCAGGGGTGGACAAGGTTTCTGGACAAGGGGCCAAAAATTTTGCCCACCTAGACTGGCGGGCTATGTAAGTGTGACGTAAAAAATTACATTTTATGAACAATATTCACAGCGGGCCAGATTGAATTACCCAACGGGCCGGATTTGGCCCGCTGGCTGTAGTTTGTCCATGTCAGGTATAGATGAACTAAACGCAATCGGCCAATACATAAAGAGCGTGTGACGTATCGCGCGTCGTTCAAAATGATCAGGCGGATCTAATTCTAATTTGACTAGACCGGAATACAACGTATATGCATGGTATGCGAACAATCTAGTCTTCAATGCAAGCATGTTGTATAACGCACTGGTAACCACGACCGCCAAGTAACTCGGTCTTCGCAATAATTTGCCCGGGAACCGTGTTTCATATAATGCTAGAATAAGGCTTAAATCAAGTAAGAATCAGCGGCTTTCGTTCTTTGTAAATCAGTGTACCAATTTAAACCTTCAGTGCAAAGTCATATTTTGTATCAGGATCAGATCATAGAGTTGAATATATCGGTATAGGACTAGATATAAACAAATGCTGTGCCGTAAGGTAAACCCACATCTAGCAACTGTGGGATTTCACCGAGATGTGATCGGCTAAGTTATTGCGAATGACTCCGATTGTCGATGGAATCTGTATCGTCTTGTACCGGATTAGGTGGATCGCAGAGCGTTTTCAAATGCATTCTCGAGTGCCGGAACGATTGTTTTTGACATAATTATTCTTTAGTATGTTAAGCAGTATCTGAAAACGAAGTAAAACATTTGTTAAATCTTAAAGTACGCTATCGACGTCACAGATTTTACTCATGTGCATGTTATCATTTTTCATAGCTTGATACTCGAATATTTTTCAAGCTGACATTATACTCATATCCTTTCAGGGCTTTTTGAAACTACACAAGAGCAAGAAGTCGCAGTGCAAGGTATTGAATTTTTTATCCAAATCATTTTATCTCGATCTGAAAATACATATCTTGTTATAGGCTCTACGTCGTCATCAAATCATCGTTCTTTATATTCTAATAGTAGTTTCGAAATCAATACCTAATACAGTACAATACATGCCCAGTCGTGCCAATTTTACCACTCAAACGGTCAACTTTGTTCGCATTAGTGCGGCCGACCAATACAATTCATTTTATTTTGGCTCTCGAAATCAACGTGACAAGCGAAAAACAAACTAAAAAAATAGTTCAGCTATAAGCATGGTATCACGAGATTATTTTAGTATTTATTACAATCCAATTATATTTCTTCTTATATTTCATATTTTGTGAATTCGTGTGCATGTTTGTGCATTTTTTTTATTTGAATTTCTTCAAATTTTTATCAATACATGCATCAGTGCATTCTTGTCTTTATGTGTGTGTATCTTCTTATCTTTCGTTCAAGCTACATTTACATCTCTTACCTCACAATATTGTCTCATTTCTTATTTCTATCTGACATTTGTATTACCTCATTCATGTTTTTTCAATTTAATTTATTAGTTTTTGTCAATTATACATTCATTTGCAAATAGCTGGTATTTAAAAAAACTGTTGGCCTAGAGCTGCTTTACATTCCATATCACAACAATGAATATACATCAGTTACACATATTTCATACATTTTCGACTATATTGTTTTTAGCACACTATCACATTTCTATAATTTTCTCTTTTTAAAAGTCATTACTCATTCCATATTCACTCGAAATGAAAAAGATTGATTCAAGTCAGGTACAACAAATATATAGACACTGTTCTTTTCAAGTTATTTCTGAACATCTACTCTTTCTCTTTGATTCCCCTGCTTCTGGTAAGTCCTTACTGGTAGGGAATCTATCCTTAAACGTACAAATAGGCTAAATATTGGAAAGTTAAGGAGGTAGCATTTTAGAATCAACGTTTAGTAAAGTATTTGTGCTGTGTACGTTTACAATAATGAATGATTTTCTATGTGTAATTGAATGATAAGTCTAGTTATGTACAGTATTGCTCGTAGCAAGTTTGTTAAAGTATAACCTGTTTTGCTGTTGATGTTGTAAATTCGCGTGTTGTGATATTGAATTGGATTTTCTATTCGCTTGCTAAACACCATCAAACCAACTCTAATTTCTTTGTACAAAACGGCAATACAGGACACATATCGGAGTCTCATCAAAGTAATCTACAGATTAAGAATTCGGAGGAATCTCTCAGTGTCTCGTCTTACGAAGAAGACGAAAACCAAACGGACGAGAACGGCGAAACATTGCTTGTGACAAGCTCCATGACCGGCAAAGAATTCACAATCCGAAGATCTGAAATTACGAAACTCGCCAAAGAAAACTATTTTTCTCATTCGAAGTTCGATCCATCGTTGCCAGATACCCCTATATTATTGAGGTGATAACTTTGAACTCGTTTTTTAAATAAAATATTAATTACTTACACTCAAAAAATCGTTCCAAACCTATTGTAATTAACCTATTATTGTAACCTAATTATTTTGAATCGTCACTCAAATTTATCAAGGGCGCGCCCAAGTTCATGGTATATCAATAGCGATAAAAAGACGCACAACCTCACATTCCGCAACGCAAATGCCTTCTACGCGATCTCCTGAAGTTAGCGCTTAGTGCAGCATATTCTAATATGGATTGCATATTGTGAGTGTTATTTTGACAAATTCGCTCTCCTGACTTCAAATATTTATCCTTTTTATTTGCAGAAAAAAGAAACCAGACATAGAGGAAGATTTAATCCGACCTGCGTTCACGCAAAAGCTTAAACCCGTTACCATAGAAACGGATGACACAGCTGAATTAATGTGTCGATTCATTGCGGCTCCAAGGCCAGAAATTATGTGGTTTTGTAATGGGGAAGCTATAAAGGTTGGATTACTATTTTATTCAATTATTTCTCAATTTTATATTTTTATGTTTTGCACACATTCAAACAAGTCTTTGAACAAGACACTCTACAAGTTGATAGATATATATTGCGTGTTTTAGAATAAAGTCTTAAAATTCTTTAATTGCACAATTGAAAAGAGAATTTATCGATACCATATATTGCTTTGGTCCTCAATGATGTATTTAATGGAGTAAAAATAACTAAACAATTACTGATTAAAAAACAATAAACCTGGTTAAGATATATTGAGGACTGACTTAATAACAAAATTGAAACGGTAAATTGGTTTTATGGACACCCTGTATGTTAATTGAGTGATCGAATCTTTGTTGATATGTCATAGCTTACCCTATACAATCGATAAAAAGAGGGAAACGGGGTTACGCATGGACATAATTAATTTGTGAAGCCAATACACTCTGGCACCCTGGCTCATTGCTCAAAATCACGATTCGAAAACTATAAGCCTATACTGATGATTCGTTATTTTTTCTCTCTATCAAGTAGCTACATTTATCATCTCGAGGTATATTAGAATTACGATATATATTATGTAAATAAGAGCTAGATAAGGTTTTACGTAACATCTGAATTTCCCGTTTTTTTAGTTTTCGCAAACGAGAAGACTTCGCGAAATATCAGTATATAGATTATAGAATATAAGTGAATGCACATAGATTCCAGTCCCTTTACACAACTTGATGTAACATAGGCAAACAAAATTAGTTACCTCCATATTGGTACACATACTTCTGGAGCACAAAAATATATATAGATATATATGTTATAATGTGTGGCCTCAGAGTGCTGACTTATTTGGTTGATTGTCTCATTCCTGTAATTAATTTCGTTTTTTCTCCAGATTGGCGGCAGAATAAAAGTCACAATCGAACGCGACATGTTCTCATATTTCGCTCTACTTGAAATTCAAGAATGCCAATCTCGAGACGCCGGCCTTTATCAAATCATCGTCCGTAACAAAGAAGGAGAATGCCAATCTACAGCTAACGTCGACGTGACAATTTCTGGAAATGGACCCAGAGTTCCAAAACTCAATTTAGAAACATTGGGAGATCCCCCTAAGAAAACTCGATTGAATTCAAATGGTTCTCCCAGAATGCCATTTTCTGCTAAACACTACCTCGAAAAAGCTAGATGCAGAGAAGGCAGATCACAAAGCTTGCGTGAAGACTTTCGACGAACTCGGTCATTCGAGACGCCTTTAACAGGCAGCAGACGATCGACCTTATCAGCTGAAAACGCTAGTTTTCGTGCATCCTCTATGAGCAACTTATTACGAAACGGTACTTTCCCTCTGCGTGGTAGACGCGCAGACAGTATTTGTAGTAGCGTGGATGACCAAACTATCCACAATATGGCGTTAGAGAGCGAAGTCAGCTCTGTTTCCATGACTCCCTCGTCATCAACCCTACGTCAATCGAATCACGTTGCGTCACAATTGAATACCTGTTTAACCGGTCATAGCCGATTTATTGACGAAACACGATCGTACTCTTTAGAATTACCGGATTTTGATGCTTCGAGCGACATTGTGACTCATTCCACCGCCAGCACAAGTGGTGTATTCATGATGGACGAATCTATAGGTAGCCGCCGATCATCTCTATCCGGTAAAAAAGAAGCTCCGGTTATTGTAGACTCGTTACCGGATATCATGAACGTTGTATCCGGTAATCAACTCTCACTCATGTGTAAGGTAACCGGTCGACCCAAGCCAAAACCGGTGTGGCTTAAAGACGCAATCATGATTCCTGAGAACTCAAAAACATATTTATTTGACGAAACTGATGTATCAGGATCCGGTAATACCGGATACGTTTTCTCGTTAATGGTGAAACAAGCCACTTCAAAAGAATCCGGGGTTTACACGTTCTCAGCCCTCAACGTTGCTGGTGACATATCCTCTACCGTGAAAGTCAATGTCAGCGCTAATAAAGGTAAGAAAAATTCAACTTTTTGATGTCGATGTTTCTTACCATGCATGCTTTGTGTCTCTGCTTTTCCTTTTATTTTTTCCTTGACTTCAACTTCTTTTTATGCCATACTCGATCCGTGAATATATGAATCACACATCGCGAATCGCATTTTACCAACGTTGCGATGGGAAGGATGCATGATAAATTGTTTAGTTGAATTCGTGCTGTTGAGGTTGGGTGTTTATTGTTCTGGGTAAAAAATTGCTGCTAATGGGCCATTCGATTTCATATTTTTGGCAAAGTCCCGGCCAGTAGATCTGAATGGGTACTCCTGAAGTATGTGCACCAAGATGTCGCATAACCTGAACCTTAACCTGGTACACAAACTTAGTTCAGGGTGTGCGCCATCTTAGTGCGCATACTTTAGGAGCTCCCCTGAATGTCCTGGTTATGCAGTATGACAGTCATAAATATGTTTTTATTCGATATTAATACAAAATTGCTATATTTTTTAACGGAGGCAGTTGATTTCCCACTGACTTGCAACTCCCTTCACTAGTTCAGATGGAGGGACAAATTGCTATGTCATAGTTATGATATGAAGTATGAACTATACGTTGATTTAACATCCAGCCTTACAGTACCAGTGCAGACGCGCAACATTCGTGTTCAAACATTGGAGCGTTGCTCTTTTGTAATTTTCAGTCAGCTAGTCTTCATATTTTGCATGTTTTATTGCGTTCTGGAATGCAGGAGTAAAATTTTATATTTGAATGAGGTGATACATGTATTTGGTAAATTACTGCATGTTGGAGTTTGTTCGTGTTATGAAAAACGCACGAAGCATGGATTCGAATTATCGAGTGAAAGCTGTAGTGTTTGCACGGAATGAGGATGTTCACAAATTAAGGTAATTTTTACATCTTTTTTAAAAGTTAATACCGACCAATCAAATTTGATAATACACATAATAAATATCCTTTAGTAAACTGAATGTATTCCGGTATTGTACTCATAGAGGTACTAACTTTTTGTCAACTATTTTGGTCAATTCCAACAAAAATAAATTATCTGTTTTTTTTTTCACGTAAGCGACTTTTTAACGTGCCTAAAGCATTTTGTTCTGTTAAATAATAGTGAATTTACTCATATTCTCGGAAGACCTCGAAGCTAAGATATAATAAATATGAAATCCATTGTTTTGAGATTTTGCTCAATCCTAAAATCGTTATTTTTTGAATCATCCATTTGCACGAAGCATGTTTGATGCATAAAGCAAGCTATACGTTGGCAGATGACATTTGAAACTAAATAGCCAAACATATTTTACAGGAATGTGCAAGAAAGAATATGCGACAGTGCACACCGACAAACAAAAACTCTCAACTGATGGCGTGAAGACATTAGCGGCAAATTCGCTATCGCAGACGACATCAGCTGACTTATCGTTTACACCCTATTATGATGTAACAGCACTCAATGAGAAATGCATATCTTCGCACTCTCCGGCGATATATAAGGGAGACTGCGACATCGGAAAAGCGTCATTCAGCTTCAGCACAGCGAGCAGTGAACATCATCACAGAAGGAAATTAGAAAGACAAATTACAGAACCAACTTTTAAAACATCGGTGTTTATAACTTTAACTAGCAATGATAGATCACTTCAAGTGCCAGGATCTCGGGTGGTACGTTCACTCAGCTTTGATTCACAATGTCGAGAATCACATAAACAGAAGGTTAGCGATTTTGGAAGGAACATTGGTAAAGGCCAAAGAAGTTCGAGTCACTTTGATCTAAGTAATGATATACATAGACGATTTTCTGCGCCTGTAAAATATGGCTGCGTGAAAAAAGTACCTTCGTTTTGCAATGTTTTGGAGAAAGCCTTTCCAAATCCAGACTGTAAGTTTCAACAAGCTAGTTTTGACACAGACGACGTTAAATTTGACTGTGCAGTTACTAGTGACATCAACAACACAGTTTTGGATCGTAATTCAAACGAGGTTGTTTTCGAGGATACTGATGCCTTCGATTATGAAAGACGTGGTTCTTATCCTTCATTTTCCTACCCTCTACCAGACCCCAGATATGAGGACTTGCAAACGGATTCGACATCAATATCAGGCAGTTTGTGGTCTTCATCAAACGGCACTGGGTCAGAGTTCAACGAAGCAGTAATTCGAGAATTGATTTCCAGTACCGGTATTGACGAACAACGTGTCAGTCCGAAGGAGATCTTCAGTCAATATATTTTAAAACAAGGAAATAGTGATGAAACCTCGCAAAGCGTAGAGGCGGATAGTCCCAATTATGATGATGGGACATTGAGGCGTCAATGTTCCTACTCGGCGTTCAAAGACGAATTACAGAGAAATGCTCAAAACAGCAGTACTTCGTCGTCTTCGCCGGAAGATGGCGCTGCTCATCAGAGTAATCGACGATTTTCTAACTTTTTTGAACTTGTATCAAACCTTGATCCGAACAGCTCGCCTGAATCATTTCAAAGTGCTGAAAGTGAACCGAAACAACCAGAAAAAACTGAGCAATGTAATAATGTTATCGCTGAGGCAATAGAATTATGTTCGGATGTAAACGCTACTATTGGAAACTTGAAGGAAATACTAGGAATCACAGAAAGCAATGAAGAAATTTGCGAGTTAACAAGACAATTTTTAAGCCAAGAAACCGACGCATCAAAATTCTATCGACAAGCATTCGGGGAAGATTTAGTAAATGAAACTTCACCAAAGCAACATCATATCGTAATTACCCCACCACAAGAAGATAAGCCAGAAAACGATGTTAATTCAGCAAACAATACAGACGTCATAGATGCACAAGGGTGAGTAAATTTGCACATTTGACCTTTAGGTTAAGTTTATTGATAATATAGGAAGTATTAGTAAATAATACTTTTATTCAAATGGCATTTTATTCTTAATATATATCGTTGCATTGAATTAACACCAATGTTATGTTACCATATCGAGTCCCACTTCATCAAGGTTCACACTTGTGACATTTGACCCGAGGAATAATTTTAGTAGGTTTGCTAGTCAATTGGTTAGTGATTAAACTTAGATCATGACTTGAACATAATTTAAGTAAATTTCTGAAGGCATTACGACGATGCGCGACCTGAGTAGTAGGTTTGACAGTGTGTTTTTCCTTTGTTGAGCATGAACTGTTTGAACATAATAGGATTTAAAATCTAATGATCAAAATAACACTATAAATACCACTGGAATGATGAACAGGGGGCTATGAGTGCCGATACCATAAAAGTTTGGAAACCATTGCAATGCGTAGTTCCACGCTATATTCCTTTATAATGCCAGTAGGTCTTAGAGCTCAATCTCTTTTTTTGAGTGAGTGCTCATAACTTTGCTCTGAGCAAATTTCATTAAATATTAAATGCCGATATATTTCTTTATTTTCATTTTTTTGTTTTTAAATTTTTATTGTTAGTATAATATTAAATTAGAATATTATTTTTCAGGTTTACTGATGAGACCACAGACGAACCGCATGCATTTTCAGCGTACAAGTACAGCATCCCTGGAGATCAAGAAGATATTCTTGAGCCTGCATATGAAATAGCAATACATCGTGACTCAGAATGTGGAATAATTTCCGAATCCACCGTAATAAAGTTGACTCAAAAAGAAAGTAGTACAGTAAACCAACATACCGAAAACACTTTGCAGAGTATATCTAATGCTGTATCAGTTGCTTTACATACCTCTGAAGCACCTAGAACAAGTGAAGGTCTACAAAGTGGAAATGTATCTGAAAATCTCAAAGAAGTCGAAGAACCGCATCCTTTGTCTCCTGATGCATATTCTGAACCGTGGTCTCCAGAATGTCCAGACGAACTTGACACTCAAGAAAGGAATGATTCACCGCTCATTACAGAATACAGTATAAGTTCGGATGAAGGCGAAGCTGAAATTTCCTCACCCCGAATACTTAAAAGCGATGAGATTACTCAAATCAAAAATGTATTTTCATTCGCTCAAACAAATGAAATCACTGGCGATGCTGAAGAAATTAAATCACCAACTAATGAAAAAATACTGAATGCTGAAATATCAAGAGTTTTGGGATTTGATTCAGCGACTAGCGATAGTGAATTCACAGATGTTGAAAGCGTCACAAACACATCTGATAAAGAATTTGAGTCAATTATTGCTTGTCCAAATGCTCGACTTCACGACGCCAAAAAGCGTCGAGGATCAGGTGACTCGTCAGACATTATGTCGAGAATTACACCTCCGCGAGATGTCGGTATGGAGCATAAGGAGAAACCAATGGCCAATATGTCGCAACCAAAAGCCGACAAGGAGTATTTAAAAGTTACAAATCATATTGAAGTGCCCGCATTATCACCTATTATGGAGGAGAACTCAGATAACGAAGCTTATTCGGAACATGATACTGAAATTAGAGAATCAGTTTTAATCGACACTGACACCTCAAAATCTTCAGACAAGCCAGTCTTAAGCTTTGACGATATTGAATATCGATGTCCAACACCTAAAGACCTGTCTCCTATTATAGAGGTTGATGAATTTGAATATACTGATAATGAGTATCATTCTGCGAACGAAAGAGACGATTTCAACAAGGTTAAAATATTACTTAGCTCTGAAAACGATATTGTCGATTCAGCCGACTCGCTCGCTTCTTTTGAAGCAAATGAAAGACTACTACAATCACAGGAAAGTACTACTAAGACGCTAAACATCGTCGAGCCAAGAATTCTGAATCTTTCAGCGGAAAAACTAAGAGGCAAGCTGACGCCTAAAAATTCATTTGACGAGGATATAACCCACAGATCGTTTCTTGGGCGGCCTCTAGTGTTTAAAAATGGAACTCTGAGCCGCGGTTCGAGTGTGGAATCAGAATATCATTCATCGTCGGAGTCTAATCCGAAACCGACCGTTGGTCAAAAATCCTCTTGCTCAAGCGAGAGTAACTATTCCACTCCGAGAGGATCGGACAGTAGTTCTGGTAACGAGCACGTTAAAGGTGAAGAGATCGGAATTGAACCACTTGCGTGCAACATATCACAAAGTAGTGCGAAAAAAGAATCAGCAAATGTCGGCTCGTGTTTAAAAAAACTCCACCGTGACTGGTCACGTGACTCCGGTACCACCGTGGAAGATAACGGTAGCGATGACTCGGACGATACCGTAGATGCAGTAGCAGCCACGATATTAGACTCAGATTATTGTAATGACATTTGTATTTTTGAGCGAGATGCTTCTGAAGTCCTCGAAGAAGAATCTGTTGCCTCCAATGCTGATTCATACACAAGCGCTTGGAGTGCAGATGACGTTTTCGTACATGAAGACGATGTAATGTCCATTGCAACAGAAACAGATGTGCCTTTGGAATATATGTCGTGCCATTCCGGAGATTTGGAGTCGGAAACCGGATTTAAAACTCCGACTGGTCGAGATTCGTTAACTTCAAATTTTGCGACCCCAGTTGGAAAGAGGTCATATGCCGGTGATTCGGATAATGATTCTGACCGCACGATGACTCCGGATAATGAGAGCGCAAATTTAAAAAAGACTTCATCCGGACATTCCACAAAATCTAGTGGTAGAGGATTTCAGACTCCGCCCACTTTCAATGTCGTAATTCCACCAAAGTTTATTGGGCATAGACTCGATCGTTTGTCGTTTAAAGAAGGAAAAATAGGAAAAATCAAATGTTCTGTGGTCTCTTATCCATCTGCTAAAATCGCTTGGTACAAAGATGGCCGATTGCTAGAAATATACGATCGGATATCTCACAGCGTAGTAACTAGCGAAGAAAATGGTTTGGCACAAGCATGGCGACCTCCTTGCCTTTCATCACAGTTGGACGCCGCGTTACTGGAGAATGACTTGGATGTCCATTACGTATTGACCATCGATAAAATACGTAAAAGCGATGCAGGGGTGTATATTTGCAAAGCGTGGAGTACAGTCGGAGTGGCAACAAAAGTAACGCGCATTGAAGTAGACGACCATACCCCGAACTCAGGATGAATTAATTAGTCCTACAGTCATAGTACGGAGATCTACATGGCGTGGCTTATATTGTCGGAATCTAAAAAGACCGTTTGACATTGCGCCCGGGAATGGGCTGAGAACGTTATCGAATTGAAAACACTGTAGACTGATTATGCATTATTTTTCTATATATATTAGGTTATTTGATTTTTATCATTTTATTTAGACGAAACTATATTATATTTTGCATGAAATTTTTGTAACTCTCAATATTATGCATTTTTGTGTGTTTCAATTCTAGGAAAAACTGAAGATTCGAGAAGTCTGACTGTGATATCAGCTGGCCTGTCTCTTCTGCAGTCTCTCAATGGCGGATCCGAATTGCCGGTTACCCCCAAAATGGACGTACTTTTATCTCACCCAACAATGACCACAAAGGGTGGTGTACATTCACCGCCAGCTCGGCGTCGTCAGCTCACCAGGAAGCCGACATTTGAAATTCCACTGAAAGACTCCTCAGTCGGAATTGGACAGCGTGCCGAGTTTTCTGCTTCGGTAAAAGGAAATCCACTACCGTTGGTTACATGGTTTGCTGATGATGTGCCCATCAGAAGCGGGTCTGTTTATCGCTACATCAAGGATGGCGATAAACATATACTAATGATACCAAATGTGAAGTTAAACAGCGGGTGTGTAATTACATGCAAAGCAGTCAATCAACATGGTGAAACGACAAGTACCGCAAAGCTTACTGTTATCGAAATAACCGACGTAACCGTAAAAACGAATGAACTAACAATTGAAACTAAAAGTGAAGTAGAATTTGACGAAAGAATGGAAATTGAAGATGTTGTCGATTCCCAATTGAGCAAATCAGAATTAGAAATCACAAATGCGTCGGAAACAACTTACACTCAGTTTCAGTCAACAATTGAGTTGAATCGAAGTGAAATTTCAGCTACGCTTGTTGAAGACACCACTGTAACTATATTAGAAGGATCTATGCTATCAGAAACGACATTTCCTAGCATTGAAGGCAAAATACCGACCCAATATTTTGGCTCACTCGAAACGTCCATCGAAAACAGATTTACCCGCGATTCTTTACTTGTTTCACCGACCAGAAGAAGCCCAAGATTAGTTCGATTCAGTGAAGAAAGCTTGTTACAAGAATATCCAACCATATACAGCGATTCTAGCGAACTGTGTAGTGAAACATCATCAATTGCAAGTTTGAGAAATATATCGGTTCTAAAAGATTCGGAATGGATGGACGAGGTTCGAAAACTAATACGCGAAGAAATCGACAAACGTGAAAAGTTCAAGGAGCAAAGAGTTGTGGAAAAAGTATCCGACGAAACACAAACGAGCATAGAAGTTGAATTTGAATCAAACTCGCCAGCATTTATAAATCCGATCCGTGATTGCTTTATAACAGCAGGCGAAACGGCACATTTTGTATATATTTTGAATGCAACTCCACCAGCCAAAGTTACTTGGCAAAGAAATGGCGTAAATATCACTCAAAGTGGCGACAACGTTGGAATTATCGAAGACAATGATGCCGGTTGTTTACTTATCAGCGGCGCAAACCTCACACATAGTGGAGTGTTCACTTGCATCGCAGAAAATGAATATGGGAGCACTAAATGTTCGGCAAAATTGATGGTATCACCAAATGCACGAAAATTCACAAAAAGTACGTCTACCTTTGAGGAAAGTGGGATTTTCAATCAAACTGACCGGCAATTTCGAAGCCAAGAATCGCAAACATTTTTAGCAACTGCTAACCAATCCTCAGAATGTGCGACTGAGCCGACGCGGGAAATAAACGACAACGAGACAGGAGAAGGTGGGAAATTTCTCGGTCGTTGCATAAGCCGACACGTCACCCAACACGTGCTAAAATTGCTTTCGGACTGGCGCGAAATTGGCACCGTTTTTGCTTGGCACTCGCCTGTTAGCACATCTGTTTGTAAACAAACTGTTTAATATGTACTGTAGCTAGCACAGTTAAGGATCGTTAAGCCGTAGTGCAGTTATAGGAGTAAGGAGTATTATATATTTTAAATATTGTCTTATGTATTGACTATGCGCCGTCATCGCCAAACCCAAATCGTGTCTTCGGCGTGAATGACTGTTTTGTTGGTAACTTTCGCCAAAATAAAATTTATATCGCATTCAGCGTTATATGGCTCAAATTTGGATTATTTTATCAATTGTAACTTCTCTTGCAAACAAAATTCGGAATCGCGAAAAACTTTCGTCCAGATAAGCAAACCTAACGCAAGTTCGAATATTTGGTCATTCAGTGTTTGACACATCACTGTATTTTGAGTAGCAAAATTAGTTACCTTGATATACCTGGCCACCCTAGGTTTAGGTCCTTAATAGCCACTGTGTCACATAATATGCAATATCATTAAACGCAGCACTTGTTTTTTTACGAAATATAAAAACTAGTACTAAGTCTTAATTTATCACGTTATGCATGCTTATATAAAGTATAGAATATATATATGGTTTTTTTAGTTATACAATCTAATTTCTATTCAGCAATTTTCGAAACAAGACTGGCCATTTTGAAGTCGGTCAAGCTTAAATTTCCGGCTCGCAAAGATTTTGAATGGTACTAAAGTTTAAGTAACTAAAAGATTTTTGATTAATTGAAATAAGTCTCGCCTACGAGATTCGGATACGAGCTTAAATAGATTGAGTTGCTGATTCGCGATTGGTGTGAATCAATTTTCGAAGTTATTTCTCGCATCTACTTTTTCTTTTATTTCACTTTTCGGCGCTCCAGAAGTATGTGTACCAATATGGAGGTGACTAATTTTGTTCGCCCACTTTACATCAAGTTGTGTAAAGAGACTGAAACCTATAGGCAAGGGGTATATTCACTTGGCTAACGCAGACAGTCCCGAACTCGTAATAGAACTAAAATCAGGAAAAATCGGAATAAAATTATGTCCTAACCTGGTACACATACTACGGGAGTGCACTTTTCATCTGTCTATGCTTCGTTTTACACTAATTTTTCTTTTCACGTTTTCTGCTTCTACTAACGCTTATACATGCTTGTTATTCATTTTCGTATTCACATTGATAATATTACACTCAACTGCATTTTCTTTCCCATGGCTCATTTCTCACTATCTCGCCATTACTATATGCACAAGACTAAGTGTGCCTTGCCTGCCCATCCATCATTTGCCATTTCCCACTGAATGCCCATCCCTACCCATTGCTTTGTGTCTAGGCATGAACACGCTCCACTGTAAATGTTTACGCTGCTTGCAAATCTAATCAATTTTTTTTGTTTTCTACCTCTGCATATTTTTACAATAAAAAATTAAACAAATTAGAAGAAAAGTTTGAAGCACCAAGTTTTACGAAGAAATTGGAACCTACGAAAACAAAACTAGGAAGGAAAGTAAGTCGATTTATTCTGTTTACACAACACCATAATATGTGACACAAATTGCGTAATATAATTTATATCATTGCAATTGAATTGAATTCTAAAGCTTGCTTATAAATAGTTAATTTCATTAGGGATACCCAGCGATCCCGGGGTATAATGCGTATACCTTTATTTATGTAAGAGTTATCAAACGTCGCGAATCTCTAAATTTGAAGATGTACAATGCGACACAGTTTGGCTAAAGCGGTTCTCACTATCAGCCTCGGAATAAAATGTTCAAGCATGACCCATTTTACTTCTCATAACAAGGAAATCGTTTGCTCGTTATGTATAATTAACAATTTCTAATAACGGCTGGATTATTCAGACTAGTCACGATTACGCAACGAGCTCGATGGTGCAAAAATTGTTACAACTTATACTGCATTCAATTATTTAGTCAAAAATAAAACGCTTGTCTAAACTAATCAAAAGTATAACAATTATTGTGTTCAATTTCAGGTACGATTAGAGTGCGAGTTAACCGGATCATCACCGATCCAGGTTACCTGGTCAAAGGACGGTGTTAAACTGTCCAAGTCAAAACTCGTCTCCACCGACGAGTCTTCTCCATTCGTCGAATTTCCGGATATATCGCTCAGGTGAGTTGTTTTCATAAGATGCTCCGAACAAGGCCATGTACAGGCGGCAGCTAATATCTAGTGATGTGCAAGGCACTAACTACTAATGATTAGAAGAGCGGAATCTTCCTGGTGTGGCATTGTCAACCCAATTTATCACATCCTGGGTGAAGTTATGGGCATTAGATTTGAACCAGAGATGTGTAACCAACATGCAAACAGTCCAATCAATGCTTTGATCGCGGCGAGTCCGTCGCGGCGCAGGTTCTTTCTTCAAGTATAGCTGAAAGGTGGCTACAATGCCTGAAATGCGCTATAATGCCTATGTCATGCCTATACTAATCTCTCGGTTTGAATGAGCGTATAATTTATCGGTTCACATCATTTGACAAACCTATTTTATCAATCATTATCAATTTTCCCCATTTTATGTTAATTGCATTGAAGAGGACTGTGTTAATATATTTACAATTGTGCGTTTGCAAACGAGGCCATCGCGCCGAAGGTTTTGGGCGACTATTTTTTTTAAATAACTGAAATATAATGGCTACCAAGCTCTCAGTTTAAATAAATGTATAGTTTATCAATTTACATCAATTGACAAACCCATTTTATCAATCGGTATCAATTTGCCTCATTATACGTAAATCACATCGAAGAGGCTGTACGCGTTAGTATGGGTGAAATTTTGCGTTTTCGCTTTCGCCAGCGAGCGTTTTCACGTCAGCAATTTCACGTCAGCGCTGACGTGAAAACGCTCGCGTACAAGCGCCCAATTATCTCTCTGCCCCGTATTACGTGCATCGCACTGAAAAGGCTGTATGTGTTAATAGGGGCGTTTTCACTTTCGCCAGCGAGGGCTTTCACGTCAGCGAGGCTGGTAGATCAGTATTGTCGGCCATCTTTAAACTTGTTGGTATTTGCGATTTTCGAGTAGTAACTTCATTTTTATCATCGTGTCGTATGCATCATCGCCCGCCACCTAGATAATTGGTTGCATAATTTTCGTTTTAAATAATTTAATTTGCCATTTTCCATTTGCAGCGATTCTGGAACATACTCGATCATGGCCAAGAACAAATACGGTGTTGCGACATGCTCTGCATCATTGATTGTAGAAGGTCCGTAAACAGTGATCGGTTTTGCTTTGAGTTATATTGCATGGTTCAGTTAAGGTTCAACAAAGCACGACTGCATTACCTCACTGTTACATTTGTTACAACGGACTTCACCCTGGTGGCTGTATATTCATATTATTTGATATTTTTGTACAGAAAACTTAAGTTTGATCATATTACGCTGGAAGAACTGAACTTGCTTTCTTGCTAATAACTGTCCCAGTATTATAGTCTTAGTTTTATGAAAAAGAGAGATCGTTATGTTGATTAAACTGCACTTTTATTTTTATTTTGCATGCTTGTTTTGTTGCTTGTTCAGATATTTTTATTAAATGTTTCCACTTTATCAGCATGATCGTTTCTCACCATATTCGACAAATTTCAGTTTATTGGAATGTAGCAAATATTTTCGAAAGCTACGATAATACTTGATATGGTTGTGACTGGCATCCACTGTAACAGATTCACATATATTTTTTCAACACTATTTTTTCTATTTTATTCTTTATATTAAAAGCCATTAATATATTATTTGTAAAGTTCTTGCCATATCTGTTTTTATATATATACATTATTCAGACGTAGCCTGTCATGATAATTATATAGAAAAATATATTTTAAATTACAATTTTACGAATTAAGTAAAAAGGAAGTCATATATGACGTAATTTGTCACGTGACTCGGATTGTTAAATACATTGGTTTACCCACTGGACTTTCTGCCTTAAAAAATAATACTGCAGGCAAGTTAAATGTATGATTAAATGAGAAATAATGTAAAAATTTACTTATGTTCGTTTTACACTGAGCTCATGTTATTACATTAGACTTTTCTTTTGTCACGGTGACGGGAATGTATAGGTTACTGGTGTTCTCATGCTTGCACTGTATTTGCATGATTTTGTTTTACATTTGTTGAATGTTGCACGTTTTATTTTCTTGCAATAAACTCTGTATATTATTAAGTTACTTTGCTATTTATCCGCGTTTCATGAAAGATCGCTAAAATGAATTTTCGTCTGCAGTTGGATTATACCTGAATTATTTTGAAGTAAAATGGACCTTTTCAGGTTTACCACGACACCAAACTAGGACATCAAAGTTTTTCTCATAAATATTCGACTGTTTAAAAAAAATTGAATTAGTTTTCGTTTTCTAAAATTTGATTGGTTACTGGAAAACTTGCTTCTGCCAAATTCTGCGCACAACATTGATTTGATGCTGCATTGATAAACGTGTTTTTATTGCGGCATCAGTTGCAAATTTTCTGGCAGAATTGCCACGTTTTTAATCGTGCGCAATCGTAATCTTGCTCAAGATGACCTATTAAAAATGTAATTCAATTATCGAATCAGGCATTTAAATGAACCTGTTACGATACTGGTTTCGAATATGTGTTACGGTTTTGTTCGTTAGGTATTGCACCCGAGTTTGTTGTAAAACCAGACGCAGGAACTGCCAAGTATGGAGAATCCTTCACGTTCCGAGCTAAAATAACCGGGATACCAGAGCCGGACGTACGCTGGGAGAAAGAGGTAATCATTTAAATCCAGGTTTATCAACTTAATCGTCGGGCACAAAAGCAAGGAACTCGTTGTTTTCTCGACATGTTTATTCTGTTTTTGCAAAATACTAAAGTCATATATGCCCCGTAACAATGCGTGGATGGCGTGAAATGTCGATATGTCTATTCCCTGAAAGAAAAAATTTATCAAGGTTTACTTAAAGTTTCAAATTGCTTTTCCAATTTTATTAGGAAGGCACATACACCGTTCCAAATTCTAGGCGGCTTTGGTCTGCATTTTGAAAATTCCGTAAATGCTTACTAGAAGGACATATTAATTATGAAAGTTTTTCTTTATAAACGTGGGTTGAGGGCCACACAAGGCTGGGCTGTGAGTCAGATGTCGCATTACTTTTGAATGTATTCGATCTATAGTGATAAAAAGATTTTTGAATGACGAGGAAATTTATCCCCCGTTACAGTACTATGATCGTTCATGCTCGCCCACAATTAGAAGCTTTAATTTAGCTATAACGTAAATTCCACCAACTAATTTCAAATATATTGATGTGGTGTGCTTTTATCGTGTGCATTACATTTGTACACAGTTGAGGTTATTTTACGATTAATGGGACAAATAATTTAATTTTACTCTATTCAATGTAAATAACGGAGCACAAATCTAAAATATACAGCTGCTTGATTACATCTTCCACTCTAGTATATGTTTATTTACGGACCTTCTTTATGTCAAGCTTACTTTGATTATTGAGCAAATTCAACCAAATAGCTTCAATTTCACCGGTGACTGGTACTGACGTGACCGTCACCTTTAGCTTATTGCAGGAATATGCTATTACGCTTTGACCAGGCACTGAAGCCGCTGTGCCCATTTTAACTAGCTTTTAAAACCAGTTCTCTTGAAAAACGCACAAATTTTCTTGTTCAGAACAAGATGCTAAAGCCATCTGATCGAATATCCTTGGCACACGATATTGGAACTGACGAATATACTTTGACAATCTCGAAGTTAACAGCTGGTGACGCTGGCGTGTATGACTGCATCGCTGATAATCCAGCTGGAGAAACGAGATGTCGAATATCACTGCTCGTTGAAGGTAAGCTTGAAACTGACACTGACGCGCAATGTTTCACTATTAAATATTGCCAGTTCGTTATAAGCTATAATTGCGAATTTGACAAGAATAGGCGGGTAAACCGACTAGATGTTTTTCAATAGACTGTGTCATTTGATCACGCTATGCGGAGGCTTCACACACAATATTCATATTGGGGGAGCTGACTCTGATGATCGTATCGTCGTTTCGCTCCCCCCAGTCTATACCGAAAAACTTTACGTATGTTGTTGTATATCTTTTTATTGTTGCAATGCTCCTCTTTTTCTGGTAGACAAAATATAAATCTCCTTCTCTCTCTTGAATTGCAACGTATCTACCGAGAAACGCAAACCGTGTTTACAGTGTATTACGCGATTAAAAATGCGCAAGTTGAGAGTCGACAATGTGTGATTACAAATTGGCGGCGAAATTTTTACTTAACATGGCATATCCAAATTCGACGAATCGGACCTGTTGATCGCCGTTTCTCATTAACAAATTTAGGACTATTGATTTGCTATTAAACTTTGAATACTCATCAATCTTATTATTAATAATAGACGATACGTTTCCAAATCTTTTCATTAAGTTACATATTAATCTAACTTTTCTTATGAAACAAATATTCCGTTTTTCTTGTAGAAATTCCATTGGCGGAATCTCTCCGAGTACAAGTGAAGGAGACTGAAACAAAGAAAACTGAAGAAACTAAAATTATTAAAAAGAAGAAACCTACAGAAGACAAGAAATCGCCTGTTTTCGTCACATCCCCTGAGAGTGTTTCTAAGCCACAAGGTGAGATGTCTACTTAAGCCATGCATTACTCCGTGTGCGAATTCATAAATCGTAATTAAGGCCTAACTGAACTTGTTAAATATATTTCTAGTTTTGTCCTATCGTTAGTGGTTTTATTTATTTGTTACCCAGACCTTAAAAGTGAGCACCAATACCATGGTGGCAAATTAGACTCCGCTCATCCTTGCGGTGTAAGTCCATAGTTATTAATTTACGCATTGATTCACGCCATAATTTTATCCACAATTTCAATAGCTCTCTGGCACTTGTTGCTTGACCAGACATCAATCAGCCTCCTTGCTATGAGCAAATTGTAATGTAAAAATAATAAATTGTTAAATATAAATTGCCCATGTCAACATGTCGGCGTTATTCCGCGTTCCGCAGAGTGGATATAGTAGGACGAATTGTTCGAATAACTGTTATTTGTTATAAACTCTGTGAATTTCCCACAAAATGACCTGCACTAACACTTTCTTGTCTGATTCCGCTGGGAATCATATAGCGGTGCAAAATTAAAAATTCGTTACCTTCCTGCAAATCGTGTGAGTGAACTGAATATCTTTTACATCATAAGATTGGATGATTAATTAATCTTTTTTTTTACATTTTCAGGTGAATCTGTGGTCCTGACCGCTAAAGTGTCGGGAGACCCGGAACCCAGTGTGCAGTGGAACAAGGGAAAGTGGAGAAAACTGAACAGCTACGGAAGATTTAAAATATCAAAGGACGCAGATCTCCATAAATTGGAGATTAGTGAACTTGATAAACCGGACAAGGGATCTTATAGGTGCGAAAGATGTCTATATATACCTCTACCTAAATTTAAGTGATTTATTGATCAGATCAGAATTTCAACAGATTTATCAGAAATTCCACTGTTATTTAATAAACTAGCAGTTTTATAACGGGTAGTTTGAATTGAACTAACGCAATATTGCTACTTATCCAAAGAATGAATAATATATGATTGCGGTATTCGTTTGAGGTTTAAATTGCCTTTCACTGTAACGTCAATGCTGTTAGAAAGCGTCAGACGACATTAAAAATTTAAATTGCTCTTCCACGGTAACTTTGATGCTGTCAAAAAGCGGCAGAGTATTCAAATTGCATTTCACCGTATTTTTAATACTGTTAAGAAGCCTCTGTGTTTAAATGTTTAAATTGCATTTCACAGCGACTTTAATACTGTTAAAAAGCGGGTGGATTCAATGTAACTGAGTCAACAAAGTATTTGTGAATAGGAAACTTACTAACAGATGATTATGTTTCTATTTTATTTTATTTTATAGATGCGTTGCTACTAACGTACATGGACAAGCAGATGCTCAATTTACAATCGATGTTACTGAAAAAGTCGTCGAGAAAGTTGACAAATCTGCATTGAAAAAGTAAGTAAAAGGATGTGCGACAAATTTCAGTCCGAGTATCACTATCAATTTACTGCACTACTAATAGAACTGCAACCTTGTAATATCCTAAAGGGGGATCAGTAATTCTCGCCGCACACACACTATAAAATGCATGATGCGGAACAGTGGTTAAAAAGCGTCGATTTTTGTTACATTGGTATCGCAGATCAAACATATGTGGCTTAATCAACATTTGACTATCTCGCCTTAAGTACAATAAATGTAGCTATGGCAAGCCGGAAAATTTCCTATCTTTCATTATTAGGAGCTCTGTGCCTATTTTAGTTATATAATTCGGCAAAACCATACGGTACTCACCGACAATAACGGTAGTTTCATAAATGAAATTCCCGATCTTTTCGATTAGATATTAGAACCTTCGGCGCCGCTTCTTGAAAACCAGCTTTGGTTCCAAGCAACTTTCCTTCCCCAGTAAGATTGTATGATTACGGTATCTCTCCCTTTTCTAAACTTCACTCGACTTGAGTCGTTAGATACTTATTTGGAGCTTTGTAAATAGCAATAGCGTTGAAATACTTCGTTTAAAAAAATCTTCTCTGTTGAGTTCTTGTTATTCCAGAAATGTAGCTTTTACCTTAAGCGACTACTAGTCTAGTGCCTTGTTCTGTATAAAATTTCATGAAATCTACTTTTCTGATGGGTTGTTTCAGATCATCGTTGTTCCAACTAATTTAGATGGACGATATTGACAATTTCCCTTGAGATGAGTGGTTCGAAAGGTTAATTTCTCGAATGTTAGATTGAATCTCGTTTCAGTTGTAATGTTCAACTATGATTTCAACGTTTTTATGTTTTTATTTCAGACTTCCCCCTAAAGAAGAAATTGCAAAAGAGGGAGAAATGAAAAGGATTATGGAACTTATGCAAGAAGTTGATCCGAAAGAATATGAGAAATATGCTCGTCATTTTGGTATCACTGACTACAGACAACTTCTGTCCAGATTTATGGAGTGGCGTGAATCACCTGTGAGTATCTGATTATCGTAAGATAATTATAATCAAGTAGTTAGGCCAGTTGTTGTTATTAATCCCATAAGTCCTTTTGGAGTGGTCTAGTCGATGTGCCACACTGAATCAAGCGATTTTCGTCTAATAAGATTTTTTCATATTTTCTCTGAAGAAAAGTTGATAGAACTATCTAATAATATGTCGAACCAGAATTGTATCTAGTTGCCAATACAAGTTTGCTGCAGGAATAGCTATCCATAAATTACAACTACTTTACACGCTTTTCACTTCTAACAAGGCTCTTTACAAGTAGTTACTGCCTATTTTTGAAAGACCCGATCTGAATCTTACTGGTGTGGCATTGCATACCCAATTCATTACACAAACACGAGTCGGTGGATGTGGGATTCGAATTCGTGGTTTTGAATCTGTGATGCCAACTTTTTCAGCCCAACGTCTTAGCCACTTTGATATTGCCCTCACAAAATATTAAACATATTTTTGAATTCAACAGGAAAAGGCTGAAACTGAATCTGTCGCATCTGAAGCTGCAGAAGTAAATGATTTATTCCAATTCATGCAGAGGAGTATGTCTATTTCTGAAAGTGTCAAAGTATTGAAAGATATTGAAGACATTTCAGGAGGATACGAAAAATCTGCTACATTTGAAGCTGAATTACAGATTTTCGTACCTGAAATTGAAGTCAATTGGTAAGAAGGATTTTACAGAAAATAAACATAAAATAATAACTTATTTTGTTTCCTCATCTTACAATTTGGCTAAAAAAAGCTAAAAATTGCGTGTATCAATCAGGTTATATACCGTAGATATTAAAATGTTGTGTCGGTTCAGTCAGGCATACCAAAATCAGGTTTTATGTATAATAAAATGCTGCGTCAGCCCCAACAAAATTATTTGATCTCGCAAGTTAATGACTGCTGTGTAAATAAATGAATTATTTAACTTTGAACTTATTTTAAAATGGTTTCTTATATTGTCATTATAATTTTTCACAGGTACAAGGGAAATCAACGCCTATCTCCAAGCGACAAGTACGAAAAGACACAGGACGGGAACAAATATACTTTGACTGTAATAAATTTGGATGATTCAGACATGGGTGCCTACCGCTTAGTTGCTGGGCCGCACTCATCTACTGCTGATTTGACTGTCAGAGCTGGTAAGTCCATATCAATTAATCTTTTGTTACCCAAATATTCAAAGACTGGTCTATCTAAAAACACAATTTATTCTTGTGTTATGTTGATTTTTTAGTGATACCGAAACTATTACTATTATTGTGGGTTACGCGGGACTGACCGCCTTCCCTTGCTCAATGCCTTTGTACAAGTGGATCCATATGCATCTAATGCAAGGATGCTCTAGCAAAAATAAAAATGCCTATCCTATTTAATTCTAGAATCCTGCTGCACCCTAACAAAAATGTATTTCTTCAACGTACGTTTACAGAAATACATTTTGTTAGTGTGCAACAAGACTCTTAAATTAAATAGAACCGATAAGATTTGTTTTAAAATTTTTGGCAAGTCAAGACTGAGGGATTGTTTTTCCTTGTTTAATGACACACCTATTATAGATAAACTTCCCAAAAAGAAAGAAGTCATTGTCAGCCAAGATATTACTGAACTACTAGTTGACGACGTCCCAGACAGTGGGGTTGCAGTCAAGAAAAAAATTCTTAAAAAGACAGTTAAAAAGGTCATTGAAAAGAAAGATAAAAAACCTGCAACAAAAACTGAAACTGTTGTAGTTGAAACTGAAGAAGTTGTTGATGGCAAAGTGAAAAAAGTGCAAGAGAAGAAAATAGATGTAACGGAAGAGTTGCGAAAAGTTGAAGAGAAACCTCAAAAGAAAACAAAAACTGTTACCACCACCGAAGTTGTCGAAGAAATAACCACAACAAAGCCAACGACAGAAATAGAAGCATCATTGCCTTCAAAGCCAGAAAAGAAAGAAGTTCCTGTTAAAACTAAGAAAGCAGTGGACGAAAAACCAACCAAAACAGTGGAAACTACTGTTACAACCGAAATTATCGAAGAGGTCGCTCCAGCAAGGCCCAAACCAAAAGGAATTTCAGCAAGAGTTCAGCAAAAACAGGTCACGGATAAGAAAGAAACTATTGTGACTGTTGACGAAAAACCACAAACGAAAACAAAAACCGTTACCACCACAGAAATAGTGGAAGAAATGAGCACACCAACGCCAGATAAAAAGAAGATCGATAAAAAGCCGACTGAAAAGGTTGAAACTGTGACTGTTAAAACTAAGAAAAAGGTGGACGAAAAACCAACTGAAAAAGTGGAAACTGCTGTCATCACTGAAATTGTCGAAGACGTTGTTCCAGCAAAACAAAAACCGAAAGAAGTTTCTACCAAAGTTGAACAGAAACAGGTCACTGATAAGAAAGAAACCATTGTAACGGTTTCCAAAAAAGAATCTGAGAAAAAGCAGGACGAGCTGCCAAAAACTATAGACAAGAAAGAAGAGATTGTTACTGCTAAAACTGACAAAGCTCCGAAAGAAAAACCTACAGAAAAAGTTGAAAAGATCACGAAAACTGAAAAAGTACAAGAAGTTGAATCGAAGAAACCAGAGCTTAAAATAAAGACAAAAGTCGATGAAACTGTTGTTGAAACTAAGCAAATTGAAACGAAAGTTATTAAAGATGAAAAGGTAGAACCTGAAGTAGTAACTGAAACACAAACAGAAGTTAAAGAAGAGACTAAAGAAAAAGAGCCAAAATTAAAATCGATCATGAAAAAACGGAAAACAACTGAAGAAAAACGATCAAAGAAGTATCTTGTAAAAAGATTATCTTTTGAAGACGAAGTTTTAGAAAAAAGAGCTCAAGAAGCTGAAAAAGAAGATAAAGAAGTTGTTGGTAGCAAAGAAGCTGAACCAGAACCAGAATTGCCTTCACCCGGAACTGTACAAATCCAAAAATTGAAAGAGCGCCACGAAGCGCAAAAGAAGTTTATTGAGGGCCAAAAACAAAAAGAAAGAGTGAGAAAACAAAAATCGTTTGAGGAGGAAGTTGGCGTCGGGGAGGCTGAAGCTGTCCCAGAAGCCGATGCTCCCCGTAACGTCACTAAAAAAGAACCAATGGCAGCTGCAAAAGCCAAGGTTACGAAAGAGAAGGAGGAAGTGAAAACGGAAGTCTCCGTTGTGAAAAAGGACAAGAAAGTTGAAAAGAAAGAAATCGTTGAGAAAACTAAGCCGGGTGAAGTGAAACGAGAAAAGATAGAAAAAGTTGAAGAAAAGATTGAAACGAAAACCAAACCGACAAAGCCTAATGAACGAGATGTTACTGAAGAAAAGTTACCAATCCGTGAAGTTGTGGACGAACTTCCAACTAAAACTGAAACAGTTGAGCAAAAGCCGGCAATGAAAACTAGAATCGGATTCCAACGTCAAATGGCAATAGACAAATCTGAAATGACAGTGACTGTTGATACTCAAGAACGCAAAGATTCAATGGATGACATATCAAGCATTTCAGAAAAGAGGAAAATTACGAAGCGGGAGAGTTCGGAGGAAATTAAAACCGACAAAGCACCCAAGACTGTTACTAAGGCAAAGAAAGTGGAAGCGACTAAGATCGCAGTAGAAGAACTCCCAGCTCCAACTATGCGTAAACCCTCAGCCGATGATGAAGTGTTTGTAGAGCCACTGCAACTATCTGTACGAAAACCATCTCGAAGAAGGTCTTCCGTAGTTCATGCTCACACTATTTCCGAAGCCGCAGAGACAAGGCCCTTGATTGAAAAACAGGAATACCAATCCGTGACTATACTCAAGGATGTCACGTCACCTACTCTAGAAGTTTCTTTTGTCAAGAAACGAAGTATTTTAAATTTCAGTGAGTGGCGAGTGAACAAATCACCAATCACATCATCCATGAATCATGCAGCATATAAATGCGAGACAAGAGGCTTATTTTCTTTTTGCATCCTCTGTCGTTAGATATTATTGTTTACCGGTCTCTTGCAGATATAAGGTTCTATGCCCATCATAATACTTTTTTGATTTGCTTCTTTATGCTTGTCTTATTCTAGGGGAGGTTATCCAAAAGATATATAGTCATATTATCTTAATTACGGTTTCTCAGTTTGATTACCACTCTGGGACCAGTTTGATGATTCCACAGTTAATCATACCAGATTTAAAGATTGACCAGTTATTCACTCGGTACTCCTGTAGAACATGAACCAGGGCAAATTCGGATTAGGGTTAGGCCATGATTTTATTCCGATTTTCCTTAAGCATTCCGGTGGAACTGAGAATATTTCAGTTCTATTACGAGTTGGGGGACGGTCTGTTTTAGCCAAGTGAATATACCCCCTGCCCATAGGTTTCAGTCCCTTTATGCAACTTGATATGATATAAAGTAAGCGGACAAAGTAGGTTACCTCTATACATATGTTTCTGGAGCCCCATTCACTCTAGATCCTTTTCTGATGATATCTTCAATTTACCCATTGGAACGTTTTTTTTTATCTTTTTCTCACGCCTGTTATATCATTTTCTCATTAACACATTTACATGAATTCATCTTTCAATTTCCTACCTAGCTTGGTCGTAATATATAATATTCTTATTTCAGTGGATTTTATCGACAAAATTAAGGAACAACGAGTACGTATTGGTGAGAATGCTGAATTCAATTGTACTGTTACCGAGCCCAAGGCTAAGGTAACTTGGTTCCGCAATGGAGTCAAAATCACTCCTTCATCGAAATATGAAATCATTGCAAGTGGAGCTCGTCATATTCTCAAGATAAAGAACATTAAACCAGAAGATGAAGCAGAAATCACTGCTCGAGCAGAACTGGAAGATTATGACACTTGTGAAACAGGAGCTGCGTTGGTGCATTTGCCTGAAGGTATGAACGACTTTCTATTATTGTAGTAAAACTCAAGAATTTTATCAAACCATAACTATCTCGAGGTAATTAAAATATGTTTATAAAATATCCTTTTTCACGTTGGGCATGTCTTTGCCATGGTTGATGAAAGTTCCATGGTTGCTGTCTTTCATCAACCGTATATATAGTAAAAGCTTGTCAAACTAATTTGTTTAATATAGAGTTAGATATATGTAATACCTTGATTTTAAACAAGCAATTGAAGTATATTTTCCTAATATATTTATTTCATCTTTTTCTTTTATCACCATTCATTACCCCATTTCCATATTTTAAATATAAAAACGCCATTGCATACCAATCAAAATCACAAATGAAAACAGCTTTCCAAACTAAACTGGAAGATCAAACAGTTGCTGAAGGTGCAACAATCGCTGTTGTTTGTGAATTGGACAATCCTTCAGAATCTGTAGTCTGGTTTAAAGGAGATAAACGTATCTATGCTGGGTCTAAATACATCATCGTTGATGATGGAAAAACGCAAACTTTAACTATAAATGAACCCGTGAAATTTGATGAAGGAGTTTACAGTTGTGCTTTGAAAAGCAATCCTTCTGTGAAATCAACTGCCCAGATTAAAGTTGATACAAGTATGATAAACCTATGCTTATTATGAAGTTTAAATTTTAAATTGTCGTTCTAATTCTTTTCGTAGTCAAATTTGAAAAATGGGTGCAGTAAATATTATATTAAATTTTATAAATTTTAGTGTGGTTATGATATTCAAAACATAGGTCTCAATCGTGATTTTTTCAATTTCCAAGGATTATATTTATTATGTACAAAATATGTACATTTTGACAAAAATTAGTTTCACATTCAGTACCAATAATTCAGTAATTTAATCTCCAATACACATTTAAAAAAAATAGCAGTGAATATTATAATAGTAGGTCATAAAACTGATCATGATAGTATAATCACCATTCCCTATCAATATCATCAATTCATACTTCACCAAAACAGCCGTCGTCTTCAAAAAACCTCTTCCTGAGACTCTGACCATAGAAGAAGGGCAGAGAGTAACCCTTGAATGCACAACTTCTCTTGACCGAGCCAGAGTGCAATGGTATCGTAATGGTTCTCGTTTAAAACCTGGACCTCGGTATCGTACATCTGTGTTAGGTTCGATGAGAAGATTAATAATAACTGACGCTTCCCGTGAAGTCGATGAAGGCGCCGTGTTCACTTGTAGAATAATGGACAATGATGAAGTAACCGAATCACAGACGAAGATATTATTCCCATCTAAATGTAGGTGGAATGCTTTGCATCTCATCGCTTTCACAACAGCATTAAATCTATTTTGCATTACCGATTACCTAATTATCATCAAAACTATGCCACATACAAGGTTGATTAATCATACACATTACTGACCTGATATATTTTCTACAAATAAATACGCTCAGCTCACCTAATCATGCATTGCCAAGCTTCATTATGGAGCAGGAAGGCCTGTTATGTCATTACCTCGAAGGCAATGAGTTCATATGTAATGAAATTCTTCCACCTAAAAAGTGGATCCGGACCATTTTATGCTATTTCTGCATAGTCATATTCTACAATTTTTGAGTATTGAATAACCACAGTTTACAGACAGCCAAAGTTACGAAAAGGCTAATGAAAATATTTCATCGACTGACAGTTTTATCTGTTATTCCTGTTGTTTATGGTGTTGTTTAAATTTGGAACTTTAGGTATTACCTTGTAGAGCGAAAATTTCAGTTCATTGTTTCACTCTGCTACTATATCGAGCTGCCTTATATATTAGTTTATTGGGCTTCTTTGCATTTATCAAAACATTTACAGTACATGGAAAAAAACAAAATTAAACAATTTTTTTTTTAATTAGTTGATGAATTTACCAAACCACTTACTGAGCAAAAAGTGGTTGAGGGAAAGAATGCAACATTTGAATGCACAGTTTCTCGCGAGGATGCAAAAGTAAACTGGTATGCTGGAGATGAATTGATCACCTCACAGGTATATAAACATTGTTGATGTTACCTTGAATTGTAATAAACATTGTTTCTTCCTCATATCTGTTAAATATTGATAATTATGGTTGTTTCAAATAGTTATCGAATGCACAATGACTATATCTCATTTACCATGGAATTGATATGGTATTATTCTATGCAAGTGTGCTATAAGCAAGGACCTAACTCTTCAACTCAATACTTAACAATACTGAAGAGTTGCAAGTGACCTAAGCTAGATATTATTGCTCTTTATTTTGTTCTTATTTAGCCCTTTAGTCCTTTACAATAATTTATGGCATTCAAACTTGTATGTAATTTCACTTATCATTGTTCAGAACAAGAAATATAAAATCCTGGTCATGAAGAAACTCCGTCGTCTTATTGTTCTTGATTCTAAGGATGTTGACATGAAAACCTTCACTTGTGCTTTTGACGATAATACTAAGTGCTCTGCGCAACTATCTGTTGTCCGTAAGTATTACTTTTTTACAAATGCAGCAACGCTTCAGCAAATCCAATCATATGAACGTATCAAACGTAACTTTTTATCAAATCCTTCACTAATTTGTTCTTAGAGATTTGTCTCAAAGATTAATATTTTTTCCCTAAAAATGTATTTCTAGCACTGATATTAATATACAGTAGAAACGTTTTTGAGTGCAGAAAAAAAAATAAACCAACTTTGTTTCGTTCAGCTGCTGAAGAAGAGGAAGAAATTACTCGACTAAAGAAAAAGATTCGACATATTTCAGTGGAAGATGAAGATGCATTGGAAAAAGTAGATCTCAAGCCAATTCCTGGTCTTCACTTCACCAAGGAATTGAAAGATCAAGTTTGTGAGGTAAGACCTATTTATTGTAGCTTTTTGTGATACACTGCAATAATTGCTTATACATGTATTACTGAATCTAGTTTTCGTACTGTACATAGTACAATCAAATTCCAATAATTACTATAAGTCTCTATCATTTAGTTGTAGTGATATATTACTTATTTTTCAAAGAAGTTAATACATCTGAAACGAAAAACTGGTTACCATATACTACGTTGTTAGAAGTGTGATTTCTCTCCCCCAGGATAAATATAAATATCTTATCCTAATTCACATAATGTTCTGCCACAATGCTCATGTGTTGATAATCCCCACCTTCTGGTTATAAGCAATTTACCGTACTGTATGTTTTTTTGCTTACGTCTGGATTCCCTATTTCTAAATTGTCATTTTATCCTGACGATAGTACTCATTTAAAATTGGGTATTCTTATCTTTTAGGCAGGAGATGAAGCGATTCTTGAATGTGAGCTATCCCATCCCGATGTCCCAGTAACTTGGTTCAGAAGAGGCGATAAAATTTATCCAACTGCTAAATATCAACCCTCAGTTGATGGAACCAAACACGTTCTTGAAATCAGAGGAGCTGAAAAAGAGGATCAGACTGAATTTAGCTGTCAAGCTAGGCCTAACCCTGATGTAATTACCAGATGCAAAGGTAATATGTATTCTTATTCAACGAAACAGTCATAAGTTTTACATACTTTATAAGACAAAACAAATGTCGAAGTAATAGTTTTTCAAACATATTAAAACTTTATCATTGCAATTAACGTCTTCAATATATCCACCTCTCATACGTCACAAATCTAAATGATGGAAAGTACTCAATTTTATGTGTGGATAATCTACAGGAAATAAAAAAACTTCAAAAAAGTCAAGAATGTACTTTTTCGCTAAAAAAGGTTTTTTGGATAGTATGACAACCTAATATATATTAATAAAAAACAGGGTGTTAGAAAGTCAAACAATATAATGGTTACAAGTTGAAGTCTATCTGAGAATATTAACCTTCAAATAATTTTTTGTATTATTCCAGTAACTCCTCTTGCAATCACTTCCAAACTCAAACCTGTAAAGGCTGTAGAAAAACAACCAGCTACGTTTGAAGTTGAAGTTTCATCTGACAAAGCTGTTCCCAAATGGTTTAAGAACGAAGTTCAAATAGAGGTTGATGACGGACGCTATATTATAAAAAGTGAAAAGCGAAAGCATTCATTGTCTATCAAGGTATTTTTGATTTGTTCGATCTTTATTCTGTTTTTTTTTTTGTAGATTGGTATTTTAGGAAAGTATCTTTTCAAAATATAACACATCAAAAATTATATGAAGACGTATTGTCAAATTTTTTTTATGTACATGTAACAAAGCCTGCAATATTTTGTTCAATGGGAGTAATTACTCCGATGTAGTTCTTGTATATTATTTATTTGGTATTTGTTGGTTATCGTTAATAATTTTATCTGTTTTTAAAATGCAAATCTGCATCTTTTCATTTTCAGGCATGCACTATGACTGATGCTGCAACCTACAGTGTTTATTTTACTGAATCTGCACAGGACCAGACAACACTGAGCGTATCTCCTGCTCCAAAGGGTAAATTTCATGTCAAATATCGTAAAATAAACTATTTTGTTTACCAGGTTTTTGTAAACTGTAAGTAAATGAATCTCCATGTCACCAAAGATCCTAAGAATTAACATTAATTCACGTATAATACATTTCATGTTTCATTATTTATGTTCGTTCCATGTTCCATTGTCATTCATCATTACATTCATCCGACATCACAAAGCAGCAAAAGAATGGGAACAAACTCAAGAATCTATTCATGTCAATGAGAGCAGCATTGTGTCGTCTGCTGAAACCACTTCAGAAAGGTTAGTATACTTTATTCAAACTAGGATAATGAAAATGAATCATACTTGGCCACAGTAGATAAGTTGGCAATTTTGGCTCATGTGGAACTATTTAGCAGTAAAATACAATTGACACAAAATTAGTCAATTATGTGTTCTGCTTGCTACAGATGGCAACAATGGAACTTTATTTTGGTAAATCATGGACTACCATTTTAACATATTATTCCATTTTTGTCAACATTGCAAACTATACACTAACTAACTTTTCTCTAGTCTTAACATTCTGAGAATAGACTTAATCATATGAAATATTTTTTGATAAAAACGATTGTTTTTGTTTTCTAAACAGTGTACAAATTGTACGCCAAACTCAAATTGTGCAAGAAGTACAGGAAGCAGTGGACACTGTCGTTGTTTGTGAAGAGGCTGAATCTTTGACTTTCACTAAAAAATTGGAAGATAAAACCATTTCTGAATATGAAAGTGTTACATTCGAATGTGAATTAAACAAGGACGATGCTGCAGTTACATGGATTAAGTGAGTTAAATGTCTGACAATTGGCCTATCTTTATCGTGGCAGAAACTAATTGCCGTGAATTTTCTTAAATCACAGGGACCGTAACACTGTCATCTCTGAAAATGACACAAGGTTACAATCGGAGAAATCTGAGGAGGCAAAATACAAAGTGGATAGTGAAGGCAATACACATCGTCTGGTCATCAACACAGCTAGTTATGATGATGAAGCAAGTTATACTTGTGATGCTGGCGAGGATAAAACTACAGCTAACCTGACTGTAACAGGTAAATACTACCAAAATATAATATTAGGTAACTATTTTTCGATTTTCAAATATTGTACTTACTGTATAAATAGTAATATTTTATTATTATTTCTATTTAAAAATAATGGAATTTTAAATGTCTAAACTATTAAACAATGCTAGTAGAATTTCAGCATCCATCTGTATACACTTGTACAAAAGGCTCTAATTAAATGTTTACGCTTTGTTTATTTATATCACAGCTCGTGATATTCAGTTTGAGAAACCACTTGATGATTGCAAGGTTTTGGAAAGAAACGATGCTTCTTTTCACTGTATTCTTACTCATGAAAATGTTAAAGTATCTTGGTTCAAGAACGGTGTGAAGCTTATTCATTCCAAAGCTGTAGAAATAAAATCGGAGGGACATGAACACCATTTAACTTTAAAAAATGTTGACATTGAGGACACAGGAGTTATTTCCATACAAGCCGAAAATATAAAGGTCTGTTTTTATCATATTTACCGTACCTTATACTTCTACTTGGAATATAGATATATTTTGCAGAAATACATAAATTTTTAAATTTTGTCAGATTAGTCAATAAACTTGTAATTATCCTTTAATGGATTTTTAAAACAAATTAACTGATGCTGCTTTTTATCATTAAAATATACACAAACAATGTGATTTGATTGCTTTCTTGCACTTCATTGTAAAATACATTTGAAGGGATTAAACATATTAAATGCTTTTTCTCCAGGGATCAGCTACCTTAACAGTGGAAGGTACACCAATAAATTTCATCAGCAAACTGAGTGATATAACTGCAAGTGAAGGAGATTCTGTAACTCTAGAATGTGAATTGAGCTTACCAAATGTTCAAGGTATGATTTAATCCCTATAGGATAAGCTTATGCTCGGGTCGATTGTAAACTCCCAACTGAATATTCTCGTTCAGGTTCATGGTTTAGAAATGGTGTCAAGCTGACAAGAGCTGATTCAGTGAAGATCCGTACTGAGGGAAGCAAGCATGTACTCGTATTAAGCAATGTTTCACCTCATGAAGCTGGGGAGTTTTCATTCACAGCTGCCGGACTACACACCACTGCCAATGTGATTATTTCAGGTACGAATGGCACATTTGCTTTTGAAGGTATTTTCTGATCTCACATTTGCTGTTTTCAGATGAATGAGCGTTTGCCCCAGTGACGCACAAGATTCATATCGATGAATGCCCGCTTATCAAAAACTCATTCATTTGTTTTACAGAAGCACCCGTTGTATTTACCAAGAAATTGGAAAATATCAAGATTACTGAAATGGAAACTGTTGAACTTGCTTGCGAAGTCAGCAAATCAACTGGAAAGGTAATTAATTATTTTAGAGACAAATCTGGCTAATAACTGTTAGATGTACCTGTATCTATGATCTAACTTAGTTTGTCTTTTTGTCCACTATTCAGCAAAAAGTGTACTTTTCTGTTTTCGGTATTAAATATCCAATATTCATTCAAGGTCTCCTGGTTTAAAGCTGGACAAGAAATTTCATCTTGTGATCACACCGAAATTATCTCTGAAGGCAAATGGAGAAAACTTGTTATTTCTAAAATAACGTATGAAGACGAAGATGACTATTCTTGTAAATGTGAGGCTGATGAAACAAGTTGTTCTGTCACTGTTGCTGGTAAGTGATTCAGCATTTTATATATCGCTGGATTTCATGATTTTTGCTCTTGGGTTAAATAAAAAAATCTGCATATTTGTGAGAAACTCTAATTGCTTTTCAACACACGAGATCTTATCTTTTACAGGACGAGACATCAAAATTCGTCAAGATCTGCGAGATTTGGAAGTACTGGAGGGCGAACAAGCTAATTTTGAATGTGAAATATCACATAATGATGTTCATGTCAGATGGTACATTGGTGAAAACATTGTCAAACCTGACGACAATATAAGGTATGTGAATACATGTTAGCTTATACTGACATTGACAATAAATGTTCATCATGTGCTTAGAAATCTCTATGAAGCATAATATAGAGGTTACTATGAATTAATTAGTTGTCCTAGTTGCTACTGGCATCATTAATTAATGCATGCATATTATGTTTACAGTATTGAATCCATTGGGCGAAAACATCGCATGCACATCAAAAAGTCTTTGCCTGAGTACACAGGAACTGTTAAAATTGTTGCTTCAAATGCAAGCTCTGTCGCACGATTGAATGTCTTGGAACCACCTGTGGAATTCATTGTTCCTCTGAAGGATTTAAAAGCTGAAGAAAAATCTGAAGTCATATTTGAGTGCCAGGTGAGAGGATGGCTGCTGTTTACCATAAGCCACATATATTTACTTATACACATGTATTAGCACAGTGTTGCAATGCTTGAAAGCTTGAAGATTTAGACAGTATCTTATGTTTGTTTTACTTATATTATATGCCACAGGGTGAGATTGCCCATGTAGAACTTTTTATGTCTTATTTGAAGTTTGTTATTAACATTAAGCCCCAAAAGCAACACTTTTGTTAGAAGGTGTTTTCTCTTATCTAATTTTTCTGATTGAGAAAATATTCTCTTGCTATTGGTTCATTAGTACATAATCACTAAAAAATTATGTCTATTTGTCTCTTCTTGCAAACCACTATGAATTTTATTCTGAACAGGTTTCACGTGCAAGTGCTATCGTTCGATGGTACAAAGCCAGGCTCGAGATTCACCAGTCTGACAAGTACACAATCATATCTGAAGGATGTCGTAGAGCGTTAATTATTAAATCCTGTACATTTGAAGATGAGAAGAAATATACTTGCGATGCTGATGATGTTAGAACCACAGGAAAATTAACTGTTGAAGGTATCCAAGCTATTTCCTACTTATTAAATGATTTGGGCATTGTGATGAGCATTAGAAACACATCTGCCATCACACCTCAGATTACCCTGCGATGACTTGCCGGTTCAAATTCCATAAGGGATAATTATGTGTCAAAATATTGCTCTACATCTGAAACCAATAACTGGTCAACTGGTCTGATATACCTGACTTGGATTGATATGGACAAGAGTTCATGTTCACGATATGATTAAAGTCGTTATATAGGCTTTCCTCTCCCCCAAGATAATAATGAAATTTCTATCCTCGTACTATTCCAAGATTTTTAGTACTAATGTTTTGAGCACTGTTTTGAGCTTTGAGCGATAACCTTATCTATTTTGTGTTTCTCAGCTCGTCCTATCAAGTTCATCAAAGAAGTACCTGAAAAACGTGTCATTGAAAGAGATGAAGTTCGATTTGATATAGCATTATCTCATTCTGATGTTGAAGTAGGATGGTTTAAAAATGGAGCAAAAATGGCTGCTTCAAATAATATTGAACTTGGTGTTGATGATAAAAAACATTGGATGATATTTCACTCAATCGCTTTGGAAGATGATGGTGCAGAAATATCTGCCCATGCTGAGGAAGAACGATCAACTGCCAATTTATATGTTGAAGGTTAGATCCCGTTTACTTTTACTTTGTTGATGAGAATAATTGAATAATATAATACATTAATTGAAGTTTAATACTTGTTGACCCAGCTTATTTTTTTTTTTGCTGGGTTTAACTGTAATATCATATGTATACCTGTTAGTCCCCAGTCTTCAATGTGATGTACTGGCTTAAAATAATACTCAATGATGGTTTAAATCAAATCGATCCCGCTTTAATATATATGCAATATATGCACTAAATAAAACTCAATGATGGTTTAAATCGATTCTGCCTGCATATAGACTGCCCGGTGGTGTGTATGTAAAGAAGGTGACCGAAAAGTATTTATATGTTAATGTAATGTAACCAAACAATATTTATTTTTAACATTTTCCAGAATATGCAGTAAAGATTGTCAAACCACTGGATGATGTCACCGTTATTGAAAAGAATACCGCAACGTTCATATTGGAAACAAATTATGATGATATTCCTCATTCATGGTTTAAAGGTTTGTTGTGTAATTTTTTGAAATCTATCAATCTTGCCGACCTAGTTTTAATCAAAAGTAATAACTGAATGCATAATGCACATTAAATATCTGATGTATTGTTATGTATGTGAAAGAAATCCACATTAAATCTATATATATAATTGTTGATGGGAGTGAAGCAATCCAAATTTATAAAATGATTGAAAGTATATCCTGGATTCGTGAAGGTAATTTATGTCTATTTGGTGTTTTGTTTTCCAGATGATAAGAAACTAAAAGCTGGCAAGGACATTGAAATAATTATTGAAGGAAAAAAACAAATTCTTAAGTTGCATAACTGCAAACTGGGAGAATCATGTGCTGTGAAATTTATATCAAAGAAAGCAGAATCAGTCGCTAAGCTTATTGTTATTGGTAAGCATATTTCTATCATCATCTTGGAGGCTAGATTATTTGTTAAATTCTCCACCAGCGCTTTTGTAACTATGATATCATATACATAAAATAAAACCGATTGTTATCTATTGTTAGAAACGCCAGTCAGTTTTGTCAATCCACTCAAAGATATTACATGCATTGAAATGGATAAAGTTATCATGGAATGTACAATCAGCAGACCTAATGGCATTGTTAAATGGTTACGGAACGAACAGGAAATTGTTCCCAGTGAAAAGTGAGTAGTTAGCACATACATAGCTGAAAATATGTAGTTTATTTGGTCCTATGTATTTGACCTAATTCGTGCATTAGGCTGATTATTGGTCATTATATTTAAATATCTTGTCTATATTGGGAATGAAGCAAAATATATATCAATATAAACATTGCTGTTGGCTTATATATTTCTTATGCTAATCTGTTAAACTACTTCAATCCAGATACACAGTTGAAAGTGATGGCGTGAAGCGAAGATTGTTAATTTCAAGTACTGAAATGGATGATGACACTGAATGGACTTGTGATGCTTCAGATTCAAAATCAACTATGAAGCTGACTGTCAAAGGTAACTATATTACTCATTCTTATAAAAATACATGTTTAATCTATCATATTTCTTTTAAAAAGTTTAGATCTAATCTAGGCTTGGCATCCTGACAACTTGTGTTTTCTCCATTGCTTACTTAAATGTTCACTTAAAATTATAGTCTGAATATGAGGTGAATTTTTTCTGTAATTAAAACCATTCAAGCTTGATCTCATACCAACTTTCTCGTATTACCTCCACTGGTTTCTTCAAGTGTTCATTTTAACTTAGAGGTGGACTTCTTTCTGTTATCAAATTAATGATTAATATTATTTTTTAGAACTGAATGTAAAATTCACCAAAAATTTGAAGAAGCAGAAAGTCATTGAGGGTGAAAATGCCAAGTTTTACTGTGAAATCAATACAACGAAAGCTGTTGAGATAGATTGGTTTCAGAAAGACCAAATCATTGAAACTTCTGAAAAATTCATTCCTACACGTGATGGACTGAAGCTATATTTGACAATATCGAATGTTGATGTAAGTGTATTACAGTCTTGTTTTACCTGGTTCATCTACAATCAGGCTCATTATATTTCTCATGTTTTAAACCTTTTTGCTTGCTCTCCAGAATTAGTATTATTTTTGCATCAAATATGTTAACTAAGACATCAGGAACCTTGTTAACTTTTGAAGCTGAATTTAACTTGTAAAATGCTGAACTTTCTTCATGTTCTCAAGTTTAAGTTATGTAATCTAACGGTGTGAATTTGTTACATAATGAATGACCACAGTGTTGGACTTCACACTTCACAACAATTTACTCATTAGCAGTTATGGTTATCTAATTAACGATATTTTATCTCTTATAAATCTAGGTAAGAGATGAAGGTCTCATTACATGTACAGTACGTCAAGCTTCTACTAAAGCCAAATTAACAGTAAAAGAAGGCCTGGCAAAGATAACAGAAATGAAAGATGTTGAGGCAGAGGAATTCCAACCAACTGCAAATTTTGATTGTAAACTAAGCAGGTTTGTCTTGTTTTTATTTTATTTCAATTAAGACATGAGCCTTTATCACTCTACAGGGAGGGGTGTACTAAAATGGCACCTTTGAATAAAAAAAAATTTTAAAATTGAAGTCTTTTTAGAAAAGGTTTGAGACGAGCATAAATAGTTTAAAAAATCGTTTGGAAATTGAATTTTGTAATGGTAGTATATTGAATTTCAGATTGTATTAATTACTGTATTATTAACAGTAACTAACTGGCTATTTCATCACGTTTCTAGAGCTTTACTTACTTGTATATAATCATATCCAAATCCTATTCTAGAATCTCTGGTGAAGTTCAGTGGTATAAGGATCAGACTGAGATTCAACATGGTGACAACAAATATGAAATGGTTGCTTCAGGAAAAACCAGAACACTCATTGTGAAAAATATTTGCAAATCTGATATGGCAAAATATACTTGTAAATCTGGATCAGAGAAAATCACTGCTAACATGAACGTAAAAGGTATGGAGCACTTATTTTCAGTCTATCCCGATTGGAGCTAAATCAGCAGCTCGACCATATTTTGTGATAAGAGTCTTAGAAATCCTGTACTTGTAGTAATACTATGATTTGTTTTTTGGAGTTTATGTCCAAGTAAATTTTGAAAATAAATATGTTGGTAATCAGGTAACTGTATTTTAGATGGAATCTCCTTTACTTCACCACTGACTGAGACAACAGCATTTGATAAAGACAAGGTTACTTTATCGTGTGAAGTTTCCGATGAAAATGTAAAAGTTTTCTGGTACAAAAATGGAGAACCTGTTGCACTTGGCGAAAATGCAGTTGCCTCTTCAAACGGAAAAGTTAGGACTCTCACTCTTCCGTGGGTGACTATGCAGGATGCTGGAGAATATACTGTTGTGGCAAAATATGTCAAATCATCAGCAAAACTTGTAATCAAAGGTAAGGCATTAATATAGGTTACCTATCAGTATTGATTAATTCTGTCACTTACAGCTTCGTCTATTATTTCACAAATGCTTTCATTTTTGAATATTGTATTTAGAATCACTAGAATACACTCATGAGCAAATAGATTGTTCAGCATTGCTTGTGATCAATGAAAAAATAGATTGCATAATTGTCAAATTAATATATTTTAATTTCAGCCGCTCCATCCTGCTTCATCAAAGATCTTGAAAATGTTTCTATACCACATATGGGAACCGCAACTTTCACATGTGAAGTGTCGCCAAGAGATGCTGTTGTGACTTGGTACATGGGTGAAGATGAAAAAATGTCTGAAATTATTGCAAATGAACGATATTTAATAAGTGAAGACTACAAAACAAGAACTCTCATTATCAATGATTGTGTCGTAGAAGATAGGTAAGTCATTTTGTACAATGCTTCAGTATTTAACTACTTGTGGAATTGACATTTTTTCAATAAGAAAACACATTTTCACTTTCACCTTTATTCACTCAATTTATGTGTGAGCATAATTAGAATAAAAGGTTACATATATTGCTCTTGATTCATTTGGTGTGCTGCAGTTAGCCTCTTGTCAATAAAAAAAAGCATATGTATTATTTGTCACAATATTTATTTATATATATATATATTCATTTTATTATTCAGAAACACTGTTTCATGCTGCTTTGATGACCTGTCAACAAGTGCCAAATTGCATGTTGATGATCCTCCTGCATTTTATGTCAGAGAACTTGAAAATATTGTTGCAACAGAACGGAACAACATCATTTTTGAATGTGAATTATCAAGACCAAACGTTGAGGTTATTATTACCTTTATTAAATACATATATACCAATAATATTTTCAATCTCAATGCCATTTTATCATGCAACATCGCAACTCATCTATGAATTCAATAGATTAATTTTTATCTTTTTTTACTTAGATTGAATGGCTTTGTGGCGATGAAGTTCTGACTGAATCCGAACGCGTCATTTTTGTATCAGAAAGATGTGTTCGTAGATTATTGATTGATAATATTTCAATGAAAGAAACCGGAAAGTACACAAATAGAGTTTTCGGTGAAACTACATGCACATCGGCTTCTCTGACTGTAAACGGTAAGTTTTATAAATTTCCGACTTAATTTATACTATTATAGGAAGTAGTTTTTTGGAATAATCATTTTATGGAATAATAGGTAAAATAGTATCTGAAGCTTACTCAATTGATATAGTGAATAAAAGTAGATCTTGCATTTTTTCCTATTTTATATTTCTAAACATCAATTTCTATATTTTTGTTTACAGAATTGCCTCCTGGATTCATAACTGAACCAGAAAACATTTGGTGCTGCAATGAAGATGAAGCAGTTTTTACATGTGAAGTAACAAAACCCATTTACAGTGTGGAATGGGCATTGAATGGAAACATTCTAAAGTCTAATAATCGCTTCAATATCACATCTGATGGGGCTAAACATGTGTTAAAGATTAACAAAGCGCTAATTTCTGATTCTGGCAAGATTACAGTCACGTGTAAAGATGTTGTGGCGACTGCTGGATTGGAAGTTGTCCCTATTGGTATTGAGACACCTCCAAATGATGTTAGAGTTAGTGAGAAAGAGACTGCGGTTTTTGTCTGTCATTCCAACAAAGCAAACACTATGGTAAGTTAGGCTATTTGCTGATGAATACTCACCAATAACCTATTAAATTATAATTTTAGCATGATGAGAATTGACCATTGCAAAGAAATAATTCATATTGGCCATTTTAACATTGTTTGTAGATTTGTATTTATGGTAATGTAATCATCGGTTATGCAAAAGTGCTCTTCCATCTTTTTCAGCTCACATGGAGAAAAGATGGCGTTGAACTCAAGTCAGGAAATGGAATAGCAATGAAAGCCGAAGGCAAAAAGTATACACTCGAGATAGGAGATTGCTCATTAAGAGATGACAGATCTCTAATCACTGCCCAGGTGACTATTTCTTTCTAGAATCTTTTTGTCAGAAGCCTTTATTATCGAAATTTTGTCCCGTATAAATGTATGCTTGTTTTTATTCAATATAAATTGGATTCCCATTTGTTTTTATATTTGGTATTTTCTTACACTCCTATTTTAATGCGTCTCGGTAATTGCATAATTTCTGCATATCTTTTAATTTCAGATTAATGAAAGCATTTATCAAGCAAAACTAATTGTGTTGGAAGAGCCAGCAAACATTGTCTCTGGTTTCGAAGACCAAGAAGTTGAAGAAATGACTCGTGCAGTCTTTACTGTTGAACTATCAAATCTTAGTGGGAAAGTACAATGGCTTGCAAATGGAAAAGCTATTATATTAGGAAGTAATGAAACTGAGAAGATTCATGAGATTTCTTCTGGAACGAGACGAAGTTTGGTTATTAATAGTTGCCAAATGGGCACAGATGAGGTAAACGTCATTTTATAAAGTCACTAGTATGCCTTCATAGTTTTGTTAAGTTGTAACAATGAGTAATTATTTCTATCATTGTTTTCTAACTCCAAATTTGTCTTCATAGAAAACATATACCTGTCGATGCAATGGTCGTGAGATCTCTGCAAAATTGAAAGTTGTAGAAGCTCCTTTACGATTTATCAAAGGCTTGTATGATACAAGTTTCAAACCTGGATCGCATGTACAACTCGTATGTGAATTGAATAAACCGAATCTCGACATTGTATGGAGATTAGACGGCGATGAAGTAAAGGAAAATAGAAAAAGATCCATTAAAATTTTGGAAGAGGTTAGAACTTTTGATTGTGTTCATGTTTTTGAATAATTTTATTTCCATTTGCAAAACTGCTCTTTATTGTTGCCGTATTGCATAATAAGATATGCACTGACCGCTTATTACTTTGTGTCAGTTCCCCTTACATATCTACATTTGTCTGCAATTAATTACTGTTTAGCTCTTGTCACTTCTCATTAGAACTAAATAGCATAGAACCATAGATGCTGTGATTTTCCATATCTTTTACCAGTTCTATTTCAAATGTATTTCCGTTAATTACTGTTTAGCTCTTGTCATACCTCATTGGAACTGAATAGATTAGATGCTGTGATTTTCCGTATCTTTTTCACTTGAATACACTTGACTATCTGGTTTTATATATAATATATACATATTTATTCATGGATTTACTATTTTGCTACTTAGCATATTTATATAGACATCAATCAATCGAATAAATCAGTTATACACACAAGTTTTACAGTTAATACATTGATATCAGTTTTAAAACGTACATTATGTTCAGGGAAAGAAACATGTTCTTGAAATTGAGGATTTTGATGAATCAGATCGAGGAAAATACTCCGCGAAATGTTCTACAGCTCTCTGTGAAACAGAGGGAATCATTGATGTTGCAATTCGACCTACACTTTACATTCCTGATAAAGATATCACCTGCAGTTGTGAAGCAAATGCAGAAGTCATTGTAAACTATAAAGCCATTCCAAAGCCAAAAGTTTCCCTTTGCAAAGTAAGTTAAATAACTTATTTGTACGTTCAAGATTATTGATTGATAAAAATAAATATTTAATGATTACTTTTCAAAGTAGGGTTTAAAACGACAGAATTAAAAAAAATGGGGTTCAAAAAAGTGGTATATGTTCACTAACATAAGAACAAAATAATATTTTACACAGGACAAATATACAACCACAGAGAAATAATATAATAAAATAAATGAAAGAAAGTTAGGATACAATACCTAGTATGGCAAATAGTTGTACTTGTGCAATGAGGTGTATTTATTCAATTCTTACTGCTTGAAAAATGTCTGATAAACAAATTTTACCTCTTTTTTGTGTGCAGGAATCTGGTGATCAATTGGTTGAGATTGAGAGGAACTGGGAAATGACTCCTGAAAATATAAACATGATGTTCCGTAAAACTAAAAGATCTGATAGCGGTCAATATCTTGTTACTATCAGTAATAAACATGGAAAAAATAGTGCACCATTTGAAATCACTGTAATAGGTAAGTTCTTTATTACCAAAACTAGCACAAAATTGATGTACAAGATATGCTAATCATGCATCACAAAATTTTAGTTCGGTTCATTCTTGGGAGAATTATTAAAAAAAATTTTTTACTGTAAATAATGGCTATGTTATATTTGGTTTTTCATAGAAATATGATTGGCCTGATATATCATATCCTGTTTATGCAACTTTGTAACTTCAATATCTAATCAACGTGCATATTATTCAGACAAGCCAGATTCTCCTCGGAATTTGTTGGTGACAAGCATCACATCAACTTCCGTCACACTACAGTGGGAGGAACCAGAAGAAGATGGCGGATCTCCTATTACCAATTTCTTAGTTGAAAAACGAGATATCAAAAGAAAAATGTGGCAAACTGTTTCTGATAAATTGGAAGAAACAACTTTCACAGTGAGTAGATCCTTTAATCTTTTTGTTAACTATTGTGTCACTTAATTAAGCTGATTTTCTTTATATTATTATTTTCTTTTTTCACAGATTGACAAGTTAACCGAAGGAAGTAAATATTGCTTCCGTGTTTCATGTGAAAATAAAGTGGGATTGTCAGAACCTAGTGAAATCTCTGATCCTATATTGGTCAAGTCAAAATTCGGTAAGTAAAAAATCTAATATTTCCCATACTGCTTACTGGTCTCTACTCCCTACGAGCATCCAAGATTACACTTTCCATTGACTGAAGTACTTTATCTTTATTTACGTATGCTACTCAATTTGTTAAGTCATGAACCGGGCCATTTACTACAATAATATATGCTGTGAATTCTGACTAGTAAACCTATCATAATTAAAGTTCTCATTTAACTAATAGCCAGAGCAAGAAAAATAGAATAACATTTGTGATAATAGAGTATATTATTTCAGCATTCTGTTCTGTAGATACATAAATTCAATTGTTTAAGATACTTATGATTTTTTACATTCAGAACCCCCTCAACCACCTCAGAAGCTGAGCGTTTCCGAAATATATGCTGATCATGTAAATGTGACCTGGCTGCCTCCTTCATTTGATGGTGGATCACCTGTTTCAAGATACGTACTTGAGTGCAGAAACAAACTAAGTTTAACGTAAGTGTTAATACCAGGTGCATTCGATTCGATTTGCCAGTGTGATAATTGTACCGAACAGTTTTCTGTTTATTGCAATATTTTTGATTATTAACTATTGAATCATGGTCTGGCAATTTCTTTGTAAAGCAACAATGAACAATAGATATCCAATACTAACCATCCATTGATAAATGATTAAATCCTGATTTTAAGATGAATTCATTGCAAGTGCACTTGTCGTTTGGTATCGTCAGTTTCACATTTAATATTGGAATTTCTACATTGTTTTGTATTACTTTAGGTGGACATGCTGTGCAGTTACAGAAGGCACTGAATTGAAGACTGTTGTCACACCCCCAGAAATTGCGGAAGATCAGTCGTATTATTTCAGAGTAATTGCTGAAAATAAATTTGGAGCAAGTGAACCCAGTGCGACTACAGAACTGATCAAAGTTGGGGATCTAATAGGTTAGTTCACTCGTGCAATAACTATATGCAACTAGTCTCATTATTCATTATATCAAAACAAGAAAATGCACTCAAAAGGGTGACTTTCCACTTCTTAGCAACTTTGATTTGACATAATCCGATCTTTTTTTCATTTAGAACCTCCTTCAAAACCACTTCAAGTTACTTATGACAATCAGACCAAGACCAGTATTGATATTTCATGGGCTTGTCCTGCTAATGATGGGGGCTCTCCTATCACTGGCTATGTGATTGAATGCTGTGATAAAGCTAATGGCAGAATGTTATGGAGGGAAGCTTTAAAAGTTGATGGAAGAGATTGTAAAACTTGCACAGTTCCTGATCTCATTGAAAATGAGCAATGTGCATTCCGTGTCAAAGCTATCAACAAAGCTGGATTAGGAGAAGCAAGTGATGCGACTCCATTTATAGTCATTGAAGAGAAAAGAAGTATGTGTTTTTTTCTTACATTTTATACACAGAAGATGCATTATTATTATGCTTTCAATAAAGAAACTGTTGTATTGAACTGGATTTTTAAAACAATTCTGTGAATATTTTATAGTTCCATGAATAGTATACTTATAAATCTCTTTGAGTAAATTTAAAATTCATTTTTCAGAACCACCTCAGTATGAGATAAGTGATGACCAACGTCACATTATTGTTGTTGAACCTGATGCAATTGAAATGAAATCTACAATATTTGGAATTCCTGTGCCATCTGCTACGTGGATTCGTTGCAACGATGAAAAAGTTCTTTCTGCTGATGACAGAACAACCATTGAAACTGGCAACACCTATGCTACGCTCAAAATCAATTCCAGCAGTAGATCTGAAGATACAGGGCTGTATAAACTAGTCCTGCAGAATTCTGAAGGACAAGTTGAATGCGAATTCAATGTATCAGTATTTGGTGAGTCAGTTATCAGTTTCGAAATGTTTACAGATTTGAATACTTACACATAAAAAATTAGCTAGCCGAGCTTAACATGCTTTGTGTTTTTCAGGTCCGAAACATTTCAGTGAAATTCATTCTTTTTTCTAGTTTTAATTCATTTATCACACATGCATCCTCATTGAACCTCCATTGTTTACTTTCTATTCTTGTTAACTTCTATTGCTGTTAAATCAAAATAGGCAGCATCGAATAACATTTCTAAATCAACTCCTAGCGAAACCAGGTGAAGTCGCCAACTTCAAAGCAGATGAAATCACATCATCATCATGCTATTTATCATGGGATGTTCCAACTGAAGATGGCGGATCAGAAATAATTTCTTATTGTGTGGAAAGAAGAGAAGATGGACGCAAAGCATGGGTCAAGGTACGCATAGGATCATTTATTTTTACAGGCTTTTATTTATTATATTCTACACTGTGACACATGAAGAACAGCAAATTAAATCAACATTTAAAACACTTCTGTGAATGTACAAAATTATTGCTGTTTATTATTTATTCACATTTGTTATTAACCAGGTTGCAGATGCTGATGTCAATGAACTCAGCATAGCTGATCTTCGCAAAGGAAAGAAATATTTCTTCAGAGTATGTGCTGAAACCAAGTATGGCAAGGGCTCATATGTGGAGCTTTCTGAACCAGTGTTGGCAGAAGACCCACTTGAACCACCTGGCCCACCAACTAACTTGGCACATTCTAATGTGAAGGTGGATTCAGTAACATTGACCTGGACTGCTCCTAAACATGATGGAGGTTCTAAAATTACAAGTAAGTTTTAACACCTTTTCTGGAAATTTTGAGTTGCTACGCTGGAAAATTGATATAATAAAGCTTATTGTTTTATAGGTTCATTTACCACCATATGCATATAGGTTCTTCGTTTTGTCATGCCTATCAGTTATAATGTGTTGGTTTTGCATTACATAAGTTGTAAATTTTCAAATTTCACTTCAAATTGTGATACAACGGTGTGCTGTGTCCATTAGCTTTCAGACTTCCACTCAATAATATTTTTTATTCTAGGCTACATCATAGAAAAGAAAAAGGAAGTGGATTCTGAATTTGTGACTGATCATCAAACTAAAGATGCTGAGACTCGTTGTATTGTCAAAGGCTTGGATACTGACACCTACTGGTTATTCAGAGTAAAAGCTGTAAACACAACTGGACCTGGAGAACCCAGTGATTCAACAGAATCTATCCTAGTACAAGAGGATAAAGGTCAGCTTCCATGCCTCATTATGTTCTGAAATTATGCAAAAAAATGTAAATCTTGGTATTTTAGTCTAGATAATAATAAAATCAAACTACTGGTATCATAATGACTTCATATATATTTGGTAATGTTTTAATGCTAAATCATATCCCACAATAATGTTTAAAAATTCAAGGTTTTAGCAAAATAATAACAAAAGCAGAAGGCAGGTATCTAAACGGCTTTATTTATATAAATGATATTGTTTTGATGTTATGTTATGATTTATCCTCTGATGCAGCTGCTCCTACTGTTGAATTGGATGAAACATCTAAGAAGGGTTACAAAGTTCAAGCTGGCACTACAATCGACATTGAAGCAAAAATTGCTGGAAAACCGGCACCAACAACTAGATGGACTTGCAACAATGCTGTAATCGCACCTAGCGATCATGTGCACATTGACCAGACTAGTAGTGGAAGCATCTTTAGACTCTTGATGGTAAGTAAACTTTTTATATTGTTTATGTTGATTTCATAGAATTTCTATATTGTGCATTTTTACCAAAGTAATCTTTAATTAAATATGACAAAATTTGGGAAAGAGACTTCAACATCAACAAAAATGTGAGATAAAAATTCATCCTAAAAATCATGTCATTAAAAAATCATTATCATACGTTTCATTTAATTTATTTTTTCAAATTTTGCAGACGAAACGAACAGACTGTGGAGACTATGCCATCTTTGCTCAAAACCAGCATGGAAAAGCGTCCGCACAATGTTCAGTCACAGTACTTGATAAACCTGGACCTCCTAACAGCATTGGTAAGTCAAATATACTTTGTTATTACAAATGCTGTTATTGTTTAATGATCAATTGTATTGTGTATTGTGGCCATGATTTCAAATTATTTTTTCTGGTAAACGTCTAGCTAATAGCAAACCAAAAATGAGACCAATCATATTCCAATATCCATTTACACATTTGAACATTCAAATTTGTAGCATTTCCATAAACTAATATTTACATAATGTATTTTTGCTGTTTCAGATGTAGACGATGTTACCAAAAGCACATGTACTTTGGTATGGACTCCACCATCTGATGACGGTGGTTCTCCGATTACTAAGTATGTGGTTGAGAGACGTGAAGCTGGACGTAAAATCTGGACTAAGATCAGTGATGAAGTAAAAGCAGATGTCACCAAATATGTTACAAAAGTTACAAAACTCATTGAGAATCGAGAATATGAATTTAAGGTAATTATATTATTACTCAATTTTCTTATAAGAAATAAATTCTAATTATTCGATTATTGAGGATTAGGATTAAGTAATAACTTAATCACCATTTAAACAGCAGTCCTCTGTAGGAGGTATGTTGGGCTGCCATGTAGACAGTCTGTTTGGTTTTTAGCTCAATTTGACGGGATACACTGTTAATCAAGTGTATTGCACTAACGTACTACAGTTTATATACTTTGAATTTGGGATCACAGTTTCATAAGGTCAAATGGTAAACTTCATATATAGGTATTTATCAATTTCTTTATAACACTTCTTATATTTTTAGGTATCTGCTGTAAATGAGTTTGGAATGGGTGATGCTGTCATTTCATCAGTAGTCAAAGCCAAATACCCATTTGAACCACCGAATGCACCAGATTGTCCAGAAATTCGCGACGTTACCAAGAATTCTATGACTGTGGAATGGAAGGAACCTTCCTCAGATGGAGGAAGTGTAATCACTGGATATTATGTTGAAATGCGTACTGGAGTTTCTGGAGGTTGGGTAAAACTGACTAAAGAACCTCTCAATGCACAAACACTGTCATACAAAGTTACCGGACTGGCTAAAGGAAAAGAATACTCTTTCCGGTAAGTGAATTATTGTCAATTGGTTAGAATGACAAAATGGTTGTAGTTGAACAGTGATTTTTCTTATTCAAACCATTGCTTTGTGCCAGTTTTCATATTTCGAGAGCTATTGACAGTGCCTGAATAATTGACAGCACTTTGTATATGTAAGCGATTTGAATACACTGATAAACCATTTTATTTGTGCTCCGGTCTGATTGTGCATGCATATGGTAGCAGCATCTCACTACAATGAGATAATTACTGAAGTGATCAACTATTATGAAGATGATATTGATATTTTTCTCTAATAGTGTTATTGCTGAGAATATTGCTGGTGTAAGTAAACCAAGTGAAGCAAGTCTACCAATCAAAGCATTAGATCCCGTCAAACCACCAAGCAGACCCGGAAAACCAAACATTATGGACGTAAGTATTTGGTACTCATATATGCCCCGTTGCCAAAATAGATATTTTGTTTACATCCTTATTCTGCTATTCATTCATCTACTTATTGGAATTCATTGTAAATGATGTATACCTAGGAACCGTTTTGCTGAACTAATGAGTCTGTCAATTTTAAATATGTATCACTCACGCTAGAAGGCTATATTACTCCTATTGTTTTTTTTTTGAGTCAATAGGACCTGATATTGCCACACCCAAATTTCACTGGCTTTTACTTCACTAGCACACTTTTATATGACATTTGGTGCTGGCATTGCGGTGGTCATAAGTCATTCGATCTTGGTGTCCGCTGTCCATATATTAGATCACAGGTTTTTTGAGGGGGGAGGGGAATTTTTTTTTTGTTCAGACTTGTGTACCTTTGCGGGTCAAGGATAGTTATTTTTTTCTCATTTCAAACATTTAAATATGTATTATATACAACAGGTAACAAAGAACACTTGCCGCCTTCGTTGGCGAGCACCAGAAACTGATGGTGGAAGCCCAGTTACCAACTACGTTATTTTGGTCAAGAAACGAGAAGTTGGATGTGAAGAATGGGAAGGAGACTTCGTTCCTTGGGAAACCACAGTGAAAGATTGTGAACACACAGTGCTTGACTTAATACCACTAAAGCTAGAATATTGCTTCAGGTTTGTTACCTTTTCGTTTTCAAGTTGTGTTTATGACCATTGACCACAATGTAAGTAAAGTGATAGTATTTGGCATCACCATTTCAAATACTTGTTTAAATTGTAAGTATCAATATTCACAGAAGGTTAGCGTTCAGCATTATTTTAGTAATCTAATTACTAATATGCATCTCTTTGGCATTATTTGTCAAAAGTGATTAGTTACATATTGTAGTTGTTAATTAATCATTATGATCCAATATTTGCTACAGAGTTTTTGCTGAAAACAGAGCTGGAAAGTCAGAAATGAGCGAAGAATCAGATCTCGTCATTTGCAAACCTAAATTAAAGAGTCCAGACCCACCAACTGATTTTAAATCTGTCGGAACGACCAAAACGACCATCAAACTTCGATGGGAAAAACCATTGAATGATGGAGGTGCTGAAGTTACTAACTATATTCTCCAGAGAAGAGAATTGAGACGACAAGCATGGACAGATGTTTCCAAGGTATGCTGTGGTACAGAATAGCTTAGTAAAGAAAAAAAAAATTGAATTTCGAATATTTCTTATATTGACTTGTGTAATTACTTTAAAACCCACTTTTGTCATGTTGGGTAAATTAAAAATGTGGCTATATTGAGACAAGTATATGTATGACAATATGGGTTTCTTTCTGTTGGAAGGTGTACAAGTACAATATAAGCATCTAACTTAATATTTATTTGCAGGATATAAAAACTGAAGAATTCACTGTCGAAAACTTGAAGGAAGAAGTACAATATGAATTCCAAGTTTGTGCTGTTAACTCTGTCGGCCAAAGTGGTTGGGCTCAAAGTTCACCTATTGCTGCAGTGTGCATGTTCAGTAAGTTATACTTTGTCACAACACCACTTATATATATAACTTCGTTATTATATTATGTACCATTGTAAACAGTTTGCATGGCTCAGCATTCAAATATTTGTTTCAATCTTTAGAAGTACCAGATCAACCCCGCAATGTCAGACCAAGTGAAATATCAAGGAAACATGTCTCACTTACATGGAGAGAACCTGTGTTCGACGGTGGAGCTAAGATTACATGCTACATCATTGAGAAGCTGGAACTTCCAAAGAAAAAGTGGATAAATGTTGGCAAAACTGATAATGCTGATTGCAATTTTAAGGTAAAGAAAAATTTTTTTTTCTAATAATTCAAGATTATATGACGACAGCTGGTTACGTTTTGGCATAGTTTGTTTTGCCTAAGTAGACATGATCTCAACATCTATGAAACTATTTCTTACATTGTATATTTACATAACCTATACATATTGTCAATAAATAAGTGAATATTAAATTATTTGAATATTGAACTTACAGACTACCGATGTGAAAGAAAACACTCAAGTACAATTCCGTGTCAGTGCAGAGAATGAAGCTGGCGTTAGTGAACCGAGCGAACCTACTGATAACATTACAGTCAGAGATCCTATTGGTAACATTTATATTTACCAATATATGCAATATTATACCGTTCTATTGCCACAAACCTTAATTTGCCTATATTTGTAATTTGTATTTACACTATCAGAAACGCCAAGTGCCCCACAAGATGTCGACTTGGTATCTACAACTATTACATCTGTGAAGCTATCATGGAAACTTCCATCTTCGGACGGAGGAGATAAGATAGAAGGATATTACATCGAACGATGTCTGGCTGGAAGTGATGACTGGACTCGATGCAACGTTTCTCCCTTCACTGATTGTACTGGCGAGGTGGGCATATGTTTATACGTAAAACTAGTCACTCTAGGTAAACTATGCTTGCATATTGTCAAAAACATAAGTACTAACTTTCATCTAGAATATTTGGTCGACATGAAAATTTTCTCGTACATATATGCAGATTATTTTCACGTTCATGGGTCGTCAATTATCATCTCTCACTTCGTTTTTCATGTTGAATACAAGATTTTATTTATTTTATGAAGGTCACTGGTTTGAGAGAAGGTCGTACCTATCAGTTCAGAGTTCGTGCATCAAACTCAGCTGGTATTGGAGACGCAAGTGCTGAAACTATACCCATTACTGCTCAAAGACCAGATGGTAATTATTTCATGTTTTTATAACAAAATTTCAGCTAGATTTTCTCTCATTCATTATATAGTTGGTAAACAAAGAGTTTTGATATTTTCTAACATTATCACCAAGGATTTGAAGTGTCAAAGGGCTCATGGGATTTTTATTTTACTGTCGATGGTGATAAATCTCTCTAAATATCTCCCAAGTTTATTTTAACATATCAATTTTAGCTGCCCCGACTTGTCAGCTCGATAGTGAAGAATTGGTGATTGCTGGAAACAAAATGAGACTTAGAGTTCCATTCGATGGATTCCCAACTCCTACTGTATCATGGACGTTCAATGATATGGATCTGAAAGACAGTATCAAGGTAAGTATTTGATTACTTTAAAAGACAAAACTAAATAATTCTTAATACTTGACTAAGTATACTAGATAATCTTATTCCACAAGGGCTGGTTACACTCGTTACTCAGTAAAACATTAACTGAACTTATTATTCACTGAAACATATTATATAATTTTCTTATATTCATAATTTAATGCAGTTGAAAAATTATATCAGTTCTTGCTACATAAATTTAGATGGTCGCAAGTCATTTTGAATTTTATTGAAATTCCGGGCAAGCGGCTCCTTCAACGCCAAAGTTTATGTGTAGCCAGTATCTTTTTCCTTGTCGGTTTTTCAACAACAATCGATCCTCTTTATTGCTAAGATTATTTATTAATTGTTTCCCATTTATTTACATAGGAATCTGTCGATGATAGCGTTGCAACTCTATTCATCCCAGCTTGCTCAAGAAACGATGGTGGCAAATATGAAATCACTCTGATCAACAGAGTTGATACCTTTTCAGCTTCCTGTCAAGTCAAAGTTATTGGTAAGTTTGCCCTCATCCTCCTTCTTATTCGTAAACTGGTTCGAAATTACAAAAATTTAATTTTTTACAATTCTTCATTTCTAGATGTTCCTGACACTTGCTCAGACTTTGAAGCAACAGAAATCCGTAAAGATTCTTGTATACTGGTTTGGAAGGAACCTCAGGACGATGGAGGATGTCCAGTGACACATTACAGCATTGAAAAGTAAGTTATTTATTTCAAGTACTACTTACATTACACAATGTTACATAATCATATTAATGGTTTCAAACTTTGATATCTATCGTATTTGCCTCATTAACTTGTAACACATGCAATTTGCTTTCAAGACCAATGCAACTTTGTATAGTAGTTTATAATATTTGCGTTAATATGCATTACACAGATGCTGAATGAGTAAAAAATATTACATGCAAACAACAAAGTAAAATTTTCTCCCCAATAACATTTAAATTCTTCTATAATCTAATTTTTTATTCATCATTTCAGGCGTGAAGCAGGTCGTAGAACATGGATGCCTGTATCCAAGGATATCAAAGGCACAACGTTCAGAGTATCAGATCTTGTGAAAAATCAAAAGTACAACTTCAGAGTGTGTGCTGTTAATGAAGTCGGTGCTGGAAAGCAAGTAGAACTTCCTACTGACATTCTAGCAAAAGATCCTATGGGTATGTATGAAGCACTATTTAGACTGTTAGTTGATCAATCAGCTCATCTAATTATGCATCTTATGTTCAGTACCTCCATCCGCTCCACTAGAATTTTCTCATTCAAACCCAACATACAAATCTCTTACTCTGACATGGAAGAAACCAGAATCCGATGGCGGAAGTCCTATTATTGGATATTGTGTTGAATTTGCAGATAAGGTTTGTTGTTTATAATCACTAGAATGGACACTTCAGATCATTTTATTCTGATTTAATATAAAATGGTGTTCTATACACTACAAATCACTGGGTAACCTGAAGGAAACCACTAATTAAGTCTTTCTTACCTGTTATATATTTATATCCTTCTTATAGGGTTCAGACAATTGGACTGTTTTTGCTAAAAGTCAACAAGCCCTTACATGCGTTGTAAAGAACCTTGCTGCAAATGTTGAATACAACTACAGAGTATCAGCTCACAATGAGGCTGGTCAAGGTCCATTTGCTCAAACAGATGAACCAGTACTTGCAAGAGATCCGCTTGGTAAGTGTACTTGCACATGCCTTCTTGTGAAATGTTTTGTTGCTATCTCCATGAACTTGATCAGTTTAGACATGTATCTTTCTTGATAAGCATTATGATTTAAAATGAATTCTATTTTTTTCAAATTCAACTTTAGCTGCTCCTACGATTGAGTTTGATTCTCACATACAACAAGGATTTGAAGTCAGAGCTGGAAAGAAGATTGTTCTGACTGCTCTCTTCACTGGCGTTCCCAAACCAACAATCAAATGGTTACACCATGATGAAAAAGAAGTTGATATTACAGAAAGCAAGGAACATACAATAAGGGTTTGTACAATATATATTTTTTAATACAATACACAGACCAATTTTATATCTGTCCAGTATCCAAAAAGTAATTAGAGCATTATATTTCATAAGCTATACTGCATTGAATACCCTGTGTAATTTGTCAATATTCTAATAAAATATCAATAGTGGCATAGTTAGATTTATTACTATAATTTGTTAAACTTAATATTCAGACTTCATCTGACAACACAGAACTATCTGTTGCAAAATCATCTCGAGCAAACAAAGGCAAATATGTTGTGATAGCTGAAAATGATCAAGGAAGTGCAACTGCTACAGTTGATGTGGTTGTTCTTGGTGAGCAGTTTACTTCATAAATTCTGGATATTATAAAAATATTTGTGTCTTTTCAGGTTTCTATCTTAAACATCGTAACTTAACTAGTTTATATGTAAATTTGATATGAAAATAAAAGGTTTAGTACTGTTCTCTTATTATAAATTTTGTTCTTACCTAGATTTCCCATCAATGTGCACACCACCTTGGTCGTTTGAAGATTCAACAAAAGATGCAGTGACTCTGAGATGGAAAGCACCTAAAGATGATGGTGGTTCAGAAATCATTAATTATACTTTACAAATGAGAGAAAGCAATAAACAGGTGAGTATTTAACAATTGATTACAACATCCAAGATGTGGAATTAACAGAATTTTCATTTATTTGTTCATTGTTATTGCCTGCTGCATGTAACATAATTGCTTACATCAGAATCATTGATCAGATATCCAACGTATAAAAAATAAATATTTCATTTTCAGGCATGGAATAACGTCTCAACTACACTGTCAAACACAAAATGGAGAGTGACCAAACTTGTGGAACACAAGGAATATGTTTTCAGAACTGCTGCAGAGAATAAATTGGGACTTGGACCATGGTTTGAAAGTGCTCCATATGTTGCGAAGATGCCATTCGGTGAGTACTTGACATGTAGTTTGTAAACTCATGAACATGAACAAAAAAGCGCCTGCCCTTTGAATACTATGAATGCTTGTAGTAATACCAATGATTAATTGTTAATTAATATAATTATAGATCATTATATGTTTTCAGCCTATAAATTAGGTGAAATAAAGTATAAGTGGAATGAAAATATTCTTGAATTCACTTCACAGATCCCCCTGATGCTCCAGAAGCACCAGAGCTCACCGATGTGACAAAAGCATCTATGACGGTGAACTGGGAAGAACCAAACAATGGTGGTGACACTATCATTGGATATTGGCTCGAGAAGAAAGACACAAAATCTACTAAGTGGTCTCGTGTAAATAGAGAAAGGATTCGTGGATTGTCATACGAGGTACAAAATTTAATTTGCATGACTGCACACAATTTTCCAGGAGGAAATTGTTCTATTTGTCAAGTTTTGAAAAAAAATAAGATTTATTTTGGTTATTATGATTGCTTACCATTGATACATTGGTAAAGTATTCTGAAGTAAAAATTTGTACTTTATCTATTTCAAATTCGATCTGTATATATTGTCTCATCTGCTCTTAATCATCTTAGGAATATTGTCTAAAATTTTATTATGTTTTTAGGTTACTTCTGATATAGTAGAGGGTGTTGCATATCAGTTTCGTGTATGTGCTGAAAATGCTTGTGGTAAGGGCAAATTCAGTCCCCCAAGCGAGCCACAAGTTTGCGAGGATCCTGTTTCTAAGCCATCACCACCACAGCATGTGCGTGTTGAGGACACAACAGATGAATCTATACTTCTTGCTTGGGACGTTCCACAATCTGATGGTGGTGATTCAAAACTATCTTACATTGTTGAACAAAGACTTGAGGATGGCTCATGGAGTAGATGCAATGATAAGACATTATACGATCTATCATTCAACGTTGAGCACTTATCTAAAGGAAGAATGTATTCATTGCGTATCAAAGCTTGCAACAGAGCTGGTGAAAGCATTCCAGTTGAGTTACCTGAAACACCAGCTCGTGAGAAGACAAGTGAGTACAACAGAAGCTCATTTATTCAATGCTGATGATTAAGTCTCCTTGAATAGAAAATTTAATAAGTCAAAAGCTCAGTAAATTTCAATAATAAAGTATGTTTGACAGCAATTTAGTTTTTCTCTCTAAACCTAATTTTTATATTTTAGTTGCGCCAACTGTTGACATCGATGAGCCAGCGGTCAATGGAATCACAGTAGCCGCAGGAAAAACATTTGATATACCTGCCATAGTCACTGGACGTCCATATCCTGAAATATCATGGAGCAAGGACATGGGGCTAGAACTTTCTGATAGAGCGTTTATAAAGAAGACCAAAGATGGTAGGTTCACTTTAATTCAACTGTACACTCTGTGAATACCGATAAATGTTCTATGAACTGAATAGGTAATGTTATTTAACCTATTCAGGTATTATTGTAGCATTGATCAAATTCAAATCTCGCACATTCATGCATTGTGGTGCTGAAATGTATATTTACCATGTTGAATTTGTATTTTGTTCTTCAGGTTCTTTGGTATCAGTAAAAAAATGCAAACGATCAGACTGGGGAGAATACAAAGTAACGGCAAAGAATTCATCGGGATCTAAATTTGCAACTTGCACTGTCATTGTACATGATGTTCCAGGGGAAGTTGTGGTGAGTATATTTAACTTTTGGACAAATAAATGTATCACCTACAACTTATTAGGCAGGATTAATTCAACTCAAACTTTTCTTTGAAACCTCAGGAACTAAAGACTGGAGCTGTTAACAAATCATCAATTGCTTTAAAATGGAGATCACCATTAGATGATGGTGGACGTCCCATTAAAAAATATCATGTTGAGAAGCGCGATATGTCAATGAAAGCATGGCGTAGTGTTGGATCCACAGATAAGGTAAATTTGAACATGTTTGTAAAAGATATATTGACCATTGTAACATTTGCAAATTTTGAAAAATATATTGAACCTGTTTTATTTATTAACTATTACAGTTCAATCTTGATGTGACCGAGGTATTAGAAGGAGCAACTTACGCATTCAGAGTTTGTGCTGAAAATGTGATGGGAAAAGGACCATGGACTGAATGTCCATCCGTTCTATGCCAAGATCCCATTGGTAATTTTCATTTTATAATTAGAAATATGTTTGGCTTAAATTTGCGGCTTAAATTTGCTTGGAATTTATTGACATTTTGGATCGAGTATAACGAGAATTATCATCGAGTATCTTTTTCATTTATAGATGTCCCTGGAAGACCTGAAAGTCTTCGAATTGTGGACAAGAAGGACACTTCTATTGAACTCAGATGGGCTCCACCACGAACTGATGGTGGAAGAAAAATCACTGGATATCTCGTTGAATACCAGTCCGAAGACACTGAAGAATGGATTCAATGCAACACGTAGGAATCTATTTTACTAATTGTCGTTTTACTGTGTTGATTGATGTTTCATTTTGTGTATAAACTTATTTCACTATTTGTAGAACTCCAATGGAATCCATGAAATACATTGTGGAAGGGTTGACCACTGGAACAAAATACCTGATACAAGTTAAAGCAGTTAATAGTGTAGGACAAAGCCAGCCTGCTGTTACCCCGTTGACTGAAGCTAAAGAGCCAGATGGTAAATTTAATTTGTTATTGGAGAAGGCTTTTAATATCTCTATTATGCAATAATATATGTAATATCTCCTAAATGGGGATACATATGGTCTTTCTCAAAACTACCATTAATATATATTCAAATTGATTTTGTTTACAGCTGCTCCTGAGATCTCACTTCAAGTTGGAATCAAGGGGATGCTGCAAGTACGTGCTGGGGAGAACATGCTTTTGCCAGCAACTGTCTATGGAGTCCCAGCTCCTGAAGTAAAATGGACTAAAGATGACGTTTCTCTTGAAGAAAGTGAAAGAATACAATTTACACGTAAAGGTAGGCTCTTAGTCAACAAATTGAATACAAAAATTATATAAATCAGACGAGTTCCATGATTCATTTTTATTTCCCTTTTAATAGATAAAGAAGCTTCTCTTCTCATTCCCAATTGCAATCGTGATGACAGAGGCATGTTTTATGTTACTGCTTCTAATTTACTTGGAAGTAAAACTGCAAAGATTGATGTTGATGTATTGGGTAAGCATCTTTGTTAAAATGTGCAATTCAAAAAAGATTTGTATTATTGTTATATTGAAGATAGAAGTTGTACAAGGAACTTTATTGATTTCTTAACTCAGTTGTTTGAAAACTTCAACAGACATGCACTTCTTTCTTATACAGATACTCCTTCCGCTCCATTGAATGTGCGAACTAACAAAGTCACTGCAGATAACCTTATTGTACTCTGGGATACGCCCATAGACAATGGTGGTGCCGATATTCTCAACTATATTGTAGAAAGATGTGAAGGAACTAGTAATAACTGGGTTCCACTCACAAATTCTGTTCTGGACACAAAGTATAGGTAGGTTTTTGTGGTCTTGCATCTGAAGTTGATGGAAGTTGATTACCATAAGTCTATAAAATGAATTTCCTTGAATAAACTTTATTGTATTATCTGTTATTTGCTTCATTCACATAAATTGTTCGAATTTTCCAGAGTTTCAAAGCTAAACACTGGATCTGAATACAAATTCCGCATTGCAGCAGAGAATAAATTTGGAGTTGGTCAATATGGTGACTCTGAAACTGTTATCGCAAAGAATCCATATGGTAAGTCCACAACTTGTTCTACATGCTTAGGGCGTATATGTTCTTTGTTAAAACAATGATTGGATGTGGGAGAAAGTAGGTTCAAATCTGAATTCATTTCAATGCATTTTTCAATGCATTGCTTCTAGTTTTCTCTAGGTAGAGTGATTTCAATTACCTCTAGTTAATAATCGAACTCGAGCTGCAATGAGTTATGGTTGAAAAGCTATGCATTTTCATACTATCTTAATATTATATGAGAAACAAATTTTGTAAATACTCAACTTTTTATTTTAGATCTTCCAGGACCACCATTTAGACCAGAAGTGTCTGAAATTACAAAATCGTCAATGGTTGTGACATGGAAAGCACCAACAAGTGATGGTGGTGCAGTAATTGAGAATTATTGGCTTGAAATGAAGGATAATGAAACTGGAAAGTGGAAAAAGGTTACAAGATCTCCAATTTCAAAACCATTGACTGGGGACTGCACATACAAGGTAATTTTGCAGTTTATCAAGTATATTCTGTATTTGTGTTGTATGCCGTTCAAAAGTCTGCCCTATGTTTGATCACCCATTGAGTATGTCTCTGTATTCTTTTAGGTAACACAGCTGAAATCTGGACTAGAATACAAGTTCCGTGCAAGTGCTGTTAATAAGGCAGGTGTTGGACCACACAGTGAAGACTCTGAACCTGTGGTTGCAGAGGATCCTGTCTTTCCACCAAGTCAACCAAGCATTCCAGATATTACTGACATTACTGCAACAACAGTTTCATTGAAGTGGACGAAACCCAAACATGATGGTGGTTCTCCTATATTGGGATACATTGTTGAAGCTCTTGATGAGGTATGTATATTTAGTTGAATACCAAATTAACAAAGCAAAATTACCGTCTCGTATGGTAGGTATGATAACCTTTTTCATTCATCCATGTACATGATTTGATATCTCTTCTGCTTTCAAGTGTTTTCTTTTATCTGTTGTGTTCATGAATGCAATATTTTCTGGACAATATTTTCTAAAACAATTCTTTTCAGGTTTCTTTAGAGTGGAAGAAAGTAGAGTTCGAAGATCAAGAACTTATCGAAAAAACTGAAGTCACTGTTCCAAATCTGCGAACTGGATTTAAATATCAATTCAGAGTATCCGCAGTTAATAAAGCTGGAAAAAGTCCACCTTCTTCTGCTTCTAGAGATGTTGATGTGAAAGATCAAATTGGTATGAACTAAGCCCAGAAATATTCATCAAATATTTATTGTTTTTGAGATATTTAAATAAAGAGTATACACTTATTCAAATTAAATTTTAGAGTAATGTAGTGATATGTCTACAAATATATTTTGTGTATACAGAGGCTCCAGTAATTACTCTTGAAGTTGGAACCCAGAACGTTTTGGAAGTAAAGGCTGGAACAACTTGTAGAATCACAGCATTTGTAAAAGCCAGACCAGCTCCCGAGGTGAATTTAAATAAATTTTTCACATAATCATATAATTTTTCACATAATCATATAATTTTATTTTGATAAGTTTTGTTTGACGAAGTTAGATCTAATGAAAGCTTGATAATATACTTGCTATGTCGTCGAAAGAAATTATGCTATTCCTAATTTTATTTTGTTAAATATTCCTGTCCATATTAATTATATATATTAAAAATATTACAATCGAGTAACTATAGTCAATTTAAAAAAGAATTAACGGTTAAATACTAACCCATTATTGCAGATGAAATGGGAAAAAGATGAGAAGCAACCAATTACAGAAACCTGTCTTGTTGAAAACACAGAAACACAGTCGACTTTATCCATTCCTAAATGCGGTAGAGACCACAGTGGAAAATACACAATCATATGTAAAAATCCCGGTGGAACCAAATCTGCTTTTTGCAAAGTCATTGTCAAAGGTACTAATGTTTTGTATTCCTACTTACAACTTTTATGAACTGAACAGTCATTCTAACTGTAAAAATAATTTTCAGATACTCCTGGACCACCAGAAGAACTTACAGTATCACATGTGACTAAAAGATCAGCAAGACTGAATTGGAAGCCACCCACCAACGATGGTGGCTCGAAAATTCAGAAATATATTATTGAAAAACGCAGTGCAGATGGACGCGCATGGATCAAGGTCAGTAAAATATATCACTTTTTATAATTGTTTTTGAAATCGAGTTTTATGTGTGTTCCAGAACAATAAACTTAATTACGCTATGATATCTAATTGAAATACATGATCCATCTAAACTTTTTGTTATACCAGGTCGATGCTTCCATGTCTGGAACTCAATGTACACTCAGTGAGCTTATTGAAGGACAACGATTCTTTTTCCGAGTTAGTGCTCTGAATGCAATCGGTGAAGGACCACCTGTAGAGACGAAAGAATCAACTCTTATCAGAGATCCAGTTTCACCACCGGATCCGCCAGCCCATCTCAGAGTTACTGGAGCAAGTGCCACAAGTGTGTCATTGCAATGGAATGTTCCTCAATCTCTTGGAAACTTGCCATTGAAAACATACATCATCGAGAGACTGACACAAGAGGAGGTAGATGGCAAAATGGTGGACAAGTGGATAAGGTTCGTATACATACGCAAAATTTTTGTGAGCTTTTAACTTGACGTACTTTTCTTTAAAATGTACAATTTGTTGCAGATGTAACAAGGAGGATGTTATGCAAACAACACACATCGTTACTGGACTTGCTGATAAAGACACTCCAACATTCAGAGTCATTGCAGCAAATGAAGCTGGAACTAGCAGGCCTTCTAATACGGTCGGACCAATCCAATGCAAAGATGAAATAGGTAAGGAATCTGGATCATTGGTTATATTTTTCACTGTAATTTGGGATTTAGCTGTAATTTATGACTCGTACATTCATAATGATTCTTATTCTATATTTGTTTAAACTTGTTTAGTGTTTCCAACTGTTGATGCCGTGGAATTCAAAGAACTTGAAGTTGGTTCAACTATTGATTTGTTTGCCAAATACAAAGGTAAACCTACGCCTGAAATCACATGGATCTTGAATGAACAGAAACTTGAACCTACAGACAGGTAAGAATGATCTCACGATTAGAAATCTTTTCGAGAATTTGAACTCCAGTTTTTTGTACATTGGCGTTATGAGAATTCAATAAAATGAATTTATCAAAACAAAGCAAAATCCATAAAAATCGGGTGACACTCATTTTAATACGGACTTAGTTAAATAAGTACCATACTCCATTGATACAATATTTCTACAGACTGTCTTTCCACACATCTGATGCAACATCCAATCTGATAATCACAAATGCTACTCGAGAGGACTGTGGTGTCTACCAAGTTATTGCAAAGAATGAAGCCGGACAGGCATCAAAGAACATCAAAGTCAATATTCTTGGTAAGAGATTTCAAACATCTCTAAAAACTAATTCTTATTAAATGTTCAAAAATTATACATACTTTTGATATGTATTTTGATACAGTAAAACAAACAGTGATTTAGCATAATTGCAATAAAACAAGAAATCTTTTTGCGTATGTCAGGCCTTAGTCAGGAATAAATATATTGATTTGATATGAATTCACTTTGAACCTCTGTTACAGGTAAACCAGGTGTTCCAGAGGAGCCTTTTGAATTCACTTCTGTTTCTTCCACTGGCCTAACTCTGTCCTGGAATACTCCTAAAGATGACGGTGGTAGCAGGATCAGTCACTACACAGTTGAAAGATGTGAAGTTGGACGTGATTATTGGCACACTCTGGGAGACTTCAAAGATCTACGTCATGCAGATACCGGACTTAAGAAAGGAAAGAAATACACATACAGAATCAGGTTTGTCTTTGTTTTGTGGGATTAAAAATTTTTAGTAAATTTCACATGACACATTTCAATATTGTGTTATGCAATAAACATCTTGAGGGGATAGCAATATTCAACTTTTATATAAATCAAAGTGCTTGTTTTTAGTTTATTGTACTTATTTTCTAGAGCCGTGAATAGCCTTGGAAAGTCTAATTGGGTTGAAACGGACATCGTTGAAGCTAAAGACCCATATGATCTTCCTGGAATTCCTGAAAATGTTGAAGTATCTGGAGTTAGCAAAGACGCCATGACTCTTTCATGGGAAGAACCAGAGAATGATGGTGGTGCTATGATTTCTGGATATGCTTTGGAAAAGAAATCCAGAATTAATCGAAAATGGAGCAAAGTCACAGATGAACAGGTTACAGGAACCCAATACCGAATCCGTGGGTTGACTGAGGGACAAGAATACACTTTCAGAGTTGCCGCAGTCAATGCTGCAGGTCAGGGTGAATTTAGTGAGCCAACTGAGCCAACGATCGCAAGGGTGCCAATTGGTAAGTATATATTCAATAACTAGTTTATTTTCAAGTGTAAATTTGTGTAAATTTACAATGATATTGAACCTTCAATGATTGTCTAACTTTTTATGTTCAGCACCACCTGGCATCCCAGTGCCTGTTGTAAATGATATGAGCAAAACTACAGTGTCTCTGAGTTGGACCCCTCCTGTTACTGATGGTGGATCTAAGATTAAGGGTTATATCGTGGAAACCCAAGAAGAAGGTATTGTATATTACTTACCGTAATATATTTATTATTTGTATAGTATATTGACTGTTTATGGAAACTGAAACGTTGGATTTTTTGTATAGTTTTTTAAACATTCGTTTGCCTTAGATGATTTGGTCATCACTAAATAAGTTGTTGATAATGTGGCTGTCATGAATATAATTTTCATCTTTAGGTCAAGAAGAATGGACAAAAGTATCTCCATATGAAGTCCGCACAACTGAATTTATAGTTGACAATTTGAAAGAAGGTGGAAAGTATAAATTTAGAGTTACAGCGGTTAATGCTGCTGGACCAGGACAACCAGGAGAAGTACCCGGTGTTATAACTGTAAAAGAAAAGACTGGTAAATTTTGAGTCGATAAAACAATTTCTGGACAAATAGTGTTCTTTGTGCTTAACTAAAATTTCTTAACATTTAGAATCTCCTGAAATTGACTTTGATGCTTCTGTTAAAGACCAGATTATAGTTCGCGCTGGAGGAGTCATTCGTATATACGCTTACATCAAAGGAAGACCAGAACCTGACATTGAATGGGAAAAAGATGGTAATATACCTACTTCATCACATTAGAATGCATTTGTTAACCAATCATAAATGCATAATTACATAACTAAGTTGAAATTTGGCAATATTCTTATATTATTTACACTCCAGGTGAACTTGTACCTGCTGAAGCAAGCATTGAGCAATCTGCAATCAGTAATACATTAGTAATCAAAGATTGCAACAGAGGACATTCAGGCAATTACACGATCATTGCGAAGAATCCAGCTGGGGAAAAGAGATTCGATGTTAATGTCCTTGTGCAGGATGTTCCTGGACCTTGTACCGACTTCCAATGTATCAATGCAACCAGAGATACAGTCTCTCTTTCTTGGTCGCCACCTGAAGATGAAGGTGGTTGTGCGATTACTAACTATGTACTTGAAAAGAGAGAATCTTCAAGAAAATCATGGACAAGAGTATCAATGACACTGACAAGGACATCGACTGTTGTACAGGTTGCTATACATTCTAATATTGCATTGACAATTAGAATAAGCTGATAGTAATGATTGTCTAAAATCACTAATTCTCTACTGTTTCATAGGACTTGATTGAAGGCGAATCTTACTTCTTTCGTGTATCAGCTGAAAATATGTTGGGAGTTGGACCAGGTGTAGAAAATAAAGAGGCACTTCTTGTAAAAGCTCCAGTCAGTAAGTATCGCAAAAATCTGATTCTCTAGCATTAAATCCCTGAAAATATGAAAAAATTAGTAACTCTATAGTAGGTGGTGCTAATATGTCAGTACATTTATAGTTTTGCTCCTCTAAACTGAACTTTGTGTTTTTTACGCTTTGTAATGCTTGCACAGAACCATGTCGTTTAGTAATATCGAAATTTTGCTGCAGCTGTTCCAAGTCGTCCAGATGATCTCAAAATCACTGATGCCAGAAAAGATACAGTCAGTTTGAAATGGAAGGCTCCTAAATCTGATGGTGGATTACCAGTCACTGAATACATCATTGAGAAACGACAAGTTGGAAAAGAAGAATATGTTCCAGCTACAGAGGAAGTTGTTTCTGAAACTTTCCATGTTGTAAAAGGATTCAAAGAAGGAGATCACTTTGAATTCAGAGTTCTCGCTAAAAATGAGATCGGCGTTGGTCTTCCATCGTTCCCAACTAAACCAGTTATCTGCAGAGACATTAACGGTAAGTACTAGTCAATGCAAGTCTGTCTCCAACGCCAAAGAAGTCATTAGGGTCATATTATAGAGAAATCAAAACTCTTGTAGAAACCGTCCCAGAAACTTTTGGATATAACCATACCAAACAGTTCAAATGAAACAAAAATTTAAATTTTTTTTCATTGTTTGTAATCGAAGAATTTATGAGTTCTATTTTTGCGGGTAACCCTGTATAATATCAATTTTGCCATCTACGAATAAACATTTAAATCTGAATGGTTTACAACCTATTAATCAGAGTAAAAAGTTGGGACATTTGGATTTTTATGTACATTCGCTCAATTCAATTGTTGACACATTTTTATTGTTTTTTGTAGCTCAAGCTGTTTTTTTTTCTTTAGAACCACCAACTCTGGATCTTCAAGGTCGGGATAAAATTGTGGTTAAAGTTGGTGATGAATATCGTGTAAATGTCAAATTTACTGGCAAACCTCAACCTACCATTACATGGGATAGAGATGGAACTGATGTTGCTACTGATGACAGGGTTAAGGTATATATACTTATTTAAATGTGCAGGCTTATGATATTTAACCCATTGGGTGTAAAAACTATCCATAATTACCATTTAATATTCAGATTAAAACCATTGAAACATCCAGCACACTTGAAGTATCCAAAGGAGATAGAACTGACACTGGATTGTATAAAATTACTGCAAGTAATACTGGCGGACAACGCGATACCAAAGTGTACATTGCAGTTGTTGGTAAGTATATTTTCTAATTGTGTAATACTACACAATATCAGATCAAATGCATCCTTCACTACAACTGAATTACAATCTCTTTTGTTTGTCAAATTAATTTTTTATTCTTTAATCAGATAAACCACAACCTCCTGAAGACCTCGAAGTGAAAGAAGTAACAAAAGAATATGTTATTCTAACCTGGAATGCTCCTAGCGATAATGGTGGAACTGAAATTCTGAACTACGTCATTGAAAGGAGAGGTAAACGACTAATTTTAAAACTATAGTTGATAGTTATTGAATCAAGCTAAAGCAGGCCATACCTGTCTATTTATTGTAGAATAAAGTGATTCTATATTTGTTTGTATTTTAGTACACCTTCATAATCTAGGAAAGCTGTGATCTTATATGAGCTGGTAATTAACGTGGTATTACTTCTATCTAACAGAAATCTCCAGAAATGTGTGGTACACTGTAAATGCCAGCACTCTCAAAACAGAAATGAAAGTTGGCAAACTTGCTGAAGGAAATGAATATATATTCAGAGTTATGGCTGAAAACGCTCAAGGACGCTCTGAGCCTGTTGAAACGCAGGGGGTTGTCGCAAAGGATCGATACCGTTAGTAGATGTTTACCATCCTAGTATTGTCAAATTGAATGTAACTGGGGATCACCCTGATTTAGCTATATCTAAATCAACCAACAAACAAGAATGTTAATTCATTTACTGTATAATGTATATTTGAATGAAATGTATAATATATTGCTAAATATGCAGCTAAATTAAAGTTGTGTGTAAATAGTACTGTAGCTCTATTTTGATAGTTGATAAACTGAACTAGTGGAAATTTTCATCATTTTCTGAAGAAATTGCTTAAGTGTAGACTTCATATTGCATAATATTAACCTTGCTTCTTCGTTGAATTTTTAGGAGTGCCAGATGCCCCAGACTCCCTTGTTGTGAAAGAGATTTATAAAAACAATGCTCAATTAGAATGGAATGAACCATACGATGGTGGTAAAGAAATTTTCAATTACATTGTTGAACGACGTGAAACCAAGAGCACAAGATGGATGCGAGTTACCAAGGTTTGGATTGATATTTATTAGTATTACTTGAGTTTTATAGTAAATGTGACTGCTGCCATTCTGCACAGTTGAACATGAAGAGTTGAATAAACTGTTTGTTTTCAGGATCTTATCAATGAAACTGCCTACAATGTTACTGGTTTATACAAAGGCAATGAATATGAATTCAGAGTTGCTGCTGAGAACAGTATGGGAATTGGTGCATATTCTCTTCCAACTAAACCTCTAACAGCTGAAGATCCTATCACACCACCTGATCCACCAATGCTTCCTGCTATTACAACTATTACTAAAAACTCTGTCGCTGTGACTTGGTCAAAACCAAGGTTTGTACTTTCATACTTTCATGTATTTTCATGAGCATGAATATAAACAAAACCGATAGGAGAAGTTGTATATCATATTTACACACTTTTTTTTAGAAACGATGGAGGTTCTCCTGTAATAGGGTACATCGTTGAGACCCAGAGAGCAGGAACAGAAGCTTGGAAGATGTGGTGTACACAGGAAACATTAAAAGATACTTCATTTACTATTCCTGACCTGATAGAAAACAATGAGTACAGAGTCCGTGTTTCTGCTGTAAACAAAGCTGGACAAAGTGAACCTGCTTATGTGAAAGGATCTGTTGTTGTACAAGAGAAGCTTGGTGAGACTTGTCAGTTTGTATGATCTAACAAGGGATGTCTTTGCTTATCTTAAATATGAAATACTAGATCAGTGGAAATTTAGTATTTTTCCATATGTGAATCAATGCCTCTTTTTTGAACAAAGCTTCCATCTGTTTAGAAATGCCAGAAATTGATCTTGATGCAAGCATTTCTCGTGATCAAACAGTCAAAGCAGGAACAACTGTAAATATCAAAGCAACTGTACGTGGAAATCCGTTCCCCACATTAACCTGGTCTCTCAATGATCAAGATTTGGACAAGGACCGTTGTGTGATTAAGGAAGATCAAAACACTGGTCTTGTTACCCTACAAATTGAAAAATCGGTAAGCGTATATTTTATCATTGAAGCAAATATCAATAATTGTGAATTCTCTTCCAGTCGTATCATAAAAATTACCGACTGTCTGGCAATATTCTAATGAAGTACCAGTTTTGTATGACATTCCCGTTTCTCTTTTTCCCCCTCACTCGTGTAACAAATAGTAGGTACATGAATCTGCTAGTAAAGAAAATCCCCTTGGATTCCTAGTATATACATACTTGAATCAATATGATCACATTGTATTTTTACAGGCAAGAACAGACAGTGGACGCTACACCTTAGTTGCTCAGAATCCAGCTGGACGTAAATCTTTATCAGTGATGATCAGTGTTTTGGATTCTCCAGCTCCACCATCACATATCAGGATCTCTGAGATTAGAAGCGATTCTTGTTACCTGAAATGGAAATCACCAAAAGACAATGGTGGTGCTGTTGTTACCAACTATAAGTGAGATTAATAATATTTTAACATGTTGAATTTGATATTTACATTCAATAAGTTGAGAGAGGTAAAGTTACTCCAGAGTAACAAAACTCGTCGTTCTTGAATTTGACGTAGTTGTTACCAAAATTTGCTACTTAGCCCATCATTTTTTTGGAATTAGTCCTTAATCTAGTATCAATTTTTTAGAGTGGAAAAATCAAGCAAAGAAACTAAAGCGTGGAAACCAGTGTCTCTGTCGACACAAAAGACTAGTCTGTTGATTAACTATCTGACTGAAGGTCGAACGTACAAATTCAGGTATGTGCATTAAAAATTGGTTCTATTTTTCTTTCATTCAAATATTTTCACCAATCTACTTTTAAGGATAATCATGACATTGATTCATTGATTATAATGGTGCAACTCATATTTTTAGAATTGCTGCTGAGAATCAGTTTGGCTGCAGTGATTGGGCAATGTCAGAAGAAATTCTTGCCAGAAATCCAATCAAGGCTCCTGGTCCACCAAAAGATCTCGAAATTGTTGATGTGGACAAGAATTCATTAACAGTGGCTTGGTCTAAACCTGACAGAGATGGAGGATGCCCAGTAGCCGGTAAACATTTAGTATTTAGAGAATTCTATTTTAAAAATTGTCCCGTTGCTAACAACATAAAGTTACAATATCAACTTGTGTTTTGGTTTTTGAATGAGATTGTTGTTAAATTCAAACATTGCTTTTCCACGGTGAATTGAAATTGCCTGATGAACTGCAGAATCTACTGAATAACATCATGGGTATAACACTAATAAATTATCCTTGCATCATTTTGAAATTCATCTTCATTTTCAGAATACATCGTGGACTATTGCATTATGGGTATTGAGTCTGAAATAGATATGCTGAGGAAATCAGGTGTTCAAGTTCCGGTTATTGATGAAAACTGGATTCATTTTGACAACATTAGCGAAATGAAATGTGTTATTCCAGGTACTTTAGATTTTCTTTATAATTGTTCATAAAGTTTTTTCATTGAATCGTATCCTTGTAATGTTGCATTTCTCATTGCACTAAAAATAGATGTGTGAGATTTTTCCAAAAAATGTTCATTTTCTGATTTAGATTTGAAAGAAGGAACTCTCTACAAAGTTCGTGTTCGTGCAGTAAACGAAGCTGGAGAAAGCAGACCCGATCATACTTCTGTTCTTGCACCAAAGCAAAAACTTGTTCTCCCAACTGTAGAATTGGATTTGAAAGCACAAGACGGACTTTCAGGTAAGATAACTTCGCGAAAGTCTTGTTTTTACTGGGCATTAATTTCGCAAAATACTCATGTTTAAGAATGTTACAGATATTGATGTTGAAACTAAGATAATTTTCGTCATTGGTATAACTATCTATAAATATATGTGATCTTGTTGTATACTGCATATAGTAGGACTGATGCTATTTTTTCTGAAAACATTATAATTTGTGATTACTAATATTTTAGTACGTGCTGGTACTACTGTTCGCATATCTGCTAAATTCTCTGGAGTGCCGAAGCCTGAAGTCAAGTGGAGTAAAGTTGATGGTACAATACTTGAAGCAAGTGATACATTCAGCATTGATACTGACGATAGTTCCACTGTCTTGACAATGAAAAATGTTCAAAGATCAGATTCAGGAGATTTCACAATTTCTGTACAGAATGAAGCTGGTATCAAAGCTGCATCTGCTCATGTCAATGTGCTAGGTAAAATGTTTTCCGATTGAGCGAAACAATAAAATATAAGGATATATAAACGAGATAATTTTTACAGTTTATATATAACATTCAAATAAGTACTTTGTGAAATATTCAAGGGTAATAATAGTATGTTTAATGATATACCTAAGTATTGAAAATAATATGGAAAATTATGATAATTAATATTTTATCAACCAATTCGTAATCGAGATTATAGATATTAGAATAAAGTTCATTTATTACTTTTTGCGATATTGAGCTCGCCTCTAACGTGTATAGTGTCAGGAAGAATTACTGATTTTATTTATAAACATTGAAACGTAGACCGTCCATCACCACCTATTGGACCTCTCAATATTGTTGAAATGACTCCTGAATATGCCGTCATATCATGGCGTGAACCGAAGGATGATGGTGGATCTCCAATAACAAGCTATGTTGTTGAGAAGAAAGATACATCTAAACAGGTAATGTTAGCATCATTCACTCTTCCGAAAAACTTGAAAAATGACATTCAATTGGTAAATTTTGTGAGTATGTGCTTTGATATGACAAGTCATAAGTTATTCTTTCATTCAAGTAATAATAATATTTCATTTGATTTCAGACATGGGGTATTGTGAGCTCGAAAGGCACAAGGACAAAGTGCAAAGTACCAAGACTTATTTCAGGGAAAGAATATTTATTCAGAGTAAAAGCTGAGAATAAATATGGTGTCAGCGATGAACTAGAATCAGCTCCTGAAGTTGCAAAACATTCATTCGGTAAGTAGCAACTACTTCTGTTTTTGTAATTGTAAGTTTCTGTTTCTAAGAATATTACTATTTTAACTAGGAACATATAGCTGTAAAGGTACCAGATTACTTGAATATGCATGCATCTGTGGCAATAGAACGCCTATGAAAACAGAGGAAATTGACCCGTGCCTGTTGTATATATATATGAGTGTTCAGTATGACACATAGCACATAAAATATCAATGTTTGACTAACCAATTCCAATGACCATTTTCAGATGTTCCAGCTGCACCTGCTGCACCAACATTAACTGAAGTATCTGAAACAGCATGTACTGTCCATTGGCAGTCTCCTGAATCGGATGGAGGAAACCCAGTGACTGGGTGAGATAAATTTATACTAATGATATTATGATACTAATTCTGGGGTTTGAAGAGAATCGAAATATGTAGTTCTAAATTTTTTTCTCTTATAGATTTTATGTTGAACGCCTGGACAAGCAAACTGAAAAATGGTCAAAGATTTCTCATGAACCTTTGTCAGGATACAGTGTCCGGGTTAAAGGACTGATAGAAAAACGTCTTTATGCATTCCGTGTGTATGCTGAGAATGAAGCTGGAATTAGTCAACCTTCCCTTGAATCTGAGATCATTAAGGCTTCACGTCCAATGAGTAAGTACCAGAATTTGCCCTGATATCTTCTATATTTTCGTTTGAATAAACTTTTAATGAACTTATTACAGCCGTCCCTGGACCACCTATCAATCCCACTGTTGTCGATTTTGACAAATCATCTGCTGTTCTGAAATGGCAGAAACCATTGAAGGATGGTGGAAGCTCAATCCTTGGATATTTCGTTGAATGCCAAATTCAAGAAGGCGACAAGCCAGTGTGGCAGGCAATCAATAAGAAAGTTGTTGCTGCATGCCAATACACAGCAAAGAAACTTGTGGAAGGCAAAGAATACAGGTACAATTGCATAGTTTAATATAGTTCTTAAATAACTTTGTGAACAATTTTTAAAAAAGTTACTTGTAAATGAAACATAAGATTGAAATCTCATTACTTTTATTATAACTTAATGTTCACAATAAATTTTAGATTCAGAGTCAGTGCACTGAATGAAGTTGGTGAAGGAGAATCAAAAGAAGTTGATGGAACATTTGTGATCAAAGACCAAATTGAAGAACCTGTTATTGAACTTGATGCTGCAATGTCTGGTCGTATCAAATTCCGTGCTGGACAAACTATCAAGTTATTTGCTCGTGTCAGTGGAAAACCAGAGCCAACAGTTGAATGGATGTTTGGTGATAAGACCATTGATGACAAAAGAGCTCAAATCGAGAAGTAAGATCTGAAGTTTTATAAAAAATTAAACAACAAAATATTATTCATTTTATGCCCTTTTATGTTTTTATAATTTGATTTGAAAATTTGAAATGGAAGAAAGGAAATGTACGGCTTTATACTATATCTTTTATGTTTTTATAATTTGATTTGAAAATTTGAAATGGAAGAAAGGAAATGTACGGCTTTATACTATATCTTGTGTTTTAATCATGAGACTCTTGTTCTCAGGACTGATACTGGATATACTCTTACAATGAAAAATGCACAACGTTCTGATACCGGATCTTATATAATAAAGGCATCAAATGAAGCCGGTGAGAAGCAAGCCATGCTTGACATCAATGTTGTTGGTGAGTTAAAACTATTTTTATTGAATATTTTTATGGTTATATTTTCCATTATATTAAAACATTTGATATTGTATTCTTTTTATGGAAGTAGATGTTTTTCTATTTAACGCAATCTTTTTCTTTGAACCTTCAGATAAACCTGGTCAATGCAAAAATCTTACTGTCAGTTATGTGACTAAAAATTCATGCATTGTCAAGTGGGATTATCCGGATGATGATGGTGGTGCAGATATCACCGGTTTCACTCTAGAATTGAAGGAACCTTCATCTGCTGGATTGATGTCTTTGGGATGGACAATCATATCTTCAGAAGGTTTGTATAATAAAAGTTGATTTAAAAAAATTTCAGTTTATCATGTATTTGTATATATGGGAAATTCTGAACAATTTTGGTGTATTTTTCAAGTATTCTTCATTTTTAGGCACAAAAAAGATGATAAAGGTTTCTCTGCTGGAAAATCACCAATATATGTTCAGAGTGTCTGCTGAAAACAAGTGTGGGGTGGGAGAGCCCCTGGAATATGAGAAAGCTATCATTGCTACTGATCCAATTCAAGTAAGTTGTTTCATTCTAGTTGAAATTGATAGAAAAATTGACGTAATCACATAGTAGGAAAAGTCAGCAATAAATAATGTGTTTGCCTTCTTTACAGGTACCACAACCCCCACGCAATGCGAAAATTGTTTCAACTACTCAAAATGCTGTCTCTTTGACTTGGAACAAACCAGAATGGGATGGTGGAAGTCCAGTTATTTCTTATCAAATTGATGCAACAAAACGTGGAACTGAAGAACCTTTAGAATTTGATACCAAATCGGATGAGTGTTCTTTCACGTAAGATTTGAACATTTCTAATCATTTTATTGAAAAATAGCTGATATAATCCATTCAGAAAAACATCTATACAATATCTGCTCAAAATCGTTACTAGAAAAACAAATGTTCTGTATCGTTAAAATTCAATCAATAATATTGACTTTGGGGAGAATTCAGTTTATTAGCTTGAGTATTTGAATTTTGCTTGAAATCTAGAAAAGTAATGTAATTTGTATTACAGTGTTTCTGACTTAGAGGAAAATGCTCAATACCGATTTGAAGTAATGGCAATTAACAAGCAAGGTATGAGTGAACCATGTGTCATTCAAGACTATGTAACAATTCGTGAAGATACGGAAGCTCCGAAGGTTGAGATCACAACTTCGCAAGTCAAAGGAACTATCATTGTCAGAGCTTCGACTGATATCATCATTGCAGCAAAGGTAAATTGGAAACATCTTTTATTCAGTTTCCTTAATTTTTTGACTGCTCCCATACTCATAATATTGGCTAATATTTTTATCAAGGTTACTGGACGTCCAACTCCAGAGTCTAAATGGACTCTCGATGGAAATGACTTATTCAAGGTAGCCAGATCAAGTATAAAGTCTGGCGAAGACTTTTCTAAAATTACGATCAAAAATGCAACAAGAAAAGATGTTGGAACCTATGTTCTTACTGCAGAAAACAAATGTGGAAAAGCTAAGACATCAGTTAAAGTAAACGTCATTGGTGAGCTAAAAATCTTCATTGTAACTGTACTCTGGGAAATAGCAAATGCAAACAGAACAGGGTAAAGCATAATTTAATGTTATCAATAGTAAAAGTACTATTTTCCATCTAGAATTGTTCTGTCTATTTTCACAGACAAGCCAGGACCTTGCACTGGACCTCTCAACATCATTTCAGTTCAGAAGGATAAATGCACAGTATCATGGGCAGCACCTGAAGATAATGGCGGATGCGAAATCACCAACTACTTGCTTGAGAAATGCGAGACCAGTAAAATGGTAATACTAATTCTCTATATTACGGTATATTTTATTAATTGCTAGATTTGTACATGCTATAATTAATTACCCTTTTCTTTTAGATTTGGTCGGTTGTTTCATCGTCTGTTACAGCTTGTGCATTTCAAGTACCAAGGCTTGTTGAAGGAAATGAATATATATTCAGAGTGAAAGCTGAGAACAAAATGGGTGTTGGACCAGCTATTGAATCTGTCCCTGTTGTAGCAAAGAGTCCATATGGTATTTTGAAAATATTTATTCAACATAAATAGACTATTGCTGCTGGCACTGCTGTATTACAATTACTGATTGCATACTTGAATATTCATTTGGTGAATATTCATTAACCTATCTAACAACTTCGAATATATATTATTTGATGAATTTTGGACATGCTGACAAGAAGACACGCTTGGGAATAGTTCTAATAATAACAAAATTTTGCATTCCATAAATTGTATTTGTCACTGAAGTATGCAGTCGAGTTTACAACATATTTTTAATTACCAATTCTATTTAGACAAACCTGGTGCACCAAATAAACCAGAAATTACCAAAGTTGGGAAAGATAATGCCATGGTTACATGGTCTGCACCTGACAATGATGGTGGTCGTGAAATATCTGGTTATTATGTGGAAAAACGTGAGAAGAGAGGTGTACGTTGGTCACCTTGCAATACCAAGGCAACTATGGACAGGAGGTATAGATTTTTCTTTTTTTCTTCAAGGATTATTATATTTTCCGGCTGTTTTACATGAACATATACTTTACTAGATTGAATGTTACTGGACTTCTCGAAGGATATGAATATCAGTTCAGAGTCAAAGCTGAAAACGAGATTGGAATTGGAGAACCGAGCGAACCATCCAAACCAGTTATTGCTAAGGAGCTTGTTGAAGTACCAGGGCCTCCTTCCAATCCTAAAGTTGTCGATACAACCAGGTTTGTTATTTTTACTTGGTTGAAAAAAATATGGTTGTGCAATGATTTTTCAGTTTAAATGAATTCTAATCATACATCCACTCTTTATTTATTCTTACCAACTTTTCAGATCATCTGTTACTGTAAAATGGGGAGTTCCTGCTTTTGATGGTGGGTCAAAGATCATGGGTTACATTCTTGAATCCAGTGTCGAAGGCGAAGACGATTGGTCTAAGAGCAATGTTGGTGTAGGTCCCATGCAATCAACTGAATTTACTGTTCCTGGATTAAGGGCTGAAAAATCATACGTATTCAGAGTAGCTGCTATCAATGCTGTGGGCACTGGAGCCTATGCTTTTGTAAGTCAAGTATATATGTGACTAGGAAGTGTGATTAGTAAGAAACTAAGCAAATCTTTACATGAATTCTTATTGGCAATTTTCTACTTTTGAATATTGTCATATTCCGCTAATTTTTAAATCTCAACTTTGTACCAGGTTCCTGGATCTGTTCAACCCAAAGAAATCTTGGAAGAACCTGATATTGATCTTGATGCAGAAATGAGAAAGAATATTGAACTTAAAGCCGGACTCACTCTCAGATTATTTGCTACAATTTCTGGTCGACCAGCACCGGAGATTACATGGACAAAACAGGTTGGTGTTTAATGTGAAAATTCAAGCTTCTTGCTCGCATGTAGTATATGGTTTGTATTCAAACCTTAACACTTTTTTTCCTTTTTTTGTAGGGCTTGCCTTTGACAAGGAGAGCTGAAGTCGACACCAAAGATTACATGACGACTGTCATTGTACCAGACACTAGCAGAGAAGATTCTGGAAAATATACTTTGACTTTGAGCAATGCCAAAGGAACTAAATCTATCAATATCAACGTGAAAATTCTAGGTAAGCCAAGATCCATTTAACTGTCCTCTTTTAATCATGATGTTGAATAGATTGGTAAAATACGCTAATCATGTTATGAGGCATTATAATGTTAAATATCATGTTAAAAAAAAGATTTATTGGTGTGGTTGGATGATAGGAAAGTTTTATACTTTACACATTTATAAATTTGTGATTTTTTATTTTAGATTCTCCTGGACCAGTCTCAAACATAATCATCAAGGACATAACTTCAACTTCAGCGCAAGTATCATGGACTCCACCTGACAATGATGGTGGTTCTGAAGTTTACAATTACATTGTTGAGAAACGTGAAGCGGACAAAAAGACCTGGTCGACTGCCACAACTACTTGTTCAAAAACTGCCTTCAGGTACTATATTATAATATATTTGGTAGCTGGGGAATATATATTTATAGTATCAGGGTGGGTTAGCAGACTATCCAGTAGTGTAAAAATGTCTATCACCAATGTTCAACGTCATTTGAAGACCGTATAATAAAATTTATAAATTGAGAGTAACGAAAACTTGGGATTCCTTGTGATTGGCATTTGTATTTCAATATCTATTTTTACTATGTGACTAGCTAAATTATAATATGAATTCATTTTTAGAGTTCCTAAGCTTATTGAAGGTAAAGACTACTACTTCAGAGTATTGGCTGAAAACAACTATGGTATTGGAGTTCCTGCTGAAACTACAAAACCAGTCAGAGCAAGGGATCCAATAAGTAAGATTTACTTCTTCATGTATACTATAGGATATCTATACTTCAGTAAGTACAAATCCTATATTTCAACAGAAAATTTAATTTGTTTTCATTCTTTCAGAGTATATTTTAATGTGATGTCATTGGTTTCAAAATTGCCTTTAAAATAAATCTGATATTCAAATAACTCTTCGTATTATTTTACAGCTGAACCTGGACCCGTTAACAGACTTCGTGTCACTGATATTGGAAAATCCTCAGTTTCTCTGACTTGGGTGAAACCAGATCAAACCGGAGGTGGACGAATTACAGGATATCTTGTTGAATACTTGGTAAGCATATAAATAGTTGATGTCACGATAAGTACACTACTTTTACAAAGCCTTTCAGAGAAAGGTAAATATTTACTCTTGATACATGAATAAACCTTGATGTAATGTGCTTCCAGGGCGAAGGAAAGACTCAGTGGTCGCTTTTCCGCACTGTTGTGGAAACGGAAGTAACAGTTGTTCAACTTGTGACTGGAAACAAATATCAATTCCGTGTCAAAGCTAGAAATGAGGAACTTGAAGGTCCTGCACGTGAAACTGAAATTTTGGAGGTGAAAGAACCTGCAGGTATGACAATATTGTTTCAGTCAGGAATAATTAATTTGCCAAAAACGTCAAAATTTAACTCTAGTTGGTAAGTCCCATCTCATTTCAATCAGAATTATTACAGTATGTCATGTTATCTCTCAATAACCAGGATGTCTTGTTCCTTTTTCTTTATAGAATCTCCAATTGTGACTCTTCCGAAAGAAATCAAAATCCGGGCAGAAGAAAAACTTCTTATTGAAGGCACTGTTTCTGGCAAGCCACATCCAGTAACTTACTGGCTAAGAAATGGTAAAGAACTGATTGAAAGTGAAAAGCTTTTGCTTCGCAAATCTGGAGCTTCTGTATCTTTGACTTTGCCAAATGCTCATCGATCAGATTCAGGAGAATACACTCTACGGGCTGAAAACATTCATGGCAAAGTGGACACCGTTGTTAAAGTAGAAGTTCTGGGTAAGTTGGATTTTTCAAGTAATTTTTCATTTTGTACATTGAAATGTAATTATGGGGCTGTCAAAATCTAATTTAAGAAACTATTTCATCGTATTTTGTTTCCATTTTTAGATCGGCCAAGTGCACCAAATGGGCCAGTCGAATTCAAAGATATTAATATAGATTCTGTAACACTAGTTTGGCAAGCACCGGAAGATGATGGTGGCTGTCCAATTAGCAACTATATTGTGGAAATGTCGGAGGCTGAATTCCCTGGTTTCCAGGTATGCTTGAGGGCCTTTTTCTGTAATGGAGTGACTTGCAACCTGAAGAACAACTGCATTTATATTGGCAAGCGTTATATATACCAAATATTCTACCATTTTGTTCAAACAGGTCGTCAGCAGTACTGTGTCGCGTACAACTCTTCGTGTGCCAAGACTTACAAAGGACTGTGAATATATATTCAGAATTAAGGCTGAAAATAAGTGTGGTTTAAGCGAAGCCTTGACATCTGAACTTGTCAAAGCATCCTACCCCTTCGGTAAGTTTAGAATATGTCTCAATTGATAGCTCAATTCACAACTTGTTCAATCTGTCACATGAGTATGATAATGTCGTACTACTGTAGAAAATAAATTTTGACTCTTCAGCTGGTTAAAACAGGTATATGATACATAGCATGTAGTCATCTAACCCATTTTCTGCCATTCAACAGAGCCTCCAGGCCCACCACAAGACTTGATTGTTAGCAAAATTGGAAAGGAAGCAGCAACACTCACTTGGGAACCACCAGAAAGTGATGGTGGAAACCAAATTGATGGATACAACTTGGAACGAAAGGAATCAAATAGCTTATTGTGGACACAAGTCACCAAGGTACCATTATAAAAACTATTGATTGACCTTGCCTATTCAGTCCATACCTGTTTTAAATCTTCAATTCGTTTTTTTTTTATTTATGCGATGTTGAAAAATTGAAATTTTTGTTTTTAGAATCCTGTTAAAAGACGTGAATACATAGATACTGGCTTAGTTGAAGGATTAGAATACACATTCAGAGTACAAGCTAGTAATACTGCTGGATTTGGACCTTTCTGTGATGCCACTGAACCAAAGGTTGCCAGAGATCCTTGTGGTAAGTTTATTGGTTTGTAGTGTGTAATACGGTGGGATTATGTATCACTCAGTCAAGAAAAGAAAAGAAAATGAGTCGACTAATCAGAGGTAAAAATTTTAGTTTAGCTCGAAGGAAATTGTCAACTGGAATATCCGTAAACAGTTTTCTTTAGGGGTTGCATGCGTGTGGTGGAAGGTAGCCAAGCAGAGACAAGCCTTCTGGTAACAGGATTTATCAATTTATGAAGAAGATTCATTTAAGGCTTTGGCAGTTGAGCAAATAGCCATACACATTATTCATACATCAACATTTCATTTTTATTCCAGATGCTCCTGGCAAACCTGTGATCGTAGATGTGACTAACACATCAGTGCAACTCAAATGGGCTGCACCAATAAACAGTGGGGGATCGAGAATTATTGGATATGTTGTTGAAAAACAAAGATTACCAGATACAAAGTGGAGCTTGGCTGTAGCTACAAGGTACATATTATTCATTTGGAAGTCACTTTTAAACTTAGGTTTCATGCAATTATTTTCCTTTATCCCTCTTTCCCTCATTCATGTTCCATTTCTATAACATAAAACATTTTTATCTTTTTATTTCATTTTAGAACTCCTGATGCTTTTGTAACTTTGACTGATCTTGAAGAAGGTGAACGATACTGTTTCAGAGTTTGTGCTAAAACAACAATCGTTACTTCACCATTCTCAGAAGAAACTGAAGCGATTTTAATCAGACAAGCTATCGGTAAACCCATTAGTTTAATTAGCCAAAGTCCATTCAAGTTAAATAAAATACTTCATATTATATTCTGAATATACGGTTATCACAGTAAATGTAGCATTAGTTTGCTAATAATCTACTAAAATGGGAAATATTAAATACTATCTTTAATTTTGAGTATGTCCAGTCTATAGAATAATGTTTACTATTTACAATTATGCGATTCATTACGATTGTTGTGTAAAATGAAGGAATTTCATTTACAGCATCTCCTAGAATCGATCTGGATGCCATGTGCAGGAATGGTGTTGAAGTTAGAGCTGGCCAAGATATTCTAATTGAAGCAACAATATTTGGCAAACCTAAGCCAACAGTGAAATGGACAAAAGATGACATTGAACTTAAGTCTTCTGCTGATGGAGCTATGAAAGTAGAAACATCATTAAACAGAACTAGCATTATTATTAAGTAAGTTTAATATTGAAAGTTGGATATAGTTTATAGTTATCAAGTCAATTTTATTTTTTCCAACCAGTAAAAAAAATATCACAAGTACAAATTACAAGAAAATGATAATTTACAGTTTTACTGGGGAAGGGAAGTTGCGGGAAACCAAAGCTGGTTATCGAGCAGCGACGCCCGAGGTTCTAATATCTAATTCAAAAAGTTTGAATTCTAGAGTTTTGAATATTCAGTATTTATCTTTTATTCTATCTATTCAATAGATCATCCAAAAGATCAGATTCTGGCAACTACATTCTGACTTTGGAAAATCCCAGTGGTACCATCACAGCTACAGTTAAATGCAAGGTCTTGGATGTTCCAGGAGCGCCGGAAAAACCAGCCAAGTTCTCAAATGTATTGGCCGATAAGTTGAAGCTTTCTTGGAATACACCACTCAGTGATGGTGGTGCTCCAGTGACCAATTACATTGTTGAAAAGTGAGTTTTTTTTTTGCACACATTGGTTGATTCGATTCAAAATAGGCAGGTTCAAAATGCTTTGTGAGTTTATTCAGACTTTATTATTATGTTGATTTTATATTTCAGGCGTGAAACATCTCGGCCAACCTGGGCAATTGTAAATGGCAATGTTATTGGAACTGATCTAGCTATAACCAAACTTGTGCAAGACCATGAATATGAATTCAGAATATGTGCTGAAAATAAATACGGAATTGGATCACCTCTTCTAACTGATCCTGTGATTGCAAAGAACCCCTTCAGTAAGTTTTTCATTTTTAAGGCACAATGAATATTTTTCAATTTTAATATGCAATATACACTGTATATCTTGGAACTAATATAGTTTTTTGTCAGCCAATTTTTAACCGATTTCTTTTCAGCTGTGCCAAGTGCTTGTGAAGCTCCTATTGTAACCAATGCAACTAAAGATCATATGACTGTTGCTTGGAAACTTCCTGAGAGTGATGGTGGAAAACCTATCACAGGTTATTACCTAGAAAAGAGAGAAACTAAAGCTGTGCAGTGGAACAAAGTGAACAGGTAATGTAAACCGGATAATTACTATTTTTGTTTTCATTTCAACGAATGACGTTGCTCTGTCAAATATGAATGAAAACAATATGATAGCTAGGATTCGTAGGGAGAATCTCATAAACAATATAAAGCAAATAGGTGAGTAGTCATTCTCGATATTATTGCTTAGTTATAATATTTCAAACCTATTTCATTACAGACGTCCTGTATCAGATCGCACACTAAAAGTAACTGGTTTGATGGAAGGTGCAGAATATGAATACAGAGTTATTGCAGAAAATGTGGCAGGAATGGGACAACCAAGCCAGGCTTCTAAACCAGCCAGTGCAGTTGACCCAACATGTAAGAATGTTTTGAAATTGTTTTACATTTCCATGAGATAATCTTTCAATAGTTGGAAATAATCTATCTATTCTGTCTGTTCAGATCCTCCAGCACCACCAGGCTTTCCCAAAGTTATCGATACAACTAGAAACTCTGTTGAAATTGCATGGACAAAACCAGCTTATGATGGTGGAAATGCAGTTACTGGCTATATTGTAGAAATGGCAAATCCAGAAAGCCCAGATGATTTCAGAAAGGTAGCTTCACCATCTATTACCAAGTACACAATGACTGGACTTCAAGAAGGCAGAGAATATCATTTTAGAGTGAAAGCGTACAATTCCATCGGAGAGTCTGAGCCAAGTGATGTACCAGACGCTGTTGTTCCCAAGGATATTCTGGGTAGGTACCAGCAGTGGATAATAACTTATTTTATGGCTGTAGAATATTAAACTATAAATTAATTTGTCTATCTTTGTTACAGAGTTACCATCATTCGAATTGGATGCAACGTTGACTAAAACAGTCTGGGTACGTGCTGGCAACACTATCAGACTATATTGCACTATCAAAGGTCGGCCTGCACCCAGAGCAAGCTGGTCTAAAGAAGGCGAAGAACTTCAGCTTGCCAGAACTGATATCAAGACTTCAGATTGGGATACCTTACTACTTATTCCAGATTGCAACAGGGATGATTCAGGTTTGTAAAATTTAAATGAAAATTTTTCCCCAGTACTTCAAAAATACTTTTTTAACTTGTTATTTTCTATTTTTTCAGGCAAATACATTCTTTCTCTTGAAAACTCCAGTGGCACAAAAACAGCTACTGTTACAGTAAGAGTCCAAGATTCTCCTGGACCCCCTGGACCTATTAAGGTCAAAGAAATTACATTGGAGTCTTGCGCAATTACTTGGGAAGCTCCAGTGAATGATGGTGGAGCTCCAGTGACTAACTATATTGTGGAAAAGAAAGAATCGACGAGAAAAGCTTGGTCTACTGTTGCAACTCAATGCACAAGAACATCATGCAATATTCAAAAATTGGAAGCTGGAAAAAGCTATCTCTTCAGGTATTCGGATATTATGGAATACTTATTTTAGTTGTTGACACAATATCTATAATTGTCTTGATAGACTACCAGTCATATTATTATTGACTAACTAAACTCATTGCTTCAGGGTTATGGCTGAAAATGAATTTGGAATTGGCATACCATGTGAGACTCCAGATCCGATCAAGATAACACAAGAACCAGGACCAGTACAGAAACTGGAGGTGGTCGACACTACTAAGACAACCGCAAAATTATCATGGGACAAACCATCTCATGATGGTGGAAGCAGAGTGTCTAGATATTTGATTGAAATGACTCCGAAGGACACGGAGGACTGGAAGGAAGTCTCTACAGTTAAAACATTGTCACATAAGGTATGCATAAGTGTTTTTTGTGTATTAAATTCAAGTCTATCAATAGATCTTTATTTTGAGAAATCTATATATAAATCATGCATAAACTTCTTTTTGTCCAATATTTGAAGGCACTTAATTATCACACAACATAATATTACCCTTAGAGTTGATCAGTAGCATATGCTTCGTGACTATACATTATTAACCAAGAATTATTAAGGATCATAAGGCTTTTTTGTACTAAATGTTATCAAGTCTATCAGTAGCATCTGTAACAATGCTTTACTTTATTAACTGCTAGTAATTAAGTAACTTTTCTATACTATATATTTTAACTTCTTTGTTTTTGTCAAATTTTCAAATGCATATAATTAACATACTTATTTTGTTTCTTCAGGTCACCGGACTGATCGAAAACCAGGAATATATCATTCGTGTTTCCGCAATAAACGAGGCTGGCACTGGTCAACCAAGAGAAAGATACTTTACAGCAAAAGACCAGGTTTGTGTTAAATTCAGTTTCCATGTTCTAAATTCAAAAAAATGAATTTAATTATTCAAAATAACATTTTTTTTAATACTAGTTATTTAAAATTACTTAGAAATTGTGTGCATGAGGATTCATTTTAAATATAACAGATTAATGATATCCTCTATTTGTTGCAGATTGAAGAGCCTGTTTTCGATCTTAGCAAGTTGCCAAATAAGACATTCTCGATCCGTGAAGGAACTCCAGCAAGAATAAAACTTCCTGTGACAGGAATTCCACAACCAGAATGTTCTTGGTCACAAGATGGCCAACCTGTCAAAGAAGACACCAGAGTTGGTTTTGAAACCACTGCAACCTCTTCTACTATGGTTCTAAAGGAAGCAAGAAGAGAGGATGCAGGTATGCTATTATATAATATATTATAACATGATTGTTTTACGTTATTCAATTATATGTTTTGAAAATGTCCAAGTCAATATTGCCTTTTGAAAGTTGACAGTGATTGTTGTAGCATTTTGCATTTAACCAAATTATATTAATATTTAATTTCAAAATTTATATTTCAGGTGCATATACTGTGACAGCATCGAATGCAGCTGGAAAGAGAACTTGCGATCTCAAAGTACTTGTTGTAGGCAAGCCAGGAGCACCAGATGGTAGACTTGACATTACTGAGCTTACTGCTGAATATGCTGTACTAAGCTGGAAGCCACCAAAAGATGATGGAGGTTAGATTTTTCATTCTTGTTTATTGCGAGTGTTATTATTTTTAAGCAATTCTGAGTGCAGCAATATGACGCCAGTTACATGATATCAAACTACTGAATATTCTATTATTAACATAGGATATCTAAGCACTTAAAGAAACTATCAATCTGCTGTGAATTTTTTTTAGGCTCTGAAATTACCAACTATGTTGTCGAAAAACGAGATATGATGACTGGTAACTGGACTTTGGTGACATCGTCTATTGCACGAACAACATGCAGGGTATCTGGACTTCTTGGGGGAAATGAATACACCTTCAGAGTTATGGCCGAAAACCGACATGGCATCAGCTCACCCGTTCTTTCAGACACAGTTATTGCAAAATATCCATTCGGTATGAATACTAGTCTAACTTAACTAAATTATATTACACTTTTATTCATTACTTCGAATAAACTAAAATCATTATTTTTGAATTATCATAGATGTTCCGCAGCCACCAACTGCTCCAGAGGTATCTAATATTAAACGAGATTCTATGGAAATTAGCTGGGAACCACCTGCTAAAGATGGAGGCTCTCCTATTACTGGATATATTCTAGAGATGAAAGAAAGAAACTCTATAATGTGGAAAAACATCTGCAAGACTCATAACATTGGTATGTTTAATTATTTTAGAATGTTTACTTTTATGCTCACGCAATATTGTATTTTGAGGAACTTGTTTAATATTCAATGATGCATTATATGTCACAGAATATCGGGTACATGGCCTCACAGAAGGGTTGGAATATCAATTCCGTGTGATGGCTCTCAATCAATCTGGACAATCTGAACCTTCACCATCCAGCACTGCACACTTTGCTTTGGATCCCATTGGTAAGCATGAATAATTGTTACATATACCTCGTGATGCTGATAGAAAAGACTGTAAACAATTTTGATCAATAACAAAAACACTTACTACATATAGTATCATTCCATCTTTATCCATTCTATCTGGATTAATAAATTTTTATGGATTGCTTCCATGCTATCCAAAATCCCATAGCTTAGTACACCACCCAAATGCTGAAAACAAAGGCTTCATGTTTGATACATTGAACATACATATATTGAACTCAAACCAGTGATTTGAGTAACCAAACTTGAATGGCAATTCTTATTTTAGATCCACCGTATAATCTGTCAGTGTATGGATCAACCAATGACTCTATTAGCCTGCGATGGGAAGTACCTAAATCGAATGGTGGACATAAAATCGTTGGATATGATATTGAAAAACAAAATCTTCCCGTGAAGCAATGGCTCAAATGTAATATCAGCAACATTTCAACTACTGATTTCACAGTAAGATATTTTCATATGCTTTGGCTCATCATGGTACTGTATATACATCATTATATATTTACAATAAATATTTCAAAGATGCCTTTGATGTATTTAATGTTACAATTTTGTATTGCAGGTTCCTAATCTGACTGCTGGGGACAATTATAATTTCCGTGTGATTGCAAAGAATGCTGCTGGAAATGCTTCAGAACCATCATATCCCACAGGAGCGATTGTATGCAAAGAAAAATTTGGTAACTATTTTAATTTATAACCAAAAGTATCAAATTGTTTCCAAGGGTACTAGATATGTTAGAATATTCTTTGGATAATTGAGCAAGAATCTATATTTGAAATGTCTGACAATCGCAAAATGTCGACAACAACGATGACTGCACTACATAAATTAAACCCACATGTTTCTTAAACATATTTCAATTTCGATACTCATAAATAAATAAATTCATTGAAAACTTATTCTGATTATATTTTGAAAATTTTCAGAAACTCCTTCAATTACACTGGATGCAAGTTTGATAGAAGGATTGACTGTAAGAGCTGGTCAAATCATTCAACTCAGAGCTGCAATTGAAGGAAAACCAGTCCCTAAAGGTTGGCTGAGTGGAAATAATTTGTGCCATCCAATTGTTTTACCCAGAGTAGTGCGATGTCTTCATAACATTTTTAAATGTACTTCCAGCAACTTGGACACTCAATGGTGATGACATCCGTGAACGTGAAGGATTAAAACTTGAGAAAACTATTACTCATGCAACTCTGATTGTGAAGGACGCAAAGTTGGTTCACAGTGGGGAATATGCACTTACAGCTTCTAATAAATATGGAACTAAAACTGTGACATGCAAAGTGAATGTTCTTGGTAAGACTAAAGCTCAGGGGATATGCTGTGTGTTGAGCCAACAGCCTTGTGTTGTCTTATTCAACATATTTACTTTTACAGACAAGCCTGGCCCGATTGAAGGACCGATCAAAATCAGTGGCATTTCTGCAGAGAAATGCAAGTTGGCATGGGGAGAACCGAAGCAAAATGGTGGAAGCACAGTCACTAACTATATTGTAGAAAAGCGTGAAACTAGCAGATTGTTATGGACAGCGGTAAGTTGTAGTTGTACTAATCAATTTAGCACTCAATGGTTATTCTAATTTCATAGAAACGGCTTGAACTTGGTTTTAAATTGCAGGTTGGGGAATCTGGAATGCATTGCAACATCGATTGCACAAAGTTGATTTCTGGAAATCAATACATATTTAGAGTTTCAGCTCAAAACAAATATGGAGTTGGACCACCTACTGAATCTGCACCTATTATTGCGAAAAATCAATTTGGTAAGAATCTATCAATATTTCTGATTATTCGTTGTAAAAGTAAAAGTAGTCATCAAGTTATACATTAAATATTGTTTTAGATGTTCCTGGTAAACCTGGAAAACCAGAGGTTACAAAGACAACTAGCAATTCTATGACTCTCACCTGGGAAAGACCTGCTTCAGATGGAGGCGATGAAATCATTGGCTACCATTTAGAAAGAAGAGCAAAGACTGGTTTGAAATGGATCAGGTAGTTTAAAGCTCTTCTCTGTATTAAATGCTTATTCATCATGACTGTGCGAAATGTGAAATTTGAAGCTTTGAAGCAAGTTAGTTTCTCTTCAAGAACATAGTCTTCAAAAGTCTTTAACTTTGGTTCCATTTTTATTCAGATGCAGCAGAGAGTCAGTACGTGAGAACAGACTCAGGGTGACTGGTCTAACTGAAAACAATGAATATGAATTCAGAGTTTCAGCTGAAAACAAAGCTGGCATTGGACCTGTTAGTGATACATCAGAGTTGGCAACTGCTCGAGATCCAATATGTAAGTGTGGTGGTAAAATGTATAACATCCGGATTCTTAAATTATTGTATTCAATGTCAGTCTGTCGTGTAAACAAACCTATATTAACTATATTTACAATACAGTATATTGATAATTGTGCTTATGCAACATTTTTTGTAATATTTTTATCACCGTTCCAGATGTTCCTGGCACTCCAAATGCTCCGAACATGAAGGATTCAACAAAGACATCAATTACTCTAGTGTGGCCAAAACCAACATACGATGGAGGTTCCAGAATCACAGAATACGAAGTTGAAATGGCTCTTGCAGGATCATTTGACTTTGTACCAGTTAGAAGTACTGTCAGGAAAATTGCAATGGAAGAATGCATCATACCGGACCTCAATGGGGATATAAAATACAGGTAAATAGGGGTGCTATGGTCAAGCCTGTTTTACCAGATTTGAGTTTAATATGCTTAGTCGAACAGATAAGCTAGGGATAGTTTACATTCATAAAGTAACTACAATGTAGTGTTTCAAACTTGATATGATTTTTCCATGTAATATAATACTGTTAATGTAATGTTCTCAAACATATTCAATTCTTACTGCAGGTTTAGAATCATTGCTATCAATGCAGCTGGAAAATCAGAGCCAGGTGCTGCCAGTAATGACATGAGTCCAGTTGATGTAATTGAAGCTCCAAACTATGAATTGGAAGCCGATATGCGTCAAACAATAACAGTCAGAGCCGGTGGTTCAATCCGCTTGTTCGTTACAATTCGTGGACGGCCAACACCAGAAATGACATGGACGAAAGAGGGTGGAATACCAACAGACCGCAGCTCTATTGAAAGTACTTCATCCTACAGTCTTTTGATTATAACCAATGCTAAGTGTAGCGATGCTGGAAAATATGAGCTTTTACTGGCTAATCCAGCTGGTACCAAAGTTGTTGGCATCAATGTCAAAGTTTTGGATGCTCCAGGACCAGTTCAAAACTTGGGTGTCAAGGATGTTACCAAGAATATGGTGTATTTGCAATGGGATGCTCCTAAACTTGACGGTGGTGCAGCAGTTACACAATACATAGTCGAGAAAAAACTCTCTACACGTAAGGCATGGTCGACAGTTTCTGCTGATGTTCAGAGAGAATCCTTCAAAGTCACTGGATTAGAAGAAGGTCAAGAATATTTGTTCAGAGTTATGGCAGAAAACAAATTCGGAATTGGTGAACCGGCTGAAACAAAAGATGTCATCCGAACTTCAGAGGTAAATTATTTTTCAATGTGTAAAAATTAGCTTCGGATAATATATATTTGCTTAGGAGTTCAAATTTAAAACACTTCCTAATCTTATCTTTTGTTTATACTTCAGCCGCCATCACCACCAAGAAGCATGTCTATAGCTAACGTTACTAAGAACTCTGTTACTCTAAACTGGACTAAACCTGACTCTGATGGAGGCAGTCCCGTCAATTCTTACATTGTCGAAATGCAAAGAACTGATTCAAATACATGGGTTGAAAAAGCTACAACAAACAAACAGAAGTGAGTGTTGATCAATTCAATAAAAATTCAGTTGACATTCTATACTAAACTATACCTAACTTATGTTTTATATATTTCAAAGTGATAAGAACATATTTACTTCTAGCTCTAAATGTTGATATTTTGTTTTAGTGCCACTGTTTCTGATCTCATCGAAGGGTATTCCTACAACTTCAGAGTTCGTGCTAGAAATGTTGTTGGAGTTGGTGAGCCAATTCAAACCATTCATCCTGTTATTGCTAAAGACGATGTTGCCAAGCCAGATGTCGACCTCAGTGCATTGTACATGGGATCAATCAATGCTAAGGCTGGATCAAATATTTCATTGAAGTTGCCTTTATTAGGTAATTATATTAAATTTATGGTGCTGTACGATTCAAATTAAAGGAGTCATAAACAGTATTATTCCTGAACAACTAAAATCGATATTTTGAAATCTAGTTTTGAGGATAAATATGTTTTAAACTGGCTAACAATATAATGATGATTTTATTTTCATATGACATTCATTATATTACATTTAGGTCAGCCAACACCTACAGTACAATGGCGTCGAAATGGTGAAAATTTAAAAGAAAGCCAACGAGTGAACTCTGAAACAGCTGGCAATGAAACCATACTCAATATAAGGAACTGTGAACGAGATGATGCAGGCACTTACGAAATTGTTGTTACAAATGCTACTGGAAGCAAAGTCATTCCTGTCAAGGTGAGTGCTTCAGCATTCCTTGATTTCATACGATGATTTGGCTAGAGTTAAGTCTTACTTTATTTTGTAGATTGTGGTTTTCGATCGACCAAGTGCACCTAAAGGTCCAATTGAGACTAGTAACATCACTGCTGATTCAGTTACATTGAACTGGCTTGCACCAGAACACGACGGAGCAGCACCTGTCAACAATTACATAGTTCAAAAGCGAGAAAAGGAGAGTGATAAATGGGTAGAGGTTGCTGGTGCCGTCGCCAGAACAACAATCAAAGTTTCACATCTAAAACGTGACCAGGAATATATTTTCAGAGTTAATGCTGAGAATAGATTCGGAAGGTCTGAACCTCTGGACTCTGCTCCAGTGCTAATTGAACACCCGTTCAAAGTTCCTGATGCTCCTGGTGAACCACAAATCATCAAATGCACAAGTGATTCTATACAACTAGAATGGGAACCACCAGTAAAGGATGGAGGTAATGGATTGATTAATAATAGATTGATAGTGTATGATTAACATAGCTGTTTTGAGAAGGTATTATATGAACTTAATCGGTTTCACAGGTGAAAAAATCTTTGCCTACCATGTTGAAAAGAAAGACCGAAATTCTATCTTGTGGACTCCTGCTATACGAGGACCTGTGAAGGGCAACACAGCAAGGGTAGGTTAATTAATTTCTTCTATATTTTTTAAAATGACTTGTATTATTGACACTCTATTTTTGCAGGTCACTGGACTCACTGAAAACCTTGAATATACCTTCCGTGTCTGTGCTGAAAACATGGCTGGAATTGGACAATTCAGTAAGGTTTCTGAAGCTGTGATTTGCAGAGATAAAATCGATGCCCCATCTCGTCCAGAAGTTACAGAAATTGGTAGAAACACTGTTACTCTTCAATGGAAGAAACCTGCATATGATGGCGGTGCCAGAATTACAGGTAATGTGCAGCACATGGTCTCAATTAATCACTTCAGAAAAATTATACATTGTTTACAACTTATGTATTGTTTTCAGGATACGTCATTGAACGAAGAGAACTACCTGATGGCCGTTGGTTGAAGTGCAACTTCAGCAATGTGTCGGATACCTCATTTACTATAACTGGATTGACTGAACAAAATGAATACATATTCAGGTAATGTGTGGAGCAATAAACAAATGTTTTTCATGTTCATGTTCATTTACACAAATCTTATAACGCATTTTGAAACGAATTGAATATCAATGTTACATGATTTATAAATCCCTAAAATGAATTTTCATATTCAAAGTGTTTGATAATATTTTCAACTATTTTTTTCAGAGTTTTGGCTAAAAATGTAGCCGGCTCCTCATCAGACTACTCTGAAGAATCATTCCCAGTAGTCTGCCGTGACGAAATTGCTCCACCAAGAATTGAGTTTGACGCTAAACTGAGAGACACACTAGTTGTGAAAGCTGGGGATACAGTCAAGCTTGAAGCACATATATCCGGTAAGTTTCATATTCATGTTTTTTTGTGTTTATGTGTAAGCAGAGGCTTATATCTAAAGAGCATTGATCTAAAAAATGGGGAACAGATATAGTACTAAATAATTTTGAGTCATTAATGTTTTAGGTAAACCACAACCTGAAATCAAGTGGGAGAAAGATAGCAAACCTGTTGAAGAAACGCCAGCTTTGAGTATTGTGAATACTGACAAGCTAAGCATGGTTCAAATCAAGGATGCAAAACGCACCGATTCTGGACAATACACTATCAACCTCAAAAATATCACTGGCTCTAGAAGCTTGAGTGTTAGCGTAAAGGTCCTTGATAGTCCAGGTCCACCTGACTCTGTCACTGTGTCTGATATATCTGCTGGACGTGCTAAACTTTCTTGGACTGCTCCATCTGATAATGGTGGGGCTATGGTCACTCATTATGTTGTGGAAAAACGGGAAACAAGCAGACTCACTTGGACACTTGTTGATAGCAATGTAAGCAAATCTGAAGGAAATATTCTGATTCTTTTGGTGAAAAATATTTTATTGTATTCAATTAATCATCTTTACACATGAACTGGTAAAGATGGTCGGCCTTATATTGGTATCCTAATTTTATGTTTTATAGTTTAACATTGTACTGTTTCTCTTCTCAGGTCGAAGGAAATAGTCTCAAAGCATCAAATTTGATTGAGCATAATGAATACGTTATCCGTGTAATGGCTGTGAACAAATATGGCCAGGGAGAGCCAAGGGAATCAGAACCATTCACTGCTGAGAATCAATTCTCTGCTCCAGGAAAACCAGGACAGCCTGATGCCTCTAACATAACAAAAGATTCCTGCATTGTAACTTGGGAAAGACCAAAGAGTGATGGAGGATCTGAAATAACCAACTACGTGCTTCAGAAACGTGATAGGTATAGCATATACATGCATATGAAGGGAAGATCTATACCATCTTTAGGGGTTACCATTAGAATCAATACTTTTACTTATTGTTTTGTAAATACCTTTAAAACTCCGTAAAACAAATTATAACACTGTCATTGGTAGTTTAGCAACATATATTCTTATCTTATGTATTTATTATTTTTCTCAAACAGGAAAGGTACTAGATGGATTCGTGCAACTCGAAAGAACATCACTGAGACAAGATTCAGAGTCACAGGATTGAATGAAGGAACAGAAGTTGAATTCAGAGTCTTGGCTGAAAATGCCGCCGGACAAGGAGAACCATCGGAACCATCTACTTATGTTACAATTGTAGACCCAATATATGCACCAGGTTTGTACTTGGTTATTTAATTGTTAGATCTGCTAACGTTCTACATTTACTCATTTGATTAATGGTTAAACATTTTTTTTTAGGTCCTCCTGCTGGAACAGCTGCAACTGATACCACACGAACAAGTGTCACACTTGGCTGGAAAAAGCCAACTTATGATGGTGGTGAAGTTATCACGGGATATCATGTAGAATATGTCAAACTGAAACCAGGTCAAGAACGGCTAACTGATGATGATGTCTGGACTAAATGTGTCATGCCAGTAGGGTTCAAAGATCATGAATTCACCATTGGCGGATTGTCAGAGAATGCTGAATATATGTTCAGGTTGTTAAAATGTGTTTTTATTTACCAAAATTTCATTCAAAGCTGCATTTATAATATACTAAAACTCTAATATATTGCGGATTGTTGCTTCAGGGTATCTGCCACCAATAGAGCTGGCATCGGCGAATCTGCAATGGTGCCTGGAAAAGTAGCAGTGAAAGATGTTCTACTACCGCCAGACATGGACATTGATGCAAGTCTCAGACAGGCACTCAAGGTAGCCGCTCAAATCTAATTTTTATCATTATTCTCAATTAATGAACTTCTTCAGCATCTTGTTTTTACTTTTGTTTCAGGTTAAAGCTGGAAACTCCATCAGACTTTTTGCCACATACCGTGGAAGTCCTGCACCCACTGTCACTTGGAGGAAGGATGAAACAAATCTTCCGATGCAAGCTCATGTCGATACCACAGACAGCACTACATTGATGCTGATTGAAAATGCTACAAGGTACAAAATTGCTTATACAGAAACTATATTTCATTTCTGTTTATCTTACATTAAAATATTGAATTTATTGCAGAAACCATGCTGGAAAGTACTCTCTTACTCTTGAGAACAGCGCTGGTTCGAAGACTGCTACAGTGTCTGTAGTTGTTCTCGACAGTCCTTCTGCTCCACAAAATGTAAAAGCGAAAGATGTTACAAAAGAATCTGTGACATTGACATGGGAACCTCCTGAGAATGATGGCGGAAGCATCATTGTGGGATATGTTGTTGAAAAAAAAGAAACCACTAAGAAAGCATGGTCGACTGTCACAATCAATTGTGTTAGAAATTCATTCAAGGTAACTGTTTTTTCATTTTCTGCATGTGCAAATATACACATATAAAGCACATATACGTTTATTTTTATGTCCAACTTCCATGCTGTTTATCCATAAAAATCCACGGATATATCATACTTTGCTTTACTTCGTTTGCTATCCTTTTTCTGTATATAAAGAGTATACACATATAAAGTACATATAAGCACACATTAAGACTATACAAATTTTGAGTTGGTTAATGTGTTAATATTCCTATATCTACTGTTTTCGTAATATATCTATATATTGCCTTTACATCAGGTACCTAATCTTGAAGAAGGATTGAGTTATTACTTCAGAGTAATGGCTGAAAATGAATATGGCATTGGTGCACCATGTGAAACATCAGGCGCCATCAAGGCTTCTGAAGTACCAAGTGGACCAGGCAGATTGGAAGTCACACAAACAACTGCTCGAAGTGTTACTCTTGCTTGGACTAAACCAGATTCTGATGGCGGGAGCAAAATCACAGGTGCGATTTGTGGTCTGAATTCTTGATAGTTTTTCAAACTAAATATTAGACTTTGCGAACAAGCATTCTGGGGAATTTTCACACATCTTTAATTTAAATGAAAATCTTTCAGGATATCTTATTGAATACAAAGAAAAGGGCACAGATGAGTGGAAATTAGCACCACAAGTTAAGCAGTTGACTGGAACTGTTGGCCGACTGACTGAAGGTCATTCTTACTATTTCCGTGTGAAAGCTATCAATGAAAACGGAGTTGGAGAATCAAGAGAATTGTTCCAGGCAGTAACTGCTAAAGATGAAGTTGAACCCGCTGAAATTGAGACCAATGGACTGCCTGCTCTCTGTTTCTATGCTAAGAAAGGCACAGACCTGAAGGCAAAAGTCGTTTTGCGCGGAAAACCTGTACCTGAAGTAGTATGGATGAGAAATGGCCAAGAAGTAAAGCAAACCAGCAGAGTTAACATTGAAAATGATGACAATTACTCAACCTTGACTTTGAAGGGTAAGTGGCACAAACTAAAACTAAAATTTGAATTCATAGGTTATGTATATATGTTATTTATTTCTGGAGCTAATATTCTTATTCTATTTTGTTTACAACAGATTGCAATGTTGAAGATGCAGGTGACTATGAAGTGATTGCCACAAACACATTGGCGAAAGTGACTGTACCGGTTCAAATAGTTGTCTACGATAAACCTGGAGCTCCTACTGGCCCTGTTCAGTTCGACTCTGTCTCAGCGGAGTCTGTACAACTATCATGGGAAGCGCCCACTGAAACTGGTGGATGTGCTATTTCTAGTTATATAGTGGAAAAGAGAGAAGCGACGAGCACGGTATGACTTTGCTGCCTGTATAGCTATTGGTTTTATAATATTTAACAGAATTCACCAACTCAATCATTGGTGAATAAACCGAGACATTTTACCCAATTTCACATATATGTCATATCATACACAAAATGCCTTACAGCGCTCTATTAACTTCAAAATTTATCGTTTTGTCAGGTCTGGACTACAGTATCAGCTGCTTGTGCTCGCACAACAATCAAAGCTCCCAAACTAGTCAAAGGAACTGAATACGTTTTCAAAATCAGGGCTGAAAATCGCTTTGGTGTTGGACCAGCTCTTGTTTCTGATATAGTTGTTGCAAAACATGCTTACTCAGAACCAGGACCTCCGGGACTTCCTCAAATTGTTCGAGCGACAAAAGATTCTGTGACCGTGAAATGGACTGAGCCTACAACAGATGGTGGATCTCCAATAACTGGATATCAAATGGAACACAAGGACAAAAACTCAATATTGTGGAGGGTAAGAGGATTCATTTTTTAGAAACGTTTTCGAGTAGAACTTATAAATATTACCTAAATTGAAGGGAGTTCTATCCAAACACACAACACATCCTTTGATGTGGTTATATTCATTGACCGTTAAAAAACTGTGTATGCATTGTGAAATGCAAAGTTTTTTTCAAAGAATATTTGTAGAACTTACACAACATGATTTTATACATTCCAGGCAACCAACAAGATTGTGATCGCTGGCACTGAATATAAAGCAAGTGGTCTTGAGCACGGACTGGAATATGAATTCAGAGTCTATGCTGAAAATGCTGCTGGTATTGGAGAGCCTAGCAAAATATCTGAATCTGTTGTGTGTCGCGACCCTGTGGATGCCCCATCGCAACCAGAAGTTCTTCAAGTTGGACGAAAATATGTTACAATTGAATGGAAAAAGCCAGAATATGATGGAGGAAGTACACTGGTTGGATACAATATTGAAAAATGTGAATTACCATCAGACAAATGGTTCAAATGCAACTACAGTAATGTGGTTGACACATACTTCAAAATTGATGGTCTGACTGAAAACTCAAAATACCAGTTTCGAGTTATAGCTAAGAATGCAATCGGTAAGTTTTTGTCTACTTTAAAAAAATAAAAATAAAAAATTAGCAATGATAATAAAATATTCATTATCGTTATTTCTCAGGTACCATTTCTCAACCTTCTGAACCGACAAGTCCAGTTATTTGCAGAGATGAGTTGGAACCACCATCTATTGATTATGATTCTAAATTGCGTGATACTCTAGTAGTAAAAGCTGGAGATGCAATTAAATTTGATGCCCGTATTTATGGAAAACCGCCACCTGCAGTTCGCTGGACTAAGAATAACAGAGATCTTGATGTGTCACCCCGAGTGAAGATTGGTCATACTCCAACACATACTTCGGTTGATATAACAGGCAGTACAAGAAAAGATACTGGTACGTGAATGGTTAACTTTAGCATGTCAACAAATTTCAAAACAAATTATTCGGTGTGTTCTCATTTTTTGAAACAAATGTATGCAAGTCTGGACTATCATGTAAACAAATGTGCATATCAAACTATCCATTTCAGTGTGTATTTTGATCTAATAATTTGTTGTATTTCAGGTCAATACACATTGTATGTTACCAATGATGCTGGTGAGAGATCGTTGACTGTTCAAGTAAAAGTCTTGGATATTCCTGGACCAGTTCGAAATCTTTCTGCCGAAGATATCACTGCCAACAAATGCACTTTGACCTGGGATTCACCAGCAGAAGATGGTGGAAGTGAAATCACTAATTATGTTGTAGAAAAAAGAGAAACTAGCCGTGTATCTTGGACACAAGTGTCATCTAATGTTCCTACTCGATATATTAAGATTGGAAATCTGATAAAAGATCATGAATACATTTTCAGGTAGAATACTTTTTTACACGTTTGAAACTATCCTTTCATAGGCTCATCATGATCATACTTTTTTAAATCTCAAGAACAATAATATATACTGTACTCATCACAAGAACTACCATAATTGTACTTCCTAATTCTCAATTCAGCTGAATGCCTATTTTATGCATGTTTTTTTTTCGATACATGTAATATTTGTTTCTGGATTTGTTTCTATAGTCACCAAAAATTAATATTTTATAACAGAATTCGTGCTGAAAACAAGTTTGGTGTTGGTGATGCAATTGAATCCCAACCAATTGTTACCAAGAATCCATTCACAGTACCTGGTGCACCTGGAAAACCAATCCCCACCAACGTTACCAGAACTGGTTTGATTCTTACTTGGGATCGACCAGAAAATGATGGTGGCTCTGAAGTAATAAATTATGTTCTTGAAAAGCGCGAAAAACTTGGTGCGAAGTGGACAAAAGTAACCCTTCGTCAAATTCCTGAGGCAAGGTTTAAAATAACAGGTCTACAAGAAGGACAGCAATACGAGTTCCAGGTATGTGATATGGAATGTTCATCTAATATCATCATTGCCATAGCAAAATGTTATGTACCTACCCAATACTGAGCAATACTGAAAATGCTGTTTAACAATGAATTCAGAAATAATCACAATTTGGATTTCTTTCACTAGTATGTCGATCTGAAGTTCATTGTTCTTATTTTTATCTCTTATTAGGTTTCTGCTGAAAATTCTGAAGGAGTAGGCAAACCTGGTCCTTGCTCAGACTCCATCACTATCCAAGACCCAGTCTATCCGCCAGGGCATCCAAGAACACCAAAAGTTGTTGATACTACTCAGACATCAATCACTGTAGAATGGGGAGCTCCAACTTATGATGGTGGAAGCGAAGTAAGAATTTTATTTCATGCTATACATGTGAAATACTTGATTGGTAGCACGAGGCCCCATTTGGGGCCAGAAGAGTGCAATCTTTTTGACATGCATGTATTCATGATTGTTTACTTTCATTATCAATTCAACAATTATTTCCTTTTTTAGATCACAGGATATGCTGTGGAAATACTCCATGATTCGTCTAAAGATGAGGATTGGATTGTTTGCACCCCAAGTCAAGGTGTACCAGATACAAAGTATGCAATAACTGGCTTATATGCAGGCAAAGACTATAGAATCAGAGTCCGAGCTATCAACTCTGCTGGAATGGGTGAACCAAGCGAACTCCAACAAGCATATCAACCCAAGGAAATCCAGATTCCTCCAGAAATTGAACTCGAACCACAGATGGGGCAATACATCACTGTTCGTGCTGGTGCTTCTATTCGTATGTTCTGTGTCATTCGTGGACGACCAACACCAACAGCGAAATGGTCCAAAGAAAAGGGTGAAATTAACCCAATGGCAATGATTGATACAGATGATTTCTCAACACTTTTGCTCATCAATGAATGCACAAGAGATGACGCTGGAAGGTAAATTAGGGATCCTTATCAGACGGCGTCGATTCCAAGCCAAATAAAGCCAGATAAATTTTGTCTATTATCCAATTCTAAAAATTCGCTATTATCAAGTACTATATTATACAAAAAATTGTTATAACCTGTAAATGCAAAAAATGCATCATTCTATGCTGATTAATGCCACTTTGACCTAGGTATTTTATTGAACATTAATGATTCTACACCATTCCCTTTCAGATACATTCTAACACTTGAGAATTCATTTGGTACCAAGGCAGTTTCTATCACGGTAAAGGTGCTTGATACTCCAGGTCCAGTAGGAAGCTTAAAGGTCAAAGAATTGACACTTGAACATGTCACATTAACATGGGATGCCCCGGAAAATGATGGAGGTTCTGTTGTCAGCAACTATCTTATTGAAAAAAGAGTTTCAACTCGCAGAGCTTGGCAATCTGCCGGCTCAACGATCTCGAGAACCTCATTCAAAGTAACTGGACTTGAGGAAGGAGAATCCTATTTCTTTAGGTAAGGGTATACAACATTAAATAAACGTATGTTTTCATATTTTCACTGCAATCCTATAACTTAACATCATCATATTTTATAGAGTAATCGCTGAAAACGAGCATGGATTGGGAGTACCTTGTGAAACAAAACATGCACTAAAGATTTCTGAGGCCCCAAGTACACCAGAGAAAATTGAAGTGAAGAATATCTTGGACACCAGTGCAACTGTGGAATGGACCAGACCCGAGCATGATGGTGGAACACAAATCACTGGCTATATTGTTGAGTACATGCTCAAAGGTAGCCAAGATGCATGGACTGTCGCTGCCACAACTAAGAATTTGCAACAAGTTATTGATAAGCTGACCACAGGGAAAGATTACGTTTTCCGTGTTCGTGCTCAGGTTGGTTGAGTAATTGCTCCTTGCTTACCTATAATCGATTTACATTATTTTAGACCTACTTTAATTTTATTTATCACTATCTTCAACTTCTCAACCTTAGGCATATTTTTCAGAATGAGACCGGTGTATCTGATGCTCGTGAATCTGGTGCAGTTACTATCAAGGAGGTTGTTATCTCGCCAACCATTGACATGAGCCAGTTCTTTAATAATACTCTATCTCAGAAGGCAAGTGTCTGTCTGCATTTAATCAATTTGCAGCTGTCAGTTCTATTTATATTGGCAGCCGATCACTTAAGGTTAATTGTTTTATTTATGCTACAGGTTGGCACTAACGTTGATGTTTTCATACCGTTCTCTGGCAAGCCGCAACCTACAGCAATGTTTCATAGGAAGGGTGAAACGCTCAGAGAAACCAGCAGAATCAACTCTGTTATTTCAGGTGCGTTGAAAGAATTTTGAGACTTGTCATAATTTAAAGTAGTGTATAGTTTGGACATTGCTGATTCAAGTAATACCGTAGTTCGTTCAGGGTTATTATTATATAAGTAATAATTGATCAACTTTGAAATGCCTAATGAATTGTCCCTTCTAGTTTGTAAAGGCTTGCGTACTTCAGTATAAAAGGGCATTAATGTTTTATTTAATATTTTTTCCTCACATGAATTTCAGACTCTGTAGCCAAGCTTCATATCACTAATCTCACTCGTGACGATGGTGGCTCTTATGAATTACATGCAAGAAATTCTGCCGGATCACAGATGGCTACCTTGAAGCTAGTGGTAATGGATAAACCATCAGCACCATTAGGTCCAGTGAAATTCAATGAAATCACTGCAGAATCTATCACTATTTCCTGGTCACCTCCTGAAGAAGATGGTGGAACCCCCATCACACATTACACAGTCGATAAACTTGATGCTAATTTGGGTTGGTTGGAAGTATCCAGCTTTGTGGTCCGAACATCACAGAAAGTAACTCGACTCACAACTGGACAAGATTACATATTCAGAATTCGTGCTGTGAATAAATTTGGAATTTCTGATCCACTCGAGTCTGAACCTGTGACGGCATGTCATCCTTTCACAGTACCAGGGGCACCTGGAACACCACAAGCAACAACAGTATCTAAGGACTACATAGTTTTAAAATGGGAAGCACCAGAGTCTGATGGAGGATCGCCTATAGTTGGGTAAGGCACTGTGTACTTCACATATATGTTATATCTATATAGTGATGTATACAATAAAGGACTAAATTCCATTATTCACTGAGGATATTTATTATATCATGATTATGCATTTTTGACCTGTTTTTTATACCTATACCTTTTTATACGTTTTTAAATATTCGTTTTTCATTTTAGTTATCACATTGAATGCAAAGATCGTAATTCAATCCTGTGGGTGAAAGCAAACAGCTATCCAGTTCGTGATGCTTCTTTCAAATATAATAATGTGTCCCAAGGGCTTTCATACGAATTTAGAGTGTACGCAGAAAATTTGGCAGGTAACCAAGCCGTCTGATTAGTGGTTATATTATTATTATCTTAGGGTTATACGAGTTGAAGAAATGGCTCAGCGGTTACAGTATACTATCAAGGGTTCTTCTGGTAATCAAACTTATGATATTAAAGTGGCAATCATACCTTCTTAGAAGTTAAGCTCTTGTACATCAGTACTATTTTGCATAATATTAGCCTGATGACTATATGATAAAGTTGATCCATGTTACGGACAGCAAATACAATAATGTAGATATTTTAATTTTTGTGATTGCTATTTATAGATCAATGTTTATTCATCAAAAATATTGTAGGTACTGGAAAGTACAGCAGGATTTCCGAAGCCATAGTTGCAAGAGATGCGATTGAACCACCAAGAAATGTTGAGACTGTTAGAGTAAATCGTACGAGTGTTGAAATACAATGGCTGAAACCAGAATATGATGGAGGAAGTAGAATTACTGGATATATCATTGAAAAGAAAGCTTTGCCTGATGAAAGATGGATGAAATGTAATTTCAATAAGGTAAAGGACATTCACTAGCTTATGAAGTTGCTTATTTTTGTGTATAAGAATATGGTATTATAAGAAACATTGTAAGATGTGCCAATTTTCTTAATCATATTTATTATAGTTTAGAACTTATTGATATTAACTATCATTACTTATGCTATCATTCAGGTTATTGATACACACTTTGAAATTGATGGTCTAATTGAAGGAAATGTATATGAATTCCGCGTTATGGCTGTAAATGCAGCTGGTAGTACCAGTGAACCCTCTTTATCTACTGGACCAGTAACTGCCAGGGATGAGGTTGAACCAGCTAAAGTAGATGTGGATGCAATTTATCGGGATGTTGTAAATGTGAGAGCTGGTGAACCATTCACACTTGAAGCTCACATCAGTGGAAAACCAACCCCTGTTGTTACATGGCTTAAGGATAACAAAGAATTGGCACCAAAATCAGATCTTACTATAAATGTAAGTTTAATGATTCTTTTTTTTTGACCGTGTAGTAGACTAATAATTCTACATGGGAAATTAGTAATTAGCATGGCTATGCATAAAAAGAAAAGTGGGAATTATCATGGGTCTTTGTGATAGCAAAATTTTGTGCTATTACACTAATTTCTTTGATACTAACTCTGTTCAGGTTGCTGATAAAACAACGAGCATAACCAAGAAAAACAGCAGCAGAGAGGACAGTGGAACTTATACAGTCAGAGTGAAAAATGCTGCCGGTGAACGAGCAGTTGCCATCAATGTGCGCATCCAGGACACTCCAGGACCATGCCAACAGCTTCTTGTTTCTGGTGTCACATCAGAAAAGTGCATGCTCGCTTGGCAACCTCCAAGACTTGATGGTGGAGCCAGAATTACTGGATATTCAATTGAAAAACGAGAAACTTCAAGGTTGACATGGACCAAGGTTGCTGATTTCTTAGAAACAAATCACCATAAGGTAAGAGTTTTTAGTGCACTATAAGCTACCAAATATAATTCATCTAGCATACCGTTGCAAAAAGAAGCTGAAATTTAATTATGAATTCCTTAAATGGTTTCCTAACACCTGGTCCTTGATGTATTTTTGGTTATTTCAGTTCAAGTTTTTTTTAACTTTGATATTTTCCTCATATCACATCTTGCTATTTCAGGTAACTGGACTTCTACGTGGCAATGAATACATCTTCAGAGTAAGGGCTGAAAATAAACATGGCTTGGGAGAGCAAGCAGAATCAGAACCTGTAAGAGCTGTTGATCCATATGATGTACCTAGTGCTCCAGGCGTGCCTGAGATTGGCACTGTCATGGGAACCAGCTGTACCCTTACATGGGAAAGACCATCGTCTGATGGGGGTGCCGATATTTCAGGTATATTTCAATACAACTTTTATTTAGTGTGTTGAGCAATATATAGTGTTATGTACAATATCTTTTTCCTTATTTTCCAGGATACATTGTTGAGAGGCGTGAAAAGAATTCCTCTCGCTGGCTGAGAGTAAACAAAAACTTGGTATCTGACAATCGTCTAAGAGTGTCCAACCTTAAAGAAAGTTCTGAACAAGAGTTCAGAGTTTATGCTGAAAACAGAGCTGGAGTTGGAGCAGTCAGTGAATCTTCTGGATTTGTATTGCTTAAAGATCCGGTATATCCTCCAGAAGCGCCTGGATTACCAAGAATTATTGACACCACAAGAGCTTCTGTGACACTTCACTGGACTAGGCCTATGTATGATGGAGGCGCTGACATTGTTGGATACTCTGTTGAATATGCTGAAGATTCTAGACCAGCAGGCATTGAGCAAGATGATGCTGAGCTGCAATGGAGCCAAGCAGTTGGCAAGGCTGACTTGCGCACAACCACTTACACTGTTGGGGGTTTAGCTAATGAGAAAAAATACAGATTTAGGGTTAAAGCACACAATGTTTTTGGACCATCTGAACCCTCTATTTGTCCTTCTGTAATTTCACCAGTTGACCGACAGGAAGCTCCTGGACTACATCCAGATGCAGAACTTCCTAGGTCATTGACAGTTCGAGCTGGTGGTTCTATAAGGTGAGAAATATATCATCAACCCTTCTCATCTTGAAACAAATATTGAATTTTAAATGATGTTGCTTTGTAATATGCTGTGACATGTCAGACTTGGCAAAATGACAAATTTTTTTTGTCTTTCACATGATATTCAATCTTATGTATGTAAACAATTTTCATTGTAGATTCTCTGTGCCAATATCTGGCAGACCATCACCAAGTGTATCTTGGAGCAGAACCAACAATGGTTTGCGAGAACGGGCAATAATTGATTCCACTGGAACTATGACCACTCTGATAATTGAAAATGCTAATCGTGATGATACAGGTATGAATCACAGCGTTGTGTATGTAATTTAGAAGTTTAATTTTATCAAACTTTGAAAATTATTTATGACATGTTTCAGGTCGATACTCACTCGCATTGAGCAACGACAGTGGAACGAACACTGTTTCAGTAAATGTCAAAGTGCTTGACAGTCCTGGACCACCCACTGATCTAGTTGCGACTAATGTCACTAAGAACTCTGTAACAGTATCATGGAAACCACCAGAAATAGATGGTGGAAGCAATGTTACAAATTATATATTGGAACGACGAGAAGCAACTAAGAAGGCTTGGTCAACAGTTGAAACATCATGCCAGAGAACCACCTACAAGTTTACCAAACTAATGGAAGGTTGCAGCTATGTGTTCCGGTAAGTCACTTTACTAGATTATACTTATATACTGGTAAATAAACAAGTAAATCAGAGTGAGTGCTTGTCACGTGATGTGTATCATGTATGTGCGGAGCTAGAAAATAACTGCATACTGTATTCTCTTGGGAAAATCTCTGATTTGTATTTCTTATTCCAACAGAGTACTTGCTGAAAATGAGTACGGCATCGGCGTTCCAGCTACAATGCGAGATCCTATTAAAGCTTCAGAAGAGCCGGGTAGCCCTGGATCACTGAAATGTGTTGATATTACAAAGGAGAGCGTTAAATTACAATGGACTAAACCAGAATATGATGGAGGAAGTGAAATTCTTGATTACTTGTTGGAATATCAAATTAGAGGTAAGTCAACTTGTTTATTTGTATCAGAATATTATGATTGCATAATCAACATAGACTTATATTACACTCTTGCTATGATATTCTTGTATTATTTGCATATGATTCTACCAGCATTAGGGCGAAAAAGATGATTAAGTAATTTGGTCGCCGAATCTATATGATTAAATGATACTCTGTTTGTGTTACAGGTTCTGACAAATGGACACAACACCCACCATTGAAGTCCTCCGTTTTCAGCACCGTAGTAACTGGTCTGACTGAAAACCAACAATATACTTTCCGTATCTCAGCTAGAAATGAATCTGGTATTAGTCAATATAATGACTTGTCTGGATATGTTCTTGTGAAAGATCAAACTTCTCCTCCTGACGTGGATTTGGCAGGAATGAGTCAAAAAATTGTTGAGGGAAGAGCTGGAAATAATATTGTTGTTGATGTAAGTTTTCTGAATTTCTTCTTTGAAGCCCTCTCGAAATTCTGAATCATGGGTACAAATATAAGCACTATAAATAAATTGTTCTAAGCAGTTTCTTGCTTATATCTAATTTCTCGTAAAGGTGTGAGTACATATCAATAAAACATCTAAATAAAATGTCTCTTCAGATTCCTGTAAAAGGCAAACCCTTTCCAAGCATCAGTTGGACAAAAGACAATGAAGTAGTAAATATAACAAGTCGAATCAATTATGAAACCATTGACAATTCTGCCCAGCTGACGATAAAAAATGCAACTCTTGAAGGTGAAAAAATTTAAATTGATAAGAATTGTTCGGACATGTTTCAAATATAATATAGTAGGGAATATAGAGCATATGATTCTTCAAAGATAGCACACACTAACTCCATATGATTAAAATCTTCAATAGGCCAATATTAGATCTCAAGTGACCTTTACCTTTACATCGGTAACTGCATAATTTTCCTTAATATATTTTTAAATTATATTTCCACTCAAATGTTGCAGATGGAGGAAACTACCAGCTTCTTCTTGAAAATTCGGTTGGAAGCAAAAAAGTACCAGTAATCGTCAAAATACTTGACCATCCAGCAGCACCGGTCGGACCAGTAGAATTCAGTAAAGTCACTGCGGATTCTATGACAATTTCATGGCGTCCTCCGCTTGCTGATGGAGGCAGTGCGGTCAACAACTACATTGCAGACATGCGCGAAACATCAGGAAGTGCCGATTGGAAATTACTTTCTGGCTCAACTGCTAGAAACACTTTGAAGGTATCAAGGTTGATAACTGGAACTGAATATCAATTCAGAATCCGAGCAGAAAACAGATTTGGAATTGGGAAACCTTTGGAATCTGAACCAATTCTGGCTGAATACCCATTCAAAGTAAGTACACTGTGGAACATAATGAAATAAATCAAAAGTGTTAGTCTTTTTTGCTTCCTTTTTTTATTGCACACCATATCTGAAAATATGAACCAATTGTCAAACCCCACCCAGGAACTACGGGGTAATAATCGTGATCTTTCAGATATAGTTGTTCTAAACAATGTGTAAATCTTTTTAGGAACCGGGAGCTCCAGGCACACCAGAGGTAGTAGCATCTTCACGTGAAACTATCACAATAAAATGGCAAGAGCCTGTGAGTGATGGCGGATCCAAGATCATGGGATATCATGTCGAAAGAAAAGATCGCAATGCCATTTTATGGATGAGAGCAAGCAAGACATTACTAAGCGGCACGGAATACAAGGTAAATTGAATCGTTTTAGAATTAAACATACAAGCCAAAAAAAATATTTTGCTATTGTTCATGTACAAAATTAAAACTTTCATAAAAAACTTTCCAGGTGACAAACTTGGATGAAGGATTGGAATATGAATTCCGCGTTGCTGCAGAAAACATGGCTGGAATTGGTAAATACAGCAAACCATCAGAACCTTGTGTTGCACGAGATGCTGTAGATGCACCAAGAAATTTGGAGGTTGTGGGTGTTACAAGAAAGTCTGTTCATTTACAATGGCAAAAACCGGAATATGATGGAGGATCTAGAATTACTGGTGAGTGTAGATATTGATGATATATGTGGATGTTATATTTTATTGCAGAAAATAGTAGCTGGTGTAATACCCTTTGATTCTACATAGTTATTATTGCTTACTAAGTTTATCTTTCTTCAGGATACATCATTGAAAGACTTGAGCTTCCTGGAACACGGTGGTTGAAATGTAACTTCAGTAATGTTTCTGTGACCAACTTCAATGTCGAAGGTCTCATGGAAGACACAACATGTGAATTCAGGGTGTTTGCTAAAAATGCAGCGGGAGCTGTCAGCTTGCCAGCGAAGACTCTCCAACCGGTAAATTTACTTTTAAAAAATTATGTTACTGTACTCTGCTTGTTGAGAAGCTTTTGGATTGGTTTTAATTGATAATTTTATGTTCAAAGGTGGTTGTAAAAGATGACTTGCAACCTCCAACAATTGACATGGATTCTAAGTACTCAGGCGTAATCACAATCAAAGCAGGGGAAACATTGAAATTAGATGCCGGAATCAGGGGAAAACCGACGCCTACAATGACATGGAAGAAGGATCAAGATGAATTGAAACCTACTACACGAGTTCTTATCAAAAATACCGAAGTATCATCGTGCGTTGAAGTTCATGATACAACTCGTGATGACAGTGGAACATATTCTCTGATGGTGCAAAACTTTGGTGGCAGCAGGTATGAGGGTTTAGGCTTTTTAGTTCTAGACTTATTTAATTTAAGGTAGCAAAGTTTTCACAATATGTGCCTTATGTGCTGTAGCTGTGAAATACGACAATGCAAATCTTAATCTATTGTTGCATCATGGTTATTTTTGTTTTAGGTCATTATCTATTCAAGTCAAAGTGCTTGATAAGCCTGGCGCACCTGAAGGACCGGTCCTGATTTCTGGTATGTCTGCAGACAAATGCATGATTTCATGGCATCCACCTAAGAATGATGGCGGGGCTCCAGTTACTAATTACATTGTCGATAAAAGAGAAACCAGCCATCTTGCATGGGTTCTGGTCAATTCAAATATCGAAGGAACTACATGCAGAATTGGTAAGTTAGAATAGTATGTCAACGATCACAGGGAAGGTCAGGATTTACATATTTATCCCTGAGGAGAGGGTGGCTGGTAAGATGGCTTAATCATATGGAGAACCATGGCCTCTCGTCCAGTTACCATTCCATGTCGGGTGTGGGATTAGTTAGCCAGCTATTTGTTTTCGGAAGCATGGACTTGATGGTGGACGAAGCCAACGTTTACGTGTCCTGAGGCATAATGAATTGAAAATACTTTCCTTCATTTGGTATCTTTTGTTGTAAAAAACCATCATAGCTCTGCAGGTCATATACTCTCTTGTGTTTACATATTATAATACTGGATAAGTTTATTAAGTCTAATATGAGGATGTTTCATCAGCTAAATTATAGGGTACTGAATTTGATACCAGTTAATAACAGTGAATGCCAATAAGATCTATCAAAGCTAATTGTTTTATTTTAAACTACGGTATATTTTTAAATCCCATCCCAGGTAAACTTCTGGCTGGCAATGAATACATATTCAGAGTGAGAGCAGAGAATAAGTACGGTGTAGGTGATGCGGTGGAATCAGCAGAATCTGTTGCAAAGAATCCATTCACCATTCCATCTAGCCCTGGAGCACCAGAGATCACTTCAGTAACTAGAAGTTCTGTGACATTATCCTGGACTCGTCCAGTGAATGATGGTGGCTCAGAAATAACTCAATACATTGTTGAAAAGAAACAGCGCAATGGATCGAGATGGATCAGAGCTAACAGACAGAGGGTTATGGACTTGCGATACAAAGTTATAGACTTGATAGAAAATCAAGAATATGAATTCAGAGTGTCTGCAGAAAACGCGGCTGGCGTCGGGCCAGTATCTGAAACATCACCATTTGTTTTGATTCAGGACCCCAAATATCCACCAGAGGCTCCTTCACATTTCCAAGGTAAATAAGAGAATTTTTCAGATTTCAAAATTCAGATTAAGTACAGTATGTGCTACTAAAGAGTTGTTTTATTTGGTATTATTTTAGCTTCTTTGATTAATTTCACAACATTAACGATTTTTTTTTATTCAGTTGACGATACTACAAAGTCATCAGTTTCTCTTAGTTGGGCACCACCAACATTCGATGGTGGAAGTAAAATACTTGGATATGTAGTTGAGATGTGTAAAATCAAGAAACGATCAGGCTCCGTCTCTTCTACCACCAGTCGGGAGCAATCTAGAGATGATTACAGCAGCATCTTATCTGCATCTACTGTGCAAGATGACGATATGCCACAATCACCAATATCATCAACTGGTGATGATTGGTTGAAAGTATCAGGGACGCAGTTGGTTCTAGATACATTCTTTGTTGTTACTGGTCTGAAGGACAAATACCGGTATTTGTTTAGAGTGGCTGCTGCCAATGCAGCTGGGGTTGGAATTCATGCTATGTTGAGGTGAGAATATCTATATTCAGCAGAATGCTGCAATGAATTCTATCATATTACCTCAGATTAGTAATACTTTTAAAACAATATATATTATAATATTCCATTTTGCTATGTAGATCGCCAGTTGCTTGTGTTGAAAGATATGAAGCACCAGAATTAATCTTGGATGAAACTGTTCGTCGACATGTTACCGTCAAAGCTGGTGGAACAATCAATCTATTCATTGCTTATAGAGGAAGGCCAGTGCCTAGTATTACATGGGCAAAGGCAGATACCAAGGTTTGTTGACAGCATATTTAAGCTATTATGAGAGGATATCCCATATGATATGTAGTTTATTATCACATTTGTGTTTTCTGTTGCTTGAGATCAATTGAACAATTGTGGCATCTTATTTACTAGGACGAAGTATTGAGAAAACGTGCTGATATCGACACCACCGATCATCATACTACACTTGTAATCAATGATGCTAACAGATATGATGCAGGAAGTTATATGCTTTCTATTGAAAACAATCAAGGATCAAAAGACTTTGTCTTTGCTGTAAAGGTGAGTTCAACATCTGTGTTGCAAAAGAATATCGTGATACTAATCTATTCAATATCTATTTTCAAAAGCACTGTTTACATATTATTCCTCTTTCCCAAATGTTTATAAGAATTACAAAATTTATTATGTATTCTCTTTTCAGGTATTGGACACATCCGGCCCAGTATCAGACTTGCGTGTGGCCGATGTCACCAGCAATTCTGTTACATTGAAATGGCACGCACCTGAAAACGATGGGGGAGCAGTTGTTACTAATTTTGTCATTCAAAAGAAGGAAACTGCACGCAAAGCTTGGACAACCGTCACAACTGATTGTTCACGCAACTCGTACAAGATTACTGGCCTCAATGAGGGAGATGTGTACATGTTTAGAGTTCTCGCTGAAAATTCCCTCGGACTTGGGGAGCCGGCAGAAACTTCTCCTGTCAAGATATCAATGAAGCCGTCAGCACCAGGAAAACTCAGTTTTATTGATTCCACAAATTCATCTGTGATATTGGCTTGGACTAAACCAGAACATAATGGAGGAAGTGATATTACTGGGTATGGTTTTTTTTTAATTTCTATTCCATTCATAAAGTTTGGGTATCACTTCTTGGACCGGTATTCATATTAAGCAGGTAGTGTCTGTTTTTTTTTAGGTTGAATGGATTTTTTTTGTTCTTTAGTGATCATGGCTTTCGGTATTATTGTGGTTTTAAAAAAAAAATAAATATAGTCATGTAATCTTTAGATTATCGCCTAGATATGTGGTTGAGATGACTCCAACAGGATCGGAAAAATGGCAACAATGTGCTTCTGTAAATGCATTAACTGCAACAATCAAGAATCTGGAGCAAGGCAAACAATATAATTTCCGTGTCAGAGCTAAAAATGAGAAGGGTCTTAGCGATTCAACCTCCATGGCACCAGTAACTGTGAAAGAGCTAACTGAATCTGCTGATGTTGATCTGAGAGATTTGCCCGTTGGTGGTATTCACAAGAGGGCTGGAACCAACATTACGATATCTGTGCCAATTAAAGGTTTGTGATGTACTTCTTTACTTTGAAAGATTGCTTGAATTTTCAAAGATAATGTTTTTCTTGTTAATCAATTAAAGTGTCATTTATATTAATAAAACATTGTATTAAGAAGTTTATTAATGGCTAATTGCAGGAAAACCAAAACCTGAAATCAAGTGGAAGAAAGATGGTGATGAACTGAAACAGACTTCAAGAGTTTCAACATCAACATCGGCGCTGGACACAACTATAACTATTAAAGATTGTCAACTAACTGATTCTGGAAATTACGAAATTATTGCAAAGAATAGTGCTGGCGAAAAAACTGGTGAGAAATATTCAAATTTGCTAAATAGGATTGCTTTGAGTTACAAGCATATTAAATTAATAGAGAAGAAAGTGCACAATATTGAGAGAACTTGATATATTTTAGGTTTTGAAACTTTTACCAAGATTTCTGATTCCATTTTTTTTACGCAATCATAAATATGTCACTCTTCAGCTAAGATTTTCCTTATCCTTTATTTTCCAGGAAAATTCAAGATAACGGTTCTTGACAGACCAGGACCAATCTCTGATCTGGCAGTTGATAGTGTAACTGAAAGCACAGTATCATTGACATGGACTCCACCTACTGAAGACAGTGGTTGCCAGATTAGCAATTATGTTGTACAAATGCGAGAATCTGATTCGGATATGTGGTTTGATTGTGCTGCTACAGCTGTCAGACCAAAAATAAAGGTATGACACCTTCTTTTCTATAGACACCTGCTTTTGTATAGCTGTATAGCTAGTGTTTTTCACATCGTTCAAAATGTGATAAAAGTTAAGTTTTTACTGATTGAAAAAGAAAGACTGTTGATAAACTATTTGTATACAGGGGCACCAATAAAATTATTAATAAATTCTCATCAGTGACTACCCTTATTGAACTTTTATTTCTATTCAGATCACCAAACTAACACTTGGAAAAGAATACCAATTCCGTGTTGCAGCTGAAAATAGATTTGGATGTGGCAACTTTGTTGTTTCTGATAAAGTACTAGTTGAGTTCCCATTCAAGGTTCCAGGACCTCCCAGCACACCCGAGGTTTGTACAATTTATATCAAAACCTTGAAACCTTAAAATGTATGTTCAATTTATTGCAAAAAATGGAAGCAAGTCTTACAATATTATTTTCCTGTATACTAGGTGTCTGCTGTCACCAGTGATCACATCATCATTCGCTGGAATGAGCCTGTTCATAATGGTGGAAGTCCAGTTACTGCTTATCATGTTGAAATGAAAGACCGAAACAGCATATTGTGGCGCAAGGCAAACAGAATTGATATTCATGACACATCATTCAAAGCTACTGGACTTCAGGTGATTTACGTCGATACTTCCTTATATCATACTATGCCAACCAACTTAATTTGTTTGAGGAATTTTATTTGATATTACCCATCTCTCATTGTATATTACATTTAATCATCAAAATCGTTTTTCAGTCTGGACTTGAATACGAATTCAGAGTTTATGCGGAAAATGCCGCCGGTTGTGGAAACCCAAGTCACTCAAGTGGACCAATCATGGCGATTGATCAAGTCTCTCAGCCACGTATGGTAGAAGTCACTGGAGTAACAAGAACAACTGCAGATGTGGTCTGGATAAAGCCAGAAAATGATGGTGGAGCACGAATTACTGGATATACTATTGAACGCCAAGAGCAGCCAGATGGACGTTGGTTAAAATGTAACTTCAGCAATGTTTCAGAGTGCAAATTCACAGTCACCAGTTTGATGGAAAACACAACATATAAATTCCGAATCATAGCTAAAAATGCAGCTGGCTCTGTATCGCAGCCAAGTATTCCATCTGAAGACATAACTTGCCAAGATGTGTTTACACCACCAAGATTAGACCTTGATCCAAGCTTAAGAGAAACAATTGTTGCTAAAGTAAGTGAATATAACTCATAACAAATATAGTAATAAATATAAACTGTTCCATACCCCCAAGTTCTGTAATGTTTGTTAATTTTTTTTAAGGCCGGAGAAAACATCAAAATTGCTGCATCCATATTTGGAAAACCACCACCTACAGTTACCTGGAGCAAGGAAAGGGTTGAACTTGAACATTCACCAAAGACTGAAATTAATGTAACAGATTCATCTACAACTCTGGCCATAAACAATGCCAACAGAGACGATTCTGGCGAGTACTTACTGCAACTGAAGAACTCCGCTGGCACAAGGTACGTATTGTTTAAATGCCTTGACTGTGGATCACTGAAGAAAGGCAATTTTGTTTTCAAGTAATAAAGCTGTATATATCACTGGTATAATTCGAATCTCACTTCTTGTTTATAGATCAATTGCAATCAACATTAAAGTTCTGGACCGTCCAGGACAATGTGTTGGGCCATTGGAAATCGGTGAGGTGACTTCAGACAAATGTCGTCTAACTTGGAAAGCCCCATTGAACACCGGAGGTGCGCCTGTCATGCATTACGTTGTTGAAAAACGAGAAACTTCACGATTAACTTGGAGCAGAGTTGATTCAGCAGTTGAAGCATTGACTTTAAAGGTTTGGAAATATCTCTACCTTATTTTGTCGAAATTATGACTTGATGCTTTATATAATACTGTTATTACTGTATAATAGGAATATATACTTTCGTATTTTACATATTTTTCATATACTACATATGTTCACTTGTTTCATTATCAGGTTGCTCATCTTCTGAAAGGCAATGAATACATATTCAGAGTAATGGCAGAGAACAAATATGGAGTAGGAGTTCCACTTGAATCAGCTCCCATGTTGGCAAAAGATCCTTTCACCCTTCCTGGAGCACCGGGAAAACCAGAGGTAAGTTAGGCTTGGTTGAAGTTAAGCTTTAGCAACTCAAACATCTGATTGGAGTAAGTATTTTCTCATTACTGACCGCGCTCACAAAAAACATGCAAAACATTTTTGTATTTTTCATCCCAATGTCACGTCTTTTACAGATTTCAAGTGTGAGCAAAAACTCTGTTGTTCTCTCATGGACTCGCCCAGAATTTGATGGAGGAAATGAAATTACTGGATATCATATTGAAAGAAAGGAAAGAAATTCAGTTCGATGGACTAGAGCAGTCAGAAGGTAAATTATTGATTTGATTATTGTGTTTATTTACTTCAATAAACCATATTTTACACTTTATGTATTCTTTATAATTCTTATTTCTACAGAGCTGTCACCAGCCTACACCACAAAGTATCAGGCCTGACAGAAGGCTATGAATATGAATTCAAAGTTGCGGCAGAAAATGCAGCCGGAACTGGTGTCTTTTCCAATCCTAGCGCTCCTGTAATGTGCCAGGAGCCTGTCTATCCACCTGGACCAACTGGAATTCCCAAACTTGTAGACTCAACAAGAAGATCAGTTACTTTGTCTTGGACTCCACCTTCTTTTGATGGTGGTGCGGCTGTTGCTGGTTACCATGTTGAGGTGTGCCCTGCGGAAGCTGACACAGAAACCTGGTCAAAATGTACACCTTCCACTGGTGTTAAGTCAACTGAATACACCATTCCAGATTTGCAGGTGAGAAGAAATTACATAGATTTCATAAAGGATTCAGTAAAAACTAATTTTCAATATGCATTACCTATACTTATACAAATTTGCAATAAATGATGTTCTTGCATTATTTCTTATACAAGAGACTCATACTTCAATGTTCATTACAGGAGGGTAAGCAATACAAATTCAGAGTGCTTGCATTCAACACTGCTGGCCTAGGTGATCCATCTGTACTTCCAGTTGCTGTTCAGGCGGCAGAAAGATTTGAACCTCCTGAAATATCTCCTGATGGTGATCTCAGAAAGAACTTAGTTGTGAGAGCTGGAAATTCTATCAGGTACAATATGGTTTCAACATTATTCCTTCCAACATTATTGAATAATTCTATTAACGATAATCGATCTTTTTGTCTAATTCAAAACCTCATTACTTCAGGATTTTTGTACCTGTCAAAGGAAGACCTGCCCCGACCATTCGTTGGACAAAAGAAGGGGTTACAAACCTTGGCGATCGTGCCCAAATTGATTCAACAGATTATGGAACTACTTTGCTTATATCTGAAGCAAACAGAGATGATTCTGGAAAATACATTTTACATCTTGACAACAGTTCTGGAGCTACCTCAGCAAGCTGCAATGTTAAAGTGCTAGATTCTCCAGGACCCTGCCAAAACTTAAATGTAAGCCTTTGTCAATTGCTTATCCACAAATCATTGCTAATTTCACAATTTTTTTCAATTGAACAATTATTTTCAATTGCGAAAAAAACGTTATTTTAGGTCAACGATGTATGCAAAGATTCTGCAGTCTTTTCATGGCAACCACCATTAAATGATGGAGGATGTCATATCACAAACTACATTGTTGAAAAGAAAGAGTCTGGTAGAAAAGCATGGTCAACTGTGAACACTGGATGCCAGAGAACCCATCTGAAAATATCTTTGAGCGAAGGAATGACTTATTTCTTCCGGTAAGCGATTCATGACAAGTTATTGAACTTGTGCTGCAAAAGTATTCCAATAAATTCTCTTGATGCTGTTCCAAGGATGCTTCCATGTATTATATATACTTTACAAATACCAAATTTAGAATCTGTATGATTGACGGTAGAAGATTTTTTTACAGAGCTTAATTTATACCAATCTAATGTTGTAGGGTCATGGCTGAGAATGAACAAGGTATTGGTGTCCCAGCTGAGACTGAGCAACCTACCAAAGCTACTGAAGTACCATCGTCACCAGAGAACTTTGAACCTATTGATGTCACTAAATCATCAGTAACTTGGCAATGGAGCAAACCAGAACATGATGGGGGAAGCAAAATACTTGGATATGTTGTTGAGGTAAGTGGTCTAGTGGAAACAGTTTTTCTATTTAATATCGCACAACCAAATATATTGTCATGCTGCTATTGCGAAATCTATTTTGATTTTGTGTGTAACTTAGTAATAAAAGTTATTCTTTTGTTTACAGTCACTTGAGAAAGACCAGAACAAGTGGGTCAAACGTGCAACGGTCAAGGAAACGCAAGCCCGCATTCAAAACCTAAAAGAAGGACGCGAATATGCTTTCAGAGTCTCTGCTTTCAATGATGCCGGACTTTCAGATCCCAGAGAAGCCAGTTCATTGGTGATGATCAAGGATACTTTACTAACTCCAACCTTGGACTTGCAGCAATTGCCACATGGTGTTATCCATGTTAAAGCTGATACTACACTTAATCTTGAGGTAAACATTTCGTTTTATTCTCCTACTACCCTATCATGAAACAAATACCTGCCTGTCGTGCTATCACAATGTTTCTGTATTAAAATAGATGTATATTTACAGATACCATACACTGGAAAACCAGCTCCAAAAATCAAGTGGGCAAGAAACGGTGAACGAATTAAAGAAGGCAAACGCATCAGTTTTGAAAGCCTTAGACCATCTATCGCATTATTACAAGTGAAAAATGTCACACAAGTATGTATGCTACAAGCTCTGTTGCGTTATAATTAGCTTTCTTTGTGACGAACGTTACATATCCAGGTATATGAAAGTTAAATATAAATTTGTTTTTAGGATGATGCTGGCGAGTATGAAATTGTTGCCGAGAACCAGGCAGGAACAAAATCTGCTAAGATCAAAGTTGTTGTTTTGGATAAACCAGGTCCTGTTAAAGAACTTACAGTTACTGAAGTTACAGATGTGTCAGCAACACTGAGCTGGAAATCCCCAGTGTCTGATGGAGGGTCAGCAATAAGGTAAATAAAGCAATAATTCTTCATCTTGTATTTTGACCCCTAGCTCATATATTGTAATATAAGTGAGTTACGGTATCTATGGTATCTATTTGTACATGGATTTTCTGTTTTTTCATCCATATAAATATTTTTTGTTTTTTCCCTTTCTGTTTTTCATTTGCTTTTTTCTGATATTAAAATTTCATTGGTTAATTTTTGTTACCACTGCTTGGGTAAACTGTCTTATGAGAATTCTTTTATTCTGACATTCTGCACTTTGTTTAGTTCATACATTGTTGATCTTCGAACATCTGAAGAGCCAACATGGAGAGAAGTCTCATCCTCTGTTGTTCGCAATACATTCAAATGCACCAAACTAGTCCTTGATAAAGAATATACATTTAGAGTAAGAGCAATCAACAGATTTGGACTAGGGCCTGTGACCCTGACTGAACCTGTTGTCATCCAACTTGGATATTCGGTAAATATTTCTTTTTACTTCTTTTCTAGCTCATTTTATATTTAAGGATTACCGGTAGTAAACTTCCACTACCATTCTTCATACCCAGGTTCCTGAAGCTCCATTGGCTGTCAAAATCACTGCTGCATCCAAAGAATCTATGTCAGTAAAATGGGAAGCACCTGAAAAGGATGGTGGCAACCCAATCACTGGATACCACGTTGAAGGAAAAGACCGAAATAGCATAACATGGAAGAAAATGAACAGGTGGGCTATCGTGAATTTTTACTACGCTTTTGACTGTATTGTGATTTTATTGTATTTTATCTGCAATTTACATCCACAATCTATGTAACTTTAGTATGCAGTCCATATTAAAAGTCTTACATCCTTGAGTGCAGAGCAGTTTCGTGAAATGTTCTTTCTTCTAGGTCTTTGATCAGAAGCATGCAATTCAGAGCTACTGGTCTCCAAGAAGGACTTGAATATGAATTCAGGGTATATGCTGAAAATGCTGCTGGAATCGGTAAACCAAGCAAACCTTCTGCTACTGCAATTGCCAGAGATCCTGTAGACAAACCAAGAGATGTTGAAGTTGTAGACATCAGGTAAATCCCCATAGGAAACTCTGTAATATAGATTTAAACAAGATTATCATTATATAAATTATATTAGTTTTGAAAATAATCATAAATATATTGCAATGAACCACTAGTGCAAACATAGGTTTATGGTGCATTAGTACCGTTTCACCCTCGTATTCTTTCTCGTAAGACAAAACTATTAAGCTGTAATACTTGATGTTTTTTTCTGTTGTAGCCGCTCAGCTTGCTCACTTCGCTGGAAGAAGCCAGAATATGATGGTGGGCAAAAAATAGTTGGATATGTAGTGGAAAGGAGAGATTGCCCTAATGGAAGATGGACAAAAGGAAGCTTCAGTATCATACCAGACAATGAATATACAGTAACTGGTATGTTGGTGTACTATATAATATTGCTCAAATGTTAGACCTGGCATTCCATTTTTTGTTGAATTCTTTCTCCCATCATTTTGGAACTCTTCATTCCTCCTCGCTATGCATCAAAAGTGCTTCATTTATTCAATCTTTAATGTATCCTAAGAGAGTGCTATGCACACATCGCACCCTTGCATTTGTAAAGTTTCAAGTAGTTTATAATGTGTGCATAAATAAGTATTTTCGTGACCTTGAAGAACCAAATAATATTAGTAATATTACAGCAAATACAAAGCAGTATTCCTTCCCAAAAACGATAGAACTCCTTTCTGATTGGGAAAAGTAGAGTTCAACCTGTTTATAATCAAATCACTCTTTCAGGATTAACTGGTGGAATGGAATATGAGTTCCGCATCATTGCCAAGAATGCTGGAGGAGTGTTTAGTGAACCATCTCACAGTACTGGACCAGTGAAATGCGAGGATGATTATAGTAAGTGCTCTGTTATGCTATATGGGCGACCAGATTTCAACCTCTAGCTAGATATTTCAAATACTATAGACCCGTGAAATATGAGGATGATAAATGCTGTGTCCACTTTAGGTTAGTATGCTTTCACGTGCAGTCACTCGACTCTTTTCGGCTCGGCTTTTCTCGACGCCGGCTAACTTTATTCTTGGAAGCTTCAAAGACTATGGCTAACAAATATCACTTATCACATTATAGAACCACCACGAATTGATCTGGATCCTCATCTCATTGAAGAAGTCAAAATATCAGCAGGTTCTACACTTCGTTTGCACGTTGGAGTACAAGGCAAACCGACACCTGCAGTGGTTTGGTCTAAAGATGGCTCTGAAATTCGATCAGACATTAGACGTGTATTAGACAGTGCTGTGGACCATAGCAGTCTTGTTATAAAAGACTGCAGTAGGTCAGACACTGGAACATACGAAGTTACAGCAAAGAATGCTTGTGGGGAGAAAACTGTACAAATTAAAGTGCTTGTACTGGGTAGGTTTGCTTAATTGGGTTCTTATGTACCATTGAACATATATGTATGTAACTATATGATTTTTTGACATTTTTGTCTTTTTCGCAATAAACACTCAGATGCTAAAGTTTTCATTAAATTCTATTGCAGACAAACCTGGACCTCCAACTGGACCAGTTAAATTCTCAAGATTGACTGAATCTAGAGTTACCCTTGGCTGGGAAGCACCCGTACAAACTGGTGGCGCCAAGATCACTGGATATGTTGTTTCTAAGAGAGAAACCTCTAGATTAACATGGTATGTCTCGTTCTCAACCATAATCAATAATAATAATTTACTGCATTCATTTGAATATGTATTCTGTCTTGCAGGTCTGTTGTATCGGAAATGGTTGAACATTGTTCCCTCACTGTTCAACGTTTAATCAAAAACAATGAATATCAGTTCCAAATACAGGCTGTAAACAAGTATGGAGTTGGAGAACCCTTGATATCTGAGCCAATTATTGCAAAGAACACATTTTGTAAGTCTGGTATAGTATTTGTTAACATTCCACAAAACTGTGTATATCCCGTTTCATCAAATGCCCAAAGTTAACTGTTTTTGTTACAGTATTTACCGGTATAAGCTGAAAGTATACACAAATTTTTCTGACGAAATATAAAATTTTATTGTTTTGTTGTTTAGCTGAGCCAAGTGCACCTGGTATGCCAGAAGTGAGCAGCGTTTCATCAACTGGCTGCATTGTCATGTGGACAAGACCTGAAACAGATGGTGGTTCCGACATTGAAGGATATGTCTTGGAACGCAGAGAAAGAAGAAGCCCAAGATGGATTAAATGTAGCAAGAAACTCATCAGAGATTTGAGGTTAGATATTTTATTTGTAATCCAAAACCATCTATGAATTCTCCTTTTTATAACATTTCTTAAAATTTCAGATTGAAGGTCACTGGTCTTACACCCAACAATGAATATGAATTCCAGGTTGCTGCTGTTAATGCAGCAGGAACTAGTCAATTCAGTGCTGCTTCTTTTTGTGTCATTATGAGAGACCCCATTGGTAAGTAGGTAGTAAGTACCAGTAAGTACACGTAGTACCATGTACATTCATAGTAATGCACCACCCATTCTGAATCGTTAAATTGACTTCACTTATTGTTTATCCTTCATTAGATGTTCCTGGACCTCCAAGTAACTTCCGTATCAAGGACAGCACAAAGTCTTGCATCACTCTGGCTTGGAACAAACCAGCATATGACGGTGGATGCACGATCACTGGTTACATGGTTGAAATTAAAACTTTGGACAAGGTGGATGAACAAACTGAAGAAAGCGAAGGCTGGAATGTGATTGCTAGTGATATCATTAGCACTACGTATGATGTTAAAAGATTATCCAACGATAAGTTTTACCTGTTCCGCGTTTCCGCTATCAATAAGGGTGGAGTTGGTGAACCAGCAACATTGATTGGTAAGTATTACATTTCAGAAAATGTTAACCCAAACGTAGTCCGATGCATTACTAATGCCGCCATTCAATTATTAGGTGCAGTAAAACCAGAAGACCGACTTGAACCTCCTGACTACGAGCTGGATTCATCTCTGCGTAAAACAATAATAGTCAAGGCAGGCAGTTCAGTAAGTGTCGATGTTCCTATCAAAGGAAGACCCACGCCGAATATCACTTGGACTAAAGGTGAGCAGAAGCTATATATGTGAAAATGTTGTGTGAAATAAAGATTTGTTGGAAAAATTCAATAGACAATAAAATACCAAAATGCTCATGGAAATAACTCTTCTTTTTAAGGTGATGTCAATGTAACGACAAACCCTCGAATTCAAGTTGAAAATACTGCAGCAAAAACAAGATTGATTATACAGGACTGTAACAGAGATGATAGTGGAAAATACTCCCTTGCTTTAGAAAATGCCAGCGGAGTTGGAAATACATTCATCAGCATTAAAGTTCTTGGTAAGAAATCAATAGGATTAAAATTTTTGATGGTCTTCAGTATTTATGATAGGAGCTGGAATATGAATGGAAATATATAAATAATATTAAATACATGATTAAACTTACTGATTAAACTTACTCCTTACAGACACTCCAGGACCTCCTGGGTCAATCAGATTGAAGCATGTTACTCAAGAAGATGCTTCAATTGCTTGGGATGCCCCAGCAGTTGATGGTGGATCAGAGGTGTTCAACTACCGGGTAGAAAAACGAGAGACCACCCATCGGGCATGGACTGTCGTACATGCTGAATGCAGCAAGACTGCTTGCAAGGTAAGTTATCATAATTTTTATATTTAACTAGATAAGACATAATTACCGGTAGTATAAAGACTAATAAACATGTTGAACTGCTTCTTATAGATTGATAACTTACAAAGAGGTGCAAGCTATTTCTTCCGTGTTATGGCACAAAACTCGCAAGGTCTTGGCGTTCCATCAGAATCAGAAATGGTTATTGCTACTGGTAAGCTGTTTTTCATAATACAAATTATTGAAACTTAAAAAGTTCATTTGAAATATCACTTTTTTCATGTCTTCCAGAAAATCCATCTCCTGTCAATGACCTAAAAGTCAGTGGTATCACCAACCACTCCATTTCCTTACATTGGGTAAGACCTGATCAAGATGGCGGCACTCCTATTCAGAGCTATCATGTGAAATATGCAGAAAAGGATTCCGATGATTGGCAAATACAGAAAACTAGGTATTTTAATCTGAATTTCATCCGTATATTTCACATAAATAATTAGTATACTTGAGTTTTGAAATTATTTTCTTATAATTTATTTTCATCAGACAACCCAACGCTTTGATTGATAACCTCTCCACTGGTAAATTGTACGAGTTCCAAGTTGCTGCCCACAATGAAGCTGGACTTGGACCATGGGAATCTATTGGCCCTGTAACAGTTCGAGAAGTAACAAATGCTCCAACTGCTGATATCAGCTCTCTATCCAAAGGCAATGTTATAAACGTTCGGCAAGGAACACAATTACAGCTAGAGATTCCAGTACATGGAAAACCAAAACCAACTGTATCTTGGACAAAAGAACGAATTCCTTTGAAACGTAAGTGTCTTATTGATATGCTGATATTGTTGTTTAATTCTTTCAAAATAACCGAGTTTTTAATCTTTTATATTGTTTTTAGAAACAGAAAGAGTTATATATGAAACAATTCATGATAACGCAACTCTGAAAATCAGAAAAGTTGAAAAATCAGATGCTGGTCAATATTATTTGATGTTGGATAATTCTTGTGGGAGAAAAGAAGTACCTTTGACTGTTAATGTATATGGTAAGTACCGAGTAACTTTTTATTTCAGTTTTTCTGCATCACATGGGCCTGATGGCGCGGAAGAAGAATGCATATTTGAAGCAAAGTGAGTTCAGTGCCAATTGTATATGCTTGGTAAATGAAGTAATATCTCAAAGCTCCTACCATACATAATGCTGAATATACGGTAAATCAACAAAGAAGCTTAATCACACCCTACACTCAAGGTGCCTTCGAGGTTGCTCAACAGTTATGGCGTGACTAATGCGTGAATCGTACCCCGTTAAATGCACATGCTTGAAATACCGTTAATTTTATGTGCCATTGAATATTGGTTGATTAGTAATTTGTATATTTATATTTCAGGTCATCCAGGAAAGATTAGTTCTCTGGATGTTGTTGAAATCACTGCTGAAAGTGCTGTGCTTAAATGGTCTCCTCCAGAAGACAATGGCGGTGCTGATGTCACAAACTATATTGTTGAAAAACATGACACTGCTGGAACTGGGTGGATGTCTGTGAGTGCAAGCTGCAGTAGAACGGTCATCAAAGCCATCAAGCTTTCTCAAGGCAGAGGATATGTATTCAGAGTAGCTGCTGAAAACAAATATGGACTTGGAGAATTCACAAACTCAGATGAAATTGTTGCACAACATCCTTTCAGGTGAGAAATTACTAACTCATTGTGTTTTTCACTTATATTCTATGTCATATGCTGAGATTGTCGTTGTAGTACTTTTAGGTCTCATTATACATCTCATTTTGAAGTTTGGCAACTTGCCTGAAATTTCCGTTCTGTGTGTTTGTCTTGTTAATAGTACCGTAATTATTTTTTACATTGGGGTAGTTCAAAATAACTTCTTTTTCAATTACTGCAGAGTACCAAGTACACCACCCCAACCAGAAATCGAAGAAGTCAATGCTGACTCCATGGTCATCAATTGGGATGCTTGCGTTTCTGACGGAGGTTCAGAAATAACAGCATACCATATTGAAAAGAAGGAGCGAAATGCTATCTTGTGGACTAAAGTTTCTTCCATTACTGCAAAGAAACGGGAATACAGAGTCCCTGGTTTGACAGAGGTAAATGGTTTTGTTGAATATCTTGAAAAAACATTTATTCTTTTTATAGTTTCAAACGTGATATTATATTTTTTCAGGGCCTGGAATACCAATTCAGAGTCATTGCAGAAAACAGAGCCGGATTGAGCGATCGAAGTGAACCAAGCAAATTCGAACGAGCCAGAAACATTGTCAGCCCACCTGGTTGTCCAGACTGGACAGATATAACAAGAGATTCCGTGTCACTGATATGGACTCCACCCAAAAATGACGGAGGAAGCAAGATTGTTGGATACAATGTAGAAAAGAAATCTGGTAAGTCCTAATTTTGAAAGGCAACATATCCAACTGAAGAAGTTCAATTGGCTTTCCAATTCATTAATTTTAATTCTTGCAGGTGAAGATGGTCGATGGTTAAAATGTAACTACACCAACATTCAAGTGTGCGAGTTCACAGTAACCGGTCTGAATACAGGAGATTCGTATCAATTTAGAATCACAGCTAAGAACGCTGCTGGTACCACAAGCAAGCCTTCATTGCCAAGTGTTGAAGTTGTCTGTAGAGATGATTTCAGTAAGTATCAGGCATATTTTTTGTTAGAATATCACAATTTCAACAAGCTAATAATTTCATTTGTTAACAATTTTTTAGAACCACCCAATATTCAACTGGATTCTGAAATCGCTGATGGACTGACAACAAAAGCTGGTGTAACGCTAAAACTCAAAGCAATCATCACTGGAAAACCAGTTCCTAAAGTGACTTGGGCTCAAAATGGAAATGAAGTTGTACCTAATGCACAGGTATTGTATTATTGAATAATAGAGATAATAGCAAAGTTTTATTAGATCATAAATAAATATCAATACTTTATTATCTTGTTTGCAGATTGAAATTGAATATGCTAAAGGCATAGCCACTTTGATCATCAAAGAGTGCAATAGAACAAATACCGGACATTACACAATCACAGCAAAGAATGCCTGTGCAACAAAGACTATGGACTTTAAACTTCAAGTTCTTGACAAACCTGGCCTACCCGAAGGCCCTGTCAAGTTTACTTCTCTCACAAATGAAAAGGTTACACTCTGGTGGGGATTGTGCAAGGAAACTGGAGGAGCTACTGTTGAAAGTTATGTGATCGAGAAAAGAGAAACAAGTCGGCTGAATTGGGCATTGGTAAGTGTTGCTTCCATCCAAGTGGATATAATAATGAGGACGATTAGGTTGCCTGCCACTATCATAACATGAATATTTGGATATCACTTATATATACTTTATTTTTCAGATATCTGCTAACTGCACTTCAAACAACATTACTGTTAATCGCCTCATCAAGAACCATGAATATCAGTTCAGAATTTCAGGTCAAAACAAATATGGTGTTGGAGAACCTTTGATTTCTGAGCCTGTAACGGCCAAAGTTTCATACACTGTTCCAGATGCCCCTGGACGCCCTGAATATTCAACATCAACTCCTGATTCTATCACTATTTCGTATGCTCGACCAAAGAGCGATGGTGGTAATGAGATTACAGGTAAATAAAATATTTCATTTGTTAATTCTAATTGTTTCTGTACAATATTTCATGCACCCTGTACAATATTTCATGCACGACGGAAATAAATATCTGAATGTGTTCGATAATATGTGCGGCCTTTAATCGTTGTATTGTTATTATTCTTCAGGATATCACATTGAAAGACGTGAACGAAAAGGCATGCGATGGGTGCGAGCAAACAAAAGTCCAGTTACTGAGCTTCGTTACAGGGTTACAGGACTTTCTGAAGGGCACGAATATGAATTCAAAGTCAGTGCTGAAAATGCTGCTGGACTTAGCAAACACAGTGAGCCATCAGCCTTGATCATGTGCAGAGAACCAATTGGTGAGAATTTTTTGAATATTTGGTGGCAATGCTTACATATATTAAATTCAAAGCTAACTAGAAAGAAACTAGCTTTGGAATTCAACGATTTAAAAATCTATGCAATGCTGTGTCTGGTTGCCAATTGTCATTTGTATCTTTTAGGCACACCTGGTGCGCCTGGCATTGCCAGAGTCACTGACACCACCAGGACCACTGTTGCAATATCTTGGACGCCACCTAATTATGATGGAGGAAGCAAGGTGCTTGGATACAATGTCGAATCTCGAAAGACAACTCAGGGTAAGCCATAAAATTTTATTACCTTTTTATACTTTTTGACAAACATCTTCAAATTTTCAAATTATTTAAATTAAAATTTGTAACAGGTGATGAAGTTGATGATGAATGGGTTAGAATGAACCCAGACACAATTAAAGGTTGTGAGTACATTGTACCCAACCTAACTCCGGGAACAGAGTATAATTTCAGAGTTAAGGCAGTCAATGCCGCAGGTGTAGGAGAGGCAACAGAAGTTTCTGGAAAGGTATGGTGTTATTCTTATAGCTAATGTTTCTTGATGCAATAATTTGTTGTCAAAAGCAATTTTAAACCTATGTATTTGTTTATAAATTAAAACAATAACAAATTTTCAGATTATGGCTACTGACAAGCTTGAAGCTCCAGATTTCCAGATTGACGCAGACTTCCGCTCGCACTATGTAGTAAGAGCTGGAAACTCTCTGAGACTTTTCGTCATATATCATGGACGGCCAAGACCTACAGTGACGTGGACAAAACCAGATGTTGAGCTACAAGATCGTGCAGAAATAACTACCACTGATTATTCGACTCTTCTATTGATCAGCTCTACTACAAGAGATGACTCTGGCAAATATACATTGAGACTGGAAAGCAGTGCTGGAGAAAAAGTCATTCATTTGACTGTTAAAGTCCTAGGTGAGTTGATTTAATGGAAGCTATTTGTCGTAGATAAAAATTGGATTGGCTGTCACTGATCGAACTATTTTAATCCCAGATGCACCAGGACCGGTTGGCCACATCACTTGCAAAGAAGTTAATCGTGACTCTGTTACACTTGCTTGGGATTCTCCTGAAGTTGATGGCGGTGCCCATGTCAAGAATTACATCATTGAAAAAAGAGAAGTGTCGCGTAAAAGCTGGCAAACAGTCGCTACTAAATGTACAAGAAATACTTACAAGATAACAAAACTACAAGAAGGTACACAGTATTAAACTTGGATTTAGATAGACTGAGATGTTTTCTCTACTTTGCTGTTAGTAAATGGCGAGTCAGCAATTATTACCTTTTTTCTTTTTTCAGGACAAACCTATCTCTTCAGAGTCATACCAGAAAATGAGTATGGTATTGGAGTACCTAGAGAGACTGAAAATCCAATAACTGTAACAGAAGTGCCAGCGATTCCTTCAAAACTGGACGTGGAACAAGTTACCAAACATTCAATTACTGTTTCTTGGGGAAGGCCAGAGTATGACGGTGGTAGCCGCATCAGTGCCTACATCCTTGAAATTTGTGAAAAAGGATCTGATAAGTTCTCCGAGTGTGCAAGAACTAAGGGAACTGTATTTAGACATGTTATTGGAAATCTTCGCGAAGGTATCGAATATGAAATTCGTGTGAGAGCCAAGAATGAAGCTGGATTAAGTGAACCTAGAGAAGCATTCTCATCGATTATAACAAAAGATGAACGAAGTGAGTTTGCTTTTTATATAAATCATCAATGCCTAATTAATATGGGAAATAATTTATTATGCCACAAACCTTTCGCTATCAGTGTATTATGACGTGACCTCAATTTAAAGTTGGTGTATATATTTTAATAATAATTCTGTTCTTCTAATTATTCTATCAATTCTGATTAAGCTTGTTAATATTCTTTTTTCATTTCAGTTGCACCTGAAGCTGATTTACGAGGCATTTATCACAAAACAATTTCAGTAAAATCTGGCTCTACAATTAAAGCTGATATTCCAATTATTGGCAAGCCAACTCCTGAAGTGACCTGGACTGTTGCTGGGATCAAATTAAAAGGTTTGTGTTTCAAAGTATATCCGAAACAAGGCTATATAGAAAATATAAGTTTGTTTGGCTAATATTGTCTTTTCATACTTTGCAGAAAGTGATAGAGTTGCAATGTCAACTACTATTGACAACACAACATTAACAATCAGGAATGCAAAGAAATCCGATGCTGGAGATTATGAACTCAAACTTTCTAATAGCTCGGGTGAACAAAAACACAAAATACAAGTAGTTGTTCTAGGTGAGTGAAGTCTTCTATGTATGTATAGTTTTGGGCAATTTGAGTTTCTACACCATTATGCCAATGCACATTGGAATTGAGTGTTCGCATAATTTTATTAGAGCATATTGTATTCAACCATGAATGATTGATGTACGGTAATAAAACACAAACTATCATAATTTGCACCTGCATTAAATTTTTTTTATATTTAGACAAACCTGGTTCTCCAATGGGACCTATCGAGTTTTCTGAAGTATCTGCAGATTCCATTACAATATCTTGGAAACCACCACAAGAAACTGGTGGAAGTGAAATCACCAACTATGTTGTTGACTACAGAGAGTTTGGACGTGCTACTTGGTCACAAGTATCTGCGTGCACAACAAGAACTACAATCAAGGTAATATTATAACATAACAAAAGTTTAAATGAGAAATATATCTCTAATGAATGATTTACATTATGTACAATATGATTTTGCAGGTTGGAAAACTGGCACGTCATACTGACTACCAATTCCGTGTAATGGCTGAAAGCAGATTCGGACTTGGTGAACCTCTGGTGTCAGAGATCTGCCGTGCTGACTTCCAATGCAGTAAGAAACTACATTTTATTACTGTTGTATGTTGATCTATTTTGCACTTTTCTAATTTGTGATATCTGAAACTTTCAGCTGTTCCGAAACAACCAGGAACACCCAAGGTTACCAGTGTTACCAAAGATACTGCAACCATATCTTGGGATGAACCAGTCCATGATGGTGGAAGTCCAGTTACTGGTTATTATGTTGAGAAAAAAGAAAAGAACTCCATTTTGTGGCAGAAGGAAAATGAGAAACCAACTAAAAATATGACATATACAATCAAAGGTATGATCTATTAAATATAATGTGGATAGGTGGAAGATTTATAATGAAATTGGGAGAGAGAAAAAATGTTTCTTGAGAGAATGGTTGGTCATCATCTATACTATGTTAAATACTTTGTCTGCTGCAATTGTTAGACCATACAAGTTCTATCTAATGATGAGTGTCTAGGTTGGAAATGGGTGTCTAGGTCTAGTGGAAATATAAAGTGATACGGTATATATTTAACAGGTCTCTTGGAAGGATTAGAATATCAGTTCAGAGTACAGGCTGAAAATGCTGCTGGCTTGAGCAATTACAGCGATGTGAGCAAACCTGTCCAAGCCATTAGTTTGGTTGGCCCTCCAGAACAAGTAGAGGTTACAGATATGTCTAGAAACTCTATCACTCTATCCTGGCAACCTCCAATCGCAGATGGAGGAAGCAAAATTGCATCGTAAGTATTCACGATATCTGAATGATACAATTTCCTTTTTGATAGATACTTGTCCAATACAGTTTCATATGTATTGTAGATACACTGTTGAAAGGCGACATGTTCCAGATGGTCGTTGGTTGAAATGCAATTTCACAAATGTCACTGACTGCAGCTTTGAAGTAAGCGGACTTACACCAAATGAGTCCTACGAATTTAGAGTGATTGCAAAGAACTCTGTAGGAACTATCGGACAACCTTCAGATATATTGGGACCAGTCGTTTGCAAACCATCGTACAGTGAGAAATCTATTCATACAAATCCATTTAATACTTCCAACACGCACACCACACACCAATCAATAATTTTTTATTCAATGTTCAGAACCACCTATCATAGAACTAGACAGCAAACTTGTCTCAGAAGTTGTGCAAATTCGTGCTGGAAGTAACTTCAAATTGGAAGCAGAGATTCGTGGAAAGCCAGAGCCAAATGTGAGTAGCATGTTGTAGAATAGTTACACCCAGATCCATTGTAAACGGTCTGCTTGTAAATTGAGTTAACTGCTTCTGTTTAAAAAAACGTTTTGGTTTCTTGTAGGTATTCTGGTACAAAGGAGAGACTGAACTGGAAAGCTCTGATCATGTAAATGTTATATCTCAACCTGGTATGACTGGACTCAATATCAGAGATTGCAACAGATCAGATACTGCAAAGTATAGCTTAATGTTAAGAAATGAATGTGGCGAAAAGAAAGTTACTATAAACGTCAAAGTGTTGGGTAAGTAGAATTGCATGCACTGATAATAATACATTATATCAACAAGTATCAATGCTGTATTAGGTAATTCATATAGCAATAGTCAGTGAAATATTGTGGAAATGCATAAAATTTCTATGATTGTAGGTATAATGGCATTTGAATTCAAGTCCTGATATTCGACCAAAAATACCATTCTTAAATTTGACAATAATTTTCATATTTCACAGATACTCCTGGGCAGCCTAAAGGACCAATACAATTCAGCCGAGTTACAAGTGAAAAATGCAATATTGCATGGGAAAGGCCAGAAGAAGATGGCGGTGCTGAAATAACACATTATGTTGTCGAAAAGAGAGAAACATCTCGATTGAGTTGGGTTTCTGCCTATGAATGCATTGAACATACTAGCTGCACTGTAACCAAGTTGATTGCCAACAATGAATATATTTTCCGTGTATCAGCAGTCAACAAATATGGAAAAGGACCAGCACTTGAATCATCGCCCCTAATAGCGAAGAATCAATTTGGTAAGATAATATAATGATTCACTCGTTAAAAGTCCTGAGCCTGACATTTCCTTTAACTGTGAAATTGTTTGTTCACGCCAGGTGTTCCGTCTGCACCAGGCAAACCTGAAGTTGTTGCAACAACCAGGGATTCACTCACTGTTGCATGGGAAAGGCCCGCAACTGATGGGGGATCAGAAATTGTCAACTATGTCGTTGAAAAGCGCGAAAAGCAAGGCTTCAGATGGTTAAGGTAAGATTTTTGTGAAGTGTGATATTGAGAGGAACTGTTTTCATATTTTGTTTTGAAATAGCAGTGAAATTACTATTGAACTTTCATATCTTTTAGATGCAACAAGGACCAAAATGTCACTGACCTTCGTTATCGCATTTCTAAACTCCGTTATCAGTCTGAATGGGAATTCCGTGTCTGTGCTGAAAATGCCGCAGGCGCAGGACCATTCAGTGAATCAAGCAACATTGCAAAGGTCCAAGATCCTACTTTCCCACCAGCTCCACCTGCTAACTGCAGAGTTGTAGATACAACAAGATCCAGTGTCTCTTTGGCATGGAATCTACCACTGTACGATGGGGGATGCGATATTGTTGGATACATAGTGGAAATGGCTGAATGTATTCCTGACCAAGATGAAGAATGGCAACAGTAAGTTTTGTCCTTGACATACTGAAAATATTTACTCCTGCATTTTGCAATAATGTTGCTCAAATTCGCTAAATATCATATTTCTTTCATTAAATTTAAACAAATTCAAACATAATTATCGCCAAGTTTTCCGCATATTTTAATGATGAAGCAGAGCAATTAAAAGCATACATACCAGAAAAAATTATAAATCTCTCTGTAAATTTCTTAACAATGACTTATTTCTAGGGTACATAAATCGAGCTATATCAAAGCCAAGGAATTCACTGTTACTGGATTGAAGGAAGGACATGAATACATTTTCCGCGTCTTTTCTGTGAACACTATGGCACGAAGTGAAACTGCAGCTAAGGTGAGTATTTCAATGATTTGTAAAGTCAAGTTATATTTTTCAGCTCAGTTATGGAAAAAATAAAATATGTGATATTTATTGTCGCCTTTCTCTGAACAAAAATTTTTGATTCAGATTTCTGAAGCAATCAGGGCCAAAGAAGTTCAGGAAGAACCTTCATTGACTATTGATGACAGTCTTAGAAGAACAGTGACTGTTCGAGCTGGAAAACCACTCAGACTTTACGTTCTGGTGTCTGGTTAGTCATATTTCATATATTTTCATTTAACCTTTAAGAGAAATAGTACAATCTCATATATTGACTGCTTTCAAATTTCAGGACGACCAGCACCCGCTGTATCATGGTCAAAGGTTCCCAATGGAGAGAATCTACTCACACATGCAATCATCGATACCCACGAGGCCGCATCCAAACTCGAAATTGAAAAGACTGATCGATATGATGCTGGAAAATACACAATTTCAGTAGAAAATGAATCTGGCACAAAGGAAGCTACAATCAGTGTCAAAGTTTATGGTGAGAGAACAGATTGAATCCATATTGCTTATTGAATGTATTGAATATTCTTACTCTTCTGGGACTCTTCAACTATGTTACTGTTATACAAATCATTGTAGATTCAATGGTGACATTTCTGTAAAAAAAACTATTGTGAACCATTATGGTTCTGCGAAATGTTGTCAATGAACTTATATAAATATATACCGGTTTTACAGATTCTCCTGGTGCACCAGCTTCTGTTAGAGTTCGTGAAGTCACCAGGAATTCAGTCACTGTGGCATGGGAACCTCCAGAAGTTGATGGTGGAAGTGCAGTACGAAACTATCTTGTACAGAAACGTGAAGCCACAAGGCAGGCATGGAACACAGTGGTGACCAAGTCAGTTGATATATTGCACACCAATTGCGACTTTTTGAAAAAAAAAATTTATACTAATAAGAATGCTTTTATTACAGATGCTCTAAGATGAGTTATAAGGTTACAGGCTTGCAGGAAGGATCAATGTATTACTTCCGTGTTCTTGCTGAAAATGAATATGGTGTCGGCGAAGGCAGAGAAACAGAAGAAGCAATCAAAGTTTCTGAGCAACCTTCTGCCCCCGAATCTATTGAGGTTTGCTTTATTTTATAACAGTATAATTATTGCTAATATTATTTAATTACCTCTAACAATGTCAATTTTTATTTTAGGCAACTGAAATTACAAAATCAACAGTTTCATTGGCATGGAAGCCACCATTACAAGATGGCGGATCAAAAGTTCAAGGATACCAAGTTGAAATGATGGAAAAAGGTGTGACTTTGTTGTTTTATCATTAGTTTTTCAGTACCTTTGCACATTTATAACTGTTTTAGACTTGAGAATAGTGCTAAAACGAAATTATATGTTTATATACGGTCTCTGCATTCTCAGGTTCAGACAAATGGATCACTGTTCATACAACTAAAGATCTTCGACACACTATCAAGGGTTTGAAAGAAGGACAGGATTACTATTTCAGAGTCCGTGCAAAGAACGAAACTGGTTTTGGTGAACCAAAAGATTTGTTTTCATCTATTACAGTCAAAGAACAGCTTGGTAAGTATGACATCCATGATATAAAAATATCGTATTGCAGTACTCAGTTGCATGTTATCCCAAAATGAAAGCATATATCATGTTACATTTAAAGATTTTTCTAATTATTCTTATTCAGCTGAACCAAGCATCAAGCTTACAGAATCTACTCAGAAAACTGTGACAGTAAAAGCTGGTCAACCCATCAAACTAAACCTAGAAATATCTGGACTACCAGTGCCAGATGTCACATGGACCAAGGATAAAGATGAGATAAGAGAGGATCTGCACAGGTATGCAATTGGTTTTGTTGAAATCAGCATTCAAACTTCAGTTTATTTAAATTGCAATCTTAATTATGAATTATTTATGAAACTTATAGAACAACAATTCAAACCACACCCACAACTGCGTCTCTTGAAATAAGAGAATCCACAGTTGAGGACAGAGGAGAATATAGAATTACTCTCAGCAACTCATCTGGATCTTGCACACAGCTAATCCAAGTGGTTATCCTTGGTAAGTTTTCTTATTGTTGAGTTAATGTGAATGAATCTGTTCATGTAAACTCACTGCAATCAAACTATATTTTAATTTTCTTCATTTCAGTATTGTTTGTCAGTCGGTTTTGGTCATTTGCTAAATACAATACTATCTATAGGATCTATCTATAGACTATGGATAATTACTAACCTCTGATTTTCTTTCAGATGTTCCATTGTCTCCTGACGGGCCTGTAATATCATCTGATGTGACTTCCAACTCAGTTACACTTCAGTGGAGACCGCCACAATATGATGGTGGTGCTGCAATCAGTAACTATGTTATTGAGAAACGTGAACTTCATAGACCAAACTGGATCATTGTCAGTGATACAGTAACAAGGTTAGTTGTTCAGTAATCATTTGATCAGATTCTCACAAATATTTAAAATGGCATAACAGTTATATTTCTGAGAGTTCAAAATACACATAATCTCAAGTATCTTTCGTGGTATCTGGGATGGGTATAGTTATGCAGTCAGTCAATCATTCAAAAATAAACGGACTTGGAAAATTTAGGGCTAAATCAATATATTTGTAGGATCAAGTATACAACCTCATACACTTATCCACCTTAGCATTTTTTAGAATATTTGAGAAGAATTTAAACTAAAATAATATTCTACTTATCAAAACAATTCTATTTATCAATCAAATTTTCTTATTTTAGAACGACTATGAAGATTACAAAACTCATTGAAGATGCAGAATACACTTTCCGTATCTTTGCTCAAAACAGAATTGGAATCAGCAAGCCTTTAGTAACAGAACAAATTGTTGCCGAAAGCAAATACAGTAAGTGGTAGTTTATTGAATGATTTCTAAAGATGACAAGAAAAATGAGTGCTAATGCATATGTCTTATTATTTTACAGATCTCCCTTTTATAAATATTAACAATGTTATTTTCCGGGTATTTCATATGTCCTTAACCACTTTACAGGCTTACCAGGTCCTCCAAGCACACCGCAAGTGTCTTCAGTTATGAAAGATTCTGCAACTGTTACTTGGAACGAACCAGTCAACACAGGAGGAACTGAAATTACTGGATATATTGTTGAAAAGAAGGAAAGTAAGGGACCACGCTGGATTAAAGCCACAAGAAATCCAATCACCCAATGTAGATTCATTTGCAGTGGATTGATTGAAGGAGTTGAATATGTCTTCCGTGTATATGCGATTAATGCCAGAGGGGAAGGAAAGTAAGTAGTACCGAAAAGTGATATATTTGTGGCTTTTATTATCATTTTAAAACTCTTATTTGAAAAAAATGTTGCTGCCTCTTCTAGTAATCTATTAGCTACTACTAAAAAATATTGATTTTATGGTATTGAATACCTGACATAATGGAAACCGTAAAACTCAGCTTGTGTTTTATGACGACTGATTTGGTGATGGCTTCCTAATTCTAAATAATGAACATCTTTTCAGACCCAGTGAGGAATCTGCACCTGCACTTTGCCAAGAACCAGTCGCTCCACCGAGTGCTCCTTTGAATCCTCGTGTCATCGACATTACAAAAACCACACTTTCTGTCGCTTGGGACAAACCAGAATATGAGGGAGGATCAAAACTATTGGGATACTTTGTTGAAACTCGAAAGGTTTGTGACCGAATAGTAACAGTAGTAATAAAAGTAGTTACAGTTTACTCTTAGTATATTTTTAGCGTAAATTTATTTGATAGTCTGTTTTACACTATAATGATGTATCCATATGATAGGATGGATCATGGTGGGAGCGATGCAACACCAACCCAATTCGTATCAATGAATTCACCATGAAAGGACTGAATGAAGGAGGGGAATACTATCTTCGAGTACTTGCTTGCAATGCTGGAGGAGTGGGAGAACCTGCTGAAGTTGAGAGACATATTGTCATCAAAGACCAAACTGGACCGCCCGAATTCCTGCTGGATGAAGAGGTATAAAATCAATTCCATTTTTAGAACCTGTAACATTACTTCTTTCACATTTTAATTCAAATTTATTTCTTCAGCTCATAAAAGATGGTTTGACTGTAAAACAAGGTGGAATGATCAACTTGGTTGTAAAATTCAAAGGCAGACCTCCACCACAAGTAACTTGGAGTAAAACTGGTACAGACTTGAAAATGCGAGGAATGATCGCAATACACTCTGACTCAAGTGAGCTTGTAATCAAGGGTGTTGATCGACGTGACAGTGGAGACTATAAAATCAAACTTTCAAACAAATTTGGGGACTGCGATATTTCTATCCCTGTTAAAGTGATAGGTCACTGCGATGCACCAGAAGGTCCAATGCAATTTGGCGACCTGGAAGCTACATCAGTCACTGTTGTATGGAAAGCTGTTCTCAATGATGGTGGAAGTCCAGTCACAAACTATGTGGTTGAACGCAGAGAAGTAGGAAAAACAGCTTGGTTTACTGTTGATGCTAAAGTAAAAACTACCAGCTGTGTTGTTAGAGGTATGTAAATATTCTATGAACTCATACAGGATATATAACAACATTTTTCTGCTCAATTTTCTATCATTGTTTTGTTATATTACTGACAGTACCCAATATCTCTTTTGCAGGCCTCACAGAAGGTGTTGGATACTTCTTCAGAGTTTATGGTGAAAATGCATATGGATTGAGTCCACCACTCGAATCTCAAGAAGCAATTGTGCCCAAAAATCCACTATTCCCTCCACAGCCACCACAGCTTGTTGAGGTAAGTGGAAGTCTTGATTCATGGTAAAAAACTATTGATTAACAATAAATGAGAACGTCTATGCCAATTTATATTATACCTTGGAATATCATAAGGTGACGTGTCTTAGTCCCCAGTGCAATATCTAATCAGTATATAGCTCTTCGAAGAATATTGGTTTCATTTCTGTTTGATGGATCAAGTTATGCGTAAACAAAATAATATCTGTGTTTAGGTGAATGAAGTCACCAAGAGCCATATATGTCTCAGTTGGACAAGATGTAGGGATGATGGTGGATCTCATGTAACTGGATATTACATTGAAAGAAAGGAATCTTCTTCTGACAGATGGGTCAGAGTCAACAAAGTTCTCACAAAGAATTTGGCTTACACAGTACAGGTGTGGACATATTTTTATTGAAGTCATTTATTGAAATAATTATAAACTTAAATTATATCTTAGGTACATGCCAACTGTCAATTATGTTTTCGGTCATTTGACATTTATCAACAATCATTTTTGTGCTTCAGGGACTTGTTGCTGATGCTGAATATCAATTCCGAGTGATTAGTGTAAACGACGTTGGAGAAGGGGAACCTTCGAAGCCTACTGAGAGCATCATCTGCAAAGATCCGTTTGATGTTCCATCGCCACCACAGAATGTAGAGGTCCATCATGCTACCAAAGATTCTATAACTATTGTATGGCAAAAACCAGATTATGATGGCGGCAAAGATATCTTGGGATACGCTGTTGAATGCAGAGAATTTGGAATGACCATCTGGAAAAAGTGCCATGATGATATCATTAGAGATAGAATATATCAAGTTGGTGGTTTGAATGAAGGAACAGAGTATGAATTCAGGGTCCGTGCAATCAATGAACATGGTACTTCAAGGTGATTAAAATTCAACTTGTTTTATTACAAATTAGCTCTGTTTAAACCGACCAATACATATTAAATCAATTAAATCAATATGTCATTGTAACGATACTTCTTGCATACATAATTTAAATAAATAAATAGTCTTTATCAATAGTACTTTCCTATCAAATGTTACTGTCTGATATTATTACCTAATTGAGAAATTTCAAATTTTACAGACCGAAGATGCTAGAGCTTCCAACATCTACAAGAAAATCTACTGGAGAACCGCCAAAGATTGTTCAAGAACTAAAACCAGTTGTTGGTTCAGTGGGAGGCAAAGCTACTCTCGCATGCAGTGTTTCTGGACGACCAATGCCAGATATAATCTGGACCAGGTGAATAGTTTTGAAAAATTTGAACTGATAAAAATGAACTTTCAAAACACAGAACTTGATAACCTATTATTAAAATTTATAATTTGAATTGAAAATATTTTTATATGGAATAGATTTATCTTATAAAATCTTAAAATTTTTCAAAATATTCAAGATTTGGCAAGGAAATCAAGAGCGGAAGAAAGTACAAAATGAACTACGAGGGACAAGTTAATACTTTAACCATCAACGATCTCAAGTTTGATGATGAAGGGTCCTATTCACTCAATGCTCAAAACAATGTGGGTAGTGCTGATACTGAAGGAAGACTTCAAGTAGAAGGTGGATATTTTTCGTTTATTCAAATGACTGTATTTTAGGTTGTATTAAAATAATGAGTACTGTTTTTATTCATTAATTTACACCCTTATATGTTATATCATTTTATTAGGTGCACCAGTTTTGGATGAATGTCATACTCGATTTAAAGACCACATATATGGCAAGAGTGGTCAAATCCTGAGAGTCCACTTTCCATACCGTGGTAGTCCACAAGCTCAGGTACTCTGGACTAAAGATGGACGACGAATGGATAAGAGTGATAGACATGAAGTTGAAACTACAGACTCTTACTCTCACATGGTAATTCCTGTTGCGGACAGACAGAAAGACTCTGGCAAGTATTCTGTACAGCTTACAAACAAACATGGGCAAAACACATACCCAATACACGTTGATGTACTGGATGTGCCGTCAAAACCAAAAGATTTCGAAGTTGTTGGTGTGACATACAGCAGTATGGTACTTGCCTGGAAAGAACCCGAGGATGATGGTGGAGCACCAGTCTCTAACTACATTATAGAAAAGAGGGAAATCAAGGAAGAACCGGACAAATGGTCACTGGTCACTTCAAGGACTGCTCAAACAACATACAAGGTACCGGTATATATATATCAAAATCATAAAACCTTTTTTCGCTTCATGTTGCTGTTAGCTTAAATTCCCTCCTTCCAACGCAAAATATAATTAACTTGAAAGAAATAGAATAGGGACCTGATGTGCAAGGGAACTAGTCCGATATTATAACTCATTGTTCTATTTTTCAGGTTGAAGGCCTTATTGAAAAGTGTGCATACTATTTCCGCATTTCTGCTGAGAACTGTTATGGTATATCACAACCTCTGGAGACTGACACACCCATAGCAGCTATTCCAACACATGATGTTCCTAAAGCCCCAACTGGTCTTGCGGTGAGTAAGATCTAAATGTCTGACTGTGTGTGGATTGACCAAAATAGTAAATAGTCAAATAAAACAATTTTTGGATCATCTGTTGTTCAATTCTGTCTGCTCTTTGTGGTAATTCATTCGTGGTTTTAGAAAAGAAATACCTAAGTCTTCCTATTTCTAACAATCTTAATTGTTTTTTGTTGCTTCTCAGGTTTCTGGTGTTACAAAAGAAGGTTGCATGCTGTCATGGAAACAGCCTAAATCAGAAGATGGAAGCAGAATCACTAATTTCATTATTGAGAAACGTGATAATAAGAGCAATATCTGGAGACAGGCAACCAAAGAAACTGTCACACAATCTGTTTACTCTGTTACTGGATTGGTTGAAGGACTGAGATATGAGTTCAGGTTTGTGAAAAAAAAATGTTGCCAGGTAAACTATGGCATAACATACTTATACTTAAACTTAAAACAGAAGTCACAAATATTTTGAAATGCCTAATCATTGACTTATTCCAAATATTTAGAATAAAACCTTTAGCATAAGTATATTTTTATGTACAGAATTACAGCTGAAAATCCTGCTGGAAAATCAGAACCATCTGAGATATCAGAACCAATCGTAACTAAAGACAACGTGCAACTAGCTGGACCACGATTTGTTCAAGACATTCGTGACATTGTTGCAAAACCAGGACAAAATATCACTTTTGCTTGCAAGATTAGTGGCCAACCTAAACCAATTGTCAAATGGTACCAGGTATGTTTAATAGTGAACCTTCTAATTTATCCGTTTGAACAATTGCTTCTTTCTACTTGCATAAAATGCAAATCTGTTGCAGAAGATATTAGAAACTATTGCATTACCGGATAATGTCTGGATCGAGTATGTTTGTGCAATAACACTGCATAGAAAAGCATAAAAGGCGTTTGGTTTCACAATCAAATCTGTCAGAAAATATTTGGAACTTTTATATTGTCAGTCAATTCCTACAGAATTGAGTATATTTGTGAAAATGTACTGTCACCATAGAATGAAAAGATATTAGACTTATTAACAATATTTCTATCATTCTAGGGTGGTCGTGAAGTTTCTGGAGACAAGAAATATCAAATTGTCTATGGCAAAGGAAACAATTTCACCTTCACTATATTCAAAGTCACTAACGATGATGAAGGACCGTACACAGTTCGTGCTACCAATCAAGGAGGATCTATTTCCTGCACTGCTAACTTGACTGTGCAACAGCCAGCCAAAGTTAAATTGCCAAAGTACGTGGAATGTTCAATTCAATCTATAAGCTATGTAGTGTTTGCAATGTACTGTTTAGTTATTTCTGTACATTTTTATATTAATAGTGCTATCTATACATATTTTGCACTAAAGGAAGTTTTAACCAATTACTATACGAATCAATAATAAATGGATATTGACATATGCAACAATGCTTTGTGTATTTTTTTCCGATTGTTCATTTTTTTTAATCCTGTAATTTTCTTCAGCTACATGTGTAACGAAGCAACGGTATGCAAAGTGCATGAGGTTGTCAGTATTAAAGTTCCAATTGAAGGAAGACCAACTCCTGACATTACTTGGTCAAAATCAGGAAAACCTATTTTCCCTGATGCAACATGCAAGATATTGTCAACCTCCTCCTCCACTACACTGATGATTACTGATGCTAAGAGGACCGATTCTGGATTCTACAACATTACTGTGAAAAATCGGTGTGTGTTTATTGGTCTTATCAATAAATATATTTCGAAAATATTTTTTTTGGACTTTTGTTGGAATTAGTCAATTGAGTAATAAAAAATCCACAGAAAATAAAAAAGACTGATCACAAAGTCACAAGATTAAAACATTTTAGACGAAACTTACGAATATCACTAATTTCTTGAAATAATGAATTATCGTTTGGTGCAATATGTCTATAGTGCGATCTCAAAGTAAGCAAATATTTTCTGAATAGATAATGATATCATGACAAGAACTTGATTGTATTATACGATTCCTACTAATTCTACATCTTTCAAATTATCAGATTTGGAACTGATCAAGACACTGTAGAACTCCTTGTTGGAGATGTACCATCGTGTCCACTAGATGTCAAAACCAGCAACGTATCAAGAGATTCTGTCGACCTTTCTTGGTCAGAACCAGCAGATGATGGCGGAAAATTCATTCTCAAATATATTGTTGAAAGATCAACTGTATCAAGTGAAAGCTGGATGAAGGTGAGATAATTTTCTTGACCACCTATATAGCGGGTTTCCAAATTTTGGTTGAATAAATTATTACATCCAGAATTACCTGTAAATGTATATGAATAAAATGTTGTTCTAACACCACGCATGTATTTATCAGGTCTCTTCCTCGAGCACAAGCCGATATACTGTTGGTAACCTATCAAGTGGAACAAGTTACATCTTCCGGGTGAGAGCAGAGAACGAATACGGTCAAAGTCTACCATCAGTTCCATCTGAACCAATAACTACAAAAGATGATCGAATGCAAGCCGCTAACTATGATGAAATGGTCAACACGTTGGAGAAATTTACACCATATGAACCACAGGTAAAAAAAAGTAATCCAAATATTATATATGGTAATGTGATGTTCACGCAGCGCTTTTCAATGATGGAGTGTATATTTTTGTGCATCATGAACAAATTATTTAACGTGCTGCATTAAATAAAATAAAATCGCAATTTGTCATATTTTAAACCATTAAGCTGACTTTCAAAATAAATAGAATTTGTTTATTTTATTTCAGATGAATGTGGATTCGAATCTGCTTGACAAATATCAAATCATGGAAGAATTGGGTAGAGGAACATTTGGAGTTGTACACAGAGCTAAAGAAATTGCAACTGGCAAAATCTGGGCTGCAAAACTTATCAAAGTAGTCGACGAATCAGACAAAGTTCCTCTCAGAAGAGAAGTTGAAATTATGAGGAGGCTTCAACATCCCAAGATACTGCAATTACACGAAGTATTTGACAACAAACGTGAAATGGTACTTACTCAATACATTCAAAAACATTATTTTTAGAATTGTATTTCTTCTGTATGTGCCTGAGAGCTACCATTTGCTACAAAAAAACATTAGGTGGTCGCTCAGATGAGGGCACTTACAGTCCATACAATAATTGGATGACAGAGTGGCCATATGAATTGTGTTATCTAAATCATTGTTGTTGTAGAGTCTAATTTTGGTCCGGAAAATTTCTTTGTAACATTGGGCCAATTTATTCCAAATGTTCAGTATTCTAAGATTGATGTAGCCACGAGAAGTTCGTGTTTAACTTCTAAATTATTGTTTTCAGGCTATGATCATTCAATTTGTCTCTGGAGGTGATCTCTTTGAGCGAATCATCAACTTGAGATTTGACTTGACTGAGAACATCGCAGCATACTTTGTAAAACAGATTTGCGAGGTTTGTTTTATATTTACTCAAGAAAAATAGGAGACCACTTTGCGCGATAAGATTGTTGAAAACTTTTTTTTTTTTTTACAGGCGATGACATACATGCACTCACAAAATATTGCTCATCTTGACATCAAACCAGAGAATGTCCTTTTTGTTACTCAAAAAAGTAAAAAATTGAAAATTATCGACTTTGGGGTCTCAAGAGAACTAAAACCTGGCGAAGGTAAGTTGAAATTCTTTAAACCCTGTTGCTTATTGACCTCCTACTAGACACAAATTTATGAACAGCAGAATAATGTCATGAACCTTTTGGTAGTTAGCTTACATAAAAAAATTATTAGAAATGACTTTGAGCATTATCTTGATGAATAGAAAAAGAAGCATGCCATCCTGAGAAGTGGGAAGTTTTGAGTTAGACCCGATAGTTGATGATCTAGAAAACTTTCAAAATGACTATACAAGAGGAATCAAGAAAAACAGTTTTAATGGGTTAAATAAGACATTGTGCTAATTTCTGTGTATATTTTATTCTTCCACAGGTCTCAGAATCGCATTTGGAACACCAGATTTCTGTGCCCCTGAAGTTGTTCTCAATGACACAGTCGGAAAGCCAACTGATATGTGGTCTCTGGGATCACTGACATATGCATTGCTTACTGGTATAAGTCCATTCCGAGGTCAAAATGACCAGGAAACATTGAAGAATGTTGCGGAAGCTGACTGGAACTTCGATCATGAAGAATGGAAAGATATTTCTGATGATGCTCTGGACTTCATAGACAGGCTGCTTGTCCGTGACAAGCGTGAACGAATGACTGCCAGTGATGCTCTGGAACATCCATGGTTAAGACCTCTCCATCTAGGAATTGATGATTGGTTGATAACAAAACGATCACAGATTATTCCTACTCAACTGCACAGGAAACTTTACCAGTCTATTCGCCAGAAGGTATAATAGTAACTCCAACATAGATTATTTTTAAATTTCCGTAATTGACTTGTAAAAAGAATGTTCATTATACATTCATTGGTTTAAACCCCATGTTGCCCAATTCTGAGAAAAATTTCACCCCAGGGAGAAATTTTGTTGTTCTTGGTTAGAAATTTTTCTCTGTATTTGCTGTAGTATTAGTAATATTCTTTAGTTATTCATTATTTCTATAATACTTACTTATTCCCCACATTATAAACTACTCGATCAAACTGTACGAAAGCGGGAGTGCAACTTGCACGCAACACCAGCTAAGGGTGCCTTAAAGGTTGAATAAATTAAAGTAGTTTTCATGCAAGCGACGGTGAGATAAAGGGTTCCAAAACAAGGAAAGGGGAAATATAAACGAAAATGGTTGGGAATCACTGATTCAAGCAACAATAGAACCATAACATGCATAATATTGTATTCTATCTGGTACTTATCTAAAATCAGCTTGACATACAAAATTTATTTCATAGGAAACTTCTACTGTGATCATATCACTTGGCCGATTCGCTGAAGGCGGAGCATTGAGGTCATCGAAAGGCAAATCAATTGCCAAAGTGAAGGTTGAACCTATTGTTCTCACTCCTAAACTTTGTCCAATGTATCATGTATTTGTGAAAGAAGGAGATGATGCCAAGGTTGTCTGCAGAATAAAAGAACCAACTCACCAAGAGTCTGTCGCATGGTGAGATGCTTGTTACATATTCGTCGGGAGATTACTATACATAATTTCATGCGACCTGAATAACATGAGACTAGTGGAAAGTACGATGGACACTGCCAATTCCAACGACAATTCATTCATAAATCTATTTTACATAGGTACAAAGACGAACTCAAACTTGAGGAAGGCGAAAAATACGAGTTTGCTTACGATCAGCACACCGGTTCTTGCGCTCTTTATGTAAAGGGAGTTGTCAAATCTGATGACGGAACTTACAAATGCAAGGTCGAAAATGATTTCGGAGCTTCAACCCAGCAATGTGAACTGAGTGTTGAGTTAAGAAATGGGTAAGTTGCTTTCACCAAGCTTGCATACAGCTCAAGTCATTTTTTGGATTAAACAAAGGATTTTCAGTCTTGATTATTTTACTTTAAGCCTGTCTTCTCTGTATGTTAATAATGATAATTGACGTACAGTTTAAATATCATACCCATCTTTATACAAATTAACAAACAACCTCACACTTTACTATTCAGTGTTTGGACCAGGCCACGTCGAAATATCTATCTTGTTCGACGTAAGAGACTGAGTCGGCGTGCTGCAGCAACAGCAAACAGAGTTCAGCGTTTCCCTCCTGAGTTCACACTGCCGCTGTACAACCGATCTGTTTATATCGGAGAAAGTGCAACATACACTGCAACTGGTATGTCATTTCAGTAAATATGGTACAATTTAGGTTATCTAATTTTCATTATGATATGGTTCATACATATCCTAGGGGTAATGTGATGCTGTTATGCAAATTAATTAGGTAATGAAACTGGCTTTTCATGCATTTCCTGGAGAGTATAAGAGTAGTGAACCAGTTAGATTCATTCAAAACATAGATGTTCTCTATGACTGTGAGAGCACTTAGCATAACTATATTCTCAATCTTCTGCACTTATTAACGATGAGTAATCTATACACACAGTGACGGTCCATCCTGCACCAGAAATAACTTGGTATCACAAAGGACAGAAGATTATTTTTGGACTTGATGAAACGAAATACATTGAGACTAAAGAAAAAGGACTTTACGCTATTGATATCTGTGATTGTAACGAAGAAGACAGTGGTGATGTTATGGTTGTCGCTAAGAACGATTATGGAGAAGACTCATGCAAAGCTGGTTTGTCAGTCAAACGTGAGTATCTTCAGTATAATTTTCTAATTTGAAAACATTTTGCCGTACAGAAACTGTTCACAATCACTTGTTAAAATTCATAAATTGTTCACGAAAGTTTCAATTACCGGTATGCTTTATTTCTTATCTGGCATATATCGTTTTTTCAGCTAAACCTGCAAAAGAAGATCTCAGCGTTCGACCAATGTTCAGAAGACTTCTTGCCAACCAGGAAGTAGATGAAGGAGATTATGCCAGATTCGATATCAGGGTTGCTGGATTCCCCAAGCCGACCATTCAATGGTAGGGATTGTAAGAATTGGAAATTTGGGCTAAATCATGATTCGCAGTAATTTCTAGTTTTTATTCTTTATACCAATACTTAATTTAAAATACATGTAATAAATAAGGACTTGAATATTGAAATACATATAGCTTGAAGCAATACTATTTTCAATTGAATGTTATTCGGAAAATAAAATGAGATATTTAATAATTGCTTGCAAAAGTATTGGTGCATATGAGCAAAAGTAAAAGCTACTGCAAATAGTCCATTCTTAATTGTAATTATTTTATTGTTTGCAGGGAGAAAGATGCCAAGCCAATACAAACTGATCATCATCATGACATAGTTTGGGAAAATGAGCATTCTTGCTATTTACTTATCCGTGACACTTTCCAACAAGACAGTGGCATGTACAAAGTCACTGCAACAAATTCTGCCGGAGCTGCAAGTTGCCAAGCTACATTGAAGGTTAAGCCAATGACCTACAAAAAGCGACCAAAACCAAAAGTTGACGCTGATTTGTTTGCCAGACAAAAGGCATATCAACTTGCTGACAAGATCAGTGTCCTCAGTAGTGACAGCATGGATGTACATTTAACTGGTAAAGCAAAAGAAGCATTGATGACTGCATCTGCTCAGGCTACAATAATGGGAACAGAAGATTTCAGTGAACAAGAAGTAGAAAAGACAAGAACACAGAGAAAGAAAGAGGAGCTCGCACTTAGAATGCCCTACACTATTCCTGAACCAGTCAAACATGCGAAAGATTCTACCAAAGAGAACCTAAAATTGAAGAGCTATGTGCCATTCAGTGACTTCAAGTGGTACAAAAAGGTATGTGTATTAATGAATGGAAATAAGTATGAGTTTATTTTGACTCCTTAATCAGCATCACAAATAACATCATATTAAGAAATGTTTGAAACAAGTTTAGATTAAAAGGTGGTACCTTCAGAAAGTGGTACTTTTTCACTCATCTAAAAGTATGTATATTAAGAAATATAAAACGTCAGTTGACGTTTCTTAATTCGTCAGCATTCATTATTCTATCATTGACAGGTCTTGTGTTTGCTGCATTTCAGGTTCAGTCAGCCAATGAGCAATACTATCCGAAAGCAATTGAAACAGAACCTCATCATAGATACAGATTGAAACGTCAGTTCATACCAGACACTGCATACGTCATTCCTGACAGTAGGATTGGTTTGAAACGATCAAAACCTTTCACCTCAGTCGATGACATTATTGTGGACGACAGGGAATATAAATCGGAAGATGAATTCCTGGAAGTCACTGATGAAAGTGAATTTGACTTCAGAAGAAAGAAACTTAGATCACTCACTCCACCTCCAAGACGATTCTCTCCTCAGCCATTCAAGCCACCAGCTTGGAAGCAGTATTATTTCCCAATGGCAGATGATAATGCGGTAAGAGAGATCCAATAATAATTATTCCACGTTAAATTTACCCTATTCCTTGTTCTTTTATTCTCTAAAGTAAATATAAATTTGTCGTATTGTGTCAAATACATAAAGTATAAATACAGTTCACAATCAAATGTTTACAAATAGATTGCAAAATATGCAAGCATTAACATCCCTACTGCATCAAGTATCTAACTGATAAATTTCACTTTTCAGTGCTTGCAGCCAATTGATCAATATCTCAGTCAGAAGAGCACTGCCGATTTCATGCATAAGACTGAAGTTCGAGAAGCAACAGGGGAAGATGAATATTTGAGTTATGCAGACTTCTTGAAAGAAAGAAGGTAAATAAATGATTTATAGAAATCACCCACTACAAAGTAATATTACCTTCAACAACCTTTCGAATGTAATGAATGGACGTAAGCAGATTGTGCAGCTTTGCAAATTAAATATTGAATTGCCATGTGACCTTTAAAAACAGTTTTGCTTTTATTAACAGACTACGTGAAGCTCAAGAACCACTACCAGTTGTTGAAAAAGAAGACATTGTTACTTCTAAACTGGAAAAATACAAAATTCCACAAAAACATTTGGAATATGGACTTTCATATAGAGAACTTAGAGAAAAGCACGACTCTGCTCTTACTAAGAAAACCTTTGAACCCAAGTAAGTGTCTACGTCATAGACAATGAAGTGCATTTACTTCCATAATATTGATGAAACCTAAATTTTCTGATATTTTTTATAAATTAAAAGGTAATTGAAATGAGCTCATTTAACAACTCTGTATTACTTGAACAGGGAAATCGCATCCAAACGAGCAGATTCGGAAGATGAATTGCTGCGTCCAATTGCATTGAGTACTTGGGGATATGAAGGAATTGACACGACTAAGACGACAAAGGAGGATATCACTTCTACAACTACTAAAAAGTCGACTGAGAGAAAGCGATATGACTCTGAATCTTCAATCTCTTCTTCTGATGATGAAACTGTCCCAACATCGATCAAAAAAAGGCGTGCCAGAAAATCGAGAAGAATTCGCGAAGAAAAGGCTGCTCTGGAGTTTGAGCTTGAGTACCAAAAAGAAATGGCAGCTTTGGCTAAAAAGAAAACAGCCCGTAGACGCTCACCAACTCCAGAAAAGAAAATACAGCGACGAAGATCTTGGGAGTATGAAGAGCTTACAAGACCCATCTCTGAGATTGTTGTGACACGTAGAAGAGCTCGTCCACCACCCCCATCATCCTCTGAAAGTAGCAGTGATGAAGAAGAGCGTTACAGACAACAAAGAAGATCTAGAAAGACGTAAGTACTGTACTATTTTAAGTTTAGGGTAGAGTAATAATGAATATTTTCTAACTCAATTGATAGCTAATGAATACATAATCTCACAGAATGTTACAAAGTGTAAACTTGTTACCTTATGATTTTTCAGTCGACGAACATATGAAGAATATGAAGAGGATCTTTCCTCAGGAATTGAATTCACAAGTTCAAGATATTCAGCAAGAGCAGATCTGACTTCTGCGCTTCCTCCATCAATGGGATATGAACCTAAATTCCAACTTAGACTCAGGTATGTTGAAAATGATTTTATCGTTACCAAGTAATAAATGATAAACATGTTCCTCAGTATTTCTTCTATTTATTTCCCTTCAAATAGTCATATCAATATTAAGGCAAAATAATAAGATAATTGTTTATTTTGTAAGTTTTCCCAATGAATATTTAAAATCAGTGGCTAAATCGGCCCTATTCACAGAATATTTTTTATATTTGTATGTTTCGCTTCACAGATCCCATGTTGTACCTTCTGGTATGAATACTAAGTTCACTGCATCAGTTCGTGGCAAACCTGAGCCAAGAATAATCTGGTACAAAAATGGTGTTGAAATTACAGACGGTGGAGTGAAATACAAGACCAGCAATGTTGGAGGTGTGTATATCTAGCCTTTTAACGTAACACAGTTTAATAATTTAACACTGTCTGCTTCTGCACCTAGTTGGTAATATTATTCTTTTACACAATTCACTTGTGTTTTGTGCAAATACTATGGTATCTGGTTGTGCAGATGAATTTTATATATGTTGAACAACCTTTAAAAATTCTGTCACAAATCAAATTTTTTGATCCTCGCAGATGATGACAACATTTTTACATCATATCTCTAACTTTTCAGGTGTTATATCACTCGAGATTCGCAACTGCCATGAAGCGGACTCTGGAACATACAGATGTCTTGCAAGAAATCTCAATGGAGAAGCATCAGATCATGCAACACTTGAAGTAACTGGGTCTGAATTTGAATCCTCAGCTGCTAGACGTGGAGTAGAAAGCTTCCATATGACAATGGAAATGGGAGACGCTAGAGCTTCATTGAGGTAAATCTAAGAACCGAACTAAACTTGAATTTAATTATGTTTGTCTTTAAAGTCACAGCTCATTACTTCAGTGATACAAGAGTCTTGCTGCACATTAACAAAAATATATTTTTGTAACTTTTCGCCTGAGCGAGGACAGACAAACATTATTTCATTTTTGTTGTTATTACTTTTACTCCAGATCACGCACTGAAGGAGCAAAGTCGGCCTTTTCTGATGTTTCATTTTCATCAAGATATTCTGATTCATATGGACAACGAAGATCCGGCACACCATCAGTTGGTGCACCTTACTTTGTCCTGCGACCAAAGGATAGACATGTAGTTGAAGGCGATGATGTAAAGTTTATTGCTGAATGTGAAGGAAAGCCATTGCCAAAAGGTAATTGTTACCTTATCAGGTGTATTGGTGTTATTATCGAATTCTGTTCGAAATTCCATAATTTTAAACATGTTAGTATGAGAGCTTCATATAGCCTTGTCACCACAAAGTGGTTTCCGTATCCGGTTATAATTCATTGTACAAAGTCCATACATCTGAAACAATCAAATCAAAAATTAACTCTAGTCGCTTTGGACTGGTATTTAAGACAAATGACATTATTGGCTAAATGATTAAGTCGTCTTATCAGTTTTCTTCTCTACCTCAAATAAATAGAAAAATTGACTACAGCCTATTTACTTAATACGTTAGTAATACTTGTTTAAACTTTTTTTTAATCATTTCTCCTTTATGATGATACCTAAACCGTCCAACTTTCCTTTAGTGACTTGGTATTTGGATGGAAGACCGCTTCACACAACGGATCACTACATTGTTGGATCGTCTCGGTCAAAGAGAACTCTTGAAATTCTTAACTGCCGAATAACAGATGGCGGAATATACAGATGTGTTGCAGAATCAAGTCGTGGAGAGGAATATTGTGATTTTACTTTAGATGTTGCTACTCGCTCAAGGTCTACTATACAGAGCTCTGTTTTTGAAAGGTGACTTGAATTTATAATGTTCCGTTTACTTCCCTTCATAATACTATACAATTTATTTCGGTTTTCTTAAAACACAATACTCAAAAAATCGAACAAAACATATATATATAACAGAAATTCCTGTAAAACGGCAAAATTCATGAATAAATTTGATAGAGTGTAATGTTTGTTCATTAAAAATAATACACATAATAATATTTATGAAAAGAGCGGATGAGCAGCAGTGAGAGATTCGTTGAGCATTTCATGTGATACAAAAGTGAGGCACGCATACATCTGAATGTCGAAACTTTCTCAATTACACAAAGTATTCAATGTTTATAATGTTATATGTAAATTTCAGCAGGGACTCTGGTTCAATTCCATCCGGAAGAGGACCAACCATTATCAATCCACTTCACATTGAGTTGAGATTGGATGGAACTGTTAGATTTGAATGCAGTGCCACCAGATCGCTCGATGTGAAAGAAGTAATATGGAGACGAAGTGGAGTCACAATAAGGTATTGTAAATCGTAAAATACCATCACTGTTCGGTTAAAGGCAGAGTTTTGATTTTCCATTACAACAAAATATTAGGTATATACCCCAGTAGAACTGTAACTTTCCTTTTTTTCTTCGTATTTTCTGTGCTCATCTATGTTTGGTTTTTAATTACTGGTTTGAAAATATAAACTTGACTTGACGATATACGGAAAATTAAAAAAGCAGACAAAATCTATCTGAAACGAATAACTGACAAACTAAGTTCATACCCGACATGGGCGGGTAACTAGACGAGAGGGATCTGTTCGCCATATTATTGAGCAGTCTTTTCGGCTCTCCTCTCCCCTGGATAAAAAATTTATATCTTGTCCTAAAATTCGAAAAATACTGATACACGTGTGACGTGCCCATTTATCCCAAACAGTGAACAACACGCTGAAGTAATTTAAAACTTAAAATTTCTTGATTTAAACTTCAGGGAGGACGGCCGTATAACTAAAGAATCTCTTGGTGCGTCCTACGCCCTTATCATTCAAGATTTGTGCGAAGACGATGTTGGCACATACGAATGTGAAATTGTCGGCTCACTGGGATCTTCAACAACCAGCTATTCTCTAACAAGAGATGCTTATAATAGCATGTCTAATAAGATTTCTAGATTATCTGGAAAGTCCAGGTAAGTCTTTATGGATTTTTTTTTATACAAGTAAGCTTTGCAACCTGTTTCAAAGTAGTAGTAGTAGTAGTAGTAGTAGTAGTACTGCCAGTCGTACTGACATAATAGTTGCAGTTATCACCTATTCAGCGGTCTTTCGTTGAATTTCTGCATTCCATTATTTCGGGAACTCCTTCACTATACATAACAACTACTTCATTTGTTCAATATTCAATAGACTTAGCTAATGTTATGCGCGTATCGCACTCTTGCATTTGTACAGTTTAACGGGTTCAAGTAGTTTATAATGTGTGCATAGGTAAGTATGAAGAATGGGACTGAAGAATGTTGGTAGTACTACATAAAACACAAGGCAAAGTTTTTCTCAAGATCGACACAATTTCTCCATGAGGAAAAACTGTCGCAGGAATAAACTTGATTAAGACTGCCAATGCGACCGCGGATGCCCTTTCTGTCGGTGCTCTTTCTTGAAGTTGACTGACGTAAAATTTGCCAATCAAATGATATCTCAACACCAGTACCCCGCAGTATTGCCTTACGGAAATAGTTCATCCCTTTTGAACACCTCGTACGTCAAGTGAAATTTCATTTATTTTACAGCTCGAAGCAACAGTATGAAAGCTTCTCGGCAACGAAGAAATTTTCATCTGTTACTTTCACCAAACGAGACTTATATTCAAAACATTCATCGGCTTATGACACTTACGGATCGGGTACGTTTCTTACTATATCTATTATATTGGTGCGATCGGGTCAAATATGTTCATTTTAATGGATATCACGCCGACGTTTTCACTCTGCTCACTTATGCCATTCGGATAAATTGGTTGACCGGGGCATGTTTGCTCGATAACGAGTTTTGGTTTTCCGCGAACCCCTTTAATAGTGACATTTATCTTTTATCCGCCAGTATTTGAATGAAGTCAAAACACCAAATTTTTATCCATCAATTTTTTTCGTCTATAGTCTATAGATATCATTTATCAACCTATTTGACTGTATTGCACTATTCCATTCAGCGTCGGGTGGAACTCCTAAAATTCAAGGTATGCCAGCAGATGTCAAAATCACCGTTGGAAAAGTACTCACTCTGACTTCATCACTAAGTGGACAGGCACCATGTCGGGCTACTTGGCACCATGATGGAATGTTGATCAGGTTTGTAATTGGTCTATTTGTAGCGCCGCAGTAACGGACATTTGTAGACGTACTTTTTAATAAGATATACATGCTAATGATGTCTTTGTTTTTGTACAGAGATGGCGCTGATGGTGGAAGAATCCGCGTCGAAAGTTCCGAACGAGCAACAACATTGACAATTCTTGGTGCAAAACCAAGCGACGCTGGAAACTACAGACTAACTTGTTCTAATGCTGTTGGATCGGATACGTCGGATGTTTACGTCAGCGTATCTGGTTAAACGCTACAATAATGAAACTTTTTTTATCTTGGATCGGAACCTATTTATGATTCTTCTTCTACTTGGACAAAACCTATTTTCTAATCGTATCAGCGAATTTTTGTTGATTTGACTGGAATTGACTTTTTATCGTATTTTGATAACTTCAAACAAGATATTACATTATATTTATATTTTATAAAACGAACGGACTGTACGCCGGTAGAAACTGGACTATTTTAAACGAAATATCGATTGATATTTTAACGTCGAAGCATCAAGCTATCGGATTGTGGACGCAATTCTAATATTGTATTTCTATACTTATTGACAAACGAAAAATAGTATGAGATCAATTCTCCTTACCTGACCGTGGAAAGATTTTATCGAAGTGACTCTTTTTATCTATCACGGCAAATTTAATAAATGTCTGCCGAGTCTAAATATTTCGCGACCAAATGGATTAATTGTTTTGATCGACGATTTTTACATGCGGAAATGCGTTATAATTCGATTTTGGAAACGAACGGACATTTTATTATGATCTGAAATTTTAGTGACCTGATGTGTGATTTTATTATCTATTATATAATCAGAACATCGATCTTGAATGGCAACTTATTTTACTATGATCTGAAATCAATTTATGTCGGATATTTCAATATTGTATGACTATTTCAATCCATGTTAGCCATGTAATCATAAAAGTACGACTATGGCAAAGAAAACTGGCTTTACACAATTTCAACAATAGAATTTATGTTGGATATTTCTATATTGTATGACTATTTCAATCCATGTTAGCCATGTAATCATAAAAGTACGACTATGGCAAAGAAAACTGGCTTTACACAATTCTAAAGATAGAATTTGTCGGATATTTCAATATTGTATGACTATTTTTATCAATGTTAGCAATGTAATTATAGAAGTACGACTATGGCAATGAAAACGGACTTTACACAATTTCAACAGTAGAATTTATGTCGGATATTTCTATATTGTATGACTATTTCAATCAATGTTTGCCATGTAATTACAAAAGTACGACTGTGGCAATAAAAACTGGCTTTACAAAATTTTCAACAATAGAATTTATGTTGGATATTTCTATATTGTATGACTATTTCTATCAATGTTTACCATGTATTTATAAAAGTACGACTGTGACAATGAAAACTGACTTACACAAATTCAACAATAGAATTTATGTTGGATACTTCTATATTGCGTGACTATTTCAATCAATAGTAGCTATGAAAATGTACGTTAACCGTACTTATGACGTTGAAAAGTATTTTGATAATTATGTCAAAACTGTTTATTTATCCAGTGAGAAAACTGGGACTCATTTCTTGCCATATGAAAATATGAAATACCCACATTTTATAGAAAATTCAGTGCCTATATATTACAGATTTTGTAAAATACAAATTTTATCAACTCATGCTCGCAAATCTTGTGAGTTATTTTAAATCATGTATAAATATTTTATCATGCATGGCTCTCCTCAACGGAGACGCCGATTGTGCCTTTTCAAATATGAAATATGCAACTTCATTACTACAACATCATTTTTACAATTATGACAATTACAATCTGCGGTACTTTCGGTGCCTTTGATTGTATCATTCATGAAGATGAGTCGCCCCACCACTCCGTGGCTGGAGGCTGTGAAAACTTATACTGCATAAAAGTGGATTTTCATCCCTTTTAGCATCTATTTTATACCAATACCAGTGTTCTTTCCCGCGATTTCGATCGCCCAAACCACTTGACGATTCAAAAGCATACTCGCACTTGATCTGCGAAGTTAGACTGGTTATTTCAATGTTGCTACCATCAGCTGTTGCTACCTCACCAATATTGCAACGCGCATTGAAATACTTTGCCTAACATCGAGCAGTGCGGTATATTTGCATGTTTGTTTTATATGTATTTATTGATATTTAACCCTGTGTGTGTGTTTTATTCTGTATTTCGCTGAATAGTTTTTATGTTAGATTCACTTAGTTAAATGAATAGTTCATGAATTGCGTTTCCACATTATCCGTTAATAAAAAGTTCACTTTTATCTGTCTGGGTGGTTTGCGTTGATTCTATATATGCTAGGTATATTTGGTAATATTATACGCAAGTGATCGCTTTTAAGTCGAATTCTATCAACTAAATATCCAGATATGAAATCACAAGGCAAGTATTCAGAAATATGTCTCTATTTCTAACCGTTTAGAGGGAATGAGACCCAAAACTGGAACCGAAAAGCATGACGATTAAATAGTTGAAAATATCAGAAAATCGCGCCATGGTGTAGGGATTGCATTGCATTACTTTTTGGATTGGCTACGAAAATACAGGAAAACGCGAGAATGGAAAGACCCGTCAGATTTAAAATCGGAGCATTTTGGCCAACGAAAAACCGCTTTCGGGAGAATGAGTCTGGTTTTCCAGTAGTTTTTGCCAATTGTGGCAAGAACCACAAACCTTTATAAATTTGGTATGGCTGCGCGCATTACGTTTACGTGCTCAGTTTATCCGTCAGCTCAGTATCATACATGGTGTCCATAAAGTGCCTTTACAATTTCAATTTTGCTCTGAGGTCAGTTCTCAATATATCTTAACCAGGTTTGTTGCTTTTAATCAGTAATTGTTTAAGTGTTTCTACTTCGTTTAATACATCTATGAGGGCCAAAACAATATATATATGGTTTGGATAAATTCCGTTCGCAATTTTAAAAAATTTAAGACGTTATGGACACCCTATACATATTAGCTTCAAGGCGAGTGTGAGCTATAAATTGAATACAAATTCGATTCTTTAATAAATGAGCTAGAAACAGTTTGATTTGATGACAGTTTGACACTACTAAGTGATGAATTGCTCGGCCGTAAACGGAATACACAATCACGAAAATTCTATATATAGTAAAAATATATCTGTCTCGTTTTGACGGCGATTTTTCCTAATTATTGGTGGGAAATCGTGGCGATTTTCATGATTCACGGTGTTCTGTATGTGTGTGTACGTAATGTTGAAGTATAAACCCCGCCAACGGCTTTTTATCGGTCCCCGCGATATCTATCTGGTGCTTTCCATACTAATGCGACACGGTTTTCGTCGCGACGACTGTTATTGGAAAATGAGGCGGTGACATCGCGACCGATCGACGCATTAGCTATAGAAATAAAATCAATCGCAATTTCAATGCCACACGATGAATACCGATGTTGCATTTTATATTGCAAAATTAGATTTGCCTCCGCCAGTCGATAATAAGAGAGGTATCTACCGTCCGCGATGCATATCATAGGTATGTCCAGTTCCATTTCTTTTGAGCTTTTTTTTACAAAAAATATGTCATGTATTGATACATTTTCCTTTTTAGCACTCAGTTTTGACCAAAGTGACAATAAACTATTATAGTCACTTTGGTTTTGACGAAGCGCACGAGCACTCCGTACCGGCGTACTCAAACACCTATTTGCATCCACGGGGTCGTTAAAGTTGTAACATAACTTGACGGCTTATAAGATGCCTATACTGATTATCTAGAAATACCCAGATTAAACAGTTTTGAGATCGTTGCGAGCATGTAATCATAGACTACTGCTTTCTAGAATTGGTGGTTTCATTAGAGAATTATTTAATTATCAATGCGACAGACGAATTCGAATATGCTATGTAAACCACGTTTTCTGAGAGTTATTTTTTACTTTAACTTTAATTGACATGGCGCAGTGCTAGTAGGCCGCGGCGACCGCTTCGGAGTTTGCAACTATATTAGTGGCATTAGTCGTGGAAAAAGGTTGTAAGATACGATTCACAAAAGTGACTCTTCTGTTTATCTAGGTTTCTAGTAAAATATATACAATACATGTGCGAAATTATAGTTCAGTTTTGATGACAATGTTAAGGCCTAGCCTGCCCGGGCTATCATGTGTCTGTGTTTATCCCTTCACTGTTTTTATATTCTCAATAATCCTGCGTGTACAACACTGATATGTATTCACCATATTGATCACAAGCTTGAGGCCCGATTAGAGAGTATCTCATAGTGTTCCCAATAATTCCCATACTTATATTTTATTTCAGAATATCAGATTGGCGTGTATCGCGATATGTTTAAAACTTAATTCAAAGAAATTTCCGTCATGTTTTTTTATAATAAATAATTTGATCCAATACAGGCCTATTTAACTTGAATCAGTTTTAGTCTTGACCCTCGACCAAGATGATCGTTTTTAACAGACAATCGTACACTTTGAATCGTATATATGCCTTTTCGCTACGTTGAGTTTATAGTGGCAGGTATTTCTATTCGCAAGTCGAGTCAACGATTTCTAGAAATGGATTCATAAAAGTATAGAGATAGATCGTGCAAAATACCAAATCCGACATAAGGAGCTAGAGATTAAAACACTCGCGAGGTTGCTTAGCAACGACAAATGCAATATTTTTTGAGTATTCATCCGCATGGTTATCGCAATTTTAAAATTAGATAATTGCCGTGCATGAATAACTTTATATACCAGTTATATCGTGTAAATGCGTTTATCTGCCTTTGCCAATTGAAACAATAAACGGTCAAGCAGCATAAAAGTACATGCAAATACGTAAGGTATACGGTATGTAGTTCCAAATGGCAGAGCTTTGTTTGTTACCTGATCCGTGGGACCTGGCCGCTCAACGATGGGAAAGGAGCTAAGCTCGTGAGGCCTTTGTTTGCTTAATGACGTATCTAATCAAACATTGCTTATACATATATGCTCGGAACGTATGAAGGAGTCCCAGAAATATATTGTTACAGTTTAACTTAGCCGCGAAAGTATTTGGTTTCATACTAATATAGTGTAAACAAGTCAGGTCGTTTGCCGGCGCTATTGCTTGTCAAGCCATAATTAGATAGGTCGCACATAAAGTGCGTTAGGCGAGTATAAAATCGAAGGAATTTACTACTAAACGTTAAAAATGGCTGTCGTGTTACGATGGAAATACCAGTGATATATTGAATACAAAACAGCGATGTTGTTATTTAATAAGGTACATATATACAAGGTATTTTCATTCTAATATAGTTGATATTTCGTAATAGGCCAGTTGGTTTGAATCCCGTTTGAAATAATCGATATGAAGGCTCGCACTTCGCAATCTTCCCGTATACAGGTATACACATACTCTTGGATTGAAATAGCTAGTCTACTAAACAGATTTGGGTTATCTGTTTGAGGTAGCATACTGAGTAAAATTATTGATAGGTCATTTATTTGTAAATGTTGCTACAGAACATTCACTATGTCTATCATGTAGAAGTAACACATATTTCAAACTCATTGCGCTCACAGCGTGAAGTACTCCACAATCTAATTATGGCGTGTGAAGTACTTTTTGTACGTGAATACCGAGGCAAATAATTAAATAATAGTTGGATAAATGGAATTCATACCGAATCGGAACGTTATTTGCCACAAATGGTGCTTGTAACTTCTATCAACACTTCCCCTCAGATAACTACGTAGCGCATAGGCATTATTATGTCAATCCTCGCCGGGAAACCAATAATTCGCAGCTTAGCGCTTAGCCATTTTCTATGTCAATCCTCACAGCGGAACCAATATAACGACTAAAAGCATATAAATCTCGCCGTATGGTAACAAAGATTTAATAAATGTCAAGACGGTGATTGAAAGCCCATTTTACTCCTGTGTGCTTGTCAGGAAATTTATTTTCTCGTCTCCCGTCTACTATGCCGCCAGTCGCAATAAGCCGATTTACAACATCTTAGTTTCTTGCCGTTTCAGGGCAAAATAACGCAATAATATGACGTCAGTACTGGCGACTACTATGTATAGAAACTAGTATTGTCGTAAGGCGCCAAATACTTGTTACATTATTCATGTACACTCCCTAAAATGAAATAAAGATGCGTCACTTTGTCTGATATTGAGTGGTAATAGAATTTTGGAGCAATTTTTGAACTGTTTATACTGTCCAACATCTACTGCAATTGTCTAGCACACCTTTGAATTTGAACCGGCTCAAGGTCATGATTAGTAATTTCGTATTTCTTCGTGGTGATGATCATAATATTTTCGAAATATGTGCAACAAAGATAATAGTGGTAAGCCCATTTTGAAAGGTTGTCAACGCATATAACGATCATCAAAATTTTATTACCGTATAAATAAACTCTAATATCGAATGAATATGTAACATAGAGACAATTGTTTAAATCGTGATAGGTTGAAAACTATAGGTCCAAACTGTCAATTACTCAGGCGCCAATAGCAATTTTTTTGTTAGGAGGGAAAGATATTGCGTTGTTAAATTAAGGGTTAAGCCAGTCCAAATTCCTGATTAATCCACCGGATAGCTTCAGATATAAAAAGGGCCCGTCTATCGGGGAAGATGTTCATTTGTATGTGGCAGTCGTTCATTCCCCAAAAATGGATAATATTTTTGTAATCTAAAAGCACATTTGTTTGTGCTAAGCAAAACGGTGTCCGATATCGTTCGATTTCGACTAAGTGGTAACTGGGCAGGCCAATTAGATTCACATTGGGAAACGAGCATTAATCGTTGGTTATGGTGATGAAATTTTACTACTTGAGAGTAATCTACAACAGTAATTTAATGGCTTGACGCAAGCGCGCGAATTGAGATACGTACATGTATCGGTATATTGAACTACGTTGTGCATTACATTGTTCGCTCAATGTGATTCGATAGTACAACTGATATTGTCAATGTTTTGAGGAATATTTGACTGAATACCTCTGTCTTTAACTCCGTTTTAAGTATTCCGCTAATTCGAAATTACGTTTTTTTGCCAATTTAATGAAAACGTACATTCTACGGAGGTAAAAACTGGCTGTGCTGATGGATTGAATACCGAATCGCTTCGCTGTTGAGGGAATTATTGCAGTTAAGGCTAGTCAGCCGCCAAACTTAATATGTGTATTTCTTTGAGTGGAATGCCTTTTATTAAACAGTCTTGTCATTCATTTTATCGCAAAAAATATTGTTTTAGTCGTTAAATTTCAAGAAATTTACCAAACATCGATAAAATTACTGGTACTGGTATTTGATATAGCCTTCCTATTTTATTGCAGAATTGTACTTTTGTAAAACATTTTTTCTCTTGCGGTGAAGAAAACTATAAGGCCTATGGGCATTTGGTGCGACAACGAACCTCCGGCTAGATCGAAAAGTATGGAAAAATACGAGAAACTGAGTAAAATTGGAGAAGGGTCTTATGGCGTAGTTTTCAAATGTAGGAATCGTGATACTGGACAAATCGTTGCAATAAAGAAATTCGTCGAATCCGAAGATGATCCTCTCATAAAGAAGATTGCTTTGCGAGAGATTAGGATGCTAAAGGTAATATAATTTTTTTTCAGTTCATACTTCTGAGTATATTATGTTTCGTATTCCAGAATTCTTCGGTAAATTTTCTGAATGGTAATATAAATTTAAACTCGACTCCCGACGCAAAAGTAAGTACGTCCACTCTAATCAACGATGAAGGCGATACGTGAATGATAAAAACAAAGTTGAAAGCATGATCAATGGCTTCAGAAAAGAAAATGAAACCCATAGTTAAGTTTATGGGATACTGACAGAAATTTTGTAAATAATTTGGATCTATGGGGTACATGCTTGCACAAAAAAAAATAAAGAATTAAATAATATTGATTTTCCACCCATCCACAAGTACGAAAATCGAATTTACTGTATTGAAAATATTCTAATACTAATAACCAGAACAAAGTATTACTTTAAAAAAAAAATATTTGATTCCATATTAGAAATATTATGATATGATCTCGTGATATTGTAACTATAATATGGCGAGTTGGTTTGAATTGCCATAAAGAACATCACGAAACTTAAGTTTTAAAACTTTTGGTTATTTCGTATATATGTGTTATACTTTCTTGATTCATATCAGAATGCTGATTACTCGCTGTGCTGGTCGAGTCGTAAACACAATCTGAGTCCGCAATGCCGGCCCACCTAGGTATATTCAAAGAATTGTCGAGAACGTTATGAAATTCTTAAAACACAACTTAAACACAATAACCCTGTAACAATACGTCGGAAACTATGGCCTGCCGTAAGCCTTTTGTTTGAAGACAATGATTTTATAGATATGAAGAGATGTTTGTTTATCAAGCATTGGTATTCCTAAGCTTGATAATATTAAGTTGTAGCAATAAGCTTCAGAGTATATACTTTTAAAATCCGATGGGTACGTGTAGCGAAGTCCGAAGAGTTTAGGTTTCAAACGAAATTACTTCCATCAATAGACATTCATTTTATTAATGCACATCGTCATTTATTTCGAAAAGTATGACATCAATCCTGATTCCACTTGCATAAAAATTTCAAGTATTGGAAATAAAGAAAAGTATCGGAAATAAAGAAAAATTATTGAATTGCGAATTTTTCACCTCTAACCATATGGCAGCGTCAGAATCAAAAATTGACAACTTCTTGATATAGAATTGGTTTTGTGTTGCAACGTGTGTTGGTCACATATTGCATTCAACACGCCTAATTATAACTCCCAATATTTAGAACTTTTGTCGTAATAATTGTAACTTTATGATCAGATTGGAAACGAGTGTAAATTGTAATGTTTAGTTATATACTGTCGAAAGAATTTGATAAAAATAAAAACAGTCGCATATTTTTATTTCAGCAACTGAAACATAACAACCTCGTTAATTTGATTGAAGTATTTCGAAGAAAACGCAAACTTCATCTTGTCTTCGAATATTGCGACCATACCGTACTGAACGAACTCGACAGAAACACAAGAGGGTAAGAAATATATTTTATGTTAATATATATTGGGCGAATTCTTCTGGGTGGCCATAAACTCTCTTTTACAATTTCAATTTTGTTATGAAGCCAGTTCTCAATATATCTTAACCTGCAGGTTTGTTGTTTTTAATCAGAAATTGTTTAAATATTTTTACCTCATTTATTACATCTGTGAGAGCCAGAACAATATATTATGGTGTTGATATATTCCTTTTGCAATTTTAAAAATTTTTGAGACTTCATAGACACTCTATATATGTTGATTTCGCCTTAGTATATAGGATTGGCTGATATTGGTCTAACAACACGGGTTGACATTTCGTATACATTTCCACCATGAAGTGCTCTATCACTTAAGAATTATGAAATCATTCAAAATACAATGTGCGACAAAGCAAAACGATATTACAAAAATGTATATGACCATTGAATGTAAACGTATTTTCATTTTGATAAGCATTGTTGTTTGTATATTAAATCCTACTTTGAAATTTGATATGTCTCATTTTAGAACGGAAATACTATTTTAATCTCAGATACATTATACCCGTGAGTTTCTATACTGGTCATAATGAATGGTTCCTCAGATTTAAAATTATTCATCATACCCTAATTGGTGTTCTCAAAATAACATTAACGTATTTTGGAAGACGTAACGCGTACATAAGCAAAAAAGAATCCCAGTTTATCTAAGACTGTCCCAAGAGGGTAGCGTATCCAAAATTGATCACATATCCGCCCCAAGAAGAGTCTCAGTTTCTGCGAGTATAACTGGTAATTTTAATTTTAGTCGATTATAGAACAAACCAAATTAAAAATTGTTTTATATTTTAGGGTTCCAGAGCAACAAGTCAAAAAGATAATTTGGCAAGTTCTTCAAGCCGTCAATTTCTGTCACCAACATAACGTAAGCTTGTCGTTTATAAACTTTATAGGGCATACATGATTATCGTAAATCGTTTGAAGTTAATGACTCAATTTAATTAATTATCAGTTGAGATAACGCTCTCCCTTGCTCTATTTCTTTGTGGGAGTGGAGCCGTATGCGTGTAACGCAAGGATGCTGTGGCAAGAATAAAGATGACTGTAGTATTTTATTCAAGAGTCTTGTTGCACGCTATTAAATCAATTAATTTAATTAACTACATTTTATTATTCAGTGCATTCATCGAGATGTAAAACCAGAGAATATACTGATAACAAAACACGGAGTAATTAAGCTTTGTGACTTTGGATTTGCAAGAATTTTGAGTAAGTATAATTTTCATTCATCACTTTACGAGTTTTATATCATGGAATTAATTCCGCTATGTATACTAACGAATCGCAATATAAACAAGTCAAATTGTTTTAATATTTCTAAACAGAAAGATCAAAAAACTTCAGAACTATTAAAAAAAATTGCTTTATTGTTGTATGCAGCTTTAAAACGTATGATTGGGTTTGCCTGTGTATTATCCCCCCTTTTAATAAAAATTATTTCTGTTTTTTTTTGCGTATAGTTCTGTCCACAGCTTTAAAATGTATGGTTTGCCTGTATATTATTCCTCATTATAAAAAAAGTTATTTCTGGTATAAATTTTGTTCAAAAATTTTAAGACCTCAGCCATTGTATTTTTAATAAAATCGTGAAACATTGACGCATTTCGTGACCTTTCATAGCAACTATGGACAGATATTATAAAAAATGCCCACACTAATTTTGTTATAAAAATTATAATAAGTGAAATACCAGAATATTTCGATCTGGCTTTTCTCGGATTATCTCCCGATCTTGAATTATTTTCGAGAGCAATTTTCCATTTAAACCGCTCTTTAGTACAATATAGAGGCGCCATTTTAATTCTACAGAATTATAAATTCATTACATATAATTCCAACATTATCCCATAAATATATATTATTGAAAAAATTCAAAAATTCAACTGTATGTTTTAGTATTTCCGGCCCGCATAATTTGTATAGGGTATATCATGTGATTGAAATACATCAAAATATGCATAAATTTTTCATTTTACTATTTCGGAATCGGGGCGTTCGAAATATGTCATTACTGGTTACGATAGTTAAGGCAGCTTGCTATTAACGGATTTCAATATCGATTTCGCCCAAGTATATTGTTAGTTACGGGCTGTGTTATGGTTACTGTTCGCATCCCTGTCGATATAGCACTGTTCGGCTCAAATGAGGGCAGAGACTCTGCCTATTGTCGATCTTGGTAATTTTATATTTCATTCTCTTTCTTGATTCACGTAATGAAATTCCGACTCTGTTTCACTGCTTTGATATATGCCGATTGAGCGATCATATGTCACATGCGAAGCGGCAAACGGGCGACAACCTTATGAAAATCACGCCTATAGCACGCCTATGGGTGAGCCTTTAATCTCACGCCAATTAATATTTTCTCGCGTTGCCCAGTTTCAAAACTAGTAATCTGGACATTTGCGAAGTTTTTGATATCAAGAACGACAAGCCAATTCCCTTTTACTCCATTCTTTTAACGCTATATAAGTGTGATTATTTAAGAAGGCGTATAATGGCGTAACAATTTCGGTACCTCATATGCATGCTTGGGTTCTCTCTAGAATGGTGAATGTACCCAACCAATACTCTTATATTATCGCGTTTACACCCTTAACTACAGTACTGCATTGTATTCAAATCGCTATGTCTCAATATGTTACCGATATTATAGATATGGTCACACATACCCACCCATACGTAGTCTATCAATGCCAACAGTTTTCGTTCGTTTGCCAAGATTGATTGTATATTTATATCGAAAAAAAAAATGAAATTTTCAGATAATATATATAGAGATATATGCACCACTGCAATTACAACCAAGATAACGATATTTGGCATAGAAGAACTTACTTAGGAGTCCTAATCAACTCCACAAAAGAAAATCATACATAAAATTTAAAATTAAGATCCGGGTACTCGTTGAATGTATTTAATCATGACAAAGGGTCGCTGAATTATAATATTTGAACTCATTATTCGATGAATTGTATCTTTAAACATCAATGAAAGTCGTGCCTACATCAAATATTATAAATACACAAAATTGTTAAGCTAAATTTTAAGTCGCGGTATTTGACTTAACATATCGGATCGAAAATTACAGATAACATCCCATTTTGCTTTGTTTTGCATTCAATATTAAACTGACTTCATTTTCTCGCCATATTTTTCGTGAAGTATCCTCTCAACCGAGTAGTCACTGATATTGTATTTTTTATTTTTAAACGTTTTTTTTACCTAAAATACAAACATATTTGTTATAAGTAAATGGAGTGCTCACGTTTGTTACCATTAAAACATCGCGGCATTTGACCAAGTTGTTGTACCCCATTTACATAGTGACCAAAGCATTTGTTTGACAATTTTTACATGGAATATCGTTTCTTTTCAGCTGGACCTGGTGACGATTATACCGACTATGTCGCAACAAGATGGTACAGAGCGCCCGAACTGCTAGTCGGAGATACACAATATGGACCTCCTGTAGACGTTTGGGCTGTCGGATGCGTTTTTGCTGAATTATTATGCGGAGCGGCATTGTGGCCCGGAAAATCAGATGTAGATCAGTTATACCTTATCCAAAGAACACTTGGTTAGTTGAGTTTTGTTTTTTCATACCAAGACTATAAAAATATTTAACGATTTAACAAGAGAGCACATGATGATGAAAAAGCAAGATATTCGATGAAATATGGGGTCTTTCAGGACTCGGATGGACTTGAAAACAAAACATAAACAAAAGCTTTTTAGCGATACTTCCATTTCAAATACTTGGAATTTGAGACTGATTGGTCTATTAGAGGCGGAAAAAAAAATATTTTTATTTCCAAAATCCAACAAGAATTTAGCAAAACAACCAAATTTTACACTTCGTGCCGATAAAGTACAACAATAAAGTAAGTTGTATTATATGACAAGAACGTATACAATCTATTCAAAGCATTATTGATAATTATTTTATATGTTCGAAATTTGTTCTATATATAATAATATTAATAAAATCAATTATTATAATTTTCAGGTGACCTAATACCTCGACACAAGCAAATTTTCAGTACCAATCAATTTTTCCACGGATTAACAATTCCCGAACCAGATACTAGAGTAAGATATACATTTATTCAAATACTGTGTTATTTTCCTAATGATATGCGACCGAACATTTTAATTGTGCTTGTTCATTTTTCTACTAATCTTAAGTATTTACCTACCTACAGAAGTTATCAACTATCAAAACTACACAGATTCCATGAAAATTGCTCTTATAAAAATCGTGGGATTGATATTATTGTAGAAATTAAAATCCCGTGTCAACAAAAACTAGAGATAAAGTATTGTCTAGCTCTCGGTAATATAAAGGAATTGGCTTAGAAGCATCATATTTTAATCATTCGATTCACAAAAACCTCTTTTATCATTTTCATAATGTCAAATTTTGGATTGTAATATTTACCTACTCTTTACGAAATTAATCTTCCCAAAACAAATTTATGACATTAGTTGATTCACACAATGAACTGGATAGTTAGAAAACACTCCAGTTGACATGTTGATTGTCCATTATTCATGTATTTAAAGAAATCCAACTGGGCAAAGAGTCACACAAATGACGATCGTTCCATCTCGCAGCATGTGGTCATAAGTGTTTGCGTTTATGGTCATCTGGTTTTTGTTTACATACTATTTAGAAAAATGTATATTTGGATGGACCGAAATGGCGCCATATAATACATACAAGTAGGCCAGAAATACCTGCAGCTTGAACAATTTTAATCTAAGCAAATACATGTTTAAATAATAAAACTATCCTTGATATAAGCATATGTTTAGTAAAATATATCCAATGTTAAATTAGGTTTGATTACAAATCGAACCCAATAGCTGTAATGTAACACATTTTATTTGTTATATACTATACAGGTACCTCTTGAATACAGATTTTCAAACATCAACGCACAAGCACTCAGTTTCATGAAGGTAAGCTATAAATAGAAGCAAGAAAGTGTTTTTTGTAGCAAATATTACGTCAGGAGCACATTGAGTCCGATTGGCGCATTGCTCATAGCGACTCAAACTACGTTGAAAGGACCATTGGTTCGCTTTTTCAGTTTGCGTGCTATCACAACCGAAAACAAAAAACGGAATTGATAAAATCTTTGTACAATTTTGCAGATTTCATTTGATTCTCAATTTAACCAGCACTTACTTGTGCAATTGAACACAAAGTATAAACTCATGTTTGCTTTATTTACACAACATTTATACAACTCTCTTATTTATCAATTATTAGCTTGCGATTATAGTTCAGCTCAGAATTATACATATAAGTTATATATATTCAACACATATACGCTCCGTTAAAATAGTTTGTTATTATTATTCGATTTAGACATTACCTGTTTAATCAACAGTATTCACGCCAAGGAGTTTGATCACTGCCAGAAGTTAACCTAAAATTTCTAATTGTGACATTTCACCTTTGCAACTATTCTCTATAAAAGCAATTGAATTTTATCACAGGCTTGTTTGCAAATGGACCCGAGCGCGCGACTGACTTGCGAAGAACTTCTTGAACACACATACTTCGATAGTTTCAGAGAAGAACTAGAATCATTGAAGGAACAGCAGCAACAACAGATGCATCACCATGTGCACAGACAACACCATAGAAGAAAAGGACGCAGAAACCAAGGGGTACAACAACATAGAGAGTTTTTTCCCGTGAGTTTGCAGTGGCTTGTTTTACACTAACACGTTTTCTTGTATTACTACTGCTTTTGCTGTACACAATGTTCCAGAATTCTGAAAGCTCAATATTCTACTTTTTAAACAAGGATATTTTCCATAAGACTCGTGCATTTATACTTTACTACGAAAATAGGTGAACCTTAAATTCAAGGTGAATATTGACAGCAATGTTGCCATTGCGATTTAGTTCTTGTTCGTGATACACCGTAATGTAATTTGATTGAATCTAATATGCGCATTACCGCAATCTATTCGCTTCATTCGTAATAGATAAGGTGTGGGTAGTCGTAATTATGGTACGAACTGAGTATATGCTATCAAATATTGCGAATATTCTGTGCTTGTCCCGATAATTGATACATCAACACTCCCTTTATTGCGGTATTTGCGGTACAATTTTGACAAAGATTTCCTTGATGTCGCGTCAACGGACGAGGATTTCTATTTGCGGAACCTCCAAAACAACTATTGTGAAAATGAAATGATATTTAATCTCGTGATAGTGCTGACATGTATATCTACTATTATCTAACATGGCAATAAGTGACGAAAATGGTTTTCTAATACCAACGACCAACACTACGAATTAATCGGTATCGGTACTCGAATATGTAAATCTCAAGTCAATAACTCGTTGCGGAATCACAGATAATTAATTTGCACATTAACACATGCTGAGTAAATGGACACCTATCAAAAATGTACATTTAGGCTTTGATTTGTCTAGGTTAATTTGTAATAACATTCGCAAAACTTAGATTAACAGCAAAGTAAATTAAGCTAGTATTATTTTTGTTTTAAAAAATTGGGCATCATTTCTGGAATTCAAAATTGATGCTATCGTTTGTAAAATGACTATTTGTAGATGCTCCGGTATTTGAGAGTATAAATATTGAATATTTGAAAACTATACGACGAATCGCAAAGCAATTGATAAAACAATTCTGGTTTATACATCCTGAATGTTTTCGTGTAAACTGTTGACCTGACAGAATTTACCCCATGTATTCATATCAACTATAAACAACTCGTACATGTTCGGCACAGATACTAACCAACACCAACATTTACAACATCACTAGGTTTTTATAAATCATATAAAAGCCACGTAAAAGCGTTCTATTTGATATTTTGCGGTTTCGCTCACTGATGAAATTTATTAGAGCATAGCAATACCATGGTAACATTCATAGGAAAACGTAATTTATATTCTTTCAACCAACATCGCTCAAGGTTGACAAAAGGTGCAATTAAATTACAATTAAATATTTATTCAGTTCCTTTTATACCGCAATTCCCGCGCTAACGTTTATATGCGCGTAAATAATGTTTGACAAATGAGGTTAATTTTTAAAACCATCGTAAAAGCGAGACAGTAGGAGAGGACGAGTCATAAATATTCGATATTATCACCATATTGCTATTTTGTCAAATGATGAGGAAGAAGTATTTCTCAAATATGTTTGCCTTTCGCTACTGGTGAAAGATTATGACTGAGAATAAAATAAAAATAAATAAATTCGAACCCGAATATATTTATTTTAAAAATATCTCCATGTTACGCAAGAACGAACTATTGTTACGACTTTGTGATTTATCCGTCATTTCCCTCTGTTCTGTGTAATACGTTGTTACTTCATGATATCAATTATATTGCTGAAAACGTCAGCACAAAAGCGATCATACAAATTTAAAAATGGAGCTATGTGCAAAGGTGCTGATTACGATATTGTAGTACCGGTAGGTTTGATTTATCTTCGACGCAAAACCCTGCAGTCCTCAACAAATAGTCGAATGTATGGAGGAGATTTCGCTCAAAATTGGATAAAATATTAAAGTTATCATCAGAAATCACACCCTATATTTTGGTAGATTCTTTAAGCTTTAAAATTTTCGCGATACTATCAGACATCCGGTTCAATGTTTATCGAACCTGTCCCAAAACGGTAAATCAAAAGATAGCAAATCATACAAAGAATCTTAATAAAGAAGTTTATACGTTTCGTCAAATATAACGGCGACGCTGGTTTTGAAATCTTTATAATAACAATGCAGTTACTTTCAATCTCTTCGAATTTTCATTAGTAATAATTGAAATAGAACTTGAATTGAATTTTTACTATTTTATACAATTCCGGCCAATATGTGGAGATGATATTGGTTATAATATGATGGATTTCTTCATTTGTACCGGGTCACTACTTTATACCTGAGGATTTAACTAATCTTAGTGAGCATCGATTTCGACACTCACAAATTCCAATTTGTCATTTCTATTATGATGATGCCAGAATGTGTTATAAATAGAAAAGCAATAGAGCTTAGGATTTCTTCGCCTACAATAGCTACGACATTTTTATTGGTTGTCGTTTTTCAAGTGTTCTTACTGACGAACGCTTTCACAAAGTGAAGTGTTAAAGCCAAACTCACGCGCGGTTAGTAAGAACGGCTGCCAAGGTGCTTCACTTTCACACACACTTGACTTGGCTCCTCAATCCCACAGTTACGTACATAGGAGGCTTCAGTGGCATATGCTCTAAGTCTAGAATACAGCACAGTAAATTTAAAAAAAATTATTGGCACTTCATATATGGCAAATAATACTCTTCGCCAAGTCGCCAACATATATTGTCATATATACAGAAATTCGCCGCTGATCTTCAACGCATATAGGGCAAAACATGGATTGCTCTGATTCCATCGAAACTAATTCCATGCGGTTACTGTTATCTTATAGTAAGTAACCTATATATGCACAATCTTTAGAAAAGACAATAAAAAAAAACAGTTAATTGAATCCAGTCTAAAAAATGCTTGACATGTCTGTGAATACCATAATAAACGTATTGGTGATTAGTCAAATCTAACTACAAACCTTTATATATATACCCTACGATATCAATTCGTTTGAATTTTGTAAATTATTCTTTCAGTGGAACTGGAAATGAACTACAAACAAATTTTATTGAAAATTGTATTGTTTATTCGATTTCATTTCAATCAATGAAAATTTTTTTAAACACAAATAAATAAACGAATAATTGATATTCTGATGTAATTTATAAAGTCATTGGAGGTTATTGAATAAACCTCAGCCGTTAATGTTTGTTGAAAATCAAACAAAAACATCGGAAACCAACAAATTCTCCTCGATCTGATTTATTTATTTTCTTGGTTTATTAATTTGGGTTTGACGCAAAACATTGTCGTGTTTACGAGTGAGTTTAAATGTTCCTGTAGTAGATTTACATATTTTTTGCCTCGTCTACTCAGAGTACAGTAATTCATAAAAACTAGAAGGGGAACACTAACGTGCGTTAAAAAGGTAACAAGAATTTGAATCACCGAAAATATTGTAAAATGAACACGGCCTGGTCATCGAACGTTGTACTCGATTTTTGAAGTGTACATTGGAGTGCCAATATGGCCGGAGAGGAGAGATGAAACGGTAAAGTCATTGGATGCTGTAGTTGTTGCCGAGTTTTGAAGTTGTTTTTGTTTACTTTGCGTGATGACAACGATTGCAGTTGATGTGCTTTAGCACCTGTGCTCCTCTTATTTAATACTGGTATGGGAATATATGATTAAAGCGGATCTGTGATGGCTTAAATATGTGAAGTATCTCGGATCAACGAACCATAAGTCTTTGATAACACTCTTTCAACCATTTAGTCATTACTGATCCATACTACAATAAAAATAATGTGTTTTTTACACGCTGGTTTATTTTGGGCTGAAAAGGGTAAACTACTCCGGCAAAAAGCCGGGACATCTTTATAGATCAATTGTCTAGATTTCTTCTGAATACAGGGTAACGGTGGAACGATCAGTGTTTCAATGGTTTGAAATAATTCCAGAATATGGCATTAAGTCTTACCGGTTTTATAAATTTGTATGCTTTCTTTTTGGAGTATTGAATTTTTTGATGTCATTTGTTGTGCTTTGCTAGTTTATTCATTCAAAATTTGTGCCTGGCAAATTTTGATTTTTTTGTGTAATTTTTCATTTGTGTGTTTGAGTGAACCAGAAATATGTTTTTGTTTTCCTCAATTATTTTCGAAAGTTCTTTTATGATCGTGAACCCTCGATGTTGTGAGTTTGGTATGAGGTTCGCAAATTTTTTTTTTTTTAGTTCGCAAAAACACAGACGTTTCAACGTCTTTGAAAATAAAACACGAAACTTCTGAATACAGCTAGATAAAAATTTACAGCTGAAATGAATCGAAATCTAATTTATATCTATTTTTGGCCTACCCTATTTGGTAAATTATGTTTTTATAGACGCATTGTTGATTATAAATTGTGTGATATCTCACTTACGTGTTGTTCCAATAAACAGTAAAACTCACCCAAGTTTCAATGCATAAGTTACAAAAGCTTTATTTTGCGTTTTTATTGTACTTGGCTTACAGCATAACGTTAGAGATATTACAAAAACGTCAGATGTATAATTGAACCCTATTCAGTACAGGCTAATTCTGTTTTCCTAAAAGTAAACTCGCATGGTGTCTAAAAAAATACCGTACATTTATTGTGTCTGTTATTTGCCATCGTTTAAATCAAGCTGACCTCGACTTCACCGTCCATTGTCATCGTAAATTCGATTCTTCTATTTGACGACGTTCTTTTCATCCTACACAGATGTGCTTCTTAGTTTAAAAAGTCATTATTTTGCCGTTTGTCAACGGCGTATTCCTATGAATTACCAATCAGTGCGCGCGACAAATACAATATTTGAATGGCGTTCAATAAATACACCATATTTCTTATCCATAATTGAATGTTATACAACCTAATGTCTATGGATACGCCCGCTTGTTTTGATGTATCCAAGTCGAACCATTGACAAATGACGTTTCAGTGAGGTAATGGGCGGTTGGAAGCTGTCAAGTTTAATTCGCCCTAACTTATCCTATGCGAGAAATCGTAATGAATTGGTATTGGATTTATTATGTATTTAAGAGGAGCGATCAACGCATAAATATGTGGTCTCGAAGTTATGACCCCACGGTAAAACAGCCGGTTTTCAAAACACTCTTTCGCAATTGATGGGAGAAACATATGCGAGGTTGACTCACAAAAGGCCAAAAATTAAGTTAAAAAAAATGTCTCAATAAGCCCTTAAAATTGGGGGAATATACAAGAATTAACATTTTCAGAGATACTTCCGAATTTAACTACTGTAATTTGTATCTCAATTGTATAGGAAAAGTGAAGACGTAAACATATGTTGTCCGAATAACAACTGAAACCACATCAAAAGGATTCTTTTGTTCACTTTGTGCCATTTGATTCCCTTTATTTTCTCAATATATAAGTGAGATAAAAACACTTTGTGGCAATTGATTCTTCTGAATTTCTCAATTTAAAACCTTTATGCCCTACCAGCTTACCGGTATGATATGGATGGCTTATTTTTTAATATGCATTGCATTTATGATTCTTCAGGTTGCATATGGAAAAATACCATAAATGTTTCAATCTTCGATTGAATGAGTGGCTATATATGACAGAAAAGACAGCAGATATTGAATTTCCCCGTCGTGTGTGAGAGCTATATACTACCTACATCTAAAAATGTGTATATGCTACTTCATTGGTATTTAACTGTGATCACGATTACTCTCCCATAAATCTAATTAATCTTCTGAGTCAATAACGTTTTTATATTTTATTTATTTTCAGAATCTACTTCCTCTCTTGACTGGAAGCAACACCCTGTCCAACTCATCTTCGCCAGCACCCGATCTCAAGCCTCATTTAAACTACGGGAAAGATGGAGGAGGCGCCACCTTATCTCGCCATAAAATAAAATGGGATCACTCACGGTTTCCTAATATTTAACATGAAAGACAAAAAGGGTTTTGACTGAAACTCAGAGGCTGTTTGCCCTGCGACGAGAAAGAACACGTCAAGAAACACTAGAGAGTGTTTCGGGCGTAACAGCACCAACCAAATATTTGTAAAGATACATTATTTCTCTATAACCCGTAATCATGCGCATATCTTTGTTTTATTTTATCTGTTTATTTTGTTATCGAACTTCACAGGGTCCTGCATTATCAACCAAAAATGATCATCCTCTTAATGTTGGTCGCATTTCGATGGTATTTTTATACGACCTCGAACAAGGTCCTGTACAAATATCAGCCACTGGTATGTGATGATATTTACAGAGCTACTATTATTAAAAAAGGCAATTTTCAAGTATTATGCTTTCTTTCATTTGTAGGAAATGCCCTCATTTGTGGTCTACATGTAGACTGCAAAATTAAATATGTTGGGAATATTTCATAAACAAATTTGGTTGCGAATGAATCTTCGGCAAAGCCTGCCGCGTCTCATTCTAAATTCTGAACCAAATCGGGTCGAGTATTCGTCACTTTTTACGATAAGCATCAGCGTAGCGGATTACAAAGGATTTTTTAATAAGGCACGATAAGTCGTAAAATTGAAGCATTTGCACTGAGAGTGTTTGAAGCTGTTATAACAATAAGAATTTTACTTCGACCAACGCGGCAAGGTTGTTTTTGAGCTTAAAATTTTCATCTTCTCGTGGTAATGCTACGTCGACGTTAAAATGACGTTTCCATGACTGAGTTAGCAAACAACGAGCAAGTGGTACGCTCAAAATGTCGTCAAAAACAGTAGTGTTGCCGCAGAAACGTGGAAATTACGAGAGCGTAGTATAAAAATCTGTTTTGAAAATGCCTGCGTTTGCTCCAATCGCGAATGCGGTACTTAGTGCTTATGGTCGGATTTGCTACAGTGCGTCATTTGCGGGTTGCTTTATTAGACGGGTGTCCTGGCTTGGAAATAATGTAAATAGGACACATTCTAGTTATGAGGGAAAAGCTTCCTATTTGATAGAGCCGTTTCGATAAAATAGGCATGACAAATATGTCCATTAGCGCTTGTTATTTTAGGCAAACATTGAATAATAGTTTCGATCCATGGACTATGAAAACATATGCTACATTATTTGAGACGCGCCTAACCAGTTCGCTCTATAAAGAACTTTTCTTTTGATAAATCAATACAAAGCGTTAATATGGTTAATGTATCCATGGTTATGGTCGATGTTTTGATGACCGACCACTATAACATATACAATATAACTACTCGAAAATCGGTCGCGTTAACCCATTGCGGGCTTATCGACCCAACTTTATTTATATAGCAGCCTGTGGATTTACGGGGACAAATAAGGGTTAAGCAATGAAATATGTTGCTTTTAAATGTTACGTCATGTGGTTACAAAAATCGCCATGGGAACGTCATAATTATGAACGGGCATATTCATGAGGAGATGACTTATTTATCGCCTAAATGACATTAAAAAATGTTCGAAAAAAATGTACTTATTATTGGCAATAGACTCGACGAAATACTATATATCATTTCGCTACCCCAAGTGCTTATTTAACCCATGCTGATACTATAGTACTCTGGAATTTTCATCCCACAGAGAAAATAATTGTGTAATTTCTTTGGTACTGTTTATATGTACTAGGTCATAAGTATGGACAATCAGACAAGGAACGTTAGAAGAGGTTTCTTTATTATTTTGTTATATTTAATTGTTTTTTAGTAAATCACCTTTTAATGTTATTTTCATTTAGTTCTCAAATGACCAAAGATTTGATAAATCTTTTTCTTCACGTTTACAATGATTTTCTGAATCACTGGATTCAAAAAATCTCTCCTTTTTCAAATTTGGTGATTGTATGGTTAGCGGGAAAACTGAACCAATGACAACGGTGTATTTTGCCATATGCAAAATCACTCTGAACTTCAGGTATATTTTTTTACACCAAAGATCTTTTAGCTAGTATGCGGGTGACGCTTAATTGGTAAAAGGTGCATGAAATAGAACGGACGAAACGATAACTCGCTTCCCACCATTCTGTATAAAATCATAAACAATTTAAACGATCGAAAGAAAATTTTATATTTATAAGTTTCATCAACAAAATGACTAATATCTCCTCAAGTTGAGTAAAATATGACATATTAAAAGCAGTTTAATATTCCGAAAATAGCTAGTAAATCAAAAGGTATAACAAGAAAACGACTTGAAGCTTGTATCTCAGAAGCACTGTGTAAAAACACCGCTACCTCCTTACAAATTGAACAGAGTGCTTTTCGCGGTGTTATATCGATTCAGCTTTGTTATATAAAAACTCTAACGATGAAACATGGTCTACATTAGGGGTGTGCAACAGGTGGCCCGCGAGACACAACCTAGCCTGCCAAACTATTTAGTGCGGCCCTTGTCAACACTCAGATTTCCCCCGCCAGGCATGAATTCCTAATCCAACAGTTTATGTTCAAATAGGCGTTCACATGGGTAGGAAAAAATGTTTTCTGCTCTTGTCCCTGCGTTAAATATTTCGCCGTTTTTCACGATGCCCCTATTACTGTAAGGCTAAGCGATAGCCGCGTTTCGCATTTTGTGTGGCCTAGCTAGATGTCTTCATTTGGTTATATGGCCCACGGACTAAAAATGTTGCACACCCCTGGTCTGCATAATCTATATGTTGGGTCACAAGTATTTAGGCAACTCTGGCAGTACGCAAATATGGAGATCAAAATCAACAACTTCGTAATTCGTATCAACGTAATATTCCTATTTACATATTTTAATTTTGTCCTTTATACACAATAATACTTCGTGGGGATCACATGTCTTTACTATAATTTTTCAACGGAAAATTTGCATTTTATACTGCATAATTTGGTATGAATGCCAAATTTTTGATTGAACTTTATTGTTGCTGTATCATAGGTAGAATTATGTTCATATGTAGTTTGTCTCTTTCATTTTTAATGATGTTTATAATAATTTTTTTCACGAGCCTCGTTGTGGCATTATTCTACATTTCAAACATTTTTATGGCTTGTTATAATTTTTGATGTTACTGCCATAATTTTTTGTCTGTATTACAACAAATTATTAATCAACGGTAAACTATGTCCTTATAATCTATCCCTATTTATCTGTATGTTTTACCTACAAGCAGATAAAATGTTTTGACGGTATTTTTTGTAGTTTTTTTTTCTTCTAATTTCTTGTACGATCGTATTTTAATATTTCTTGCTTTAACTATTCTTGGAGGAATACAACGACAATCTAAAATTTGTTTTAGGTATCATGCTCAAAGGTTGAACAAAATCACCAATGATATACTATACTCTAATTTTTGTACACTTTTTGTTGATGGTAGCGCGAATTGACCCATGGTTTTCATTTGCAAGTTAACAAATGCTGTTTAAAGTAGGATAGGATTTGTTTATATTTATCCCAAAAGCGAGTAAAACGGCTTAATCATACAGCGAATGACGGCCCATTCGTTAACAAGTCAAGTCGGATCAGATAATCAGTCCTGAAGCACAGACTTGGAACGCATACTGGATTAAAAAATACTACTAATGATGCGTTACATAAACCATCCAGCGATAGCGGAGTAGGTCTAAAAATTCGTCCCATCGAGATGTCTAAACATATAGAAAAAAGCATAAACTTACAATATCACTAAATAAGTCTCAAGTTCCATCTGCGGAATCTTTATTTCAATACAGGTTTGCTTATAAAGCAAGTTTATAATCCCTCAACTTAAATAAAAAGTTTTTGATAGAAAACTTAGAGCCGCAAAAAACACTGACTTAATCCAAAATATCCCAATTTGTTATGCTCTGCCTAGATATGATATCGTCCATGATTACAATTTTCTGTTTCTAAATCATTATTGGAAAGTATTATCAAGTTTCCAAACTTAAATTGATGCATTATGAGGACCGTGATGGCTTCAAAGAATTGACTACGTGCTAATCAAAATCCTTGATACACAGCAGTTGCACCTGCCACATATGGCCTTGTGCTCAATAGCAGTGATTCCCAAAGTGGCCGCTTTCCTGATTTATAGCGAAACAACGGCGGTTTTGATGATGAATTAATTTTATAATCTACGACCGAGTAGTAGATTATATATATGTTTTTACGCAACAGAATTTATCGTGAGACACGTTTAAATTAAATTATATTATAGCCCAACAATTTAGTAAACAGCTACTGATGCTGAGTGCAGGGTTTCAATAGTGCAGAAAATATTCAAACAGAGGTCCTTGAGATGAATTGCAATGGGAAAATAAAATTCATATTCTATTCGAGAGATGCATCACTGCTGGATTTTTATAAAAATGTATCTTCTTAAAAAAAATCTCCATCAAAATTTAACAAACCATGCGGAAAAATTCACTTCGATGTTCGGAGGTGCGAACGATTATTTTCGAAAACGAAAATTACAAAGAACAAGCAGATGGTTAGTGATGCCCATTTGGAAAATGATCCAATTTTGGCTTCATTCAGTGATCTAGCGTGATGCAGCAACAAAACAGTGTCACATTAAATGCCATTTGTAATTTGAGTTCTCGAGTTGTCGCAGTCTTCGCTCGCTGTTCCGCTTTAATTTTCAAAAAATATGTGGTTGCCAAAATCTGCAACCCTTAGTATTGCCGCGCGAGCGACAAAAGGTTGCCGACCTCTAGCATAGCCGATGGTCGGTTACGTCTTCCCGCACTATCAAGTCCGTGAGTCTGATACAAATAAATGGCTAATTAATTCTATAAACTGGTAACCGGGCTGGAGGTAGTGGTACATGATGATGAATCAAAGATGAATTTTACCGAAGATCGTTATGATGTATTTTGAAGCAGGTCATCAGGCGATACCCGGCGATTTTTGTGGAGACAGAACCCTGGTTTCTTTCATTTCCGACCTCTTATATGGTGGAAATGGCTATCAAAACAACGAAATTGCATTTCCATCAGTAAACGGGATGATCTGAGATTGTGCCTGGCGAAAATATCACCAAATATTAAAAAATCTTGCTGAAGACCACCAAGCTCGTCAATCTCATTAAAAACGCTATAAATTGTGATTTTTCTTTTTGTTTACTTGGTCTGTAACATATTCTAAGATTTCCCATCAACAAAATGTTCTTTCTGTCTTGGCTATCGAAATAAGCTCAGTTTTTATTTCGTAGTCAAATTGAACAATTTTTAAATATCAACCTTATACAATAAGCAGGATAAGATTCTAATAAATGTTATAATCTCTATAAATTGGGAAAATGTTGAGAAGCCCTCTTCTAAGCTTGATATGATTCGTAGATTCGGATTTATGCAAAAGACGATTCTAAGAATTTATGATCTGATTCGCTTTAAATATTCGAATCAGTCAGTCAGCTCATATTAATTATTAGTTCAACGAAAACAATAATCTAAAGCAACAGTTGTCTTCAATCTTGCCAACTCTTCGATCAAGGTTGCTGTATTTTTGGTTTGCTTGTTCCAGCATCCGCTTTGTAGTTGCAAATTCTTTCTGTAAAGTCTTGAGTTTTGCCTTTTCCGTGCGGTTCTTTTCTTCTATCTCAACAACTTTTTGACCCAAGTGTCTGGTTCTTTGGTTTGCTCGTTCCAGCATCTGGCTTGTAGTTGAAGATTCTTTCTCTAGATTCTTCATTAAACCATTGAGTTTTGCCTTTTCCGTGCAGTTCTCTTCTTCTATCTCACCAACTTTTAAATCGAGGCTTTTTACTTTTCTACTTATACTATTTAGATCTGCATTGGTAGATGCCGTCCATGCCGATAGTTCCTGCAAACTATTTTTGAAATCTTCCAATGATTCGTTCACATTATCAGCATCGTTTTGAGTATCTCCCGTTGTTTTATCTACACAGTCATCAGCTATCTGTTTAGTTTTACGCCGTGATTTATCAACTAAGCTTCTCATCTCACGCATAAGTAGACTATGACGTGCGAGTTCGGAATCGAGTCTATCAATTTTTTTCAATTATGTTGCGACGTTTTCCAATTTGGCAGAATTATATTCAAATTTAGAAACTAACACACTGATTAGCTTGCCCATGCACACTGCTGAGATTTTTGTTCTCACATCTTTCATAATTTCATTGCGCAAAAAATTGTCAGAAAATTTACTCAAAATAAGTGAGTCAAAGAGGGCTGGAAATAACTTTTCTCTGTTTTCTGTGTCAGCTGCAATCCAATGATTTATTGCATTCCATACGGTTATTTCTTCATTGCTATAGATTATATCTGAAGACAAATATGTTTTCATATCTGCCAATGAAATTGTTGTGAACTCTGTCGTTGGGGATATTCTACTGAAGTTTTCCATCACATATTTGCCAACGGCCTCTAACATTTCTGCACAACTAAAATTTGTCGCCAAGGTCTTTATGAATCGCCAATCGCCTGAAGAAATGTTCCATTTTCGAGATTCATTGGTGCGTCTTTCAGTTCCGGGACGGCACAATTCTGGGAAAGCACTGTGTCTGTCGTTGTGAACACGCAGCCATTTTATTAGTTCTGGAAGTTTCTCTTTCTTGATATCAACATCAACTTTCTTCATGTAAGCGATGAATTCTTCCTTTGGTACATCTTTAAAATCGTCCAACATAGCAATTTGAGAGAAATTTTCAATAATTAAATTAGTGACCCGTAATTCAAATTCTCGTTGTTTGCTCTTTTTTGTCAGAATTCTGAGAAAAAGTAAATTTGCGACATAATTGTTCCAATCCACAAGAACCCGTCCTTTTTTTATATAAAAGGGACGATCTAATGAAAGCATGTCTGATCTACTGTCGAATGGAATCTTCAACGACGTCAAGGATGATTCACGGCTACGCCATTTGGATAAATACTTTTTCGCAAAAACGTGTTTGCATTCACCACATGATACAACATGCCTATCCGTCCAAACAATATTCCTGAACTGCGAAGTTGCAAATTTTGTTACTTCACAGATCCTAAGCATTTTACAAACCTCGGGATATTTGCTTTTGGTTTTTCTGACCCATTCCGACAAAAACATCCATATATCAGAAACAGATGATTCATAAACATGCGCCAGTTTCGAAATATCGGTGACGTCATCGCTACAGAGATGTCGTATTTCTTCGAGCCAGGAAACACGAAGGAGATTCTGCGCTATAAAATTGTTGCAAACACATTTATTTCCTGTTTCCTTGCCATTGTATAATTTAAATAAATTATTTATAAAAATGCAAGTAGACAGTTCTATGTGTTCTTTACAAAATTTGATACAAAGATCTGTAACCTTTTTCAGTCGCCACATGTGAGATACTTGCAATACTTCAGCTACATTGTCCATATCTAACATTAGTTCATCGCCATACATAAAATCGATGCATTGTTTCACTCCTTCTTCTGTGACGTCATTCATCTCGCAAAATCCTTGTTTAGATTCCAACAGATCGTTGTCAAACATTGCTGCAAAATAAGGTATACGACCTAGCACAAAGCGATGAACAGGAAATATCTCATCCGCGACTTTGATAGAAAAGTCGCAATATTTGTCTCTATCAACAGTGTCTGGAAGAATGATACTCGACATCACGCCGTTAATAAATCCGGTCGGATGACAATTTTAAAATATTGCCGATTTGTCAATATTCCGTCAGTAACGATGCTAATAATGCCTATATAAGATATATATAGAGAGAGAGAGACTCTGTAAAATAACAACACTTGGAGCATACACCTACGTCATCGATGACCCATAGACGTACCTACTATTCGATAAACAATAATTTTTCGACGCCTGTATCAACGTTTCAGTCACTATAGGCATATTGTAATCAGGGCTGGGCATTTTCAAAGGCCTGGTGATTGATTTTTCGAGTCGAATCTCGAATTATTGCAAGTTATGTAATTGAATGTGACCTTTTTATTCTCCTGGATCCCCCAGACACATAAATGACATGGTAATTATACAAATGTTTTCTACACTGAGCAATCCAACTACCAGGCCTACCATAGAGCAAGTCGACTAGCAGTTCCTACAAAATAAATAAACAATGACACAAAAAGTCACTATCGGCATCCATACTTCTACATCTTCAAAAAATTCCTCGCTAGTTGTTAGTCAAAATTCAGAGTTAAAGTGCTGCTTCGGAAGAGCAATTTTTTAAACCACTCCTTATTGAGTTTATTGCTTATACACCACATCCAGACCTTCTCAGACGCGTTTTTACGACCAAATGGTTCGTTATGTGATTGATGATAGATCAATCATCAAATAGTTTGTTTTGGAGGTGGAGATACCTGCAAACATCGTAAAATATGACAAATAAGAATTCGTCATGCTACTTATAAAATTGTGTAGGCCTAAATCATTTTATCGGTTCTGAGTAAAACGTAAAAAAAACTTCCTGAATATAATGTTATGCCATGGTTCAATTTTAGCCGTATTTAAATTTGTACGTATGACGCATTTACCTATAACTTGAGGGCACAGGCAATTTTGCAACTTGATTATATTCATCAGTCCTAAAAAGCTCATACGAAAAGCGTATGTAATTTACAGTATTTACATTCTACTCTGTTTGATACCATACAAGTTATCGGTTTTTCTATGTTCAAAATTTTTATATTTTTTATTTATATCATATTTTATCAATATGACGCACTCTTGCCAAAAAAGATTTTTCATGAATATTTAATACAAAGAATAAATACCAATGTATTTTTAAGTAAAGGCCATACAATATGAACCGGACTCAAAAAGTAGCATAATACAAGTGTCCAGCTCCCTATGCTATAATTGGGTTCTGATTAACCAACCAGTAAGCAAAATATGCACGGGCTTAGGGTACAGAGGAAGAGGGGGCTTCACAAAATTTCCATAGTCGAATTTTGAATGGCGCATCGTTTAATGAAATAATTCGAGTTGGTCTGACGACTCGGACTTCAATATTGGGTCAGTTAAAATAAGTATTTGCCTATTTTTCGTCAGAAGTATCATATTAAACATCTCTAAATGAGTAGGAAAACCAGAGTGACGATTACTATTCAATACTGTTAAAAAGCGTCAGTCGTTACGTGTTAAATGTTAAAATAGAATTCCACAGTAACTTCTATCCTTTTTCAATATTCGAGTTCCGCGACCCCTATTAAGTAGGCATTGTTATACAAGCGCCTCGCTTCTCTGATACTACCGGTATGCATTCACTCGGAATTGCGAGATGTACGTTTTGTACTACTTCTAATAATTGCGTTTTGAGTCAAAAATCGGATCAAATTGAATAGATATAGTCATAGTCAATCAATTTTTTCATCCAGTAAATAATATAATACGATATTGACAAAAAATAAAATCAAACACACATTTTTACTGGGGAAGACATCTCTAGGCAAACCCACCAGATAACAAACGTATGGGGATTCTCCGATTGGATAGGCAAGCAAAGTTCAGAGTTGCTGAAGTGTGTAAACTGATGGAAGTATTAGTTGATATGGTAACTTTGCATTTCAGTTTGATCCAGTGGTGCAGTACTGGCCGGGCATTGAAAGAAATGTGATGAATTAAAGAAGAAAACAGGTATAGTACTTTGTGTGAAATTTTGTACTCTTTAATAAGCCCAAAATTTTTCCCGCTCAAAGTTTGTGAAAAACTGGCCTATTTCACCCAAATGGCAGTCCAGATTCAGTATTTACAGCTAGGTTGCTGCTACCCTGATAAGTTCGCAGCAGTAAACACTCTTGAATACCTAAAAAGATTAGCAACGATTCCTCGAATATCATTTATATACACACGCTGCATTTCTACACCAAATAACTCAGGATGTAAGATGAGATATTTTAAGTTATATACAATCAATGTTCCCTCTAATTTTTTGTAGTATGTGTGCGCAGAAATTTTGGTGTGTGCGCACTTTTTTGGAAATGACTAATATTTGTGCAAAAACCAATGAAGAAATTTTGGCGTTCTAACCGGGTAATAAGTGGGCCAACAACAAACTTTCTCAACCTGCCAACCGAGCACATTGTTACATTACATCAAAATACGTCTGTGCGCAGTAAATCTATGCGTGTGCGCAGCCTCTGAAAGCTGTGTGCGCGCACACACGCGCACACCTTAGAGGGAACACTGTATACAATTTTGATTTGGCCCATGTAATAATTATCCTAAGCTAAGCCGAAATGACATACACTACGCATTACGCAAAAAGGAAAAATAATGTTACTTTGTTAAAGTAGAATTTTTCCGCGAATGCTTGTATGCTGTAAGATTTGAAAGTCATTTACACTGATATAAAAAGTTAATTTCCGGAAGTTATTTACATAACCATCATTTTATATAAAAAAATATCCAACCAAGTGCAATTTACGGGTATTAATAGCTATAATTAAAAACCTGGCGAATAACCAGGGTGACCTGACCAGGAATAACTGGCTGACCTGGGGGGGGGGGGGGGGAATATCTGGAAAGACAAAATCCCGGCAACATTTTACAAGTAACATTGACCAATTTTGCAGACAAAACACTTGGGGTCTCGTGTAGTTTCATACCGGAACCTAACATTTAGTTTTGTACCTAACGTACCGTACCTCTAGTGGGTTTAGCATAACAATTTTTTGATATGTCAATCCTAACCCCCACCTGACTACGCCATCCAAAAATTACGTCACTACGACACCGCAACACGTCATAGAGCTTGCCAAATATACGAGCGTTCGCCCGAAATGGTATCGGCGCTGACGATAAACGTCATCGATCTCTCTCATATCGGGATCAGCGCGACACGAAAACGAGAGAAATAGCTGTTCGATTTCGGGTGCTCGTCTGCGCGTCTTGGATGACAATTCGTATAGTTTGAAGGGCTCTATTACGTCACTGTGACGTCGTAGTGACCTAATTTTTGGATGGGGTAGTCAGGCGAGGGTTAGGATTGACATGTGAAAAAATTGTTATGCTACACCCACTAGAAGTACGTTAGGTACGAAACCACATGAGACCTGTGGTACGGTACGGTATTGCACCAATTTTCTAATAAGCCGTGTTTGTTTGGCTGACGGACAACTGACCAGGGTCCAGAGACAACAGGACAACTCGACTACAGAGAGGCCTGGTGAGTTGTCCGTCTTTTCGCATTTTCTACGGTGGTGTTTTAGGTCCATAGAAATATGATTTTGATATTTTTATGGCTCAAATGTTGAGAAAAATACATGAATAATGTCTAGAAAACATTTTTATTTGTATAAGTGGCTTATTTTGCTCATGTTTCATGAATACAAATACAGGGTCTGGTACCGTATAGTTTAGTACCACATGTACTTCTAGTTGACCTGGCTCAACAATTTTTGTATATATCAATCCTAACCCCCACTTGACTACGTCACCGAAAAATTACGTCATTACGACGTCACAGTGGCGTAATAAGGCCCACCGACGTATGCGGATGGTCGTCCAAAACGCGCAGACGATCACCTGAAATCGAGCAAGCAATTTCTCTCGTTTTCTCGTCACAACGATCACTATAGGAGAGAGATCGCCGGCTTCAGCAAGTTCGTTATCGGAGGCGCAGATGTCATTTCGGGCGATTGTAATTATACTTTGGCAATCCCTATGACGTGATTGTGACGTCGTAGTGACGTAATTTTTGGATGGCATAGTCAGGTGGGGGTTAGGAATAGCATATGCAAAATTCGTTATGCTACGCCCACCGGAAGTACTTGTGGTACTAAACTATACTAGACCCCAAATACAGTCTACCGACGAAATTGGAGTAACGTTAGCGAAGTTAGACTGTTGACTTATAGAACTGAGTGTGTTTAAATTTTTGAACTTTATTGGTTTCCAATGTATTGAATGAGCACCTTTAAATATATTAAAACCTTTATACTTCACAGTAATACTTAGGTATTCATGAATGTGAGCTCAGTAGTCTATGGTCAAACTCGCCTACTGAGCAGTCTCTCGACAGACAGTCAACTCACCAGTCGAGCAATCGCTCTGTGACGTCATCGATGCTTGAGGAGAAGACAACTCGACTACAGAGCAACGAGGGGCAGACAACTCACCAGTTTAACAATCGCTCTGCGAAGTGGATCTCTGACGTATGTAAGCATAACCACAAATTTTGCCCACCGAGACTGGTGGGTCATATAAGTGTGACGTGAAAAGTTACATTTTATGAACAATATTAACAGTGTTACAAAGCAAAGGTGGAAAACAATAAGCCACGTGCCAAAATTAAATGTATTCGGAATCTTAACAAATCCATTGAGATATTTTTACCTAAAATATCGAAGTTAAGTCTTAGTTTGGTTGTGGTACCATCAAGCGGGCCAGATTGAGTCACCCAACAGGCTGGATTTGGCACAAGGGCCGTACTTAGCCCATGTCTGCTCTAGCCTCTGAAATGTCTCATTAGGGTCCACTCTACCGAAAAGTTTGAAAACCGCTGATTTTTTTTTGTTACCAAATCTTTTATTAATAACATTCATTTTTACAATATTTCAGACGTGCACCAAAATTTGCAAGCCTATAGAGCAGTATATGCTGAAGAATATATAACATCTGAGAGAATCGAGCAAACGTGGAACAACACTTTAAATGGTTACTGCGACTCGACTCTCTTGAGCAAGTCATGTGTAAAATGAAGTTGACAAAGGCCTTCTGCAAGTCCAAGGATTGAAAGATGGATGTAATAATCTTGCGATTTACAACCCTACAATTCGAACCTTTTGGTTTCTATCTTTTCCAACTTTGAGGGAATTTAGAAGATCTGGAAGTTGGAGAGCCATTGAAACGCCAAGCATTTGTGTATGGGTATTAAACCTGACCCGGGCCCGACTAATTAACTGGATTTGCAGACCAGAGCCCAAATCAAGCCCGAAATTTCATATCTTATTAAGGAGTTCTTTGAATTGTCATTGCAAGAGTTTAGTACAGTATGTGTCATGTTGATGAGGCAACTACTATTTTTATGCAGACCACGGTCTCTCGTGGCCAAAACGCCTCATTTATAAAAAAGCCTGACTCGAACATAATGATTGACATTTTAGGCCCGAGCCTGACCCGAAATTCGACTTTAGATCTTAACTCTAAGTCTCGCTTACAGTGGAACATACAATAACCAAACCAATGTATGATTGTGGACTATAATGAGTTTACAACTCCTAGAAAGACTGCTCGGTGAAACAGTCTACGATGATGTCTCTTCTTTTTGTTCAAACTTACTGGGCAAGTTACAACATTCCTTTTTTTTCCGAAATTATTCGACGGTTCTGGTCAATCAGCGATGGTAGCTAAATATGGCAACTGGTTCACACACGACAAAAATCCTTAAGCGAAAGTATTCGCTCGCAACAACAAAAAAGTTGTCGACATGGATAGCCTGATTAAATTAATGAGATACAATGATTTCAAAAATGATCCGATATCGAGATGTAATTATACTCCGCCCTACAGCGCTAAAAATTAAATCGCAGCACATTGTGAGTTAAATCCAGCAGATGCTTTGTTTCTGTTTGGATTACTAAAACAACAAGACCATGCTGCTATGGACGTAAAAGCAACTTTGTATTCCTTATAAAATGTTATTGTCATGATGGCGGAATCTGGCCCAATCCGCGATCAACAACCAGTTTTTGAGTTTTAAAAACTATCGTATGCAAATTTGTCCCATCTTGGAATGCCTGCTAGGTTTGATTTCAGCCCTGTACTGTTTGTATGGCATAAATGATAAGTTTAATTTAGCCCTGTGTTGTTTTTATGGGATGAAACGTCAACTCCATGCTGAGGTATTAAACTTTCATTCCAATTTATCTTTTTAATTATAATCTTCAAATTGTACTCACACAAATGTATTTCATCTGGGAATGCCCGATAAGTTTGATTCAGCCCTGTACTTTTTGTATGGGATAAATAATAAGTTTATTTTTGTGTATGTGATAAATAAAGTCGAGTCTATGCTAAAGCTCAATGTTTTAATCTATTTTTAATCATAATTATTAAATTTTTACTCAGATTCATACTGGTATATTAATGTTGAATTATTGTTTAATATTGAACTGTGCCTTTGCTGTGAGTGAGTTTCTGATACTTCTCTGATATGTAGCGAAGCCAAAGGCCCTATAAATCTTAGACTATTTTATTGATTTTTTGTTGTCATATGTAATCTATAAAGTCCCTTCACAATTCCAATATGGTTATGAAGTCAGTTCTCGATTTATCTTAACCAGGTTTGTTGTTTTTTAATCAGTAATTGTTCAAATATTTTAACTTCATTTAATATATCTCAACACAATATTATAAAAAATTGAAAATTTATTGAAAATACATGGATGGGCCATAAATATCCAAAATAAATAAATTCAAATATCTAAAAGGCGGGCAAGATAGAATCTAACGAATATTTTTATTTCAACTTTCATTCCATTTTATCGTTTTATTTACACCCCGCTGTTCAAGAACCACTGATATAGAAATACCTTTTTCTCACTTGAAACTCGAAAATCCCAAGTTTGTACTGTCTGGGAAGAATGTAAAAGAATCCAAAGTTTTGCATTCAAATTCTTTGCGTATCCTAGAGCTTTCAAAATCAGGATTTTCTTGAATTTTAGGTCAAATTTTTCGCAGTCTAAAGCTGGGGGACCATTTTTGTAATATGGAGTCAACAGTCTGTTGTAAATTGGCCTTTTTTAAAACCTCTTCTCCCCCTAAGCTCTAACTCTTTATCATCTAAACCACGATTTTTTTGCAGCCCACAGTTGGAAGTCTATTTTTTATCTTCGGAGTCAAGAGTTGATTGTAAATTGGCCCCATTTACAGCCTAATTTTTGGACAGTATACTATTTTTCACTTTGAAATTTTATAACAGTATATCATTATGCTTTTTTTTTTGTGTGAATATTTATTGCAATAAATTCATCATATGCAAAATATTACTGCTTTGTGTGCTTTATTTATTCCATTGAGTTCTCAAATTTTTGGTGTTACAGAGCGCCGCAATAAATTTATAAAATAAAAACACATCATATGCCGATTAATGTCCCTGAGTAAACTAGAAAATTACTTTATTTAATGTATTTACTGCTTCGTATTTGAGCTTTTAGGTATCTCTCACAAAGCCTTTGTTCACTTTGAGAACCCATAATTTATGGCATTGTCTTATAAGCCCCCGTAATTAAGAGTTTTCACTCTGATATATAAACGAAAATATCGATCGAAAGTTAGGGGATCCCACAAAACAGCGCTAATACTCCATAGTGACACCATTACTTAATAACTCGATAATTATACGACATAATTCATCCAAAATCAATAGGCTTCTGGTCCGCGATATGATGAATGTACATGTCAAATTTGGAGCAAATTCAACCTCGCTTTCGTGAGATATTGCGTGCATCTAACAGTCAAATACTTATCAACATACTTACCGATCAAGATCGATAAGTAAAAAGTAGAAATGGTTTTTAAGATTCATGATAGCAGTGTTTGCTAGGTTTTCACTCTTGAGCAAAGCAAATACATACATAAAGGAGCCTCTATTTACAGATTTACCTCTATTTACTCATCGTTGATGAGGTTGTATGAATGGAAATCGAACTTATCTTCAGCGTCACAGTGACGTCTGATGCAAAAGCAAGTTGGGGTAAATTAATTGGCCCAATAGTCAGTAATCGAAGTGTTATGGTCTCAGGAGAAGTGTAGCTCAAGTAACTTAGCTGAGGGTTCCATCAAACGAACGCACTTCTTTCCTTGCCTTTATAGTAAGTAGCAAGGGCGGGGTTCTTTAACCCTAATACAATAAAGGAATATTTCAATTGGATAAAATTTGACCAATCAGAAAATTCCAAAGTCACGTGACCTGCGCACAACCAAAACGGACATGCACCTGCCATGCGCAAAAATTTACTGTTTTTGACGGTCGCCAGATTTCAGAATTTCGTTTTCTAAATGGTCGGACACCTTAACAGGAAGTTGAACTTCCTTACAGGAAGTTCCTAATTGCCATGCGCACGAAAAAACTAAACTCCCATTGGCTGATTCAAAATTTCTCAACCTGCGCAGTAGATTACCGGCCATCTACTTGCCATGCGCGAGATTTTTCGAAAGTATAATGGTTGCCAGATTTCAGAATTTCGTTTTTAAATGGTCCGATTCCGAATCAGATCGTTCAAAAACAAAATTCTGAAATCTGGCAACCGTTATTTTTCGAAAAATCTCGCGCATGGCAAGTAGATGACCGGTAATCTACTGCGCAGGTTGAGAAATTTTGAATCAGCCAATGGGAGTTCAATATTTTCGTGCGCATGGCAATTAGGAACTTCCGGTAAGGGAGTTCAACTTCTTGTTAAGGTGTTCGTCTGCGCATGGCTGGAACATGGCAGATGGAGTTCTGTGTCGATCACGTGACCTGAAATACGCGTTATGATTGGCTGTTGTTAGATATTGATAAATATATAAAATATCCTAACTCGGCTACGTGTCTCTAAGTTACTCCTTCCTGTTCTGGTCTAATGGCGGGCGGACTTGGTAGTATAAACCTCAATCCTACTAATTGTAAAATAATTTATAATCACTGATTTAAATGATTTTCCAACATAATAAGTCGTCTCAACCCTTTCCTCTTCCATAGTATGATCCTATTTCGCACCCGGGCCTTATAAGGGCACCGGTATATGGAGGCTTTAAACGTGATAATATCAGTGTAAAACGTTAGGGGTGGTAATCCTGTGGAACTGGCGTTAGAGTGACGTCATTATTACGAAAAACACTTAAAAATCGCTTTTTTCCAATTTATTTACAGATTCTTTTACAAACAAGCAGTTCAAAGTACATTTTTCAAATCTAATAAAACACAAGGCACACAATATAGATAAAATTTTAATATTTCGCCGAATTTTCTCCACAAATAGATAATATATTTTTGCACTTTAGGGAACTTGAAACTTTACACGTATTAAAATTGAAAACAGGGTAACGTTGCTTCAAAATAAAATGTGTTCAATTGATAGGCCATAATTGGACGGGAACTTAATTCGTGCTCGCTCTCTAAACAAGGGGCAAACAGAAACTGGGCATATAAAATCAGGGGCCAAAATTTTTTTAACGCGAGGGTTCTGAAATTTATTTTTGTCAAGTTATACCGAAACGGGGAAGAGTTTCGACCGAAGGTCGGAGAACATGGGTCTTCACCAGTCTTGAAGTTTTAAAAATCGTTTCAAGCTACGAAAAATTATGCATAATACTGAAAGATTCTTATATTTTTTTATATTTAAAAAAGGGAGGGAGGGGGGGGGGTCGAAAAGCAGATAGCACAGCATAAAATAACACAGGTTTGGTCATGGGTCACTTGCTAGGCTCGAACAAGGCTGTGAACTATATCAAAAATAAAAAATCAGAATTTGGAGGTAATGAAGTTTTCGGTTGAGCTAAACTTTTGCTCCAAATAAATATATCAAAAATAAAAAATCAGAATTTGGAGGTAATGAAGTTTTCGGTTGAGCTAAACTTTTGCTCCAAATAAAGCCAGCCACTAATCTTATTGCTAAACAGGTTTTCCGAGCATGCTTTAGACAAGTAGATACATAAGCAAAATAAAACCCAAATTTGGGCATGGATTCCCTATCTTGGTTTGAACTAGGCCCTAAGTAAGTCTCTGAATGAGCAGATCTGATAGGTCTCACCTATGCTCTTAAGAGGACATTGGGAAGTCGTCACACCAGCTTACCCAAAGGACCACATAGGAAATTTTGCTACCTTACAGGGTGAGGTGAAAGGTCGTATTAGAAGATTGCAAATATTTAGTAAAATTGTGACGCAAAAAGGTAAATTCAATATATATATAAGCATATATAGAATATGGAGGCTCCCGAAGTATGCGAACCAAGATGGCGGACATCGGAATGTAATATGTGTACTAGGTTAGGGTTAGGCCATAATTTTAGGTATAAATACTACGGGAGGCTCTTGGCTAGTCTTCGAACTGATAATCGGACGAAAATAAGGAAAATTGGAAAAAAAAAATATCGCCTAACCCTAACCTGTTACCCATGTTACGTTCCGATGTCCGCCATCTTAGTTCGCATACTTCGGGAGCACCAGAATATGATTATAAATAAAATTGTGTATATGGGTGATTCATTAGGGCGGAACTTATCATCAGAAGTAATTTAATGCAGCATAGCTGCTAATAGCGTTAAGCAAGACAGTCAGTATTTACTCAAAAACCAAGATATTCAAAGAACCGATAGTTCTAAGGGTAATTTAAATGTAAGGTTTTGTGTATTGGACTCTAATCGGTTCGATTAATAAAGGCTTTTCCAGCGGCTGACTTCAGATCAGTGGTTCTCAAACGACAAGGATATTTACATTCCATCCTTGTATTTTGAACGCGTTTTTTTTCGAATAAAACATACTTTCGCCTTACACTCTGTTATCTGTAGCTTATTGTTAGCTAGTTATTTTTGCTGTGGGGCAAGAGACTTGACAAATTCTAAAAACGGGGCTTGGAAAATCTGAAACCACCTCTTTAGATTGGGATTGTTTAGGGATTGTGTCAAAAAACAGACTATACATTTCAATGTGAAACAGAAAAGAGAGCTTCAATAGAAAATAATAATAAAACAAGTAACCCTGGTTGGAATAAGAAATTCTGTATATTAGAGGGCGCTGTTCATAGGTTTTACAAAAAACTTTATATTGATACTTGTTTGGGTAAGAATTTTCATTAAAAGGGTGAATTTAAAACTTGATAATAAAAGACTCCTAAATCTTGATCTCGACTAAAATAGTGGGACTTAGATTGTTTTAATGAATTCTCATAGAGTGGATTTTGAATTATAAACTTAAATTTGTATTTTTTATTATTAAAATCAAAAGCTTTCACTTAGGGAGTCCAAAGTAAAAAGTACCCGATAATCATAGATCAGCTCTACATAATTTTGCAATCTGATATCCCTAAAAAAATCGAAATCTTTTAGTCTAAGTCGCGCTTGAAAAACAACCAAACAAATTTTGTACCCTTGAGTAAAATTTTGTGTAATTAAGATGAATTTAGCATTTTTAATCTAACCTAAAGCATTCACTTGAAGCGAAGATACAATTTTCTGATTGCAATAAATTCTAGATTTCCAAGCTTTGAATGATTCGAAACAGATTCAAATATTAACGACTTCTGGAGCAGTAAAATCTAGCATGAATATTTTATGCCAATCACAGAAAAAATCATTCTAAACAAGACAAACAATACATGAAATAAGAAAAAGCGATAGAAAGCAGGCACAGAAGAATGAATACCAAATTCAAACAGGGCAAAACATTATGTATACAAAATAAATTGTACAATAAAAGATGAAAAAATAAATTTCAATGTGCGGAAACAATATATAAATCCGAGGTGTTGAACCTGTTGAAAGCAGTTTTAATTTCGATAGAATTTTATCATAGACTGTAAACGCACAATCTGCCGCTCAATTAAAAATCGATTTTGTGAAATACTTTGGTTTTTAAAGGTTCATAACAGATGAACAAAGACACCGTCTCGAAAGACGAGTTAACCCATATGCCATAGGCCGCTGCTAATTCTTACGGGAGAAATTAAGGAGCTGATCAGAATGATAATGATGAAGCCGTAGTTACGGAATTTGCGACTCCGTCAAATTTAAATTCTACAGACAAATTTTGATTTTCGATATTTATTATCCACTAGGTGGGATATTCTGGTGAACTGTCATCTACATTCGAAAATATGTTATGTGTCCCAAGACGCCAATACCACAATTTAAATTCAACGGAGTCGCAGATTTTATAACTCCGATTTCATCATTATCATTCTGATCAGCTCCTTAATTTCTCCCGTAAGAATTAGCACCGGCCCATGGCATATAGGTTAACTCGTCTTTCGAGACGGTGTCTTTGTTCACGAAGCTCACAATCAGAATAACGAGTAACTCCCATAATAATTGGGCAGGTATCTTTCCATATTATTTCCCAATACAATCCAGGTTTTGAATGAATCATTCTCTCTATGTCATTTTCGAAGCTGAAAAAAAAAAATAAGCGGACTGGTTATTTGTCAAAACAATATTTTTTTACATGAAATGCTTATACTTGTTTTGAGAATTGCTCTGAACAAGGCTCCGCACAAGCTGCCGCTGCTTCATGAGGATTTTCTTTGGTTTGATGGTCTGGATTCTTTGCCTATCCAATTCATTACACCTAAGTGATGTGGTGGATATATTTTAATCTGTAATGGCAATTTAGTTAAGTCCTACGCAACTAGGCATCCTTGCATCATGATAAAAACAATTGAGTATCAGACATACTCTCTAGAAAGTTTGTGTTATAATGGTGCAGCCTGCAGTTTCACCCAGTTATTTGTATCTGCCCCTCCTGTATTAATAACGGTTGCGCACTCCTGGCGTAAAGTCTTGCTCTAAACAAAGTTTAATACAAAAATGAAAACAAAGTATAGAGCACTCACTTTCCTAGTTTGAAGACCCAAGCAACTGCAATTGTTTCAAAGAGTGCAAAAGTCCAAATCTAGTTGAGTATCCGTCGAATATGTCGAGTATCCGTCGAATATCTCCTAGATGTCATCGTGAAGATTAAAGCGATTGCAAACATGCCTGAAAATGAGGATAAGTAATTATAATTTATCTTTTTAATTTGCGAGTTGCTTTCAAAACGTTCCCTAAGAAATTGATATCTAACAAACTACTATTTTTCGAAATACCAGAATTTTTTGGTTTTTAAATTGCCATTTCATACCCTAGGTCAGGGTGGTCCAAACCCAGGCCCGCGGGCCACATGTGGCCCGCAGCTTCATCATCTGTGGCCCGCGTCGCATTTGCTGAGTGGAAATTAAATATCGCATTTCGTGTTGTTTCATCATAAAAATAAATTAGAAAAAATCTTTTGACATATGTTTACATCACTAATGTCACTGAATTGACTAGTGTTTTGGCCAGTTGAAGCAACCAGCAAAGTTGAATGATATGCTTGGCTAGTCTAAAATGTTAGCTGGCTTTCCATCTTTTTGTCGGGAATATATTCTCACAATATAGTCATCGTAGAAAACTAAAAATCGAATGCGGAATCTATTAGCCTAGATCAGTGGTTCTTAACCTTTTTTGAATAATTTACCCCTTTATCAAACAAAGTTACAAGATTTACCCCCAATACATCTGATATTAAAAATTCGTCAGGTAAAGTATAAATAGCTCTAAATTTAGATGCGAAGTCTCTCTTTCTCCCTCTCTTTCTTTTTTTATACCCCGGGCTTCAGTTCGGCGTGAAAAATAAGAGAGTGGTGTTCGATGGGAAAAGAGTGGTGTGGGAGAGGGGAAACATATGCGGGGGGGATATTGAGGTGATAGAGAGTGGCGAAAATAGTTCGGAGTGGGAAAATGAAATCATCGATCACAAAAAGCTTTCAAGATGATTTCTCCAATCGTATGTGCTTTTTGCACAGAACACTCTGGGGAATATAAAGACCATCCTAAATAAGATACGTCAACTCAAAATATAAAAAATCGCTGTGATTAGGGGCGCAGCTAAGATTTAGACACATGGTTAAAATCCAATCCCTTCTGAGACAGTCGTCGCGGTTACGCGCTCGTTAAAAGACCCCACTTTTGCAGCCGACTTTCTTCATTCCCCTGACAATTATGAGAATCTAAAATGTCTTTCTATAGTAATTTAAATGTGTTCAACGTAACTTGCAATTGTTTCTTCTTGCGGCAAAAGAAAAACATTACTACTCTAAAGTCTAAATTACCAAGGTAATCTGTGAACATGAAAATATGAGATGAACTGCCCGATTATATTTACATTGATCCTTTTTTTTCGATCTTGCGAATTCGCTATCGCCGTTAGAAAAGATCTGATATAAATTCACATAAATTACAATTTAATTTAGAGCAATAAAAATACACATGAAATATATTAGTAAATCAAAAATACATATTCATCGCCTGGAAATCCCTTCCGAAAGGCTACTGAAGTTCCTTCGCCGCGAATATGCCACTTTCTCAGCAGGCACAATTGGCTTTATTTCGATTTCATTGACGCTATGGATTCCAACGCCGACTGAACATAATGTGTGCTACAGACACACGAATTTTCGCGATTCACAATGGATAAAGAGGCGTTTTGTTTGGGTTTTATTTTTAGTTTTTTATATTGCCGCCAGTCAACCAATAAATTAGCGTTACTAATTAAATGATATACTTGAGCATATTCCCGCCGATGAACATAAGACATACTTATGTTGAAGGAAATATGTGATTTAGCGAGAATAAACACCGACGTTAAGTTGTCTACGACCAAAATAACAAGCCAAGCTGACGAAAAATATCGGCGATTATAGTAAAATGCAATCGCACACGTTACTAACGATTTTTTGAGTCTTCCAAGTCTTTTAAAGGAGGGGGGTCAAAATTTAATGAAAAGAACTCGACTTATTTATGGGTGTTGGTTTTCAATTTCGTTTGAAATATGACCACTATTAATAAATAATACGCTGACACTGATTTCTCGTAACAAAACAAGCAAATAGGTATGTTTTGTGTTTGTTTAAAATATTTTTTACAATAACGAAATTCGCCTCCAAGAATGATGAAATTTACCCCCAGGGGTAAATTTACCCCAGGTTAAGAAATGCTGGCCTAGATCAACCATGGAAAATATCACAATACTTGCTTGATATGTCAGCAAGTTGTGCCGGTGACAAAAGAATATAATCTAAAGTTAAGAAATTTTGCTTTGAGAATCTGATCAAGCACTTACATTTGCGGAAGCACTTGAAATCTTACACTAAATGTAGATATAGAAAGAAATTTGCAGATTTTTTTTTTGTCAATATGTTTGCACAATCAAAGTTTCTTATTCTTGGTACTATTGTGGCCCGCAAACAATGCAAAAATAATTTTGTGGCCCCCGAAGCTGACAACCCTGGACTACCCTCCGGGCCCAGGGTATTGTGGTCTTGGGTATGGGATGTGAATCCAAGATTTCAATATCTGTAACAGTCGTTTTTTATTACCCGGACGATACCGACTGTACACTAGATATTTATCAACAGTTCAATAACGCGGTATTTCAAACCCCAAGTTTGTATCCTCAACTCGAAGTATACAGCTGACAGGGTTATGTTAATACAAATGTAAAAACAAATCAGCACAAAATACTTGCAGTGAAGAAATAATCGTAACTAATTCAGCTTTTAGAAAGCCTACTCAAATTTATGAACACAACTATTAATCTATTAATAATATTTTTTATTTGTGATTATTCATCTTGGGGTCATTGCCCATCATTTTTACATGGGTGTGGAGTTTGCAGCCTTGAGCAATTCTTTTTACGGCTTGATATTTGTATTAGTGTTTTTCGTCAAATCTGTGCACCGTAATGGGCACAACCGGAACCTGGAACTCATACTATGTTCAGGTTGTGCGCCATCTTGGAAGCACAAAATTTACTAGGAAATAAAAATAGTAACTTTTAGGTATTAGTTGAAAAAAATCGTACCGAAAATATTTTCAGGCGACCCAGCTTTGGGTCGCGACCTATATATAGGGAAACACTGTTGAAACATACGCGTAAAATAAATAGTACTATTTCAAAATACCGGCTATTGTTGCAATTAACAATATAAGCCTGCTAATGCAGTCGGCCGTGGTTCAAGTTGATGACACCCGTTGGAGAACAGTCAATTATTTGTCAGCAAGGATTGTTATGCAGCGGGATGATAACGACGATGCAGTGAAAGATAATGCTATCACGAGAACAATAATGAGAAAATTGCCACATTTTATAGTACTCGTATATCCCTGGGTGAGACTGTAATTCATGTTTATGTTCCATTCCAATGCTTTTCAAACGACCAAAAACACTTTTGCTTCTTCTCTTCTATAAAAATACCTATATATTATATATTCGCATTTCAATCTGTTTGTTCGTGCTCCCAGATAACCGATCCGTGGCCTCCAAGAAGGACGAAGTCCCCTGTTAAGGGACTCTGTCATAAACTAAAAGAGGCGACCGTGCTTCTCTTCTGTTGTCATGCCGTCCCTCGAATTCAGCTACAACAAAAAATTCACGAAAATAGGTTCTAGATTTTATGATTTTATAATATTAGTTTCAAAACTCTAGAATTCTTACTTCTTTAATAATTAGATATTATAACCTTGAGTGTAACTGCTCGATAACCAGTTTGGTTCCCCGCGACTTCCCTTAGTGAAACTGTGCAAATTATTTTTTGTCGTAATTTATGATTGCGATATTTTCCTGTTACTGGTTGGAAAAATAAATTTGACTTGACTTGGAATGTAAAGTGCAAAAGAAAGTGGCTAGATGCTGTCGATGGATCTTGGCTTATATTAGTAGAATAAACTAACATTTCTTGTACTAAAACTGAATTTCTGACATTGTATAATTGTTTATATTAACGAAAACGTGCTCACAAAGTATTCGTACTAAGATGGCGCACTACCTGAATATTGTACGTGTACCAGGTCGGGGTTCAGGATGTGCGTCATCTTGGTACGAATACTGACGCAGCGCCTTAAAATCCACTTAGAAAAAATTGCTCTACATTTTATACTCTACACCCACCTAGGAATCATTCTTTATGTCATTGACATTATATCTAAACAATATATACTATATTAAACATACCGTAGTTGATTAGCAAGCCAAACCAAATTACTATTAAATAACTTGCAGCCTTCAAGTCAGAAAGAGTTACATATTAAAACATACCGAAGTTGTCTGCTATTTCAGACTTGAAATATAACAAGTTTAAAATCACATCAAATCAATTAAATAAACTATACCTGCGAAAACAATCACAAAGACAATCTAATGCTCATAAAAGTATCCTTAAACTAGGCCTATGTGGAACAGCCCTAAGCTAATCTTTCTAATGTTAAAACAGAAAGTCGAAGTCGCTATACCAATTTCAACCCATTTAAAACACAACGAGCGCCATTATCCACAGAAGTAAAGTGCTATCTGAAAGCAAAGAACCCCGAGACTAAGCGAGATGTGTCTGGACAAGTAATTGCTCACGCAGACTCTCTCAATTGTTTCGTAACAAAGTGTGTAGAAGCACACTGTCAATTAAGGAAATTACGGCGTCAACAATAACAAATAAATTACTACACAAGTTAAACGGACACAATGTTTAAAGCAATCCAAAAATCAAGTGAATGCGATTCTCGATGTAACAATAGCCTGCGATGCATCATAATTAATTCTAATGCTTTAATTAAAAAGCATTTGATAGACGGATGGTGCTTCTCACGCGTTTGAACGACGAGGAATAACTTTTTTATTGGATATTTCAATATGTGCTCAGATTTGTGAAAGACATCGAGCTTCGAATATTACTGCGCGGGTCACTCGGAAACCTTCGATGGGCCACGTGCGGCCCGCGGGCCACGGGTTAGACGACCCTGCTCTAACTTCTGCCGATGGAATTCCAGACTATGCTATTTGGATTTTATGTTGTTCGCTAGTGAATTATCTTCACATTCACATCACAAAAAGGTTTTATGTGATTAATTATCCAGCAACTTGCTTGCTCCTCGTCGCTCGTCCTCTAACACTGCTTGTTGACGAGTAGCAGTTCTATTATCTTCTGAATATGAAAATGGGCCTAATTCGTCTGAACATTGAGCTCTGGTTCTCTGATCACTCTCTTAGAAATCAAAATTTACTTTCATTTCATAGTTAAATCAAACGATTTTTTAAATGTAAATAGAATGGACTTTCAGCTTTTCGGCATGCACACAAGGGATGATTTTATTTAATTATAGTCATAATGGCTGTTAAATTCAAACGCAAGCAACTAAACGAATCAATATTTGCTTTCACAATGTAATTCATCAGTCCAGCAATTCAGGCAAATTTTGCAGTAATTTGTAGATTTTGAATAAATAAAATATTTTGAGAAAATTTGCAGCTGCTTAGGATCAACGTTGTCAGGAATAATCCTACGCGCACAAATGTGTTTGCTGGGGCTCTAACTCACATCAGATTTCCTTGAGCAATGTTCAATAAATTTAATATGAAAATGTTCAATAAACTTTCCATGCTACAAGTTCAACTACAAGTAATATATTTATAATTCTTATAATAATAATAAGAGAATATAGAATTGGATACGAAAATTCGGAAATTTGTATTTACGTGTAGAAGGTAATTGAATTGGAGAATGCTGCTTAACTGCTAGAACAGTTGTGAATCGAGTGATGGGTCATGGGTAATCGAGGGATGGGTCATTCGTCTGGATCGGTACCGGTATGTTATGGCTGTTATGGGGCAGGCGCAGAGAGTGTTTCAGTAATCTATATTCTACTATCCGTATCTCCCATTCGTTTCACCGATACGGTCAGGCGCAACGCGACTATAACACCTTTGGTCAGGAGGTACCGTTTGTTTTTAATTTTTTTATGTTTTTCACGACTATTTTTTTATTTTACTTTAATCTTCATTTTATTTTATTTTTTTTTTTGAATTATTTTTTCAATTTTATGCGTGATAGAGCTGTGACCTCCTGACTCGATTTGACGCGGAAATAATTTAATCGAAGAAAACCAAAGAAGTTGCAAGACTTTTAAATATCAATTGAAAATTTCGACAATTTTGATTCCTACTTCATGGAAGCTGCAAATTCAATCCCGATTATTATTTAGAAGAATCTATAAAACAAAAGAGCGTTGTTCAAATATATGGACAAGTAGGCCAAAACGAAGTCGGATATGTAATTTGTCACATAGTCATAGACTACCGGTAGCCCAGCCTTAACGACTTTGCCAGCTTTAATAGCTGCGTTCTGTTTTCAATTTGTATACCGTCCTTATTTTTCTTTCAAGATTTGCATTTTAAATTTGTTCTTGTTTTCAATATTCGTTCATATTGTTAATCTAAGTCGTTTTTTTTTTCTTCTTGTTTTCATCAATAGGATAAAGACAATAACAATTTCATTCTCAAAAAAAATAAATTCCACAATTGACGACGGCTCTTAGATGTTGCTATACTTTTAACAGGTTCAATATCAGATGTTGTGTCAGGTCATTTCTGGGCCAATTATTTTTTATTGCTTTTAGACCAACAAATTGTCTTAGAAGTCAGGACAGCACCTTATTTTCTCTTTCTTCAATTAAATATAAATACTGAGCTTTCAAAATCGTTTGGGCAAGTCGAATTGAATCAGGACTTGACCCCAGAAAAATCCTCACTTCACTGCTAATTCCTTATGTTTCATATGAGAGTGTTTTGCAGAGTTGGCGCTCTATACACGATCTACTACTCTACTACATGTTCAAAATCATCAATTCTATAAAAAAATATTTAACCATGAGCAACTTAGGCTACAGCACCTGATAATTAATTTTAGCGTGGTATATCCCATGAGTATTGGGGATTGTTTTTATTTTTATTTTTGTTGAACTAATGCTCCAAGGCAATGTTTACATCACGCTCCAATTGGTGTCTGGGAGAAAGACTTCTCTGAGCAGTTGCACAAATTGCAATTAATATATTATTGTTGACTTATTGCTGATTGGTCTTTGTAACGAGAATAAACAAGAAAATCGATGCTCGAGGAAACATCACATGCGACCAAAGTATTTTGTTAAATCAAGATAGCGGACACCGGAACGTAGTATGTGTCGCTTGGCTAGTTTCCGAACTCATAATAGAACTAAAAGAATGAATAATTGGAATAAAATTATGACCTAACCATGAGCTGGTACACATACTACGTTCCAGTGTCCGCCATCTTGGTTCACATCATATAGGAGCGCCGTTTTGTCTTGTTGGTGTAATGAAAGAACCTGAAATAGAAAAATAAAACTTCGGTAAAATAATTTACACGAATGTTGGCCTTAATTACGCTCAACTTTATGCATTAGCCAATACAATACGAATAGGAACTTGAAGGCAAAACGGACGCATTTGCTCGTCGGAAAGGACATATATTTTCGCAGAGTTTTAATATGAATTGAATCAAGCGGACCTCGGAAAAGTAGCCATCGTCCCATAATGTGACGTAACATTGCTTCTGGTGGTATCCAAGCAATGCGCAGAACCGTACCCGAGCTCCATCGTGTGGTTGTTCAATATTCAATATTTTTCCAACTCAAAATGAATCAATACGCAGTGATTATGTTAATTAATAATAGAAAATTCACTTCATGGCCAGACTTATATTGCTTTAGGAATTAAAAGTTTCATATTGGAATTTTCTATAGATGTTGCTTTCAGTTGGAAATTGATGTTCTTTAAATTAACGCATTACACATTAGCTAAAACATGCTGACTTACAACAGCTGCCAATAAATTTATTTCTCTCTGGTTGGCCTATATTTTTGAAAACAAATTTTCAGACCTTTCAGACCCAGAAATGAAGTTAATTTATGTGTCATCCTCAAGTCGGAGTCGATTGTGAATGTTTCAGACTTGGCAGCAGTTTTGCGTTTTTGGTAAATTTCATCCGATCTCCTCCTACTTATAGCTATAACATTTATTTATTTTTTTAAAAACGGGCTTCGCATATAGCGTAGTGTAAATCCGGATCTAACTTAGATGAATGCGACATTTCTGAGACAGCCTTTGATTAGATCATAATGCTTAGTTTCTCATCGTTATCCGATTACAGCTTGTTTGCAAAGCTTCCATCTCTATTAAAACCGCGTGTATACATTCTTGTTTCTCGTACTTTTAAATAGGATTTGCAACATGGTTGGACAAATAACTTTACTTTGACATTGACATCTCAGACATCGTATAAGTATGTCTTCTACATTAAAATGCTTATTATGGTGTTATAACCAAGTTATTCGGTCGTCGATTTCAAACGGAACCCTGGACGAAGCCGACACGTAAACCCCGATCCAACTCACGACTTTGTTTGCAAAATGTTTTATTTGATCTCAAAATAGTTTAACAATTACGGCAAGAAGAACGTATTTAAAGTAAAATTAGTAGAAAATGTTCCCGATTAATGTCCACCAATAAAAAAAACAAGGATGTTATTGTGATTTACACTGTTTCTTCACGTATGTTATCATTTGGAGGAACTTGTTCAGCTGCCTCGCTATCCCTTTTCCATAACACAATACACGGAAAGAATTTTGTTTTCCAATCGGCAAAACAGAATAATACACAACACATATTGATGAAAAGTATTTCCAGACATAAAATGGATTTCTGAACCGAGTGCAAATCCTATTGTTACTGTATCTGTAATAGAAGCAACAATGGCGGCTCCGGTAGATCGCTTTATGAGTCTTACAAGATGATCAGGAGGTCTTTGATTCTGATGCAAATACTTCAAGCTACGTTGGTGCTTAATTAAAGGAATCAGAAAAAGAGTCAGCAATCCAATCTGTATTTCAAATTGGATCCCTAAGAATATTACCAAAATGTAGTTATATGACAAGTTATCAAATATCAAGTCTTCCAATATCCAAATTATTCCGACGACAATACCAGAATTTATTATGAACAATCCCTGAAAATAACTAAATTTTTTCAAACATTCGGACGACAGTTTCTTCAAAGTTTTCTTCGTGCTGAACATCGTTTGACGGAACCACAATACCATGTAGATAGATGTTGTAAAGCAAATGTATAAAGAGTATAAGCTCAAATTCAGACTTGAAGAGATTCGAGAGAGTGTATAATTACATCTCTCACATATATCAAATGTAGATATTATTTCCGTGTCGTTAAATATGCATACGTCGTTGCAGTGCTGCAATTTGAACCGAACGATATTTAATGCGACACCACACATGATCGTTACTATACCAAACAATTCTGCAAGAATGAGAGTGCCATTCATAATGACTGGTAGGTTCGACGCCTTTAAAACGTCTCTAAATCTTCGGATTTTTCTTTTGCATAAGCCTTTCTTTATGAATATATAAATTTGGTGAATAGTGATATAGACCATCAATGAAGCCATTATCGAATTGATGCAAATTTCAGGAATAGCAAGTGTCATGCCGTCCATTTTTTCAGGAGTTC